TTGCAACTGCTGACTGTTTCTCTGTTGTACACAACTATAGAGCTCTTGACTGTGATCCTATTCTCTTGGGTGAATTGCTCATTTGGAAAAGCATCCGCAGGTGTTAAAAGCCATTAACATGCTTTCATCTGGCCCCTGAACACTCATAGTGATTAAGCTGACCAAAGGCACAGCAGTGTTACACAAATGTGATGAGCTGAAATCTAATACTATAATAAGGGATAGAGCCTGTCACTATTACTCAAGCTGACCAGTACACTTCTGATAAGTGGTTGTTTCATTGAATTAAAAAAGAAATACTACACAATGCAGCAAGAAGGAGGATTGCCAGTACAGTAGACCTCAGTTTTAAGTAAGTTTCTTTATAGATTTCACCAGTTTCAACAACAATGTATTTCGTCTTTGTCCTAGTTGCTGGGCATCTGGAATGCATTCTAAGCTATGATTATCTTTGGTTTTGTCTAGTGACCAGTTTCTTTGGTTACCTGTGCCACATCCTGTTCATTTTGTGGGTGAAAGGAGATACACAAATTTTCCTATCTGCAGACATCGTGTCACAATGGAGAGATAACTGGTTTCATTAATGCATCCTTTTTCACATTGCTGTGATGAAGCAGTACATACCGCCTGCTATAACAGAAGTCAGTACGCACTGTGATATTGCTACTGCAGTACTTCCCACAATCTTGGCTTGGTTAACGTGCCTGAGTTCAGTGTGAAGAGGCTCTTATTTCCATAATGATTAGGCTGATTTTATATATGTATATTCAACTAAGGCAGGATCATGCCAAATGTTGGAGCATTTATTCAGGAACATATCCAAGAAGCAATTTTGCAACTAGACACTATTTATGATTCTGGCATTCATATCTGTGGGTCAGCAAACACTATGTAAAGTAACTTGTTTTACTGAGAATGTCCATTAACCATGATTGCCTGCACACTTTCTAATTATGTAATGTGTGAGGACTAAAAAAATTACTTTTAAAAATGACTTAACCACTGGTATAAAAGCCTTAGGATTTTACAAAAACCTCTTAAGCTATTCACATATCCTCTGAGTACTTGGCTCATACTCTATGTAGCTGTTCATTTCTTGCAGTGGCATAGCCTGATTGGTCTATTCATTGTTATAGCTATTATTATTATTATTATTATTATTATTATTATTATTTGGATTTATACACCATCCTTCATCAAAAGATCTAAGGGTGATTCACAAGATAAAATTACAAGATAAAAGCACAATTATTTAAACTATTAATCTAACTGCAGTTTCCGAAGTAATAAATAAATCTCAATAAAAGCTAACATGTTTGCCATTATAAAGAAATGCTACTGTGTCTTGCAAATTATTATTTGGTGCCTTGGTGCCTTCTTTACATTATGACTGTGGTTTATGATTTTCCATTGAAAGTGGCATAAAATGCATTTGCTATGCCATCGTATGTATGCTATCACTCTGATTTGGAAACAGGTTCTTTGCAATTTCATGAGACACCCATAAAATGAGGAACCATTGCTATTTCATGCACTATCAGCCTTTTTCTTTAATATAGGTGTTTTCGAAGGTGAATATAAGAAAAATGGCCCAGCCCTTTGTTAAGCCTCTGCTGTTTCAGTATGTTATTTTTTAATGCCTATTAGTTTCTATTCTCCACTGTCAGAAGGTAATGGGACTGGCTGAAGCTTGAGCAAAATTAAGCTATGCTGCCATGTATTGTGATATATACTTAGCCTAGCAGACTTCAGGATGGCTCCATGCTATTGGTCGAACCATACATTTTTCAAACGAATGAGCTGTTTTCTTAAATTAGTTGTAATTGGTACTAATTGCCTCAAAATAATTACAGGGTTTTGTTGATGCAGGATAACAGAAACTTGTGAGCATTTCAAGAAAATAGGAAGCAGCCTGCTTCATTTGCTTTAAGAATTCATCCACTTCAGAGACTGTTTCAGAGTATTAATTGGGATAAAGCTCAGGCAGTTCTGAGCCTTAGGCTACGTATATATGTATTGTGATACATGGAAGCCTGGCTTGATTTTAGAATTGCTGAAATGAAATAAAAAATGAATCCAAAAGTCTTGAACTAAGTTAGTTTAGTTAGTTAGTTAGTTAGTTAGTTAGTATATAAATAAACAAGCAAATCATTAAAACACAAATACCCAAACATTTATGGAAGAGTCCATCCATATTTTAGTTATTTGACCTGTTTCCTGTATCCATGCAGGGATCCTAGGAGGTGGGAAAACACATGCTGAAAGGAAGGATCAGGACAAGAATCAAGCCTTGTTAAAACAAAATGGAGACTCATTGGGAAGATGATTGAGGCAATGTGAAGCACGTTTTTTGGCACATTAACCTGACAGCTGTGAGGGCTCAAAGACAGAAGGAAGACTAGTCTTTGACTGAGTTCACCAAGAGGAAAGCTCCTCTATCTCAGTGTACCTGCAATGGAGGGATGAAGGAGGGAGTTAGTTAAGTTAAGCTGCAGGTTGAGCTAGGTCCTTGAAAGCTTTATAAAACTTGCTGCTCATTAAAAACCACACTCATTTGCTATTAAACTATTCCGAATTTGTTTAACACACCAGACAGAAGTTATAAGCCACAACCAACCTTTAACTACCCAACACATTTTTGTACTTGATATTGTATTTTTGTTGCACAGACAGTTTTGCCAGATTAATCACTTCCACATTAATTACCAAACTAATCATTTCAACACCACAATAAACTTTTTTCCCTTTCCTGTTCTATCTTGTTCCTCCATTCCATGTTAAAGTATGAATAACACATCGGGATCAAGACTGCAACCTGCCGTTACAATCCTAAAAATCCACACTGCATACATTCATTATACACTGATTTTATATATATAATTATCACACTTATATAAAGTTATTGCTCCCTCTGCTGAAAACTATGTGAAAACCAGGGCACATGTGCAGAAGAGAAGCTGTGAGAATGAGAACAATGGTGGAGATGCCTGTGCAAAAGAGTTGCTATGGAGATGCCTAGAAATAATTCTGTAGGCTTACTTGGCAAAAGCCTTTATGCGTCTTGTTTTGGGGCAGTTTTCAGAGTACCAAAGCCAATGAAACAAATTCGTGGGAATGAATTCTCATGTTTTAAAAGATAAAAAGGCTACGTAAAAACAGCAGCTATGTTTTTGTTGTTGGTTTGTTTATTTTTTTTAAATCAAGGTCTTCAACTTTTACAGCACTTCCTTTCCATCCAATAGTTAGAGACTGCCTGTAATCTGATGTATGGGAATTAGAAATTATCTTGTCCAGAGGATTCTCCAGAACTGTGATAGGTTTTGAGTGCCTTAACAAGAGAAGGACCTTAACTGATAATGTATTGAAAATGTACAAGTAAGAATGCACATCCCTTGGCTTAAAATAATTAAGAAGCAAGAGACAAGCCCCCTCCTAAAGGATTGTGGAGGAAAGGGAATCTATTTTGCTCCCCCCACAAAATCCCTTGGAAATGTAATTTGACATGCTTAATATACTCTAAAAGGGTTGTTTTTGTTGAAACAAACAAACAAATGGGGGTGAATGGAAGCCACATATTTTAATTTATACATAACAGTTTGATTCACAAATCCAAATGGGCAAAACACTGAGATCAAGCCTTGCCAAACTATGGGGGGCAGGTGAATCAGCCACTCCAGCAGCGGAAGCCCAATGCAATATATGTGTTAGTATATATTGTGGCACACCATCTTGTTAATTTATATGAGTTGACAGGATCTAAACATTTTTTATATTTATATTTTATGGTTTTTTAAATAAATGATTAAAAAATTGTGTTCCCATATCATTCCAGAGCATTTGTGACATGGTGTATAACTGAATACAGTAGATGGAATTAATAATCAATTAATCAATTAATGAATCATTTTGGGTACCATTGCCTTGGAAGGGAGTTGGGACCACAAGGATTATCTAGCCCAAACACCTGCAATGCAGGAATATTACGCCCAATGTGTGGCTTGCACCCATGACCCTGAATTAAGCATCTCATGCTCTACCGACTGAGCTGTCCTCCGCTCCCAGGTTGCATTCATGGCAATTATACTTAAGGAATCTTGAAGTAAGACAGGGCAGTGGGGAAAGGGGAGGGGAGGGGCTTGCTATGATACATTGTGACAATCCCCATAATTCTGTAATTACACTCAATATGGTTATACAAGCACCTATAGGAAAATCATCACATTCTAGTTTCATCACTAATTTTATTAACTTTAAAAATACTTAATGCAATAGTCTTGAAAATAATTAATCGCATGCCTTATTATCTGTAGCAAGTGGTCAGGAAGCTGAGAGCTGGTATGTTTTGTTCTTAAAGGATACATGTAATCAGGTTGGTGTGTAAGGCAGATGAGCTTGCAAACTTTGTAGATGTTTACATAGTATGGTATGACTAACAGAGAAATCTGTGAATACATACAGATATACGTAGATGAGAGCTGTTTTTGTTCATTGAAATCTTCTGGTGGTCCATTGCCAAGTTTACCAGATCAGGCACCATTTGTTATCCCTCCTCCCTGCCTGCGTTAAAATTAATGCAGTAATTTAATGCAGCAGGGTTAATATCCAGAATTAGAAGCCATAAAGTTCTGTTCATTAGATTTCACCCTTGCTGTACAGTGTATCAAATGCATTATTAAAATCCATCTAGCACACATGCCTGTTCAGATTAATTTTTATTTTGTTATTATTTAGAGCTGCATTCAATGTATAGAGACAACAGACATCCATATATAAATATAACAAGATGCAAAGAATGTATGTATTGTGCTACTCTACATGTTGCCCTCCATTTTCTAAAGCTTTAAATATATTGCTTTCTTCATCTTGTCAGATGAGTATGCTGGCTTTTATTTTAAAACTGGGTCCTAAAAAATCTGAACTGGGCATATCTGCTTTTACTGCCAGAACAAGTCTGACTAGAATACCAGTGCAACATAATGGTCTCTTTATTCCTTTTTTAGATGAGCAGGAGTCAGTGCAAAAGAGGACTTTCACAAAATGGATCAACACTCATCTCGCCAAGGTAATACATTTTTTTTTCTCCTACCACCTACAGTAAAACTAGCAGTTATTTATTTATTCATTCATTCATTCATTCATACATATACATACATACATACATACATACATACCCCGCCCATCTGGCTGGGTTTCCACAGCCACTCTGGGCGGCTTCCAACAAAAGATTAAAAATACATTAAAACATCAGTCACTAAAAACTTCCCTAAACAGGGAGCAATCCCTAAACAGCAGAGCAAACCCACCACACTAAATGAGATTTAGATGTGTCAAAATTTCCCACCCTCACCACCAGGCTCATCTTGGTTTAGTTGCTCTTCACTGGCAGGGGAGGTCCCTACTACACCCACTGAAAGGATGGGCAGGTGGAAGCTACCACTGGTAGGAGCTAGTGGAAGCTCCACAAATGAGGTGTTTCTAGGGTGAGAAGGGGGCAGAGCAGGGCCAAACAAGATTCTTCTTGTCCAATGGTTGACAATGGACTCAGTGGGTGTAACTACTTCTGCAAGTTCGGCCTCAGCCCACATGAGTGGCAGGGCTTTAGATGCAACCATGGCTTTGCCTCTCTGTTCAGACCTGCTCCTCCCAGAGGGTTAGGAATGCTTCTGTAGTTGTATCCAATTTGTTTGAGGCTTTGAGGGAAGGAAAGCGGATACAGTTTTCCATAACTGCAATGATTTAAAGTCCAAAAACTCTTCTATGTGGAAAATATGTACGGCAATAGAGGTTGCTAGGTATTATCAGTAGAAACTTGTGTTTCCTGTATAATGCTGGGGAGGAAATAAAAGGGAAATTGAAGAATTGGATGTACTTATACTTCTAAGGGCTTCTATTTCAAATTCCTAAAAATAAAGTATTTCCCTGTGTTTCATACTGGCAACCTTGGAAAGTTAGCCTTGTAAATGTTTTGACTACATTTCTAAATATATATGTGTGTGAGAGAGATGTACTTTTAAATACATTATTTATCTATGCTTGATTTGGATTAACTTCACATCAAAGATTTGTGATCAAAATGACAGTACTGTGTATTGAAATGAAAATGTTACTGCACTACTTCACTACAGTTGCTTTTGAAAGGAATGACTCAATATTTTTCCAGTTCAGTTTTCCAGCCTCAATTTCCAAATATGAGTGGATACTGTTGGGGGGGATTATGGTGTACATTATTAGAAGTAAGTCAAACTTACATCCCATCCCCCATCCCCCATTGTGTTGTTATTGGCATTGTGACAGGAAAATCCCAATTTCATACATTCTTCCAAAGAAATATGTTAGGTTCCGGCTTCACTTCTTGAAAAATATCTGTGGGCATTTTCAGAGGCTATCCTCCCACGTCTGCAACCTCAAGGAAATATTAGGAAATAGCTGGCTTTGAGCTTGTGTGTTCCCTATTGCTTTCTTTCCTCACCTAGTAAGGGAAGAACAGATGAAGTTCAAGATCCTGTGTTCATTTAAACTTTTTATTTCTTTGATCTTATAGGATAAAACTCACATTCTAAAAGTTATCCCAGGGCTCCAGATGGATCCTATGTTTCAAAACCTGGGGTATCCTGATTAATTTGTTATGTTCCAACGGGAGTTAGAGCAGAAGAACTGGAAAGTTAAGAGCAGGAGCACATGAACCCGAGGCTTATTCCTGATCTCTCTCCAGGAAAAAGAATCCCTAGCTCAAGTACCCTATGGAAAGGCCCAGTTATTTCCCCTCTATAGCAAATAGAAACCACTAAGACTGCAATCTTAGATCAACCACGCACATAGTTGAACACTTCCATGAGAAATAGTGATGGCCACCAACGTGAATGGCTAAAAAGGGATTAGACAATTCATGGCGGATATGGCCATCAATGTCTCCTTGTAATGACAGTTTTACCTCCACTGTCAGAGGCAGTAAACCTTTGAATGCCAGTTGTTGGAAACAACAAGTGTTGATGTGCTCAGATCCTGCTTGCTGGCTTCCTCTAGGCATCTGATTGGTCACTGTGTAATCCTATGCAAATTTAATAATTACCGCTGAGATTATTGGAACTTTACACATAAACAAGCACAGAATCAGCTGTAAGGCTATGTTTGCCCTGGAAAAATCCTGACTACTTTCAGTGATACTTAATTTTAAGTAAAATGTGTACCTTGAGCCTAGAGGTCTCAGAAATAGGAGTTCCTGATACAGAGGGATGAAACAAGAGCTAAAAAAATCTATCTGATGGCTAGGTGAAAATGTCTTTAATGAAACTGAGGACAACGGGGCTTATCTTTTCTGTGGATAGCACATAGTAGTAAAAAAAGGTGGACTACAAATGTATTACGAATGTGCTTAAATCTCTCCAATTAAAATAAATAGGAGAGCTGGAGTTTTTCTAGATCATGCCCATTGCTTGAGTGTCTGTATACGAGTGTGTAATTGAGCACTTTCATTAGGCAGAATCACCATTGCCAAAGCCATCACAACCCATATGCTTAATTAGTAATCACGTCTGAGTTTACGCATTTCAGCGAATAAGCAGTGTGGGGAAAGCCAACATGCTGACCTTTTAAAAATGCTTCCACTTAATTCATATGCCTCCTACTGTGTTCACAAAATTACTTGTGATGATGGCTCCTTAACAGCAGAGTTGCATGCTCACACACCCTCGTAAATATCAGACCTGCTGAGATCAAAACCCCAAACCATATGTGCTGCTATTGTACGAAGATTAGTTATGATCTAAAATACTATGACACTAGTGCACTTTTATTTTTGGAGCAGGGGCTGCTTCTCCTGCAAGCATTTCTTGCCAACTTGCCTACCCCCCCCCACCCTCTGTCAACCCCCATCCCTTTACACCTGACCAGCCCTGTCTACAGCTTGCCCCAGATCCTCTCTTCCCACTCCTTAGAGTTCCCCTCAACTCCCTTTCCTCTTCTCATAAGTGACCTCAAACCCCCTCCCCCCAAGATGTGATAATCAGCTGATTATCAGGTCTTGCATATCCACTTGTAATGTGCAGAACTCTGAATGGGGTTTGCAGACACCCCTGCCCAGCTAGGTTTTTACCTATCCTGCATCTGACATATATAACAGGCATATGGAAGGTGGTTGTAGCTTGGCAGAATGGCCTAGTAGATCAAATGGGGAGGCCTGGGACACTGGAGGTGCCCACACTTGGTCTACTATATCAGAGATCTATCATAAAACTTACATTACTCTTCCACAGTTGTTGTAAACCTTGTGTCACACAACCTATTTTGCATTTGTGCTTGCAAATTTCATAAAGCTAGACTGTCTTGATTTAATGTCACATTCACCAACTTAAATCAGTATTATTTGTACTGTATAAATAGCTTTGTGATTGAACTACAGTCGTACCTTGGAAGTCAAACGGAATCTGTTCCGGAAGTCCGTTCAACTTCTAAAATGTTCAAGGAAACCAAAGCACAGCTTCTGATTGGCTGTAGGAAGCTCATGCAGCCAATCGGAAGGGGCGGAAGTCACGGCGGACGTTCAGGTTCTAAAAATAGTTTGCAAACTGGAACAATCACTTCCGGGTTTGCAGTGTTCGGGAGCCAAAACGTCTGAGTTCCAGGGTGTTCAGGATCCAAGGTACAACTGTATTAGTAGGTAGCATGTGTGTGTGTGTGTGTGTGTGTGTGTGTGTGCTAAGTTCATTTTTGTTTTCATGCAGTGAACCAACATTGCTAACTTCTGCCTTCTGTTGTGTACCATCATTTTTCTATTAAAATCAAAACAGTTTACATGATAGTCTAGTAGTCTTATTATGGAATATATTGATAGCTTGTCCACTAAGAAAATGGCCATATCAATTTTCTTCTTTCTAGCTATCACATTCATTATTAATTATTCACATACAAGATGGGGGGAAATTGCTCAAATAAGGTCGTTTAGTGTTTATTAATGACTTTATATGAGAAAATGGTTTTTTTTTCATATTTCATGGAGAGTATTTCCTACAAACAATACTGAATGAAACCATTTTAAAGTCAGTTCTTGCATTACAGGATCAGGGTGTTTCATGCTTTCTCTGCTTGCTTTCTACACTGCCAGAGAAGCATCAGAACATGTGGAATGGGCCAACTAGATAGTTATTTCTAGGGCTGGGTTCAAATTCCAGGTCATCTGTTTTCTGTCATTTGTGGGAGGAGTGTTGCAAAATACAAGGGGGTGAAAGTTTTCCTCAAATTTCCAGGGTAGGACGTTTGGACATGATTAGCTTACCTAACTTTATGAGGTGGTCAAAGTTTCACCACCCTGTTTCTTCAACCTTAACAAAAAGCATTGAAGCCATAGGGCAAGGCTGCATTTTCTTGGGGCTAGGCAAGAAACACACTGCCTGCATCATGACGTAGCATAGATCCCATGGGCATAGTTATACCAAGCAGGGAGAGTGTTTTAACGTGCTCTGCTTTCCCTGGTAACCATGTACTCAGAGATATTCCTGCCTGGCCCATAGGAAATCAGACTTTCTATATGATCAGGAGCCCATTTTTTAAAAAATAAAAAAGAGTAGTTTGAAGGAAGACCCTTGGGCACCTCACCAACATCAGAAAGGTAAGTGTGACCAAACCACCCACCCCTTTTCAAAATTTTGGGGAACATTTATTCTGCCTCATGAAAGCTACAAATAACAATCCCATCATTTTCATGGGGGACAAATGGACTGGTGGAAAAGGGAAGCTATTTTTGACCCATCCTGAGTTATTTCACATACTAGTGTTAGCCTTCCTTTTTTGAGGAGAGACGTTGATATGGTGAATAACTGTATGGTTAGCCACTACTAAATATGATTGAACTATAACAGACCAGTAAGAGACAAAACCAGCAGGTATCAGCAAACAATGTGACTCCTGTAACAAAAGATCCAGCCGTAAGATACAATATTTTCTGCTTTGTGAACCTATTGCAGAATAGGAGTGCTATGCCCAGTTATGTTGTCTTAGCATCCTGTGGGGAAATACTCTTTATGAGGCCTCCAGTCATCTACTTTTAATCTGTAGGAGCAGCATAGGAGACTTGTGTGTGCTGTACAGGCACGCATTTTCATAAGCACAGACTGCATGCAATAAAGTAGGCATCTTAAGATTTATGACAGTGCTGTTCTATTATCCACCAAGCAGCTAGAGAACACACAAAGATTTATATAGTCAGATGTCATTACATGAACAGAGTCAAGTGCTTGTGTAAGTTAAAAGCATTCGGCTTCTTTGAAAATTGGACAGAAAAAGATACAGTAGGTGTACATACGGTAATAGTTTGACATTTGTCAACATCACCGCTGAGACTTGAGAGTACAGCAGACAGCAAATATGGTAAATATCTGCAACAGTTATGAGCTAGAAGAATGATATTGTCAGTCTTACTGCTTCTGCTGTCATGCCTTCTCTTACCTTTATGAAACTTAACCAGTTTACCCTGCCTAAGAATCAGAAAAATATGCCACAACAAAAAGAAAATCTGATGCTGTATCAAAAACATGCTGCTTTGTGTTCTGTTTGCAGAACACCTCGAGGGGTAGATCCTGTATCTCCTTACAAGGCTTTTAAAAATATAAGAACGAGGCAATCCCTTCTTTCAGTGAAAGGCTCTGCAAGTCTTTGGGTTATTCTGCTTCATCAAGCAGAATAACCATTCCCCAGCTATAAACAGAGCAAGCTCACTTGCATGTGCATATTCCTATAAATAGTTTGGATGGGTAGTTTCTTCATAACAAGTCCATAGTCATCATTTTCAAGACAATAGAATGGGGGTAAAGTCACCATTCTTCAACGGTTCAGCTTCTGTTTGATTATTTTCCTCATCCTTTGACTTCCTCTGCATTAATCTGTCACAAACTATTGTGAGATTTTAAAGCTTTGTTTCCAGATCATGGAGGGGCCACCGGTTACCTTTTTATGCTGATAAATGACTTTTATTACTGCTGGTCTGTAAAAAAAACAACAACATTCTGGAGCTGTGCTCCTCTTCATTTCTTCTCCACTACACCACTGAATATATTATACCACCCATACAAGAAATCTTCAAAATGTAAATAGAACGGCCAGCAGCAGGGAGTAGGATAGAGATGCTTAACCTGTGGCAAGGAAAGAATGCATAACTCAATTTCGGCATCTGAGTTCTTTCCACTTCTTTTCCTCCCAGCGCAATCCTCCCATGGTGGTCAATGATCTGTTTGAAGACATCAAAGATGGAATAGTATTGATATCCCTTTTGGAGGTTCTCTCAGGACAAAAACTGGCAAGTATTTTCCTATGACATATATATTATTTATAATGTATTTTTAATTTGCATCATCATTATTAATATGCCATGTTAGTGTAGCTCCAAATATGTGACAATTTTTTAGGCATAGAAATGCCAAGATTCCCCGCCCCCACCGTGCCACTCAATAAGTAATGTGTACAAACTTTATGGAGTCTCCAATTTCTGATTGATATATGAACCAGCAGCCCTGACAGGATCAGGTTCACTCAGTGGGTGGTTTCAGAAAGAGCTAGTCCAGTGGGCATCAAGTGATGTTTAGGTTGCGTATTATATCTATGTTTAGATATTTAGGTTCAGGGTTGGGTTCCAGGCAAGGATTTCCCAGGGAAAACCAAGCACAACTAGAGAAGCTTGATCAAAAGCAGGTTTCTTCAACAGACAGTTTAGAAAATAGAAAATAGAAATCTATTCCAGCATCTCAGGCAAGCTGAGCTGCTACAAGCCAGAGCAAATTAGGGCAGAGGCAGGCTAGGGCAGGTATTCAGAGTACACAATTAGAAGTGCCAGTGCTGGTCTGCAGTAGCAATTCACAAGGAGCTGTTTGCACCAAAATGAAGAACCTTTCAGTTATGTGCACCTCATTGACAACTTTGTCATATAATAATAATAATAATTTATTATTTGTACCCCTCCCATCTGGCTGGGTTTCCCCAGCCACTCTGGGCGGCTTCCACAAAGACCAAAAATACACTAAGATGTCACACATTAAAAACTTCCCTGAACAGGGCTGCCTTAGGATGTATTCTGAATGTCAGGTAGTTGTTTATCTCTTTGACACCTGATGGGAGGGCGTTCCAAAGGGCGGGCGCCACTACCAAAAAGGCCCTCTGCCTGGAATCCCTGTAGCTTTGCTTCCTGCAATGAGGGAACCGCCAGAAGGCCCTCGGCGCTGGACCTCGGCGTCTGGGCAGAACGATGGGGGTGGAGACGCTCCTTCAGGTATACTGGGCCGAGGCCCAGTATACCTTCAGCTGGGATGCAGGGAAGCAGCTGAGAGGCAGTAGTATGTGATAATGTCCTGAGCTAATTCCTCAAGCACCTGTATGAAACCTGTGAACACTCATTCTATATAAAATATGAAACATGATTTCAGCAAATTAAATAATTTATCATAAAGTCAGTCATAGACTGCAGACCATTTAGTAGAGTGACATACAATGTTCTGAGTGAAATTTGCTTCAAAGCATCTTTTTTGAGGCATATGACTCTCATGGCCCTTCTTATTTTTACTTGTTTAAATTGCACTTTTGATCAAGGTCTCTCCTGTTTTGATAAGGAAATCCTCCCTCTTGTGGTAGAATTTTAATAAAATGCTCTGGAGTGTGTTTCATCACATTCACATTGAAAGGCAGAGACAGATTATTTTGATTAAAGTGTGGTTACTGTGTGGACTTAAAGACTGTGAGACATTAAAGAGGTATAGATAAGGCTAGTTCCAGAACCATTTCTTCTCTTCCAGGTTTCAGCTGTCAGAAACAGGTATTAAGAACAAAATAAAATAAAATGGTTTTGTGTTTTACCACATTTGGGATCTGTGGCTGGCCACTTGCTTGTTCTGGGAATAAAGCTTCTTTATTACCTTACAGTAGTTGGTTTGCATGCATAACTGGAAGTAAGGAGCCAATGCTGAGTCAGAAAAAAAATAAGAAGGACTTTAAAAGGTCAACGTTGTTGTTGTTTAAAAAATCAGAATATTGACTTTAGGAGGGGAAATCAGCACATTTTCTTGGAAGCAAATCTTGATAGCATTCACCAAGTTTCCTTTCAAAAGGAGTGTGTTTAGGATCTTACTGTCAGGCCATGGTGGTACTTAATTGTCCTTGTTGTTTGTACTTTTTAAAAGCCCTGTGAACAAGGCCGAAAGCTGAAGAGAATTCATGGAGTAGCCAACATTGGCACAGCCCTTAAGTTCCTGGAAGGACGGCGGGTAAGTCCCACAGATAGCTAGATGTTTACAGTTGCAATTTGTGTATGAACTACAGTCATTCAGAGTGCATTAGCATGGTCCTAATTCTAAAAGCAGCTACTATAAATTTTGCTGTTATTGCTGCCACTGCCTTATCTTGGTTGACTTTTCCATTTAATCTGTTTCTCTAACAAGAATTTTTAAAGAAACATATGAAATGGAAAAGGTCAAGGAGAGAAAATAAGAATTATAGAATTCTAAAACTGAATACAAATATATTAGCTAATAATATTTCATAAAATCATAGAATTGGAAGGTCCCCTGAGGATCATCTAGTCTGAAGGCATGTGAAGCTACCATCTTGCTGAAGTTAAGCAAGTCTGGGTCTGATCAGTGCCTGAATAGGTGGCCTCCTAGGAACCATGTGAGATATAGATATAAAAAAAAACATGAAATAAGCATGTCAGGTTCTTTATGGTATTCACTGATTTCTGTATATGGCAACAAGGTATATTTTTGTCTTCTCTCATCTCTGTGTCCTATGCATTATTCAGATAATTCATTTTAAATATATGTTGTTTTGTTTTTCATGCTAGTCTGTGTACAGAGGATCACCGGTTGGTACAATAATTTTATGAAACATTAAACCATATTAATGAGTCAATTGAATAAAATGAGTGTCAGTAAAATGAGTTGCACAATTCTAAGCATGTTAGAAACGCAGCTGTGTTCAATGGAGTTTACTCCTGGGTAAATGAGTTCAGGATTGCAGCCTAAATAGTACAGCTTTTCCATCTGCTGTTAGCCACAATACTAAATATTTTATGTACGGAGTAAAGGTAGTTGGGTGGAATTCAACATTGCACTATAACGAATGTCCTGCTTGTGCAGATGGAACCCTCCTCTCCTGCGCACTGTTCTGAGGGTTCTCCTGATTTCCCCCAGAATCAGTTTCAGCGGTGCAGTGGGTGGGTGGGGGGGGCTTTACATAGGCATTGGATTGGCCATTCTGAGAACAGGGTGCTGGACTAGATGGGCATTAGCCTGATCAGCCATGCTTTTGACCACCCATGCTCACTCTTTGTCACATTGCCTTGTCCTTCTGTTTGAGCTGGGGAAAATAAACAAAGCACCCTGCCGCTAATGCCAGTTCAGCTATAAAGGCATATTTGCAGTGCATTCACAATAGGGCAAGCTTTCCTGTTACATCTGTGTATATTGAGGACAATTGAATCTTAAATTCAAAAGTACATGCATAATTTTATACTTCATTTCTGTGATTATTTTATACGTTCTCTTTCTCAAAAATACTATAGACTATGCTTATTAGAATTAACTTTCCCCCCGAAAAAATCCACATTGCTATAAAGATCACTCCGTTACTGTGGCTTTCTGTTGTGGGTGATAATAGTGTGCCTTTCTTTCCCTAAAACAGATTAAGCTTGTCAACATTAATTCAACTGACATTGCTGATGGTAGACCTTCTATTGTGCTTGGGCTGGTGTGGACTATAATTTTGTATTTTCAGGTACAGTTGTTTGTTTAATGTATGAGATAAGCCTACAATAGTTATAGCAATAATTCCAAAATGGTTTGTCAAGGGGCATTAATGTGCTGTGGCAGAACTGCTCGTGTATCATGAGAAGTAAATTAGCTCCTAAGAATTTGCGGTACGTGGAATGGGGACATTTAGAGCAGTTGGAACAAAGGGTTAAAATTTCCCTATGCTGCTTTCTGCTCCAACCAAAAATGGATTGCCCCACAGCTGTTTTATATACAAATGACTTCAGTAAATATAATGTGTATTTTGGCCCTTAGGCGGTAGATTTAAACTCCATCTAAGAGACTCTTCATTAAGGATGCTATTGGAACAATAAAGAGATCTGACAGGGATTTTTTTTTTGTTTTTTACTATTTTGAAGAGCTAGATCAGAAGAAAGCCCTATAGTAATTGCTATAATGTGGCTTTCCGTTTTCCCTTTTCACTGGTCATTGTTGGTCAAATTGTACATATTTTAAAAATACTTGATTCTGTTATCCAGTATCATTTCCAAACTTAAACTAGCACCCCTAATTTGCATGTGGCTATATATGCAAATGTAGCCCTGGGTTCCTTTGGAAGGAAGGAGAGGATATAAATTTAATAAACACCGGTACTAATAATAATAGATACTACAATATGGAATGGATACAGTTCCCATCAAAGGTTGTATGTGAAAGCCAAGAAACTTTGGCTATAGCCCTAAAGAAAATTAATTGAAATAAAGTCCTGTACAAATAAGTTTGAATCATTTCCAAATTAATGGCCACAACTTAGCAAATCAGATCTGCGTGATTTATATAGTTGGAAAAGGAACAGGAGCAATGCATTATGCAGTCTTCCCTTCCTTTAGGCCTTACAGGAAGTACAAAGCAGAAGAGTATGTTTCATTGAAATGCAAGCCCTGACTGGGCAGCAGCAGACATTAACAAAGCAATGAGACTATTTCCACAGCCCAACCACTCATGCCAACCAGGCTGAAAGGCAAATCACTGTGCCATCCTGGAGCTGGTGCAGCAATTGAGCCCAAATTAAATTTAATGTCATGGGGCTGCTAGGGATCCAGTGGAACCTGGCTGGATCAGACAGTTTCCACCTTCTTTTGGAGTTTTCTGTAGGATGCTGCTGGCAGAATTTTTCACTGGCTGCTCTGTGCCCACCCATTAATTCAGTGGGCAGATGGAGTTGCAGTACAGGGGTGCCCCGCAAGACAATGCCTCGCAAGACGAAAAACTCGGCTAGACGAAAGGGGTTTTCCGTTTTGTTGAGTCGTTCCGCAAGACGTATTTCCCCTATGGGCTTGCTTCGCAAACGAAACGTCTTGCGAGTTCTTGCGAGGTTTTTCCTTTTCTTAAGCCGCTAAAGCGTTAATAGGCTGCTGAGCGTTAATAGCCGCTAAGTGCTAACCTGTTAATAGCCGCTAAGCCGCGAAGCCCTAATAGCCGCTAAGCCGCTTAAGCGCTAATAAGCCATGGCTTCACAAGACAAAAAAAACGCAAGACGAAGAGGACTCGCGGAACGGATTAATTTCGTCTTTGCCGAGCACCACTGTAACCATAACCTTCCTCTATGTTAGAAGATGCTAATCATAGGAGCAACACTTCAAACTATGTTACCTTGAGTAACTCAGGGTTTGGGGGGGAATGAAAAGTGGCCCAGATGTGAGACATCTGTGAAAATGTCAGACATAGGTCTAGTATTCACAGTGCCTGCCTAACTCCTCATTGGAACACACTCAGAACATGTTTTATGGCTACTCCAAAATGCCATTCCACTATCATGGTGGAATGGCATCTGTGAGTGCATTAGTACTGTGTGTAAAGGATATATATTGTGGCTCTATATTTTGTATATTACACATAAATAGCATGTTGTATTGAGCCATAACTTGCGCCAAAGTATGACCAATGCTCCTAAGTGTGATCTGCCCTACATTTTTTGAGGCATGTCCTAAAATTTAGAGTTTGGCTAAGAGTTCATTTTGATCTTTGCCCAGCTATTTTTGGTGTGGTCTTTTTTTATGAGATCCACTGACCAGTTCTAGATGATCTGATCTGCAGAAGGAAATAGGCTTTTTGTAAATTGACTGTTTCCATTACACTTAACCAACTTTATTCCATAAACAGATTGAGGAGCTTACAAGCAACCTCCCTCAGCTCCAGTCACTCTCCAATAGTACCTCATCTGTGGACAGTGTTGTCAGTTCTGAGACAGCCAGTCCACCATCCAAGCGTAAAGTGGTCACCAAAGTCCAAGGGAATGCAAAGAAGGCTTTGCTAAAATGGGTGCAGTACACAGCAGCAAAGTGAGTAATCTGTAGATTGATATTAGCTAAATAATGTGGTAATAATTTATGGCACCTGCAAATTAAGAAGGTTTTTGCCAGAGAGATCAATAAAAATTGAAAAGGAAATTGTCTTCTGTCAGAATGGCTGTAAGAGGCAATACATTGTCAAAACACTTAAAATTCTTTTCCCAGCTTGAAATCATGAGCAGAGCAATTCAGTGCTATCAGATTTTGTACCATACTTCACTAATTGAATTTTCCTTCACTTTGCCAATGTATCCTCCCAACTTGGCCAGTGATTGAATATAACATTCTCTTTGTAAACATCTAAGTAATTTTATAATGCCAACTTTAATTTCATATTTGCACATAAAGAAAAATATGTGTATTTCTGTATCTTCGATTTTAAGCTTTTAGAACGCAATGGAAAGAAACCTTTGGCCTACAGTTTGTGGCACTGTATTTGTTTAGTCTTAACTGAAGCCAGAAGAGTGTGGGATATAGAAGGCATCAGAGGAAGATGAGAAGACAGAGAAACTTAGATGAAAGCAAGCAACTGGAGCAGTGTATAGCAACAGCTTTCAGCTGTTTGAATCTCTTAACAACATTCATCAATAACATATGTAATCAGACTATTAACCAATTTGTGTCTGCTTGGAATAGCTTGAACAACCTACAGTTCAACTGCCTGTGATTATGGCAGTGCTGGTGTACTATCCATCTAGTCAGTTTGGGCAGTTGCTATCTGACAGCCAGAATGGATTGGCCAAGAGAGAGTGTGTGTTTTTCTAGATAGTTTCACCAGTGCAGAGTGTGGCGTTATGTTGCTTGCAGCTTCTTCGCCACCTTCTGAGTATATAACCAGGATAGGATATGACCTTGATAAATTAGATAACTCTGCCATAAATAATGAAATGAAACTGAGCAGGAGACAGCAATATCATGTCATTGCAGCAGAGGGCAAATACTGTTCTGGGATGTACTGATGGAAACATAGTATGTATGAGACAGACACCAATCCTTCAGTTTTTCAAGGACAACTGCAGTGCATGCTCTCTGTTCCCTTTCTTGTTTATTCTTCTGCCTTGTAAAGAACTCTCCCAACTTCCCCATTACTGTTGTGGACTTCAAGGCTATTATCTAGAAGTTAACTGTTTTATAGGCAGAATTAACAAAGTCTGCTGGGGTCCATCATTCAGTCTGCCCCCGCACACTTATTTAGTCATACATAAATGAGAGCTTGCATGAATACGAGTTGAAAAGAATGACTGGGCTGTTTTATGTAAAATCAGGAACAGCAACTATAGTTAATTCAACTGAAAAGTAAGTTCTGTTCCAGGCATTGCAAAAATTGTAACCTAAACCCAGGTTAATGATATAAGTGAAGATAAAGATTGGGGGTCAGAACAGGTTGTTACAAAGTGATTTCTTCTTGTTGTGAAGGCAAGCTGGAATTGAAGTCAAGGATTTTGGACGAAGCTGGAGGAGTGGTGTTGCCTTTCATTCAGTTATTCATGCCATCCGTCCAGAGCTAGTGGACTTGGAGAGGTTGAAAACAAGATCTAACAAGGAAAATTTGGAAGAGGCATTTACAATTGCAGAGTCAGAATTAGGAATTCCAAGACTTCTTGATCCTGAAGGTATCATATCATTGAATTTAACCACTGTTGAACTGTAACCCTAGCCTCATTTTAGTTTTGTTTTTGGGAGGGAGTTCTTTTTAAAATAGTTTTGTATGTGTGATATTTTAATTTTGCGTGATTGAGGGCAGTGTATGTCCCAACATTTTATACAGTTCAGCTTTGTGTTAATTTACTGTCTTCCTCATTCTTTTCAGATGTGGATGTGGATAAGCCAGATGAGAAATCAGTGATGACCTATGTAGCACAATTCCTGAAACACCTCCCAGATCCTCATAATGCAGCCGGTGATGCACAGGAGATGGATGTATGTTCTTAATTCTATTTTACATAGACTGCACAACTTTTACACAATATGTGCAATGTGGACAATATTTTACATAGACATTGATTCTGTATTCTCTCTGTTTGTCAAAGCACAATAGGGGTCTAAAGAAGCTAGGAATAGTTTGAGTTGAGGGCTGTTGAGAGAAGATGATTAAGTACAATTTAGGGGGAATAAATGTTAGCATTTTTTGTTTCCTATTAACTATTAAGCTATATGCAGCCCAATCCTGTCCATTTTTACTCAGAAGTAAGTCTAATATAGCTCAATAGTGTTTACTCCTCTCTAAGTGTGTGTAGGATTGCAATGTAAGGAACAATATATAAGTAAAGAATGCAAAATTTATTACAGTGCAAATAATTGACATGGGGATACACATTCATCTGTCCTTTCTAATTCACTTGGATTGTTGACTTTAGAAAATTTGTTTCTGTTCTGTATTTCTTTCCTGTTGAACTGGCCTAACTGTAGTATATTTTGTCAGCAAACAATCTTTCATTTGGCTTTTCATCCTGATCATACCATCTTTTGTTTGGCAAGGGCTAGTAGTGCCACTACTGAGACAATCTGTTCAGCTTCTCACCAGCAGCAGGACAGAGAAAATGCATCTGGTGCTTCTCAGCAATAACCCATGAGTTTTGTGGCTGAAGTGTGTAGACTTTCTGCCCTTTCCAGCCCAGCTCTCAGCAGTGACGGTGAATCATTCAATGTAAAGGGATAATGCAAAGCGTTTTCTTTGCAGCTCACACATATATATTTAAATATTTATGCCCCCTCAGGATATAAATAAGAAGAGAAAAATAACATTGTTATTTACATCTTGTTAGATCAGTGCCATATCTAGGGAAGCAGTTCATAGCATAGCTTTCGCGTGCTTCTAATAAGAACTATTTGCTATTGGACTTCAGGGGCAGCTGGGGCATTGATTTCACTAGATGCAAAAGGTAGGAGCTGGGGCTAGTCTGGTGCAATTATTGGCTGAATCAGTGTTGCTAAATTCATTGGAGGCAGGGTCCATTGCAGTCCTATAGTACAGCTCTCTATCTTAGTATTTGAGCCTTGGCAACTGCCTTTTAAAATACACTGCCATGTCTTCTATGTAGAAGATGGATGTGGTGTAAGAGGCCTTTTATCAAAAGAACAAGACCATAAAATTCAGAATGTATTGCGCCTCCAGCTTTTTGAATAGGAAATGGAGATTACTTACTAGACAAATATGTATTGATACAAATCATTGCTAAAATAAGTCACTCAGTTTTTGCTGAAAATCACCAGGAAAATTGCATTTCCTTTGGGTTTCTGTGTTTTCCCTGTTGTCATCTCATCTTTCTTCCAGTGCTGATTTGTCCGTAGTTGCAGTGCAGTGCATTCAGGCATAACACAGAATATAGCACTGTTGGCTCATTTAGTGTGGAGCAGTGGTTTGTGATATGGTTGGTGGTCACATATTTTTCTATTTCTGCAGCACTAGCAAAGCTCACCCTGCCCCCTTTTGCCACATATATGTGCATATACCCACTCATGCATGCATGCACACTAACAAGGAGTTTCCCTATCAGTGCCACCTATGGAGAAACCTGGTACAGGGCTTGTCAATTTCACCAGGCTTCTCCCAGGAAAATCCTTGTCTATCGGGGTGTGTGTGTGTCTATCAGGCTCTGTGTATACTCCCCTCTTCTCAGCGCTTATTGCATTTTCTATTTGGCACAGAGGCAGCTGGAAGGGTCTTGTGCCACTCACTTTGTCTCCCACCAGTAGCATCCCTGCACTTACTGGGAGTGAGAGGGTTATGGTGGTGGGCAGGTTGGCAGCTGGATCAGCTGATTGGTTCTGCTGCTGGACCTATGAACCTCCCCTTCCTGGTAAGTTCAGAAATGATGATGATGAGAGACCAGGTGCCTCCAACTTGTCGCCCCACTTGGGAACACCATTCCATGGTGTTCTTTGCCTCCATTCCTTCCAGTGAAAGAAACTATAACTGGTGGCTTGGATGATGAGATAACCCTTGAGATAGTGGTGTAGCAGCTGACTTCTCCCCATTGATGTTAGGCAGAGAAAGCAGTAAGCAGGCAAAGTGGAAAAGAAGGGAGGTTACTATGATCACGACCCCCTTCTTGCCCTTCTCTTATGTGTTGCACCTTACATGGGAACTAGAGAAAATACAATAGAAGTGTAAATCTCTCCCCCACCAGCTTTTTTGGTTTTTCATCTAGAATAGGCTTCGTCAACCTCAGCCCTCCAGATGTTTTTTGGCCTACAACTCCCATGATCCCTAGCTAGCAGGACCAGTGGTCAGGGATGATGGGAATTGTAGTCTCAAAATATCTGGAGGGCTGAGGTTGACGAAGCCTGATCTAGAAGCAACTCTACTCCACTGACCCCCAAAAACATGTAGGCTGCACTGTGCAAGAGCAGCAAACAGAAATGCAGCCCTCCCTATGGAACAGCCAGACAGAAGACCTCTGCTGTTTCTGCCCAGCTGTGTCAAATGATCTTGCTCTTAGTGCTACTTGTGGTTTATCAGGTTTACAGGTTGCCACCCATGCACTATAAGGCTGGGTTCCCTTTCTCCATCCCATAATATGAAAAAAAACAGGAATTGAAAAATTATCAGAACAGGCATATTGTTTCTTTTTAAAAGATATTAAACATTTTTAATTTATTTATTTTTTAAATTGAAGACACATTCAGTGAATGCCATTAAACAGAAGTGTTGAGAAGAAAGGGGAATACAGAATACAAGGGGAAGAAATAATGCAACCAGTTTGAACAAAAAGCAGAACACAATCAACTCAGGTGGATAACCCAGGCATTGACAATGCAATAACCAGAGGTAGATGAAAGGGGAGAAATGCCATCGGTAAAGTAGAAAGGAGCCAAATAATTATTTATTACTATCCCAGAAATAAGTGTTTATAGCAGTCAAGTAATTTGCTGGATTTCCTGCTACAAGGCCAGGAAGCATGATAGACCTATTCACTAGATCACTCGTCACATGAATCTTATCATTAAGTGATTACAAAAATCACTTGTGACTGTGACTGTCTGACTTTATGTGCCTCTGTTGTACTGTTTTGTCCCACAGATGCTACTTAATGCTTTTAATCTAACATTTTCATACTATTTTGTGTGATCACTATTTTACTTCTCTTTTCATTGGCTAGCAGTTCATTAGTTTTCACAGAGGTTTCTTTCATGCAATTACACTAAAGATTGTTCAGAGATTTTCTGTTAGTTGGTATGACTACTGATGTGAAGTCTCAAAAAGTTGTGCTGATTGGTACTTAACCATTTCTACCTGTAAAATTGTTTATCGTTGGTATTCACATGTGCCTTAAAGCATAAGAACTAAACAGTGCTCTCCCTACTTCCCAAATTGTGTTAGGATGAGGTTAGCAAAGGTGCAACCACACACACTAATTTAGTGTAAATCCAAATATAGTGAGGGTTCAGTACTAGGGACATTCAATCAACCCTTGTCTTGCCTAGAAGGGAAGGCATCTCATGTCTCAGGAGCCTATTTCTCCCTAGAACTTTGTGCCCACCTCTCATCTGCTTTACGGCTACTGAGAAACATATCTACAGTTGGGAACTGTAGAGATAAGTTATAATATTTGATCAACAAGGAGCCAAGACTCAAAGTCTTCTCTCTTCCAAGAGGTCTGGACCTGAAGATTTAGCAACTTCCTGTGCATTGAAGAATAATGTACATACATTTTTCAATGTACTTCTCTCTTCTTTCTTTCTTTTTTCTGTGTTTATTTATTTATTTGCCTTTCTCTGCTCCCGCTATCCATTTTTCTTCATATCGCTAGAAGCCACTTCAAGCAATTTCATCTTTTGTTATTTCTAAACCTAAATACAAGGTAAGGTTTAAACATGGTGAATTAAACTGACTCACCAGTTTATATTATTTATCATTATGTATGTAAACCACTTGATCATCAAAAACCTATAGTTGGCATTGCTAGATATTAACTAGCATGTTTGTGGGGGGGGTCTTCACCTTTTATCTTTAGACACTATATTTAACTGATCATCCTTATATAACAGATGGTTAATTAAACATTTTATAACATACTTTCTATGTCATCTAAAGTTACATATACTAGCCAGTTTAATGTAGCAAATAATAACAAAATACTCTTCAAGGCAAAACTGTGTAAGGGAACATTTCAATAGTCCCCAGGTGCTGACAAAGCTGACAACCAGCTCTTGTCAACAAAAGTCAAACATTCAACACTTTGCAGCCAGTCTTAGTCCAGTATCAGGAAAGTATTGCATTCAGAGGCAGCTGCTAGATGTGAAAATTTGGCCAAATAAGGGATGCAGAATCTGCATGCAAAAACTTGTTTCTGTGCACTAGTCTCCTTTGCCAGGTTAACTTTTGAAGTGGCTCACAACATGAAAAGAAAAATCAACGATAAAATAATATAACTAAAGAGCATAAAATATAATTGTGAAATAAAAAACCCCACAGATTTAAAACAGCCAGGTCACTAAAAATAGTTTAAAAAATGCAAAGTAGAACAATATCCATACAATTGGATACACATCTGGCTTGTTCCATATCTTAGTGGATAGATTAATGTACATATTTTGTCACGCCACCCAATTTCTGAGCAGTGTGAAGTTCCAGGGATTCCAGGTGCTTACCCTGGGTCTGTATTTCCTTTGGAATGAGATATAGTGGAGACTGTGGAGTCTTTATGATATAAGGTTTATTTACACATATATACAACCTGAGTCTACAATGGAGGGGTTCACAGCATTAACACTCCAAAAGGGCCTTGCTTCTTTCATAGCCACAGCCTTGGATTCCAGCAGAAATCATGCATGGCTGTGTCTTTCTGGCTTCCCAGCTTGCTTCCAGCTTCTGGCTCACATAACACAAACTCTTAACTCTGGCCTTTGTCTTTCTAACTACCAGACAGTTGAGGGAGGAGGGCCAACCCATTTTCTGTCTGGCACAGAACCACTTCCTTTGTTACCTTAAGTAACCATACATAGGCCATTACCTCACCAGGAACTTCAGACCTTGTGCAAGTATAGCATATACTCTGCTAGCTCAACTTGAAATAATATTTCTATTTGGACTCTGGGGATGTGTAAACGTATCAGACTAATTGCCTGCTTTCTGTGAGAGGACTTCTCATGGGCATCTGGTTGTTGACTGTGGCAACAGAGTGTTGTAGTAGGTGGGCCTTTGGCCTGATCCAGCAAAGTTCTTCTTATGTTCTTACCTCTTGCACCTTTCTCACTACCACTCCAAAAACAGCAGCCATGGGACAGAGGTTGGAGCCTTTCCCCCTGTGTTGTTGCCCTTGACAGAGTTGCTGTTAGGCAGGAGCGGAAAACTTGCTTTGAAAGGACAATTCACATCAAGGGGTCAGCACAGTGGGAAAGGGGTAAACCTCCCTCCCAAAGGCCACCCACATGTCTGCTACTGCTTTTATCAGAAAAATGAAGAGGGGAAAGGATGTCTGGTCTGGAGATGTGTTTGCACTTTTGCAAACTTTTTGTCTAGTTTGTTCTTTGCATTTTAATAGTGATGCTATATAGAATATTCAGCAAATCTTCAGAAAGCTATTCACTTTTCTTTATACAAAGCTAAAACACAACATTTTGAGAGCCAAATCCTGTTAAGTTGGCTTTTTTATTTTTACATGGTGATGGCCAATGTTAGTCATGCTCAGAACTGACTTCTGTAGTAACTTAGCAGTTCAAAAGCATGTCAAAGTGCAAGTAGATAAATAGGTACCACTCCGGCGGGAAGGTAAACGGTGTTTCCGTGCGCTGTTCTGGTTCACAAGATGCGGCTTAGTCATGCTGGCCACATGACCCGGAAGCTGTACGCCAGCTCCCTCAGCCAATAAAGTGAGATGAGCACTGCAACCCCAGAGTCAGTCACGACTGGACCTAATAGTCAGGGGTCCCTTTACCTTTACCTAAGTTCATTAAGTTTAGTAGGTCTCCTAGTTGGATATCACCATGAGAAATGACTTTATTTTCCAAAACAACGTTGCCCTACATCCTGATGTTCAAGCATATGGTAAATTTGTGTGTGTGTGTGTATGTGTGTGTGTGTGTGTGTGTAAAGAAATAACTTTTAAAAAGTTATAACATTTTAATCCTGCTCTTCCAAAGAGTTCCCATATTCCATGATAACTATTTTCCACTTTCTTTGAAAATAAGAAGGTTAGGTTAGGATGAAATGGTGATTGCCCCAGTGATACCCAGTAGTTTTGTAGTGGTGTAGAGATAGGAATCCAACTTTCCATTATCAAAGCCCAATATGCTAACTGCTACACTGCTGTCTCTCCTTTAATGTTATGGGGTGAGTGTGAGTGGGTGCAAAAAAGTTACTCATAGTGCTCAAAGTGGAAAGGAAAAAGGCAATGGGTGGTTTCAGATCCCATTAGCTTCAATTACATCAGTAACAAAGACGTAGGATAGATTGAGGCCTGCCTCAACACAAATGACAACAAATGGAACCTGATTAAGCTTGCCATGGCATGACCATTTTCAACTTGCAGTAATATGGAGGCAGGTAGTACTAGTAGCACTATAAGAGGCCCATCTGTATTGGCAGTCTGCTGGCTTTTGAATACACACTTGTTTACACAGGTATTCCCCTGATTTCCGGTCCTTGGTGTCCTATCTTTTAATTGCTGTATGTACTGTTTTATGGTATATTTTAACTATAGATCTAGTTTAATGGCTTTATGTGTTTTTATTTTTTGTAAACCACTTAGAAACCTATTCTGCCCTGAAGCAATATATAGATTAATAAATAATCCTACCCCATCTCACTTTGATCACCAGCTCATCCTACAATTTCAACACTTGCTGAAAACCCATTTATTTTCTGAGGCCTTTATTGGTGACTAATACTAGCTGACTTCTTTTAATACTAGCTGCTTTCTTTCTGTTAACCTAGTGGCTGCTATTTTACTCTGAATTGTAACTGTATTGTAGTTGTGCTCCCCCCCCCTTTTTTCTTTTTTTGAATACCACCTTGTTATTGTGTAACAAGGTATGTAACACGCTGAAGTTGGAAGCAGCCATGGGTGACATCAAATATCCTGATTCCCAGAAAAAAGATAGGCCAGTAAATGCCACATTGTGCACCACAAGTATCTGTGCTACTTCCTAGATGTGTCTATGTTGCATCCATTTCTGGTCTTTTGGATTAATGCATTTGTTCCTGTTTAAACATTTCCCTAGGTGCCAAATAGCAAATGGGGTTGTTGTTTTTTAATGGTACAGTTCTGTCTCAATAACACCTTAATCTGTTGAAGATATAAATTCAAATATTTGCTTAGATTGAATTCAGTTTGTTAAACAGCAGTATGGTGTTAGGAATATAGGTTGTTAAACCTTTTTACCCAATTCAGTTGCACACAGCAGCTGACCTCTTTCAGCCCCTCTTGCAATAAGCAGACCACACAAAGTTAAGTAAGTTAAAAATGTTTTACTTACAGATTTTATGTCTCAATCCTCCATTGTTCCATGCAGCAGCAAGGATAATACAGGCAAAATATAGAATATAATTCCAAACATGTGCTGTAAGCTCAGAAGCAAGCTTACACACATCCTCCTTAGTTGGTTACATGATCCAGCAAGAGAGATAGGAAGGAAGGAAGATGAAATAAGCTTCGCTTCATCTCCAGAGGAGAGGGGGCATGACCTAACTGAGCATAGGAATCAACTCCAGTCTTAACCCCTTCATGCACTAACTAGCACTGTGCTTGCTAGTTATGTTTGACTGCAACCCCTCACAGGAACATCATTTCCATCTATCAATTGGTCATGTGTCTGGGGCTGATGGAAGTTGGAGTTCAAAATCATCTGAAGGGCAATGGGTTCCCAATCCCCAGTCTCAAGTTTGCTTTCATGGCCATGCAGTCCCCTAGAGTCCCATTGCATTATCCCTATTTGAGTGTTCATACTGCACATGGTAGTAATCAAATGAGGGGAAGAGCAGAACACTGTTCACTATCCCCACCCCTGCTGTCACATCCTTAAGTGTCCCTGCCACTGTGTGTGTAAATCTGACATAAGAGGAAAGAGTGTAGTTCAGTGGTAGAGAATCTGCTTTGAATGCAGAAGGTTCCAGGTTCAAACCAGTCACATCTAGGTAGGAGTGGGAATGGCCCCTGCCTGTAACCCTGGCAAATCACTGCCAGTCAGTGCAAATAATACTGACCTAGAAGTACCAATAGTCTGACTCAGTGTAAGGCAGCTTTTCTGTTCCTCGGGTGGGGACAGTGAGTGCAGTGCAGTGAGTGTCTCATGAGGTCTGAATACCAGAATAGGGCTCCTGTAATCGAACTCAATGGTGCTGCATCAAGGTGAAAGCAAATGGCTTACACAATGACTATCGCATGATTTTTGAGAATGCCCAAACATGAAGATACGCCATTATCATTATTATTATTATTAATACCCTGCCCATCTGGCTTGGCCTCCCCAGCCACTCTGGGCAGCTTCCAACAGGATTTTTAAAAACTCAATTAAAGTTCAAACATTAAAAACTTCCCTAAACAGGGTTGCCTTCATATGTCTTCTAAAAGTCAGATAGTTGTTTATTTCCTTGACATCTGGTGGGAGGGCCTTCCACAGGGCGGGCACCACTACCGAGAAGGCCCTCTCCCTGGTTCCCTGTAACCTCACTTCTCTCAGTGAGGGAACTGCCAGAAGGCCCTTGGCACTGGACCTCAGTGTCCGGGCAGAACGATGGGGGTGGAGACGCTCATTCAGGTATACTGGGCCAAGGCCATTTAGGGCTTTAAAGGTCAGCACCAATGCTTTCAATAGTGCTCGGAAACGTACTGGGAGCCAATATAGGTCTTTCAGGACAAGCGTTATATGGTCTCGGCAGCCACTCCCAGTCACCAGTCTAGCTGCTGCATTCTGGATTAATTGTAGTTTCTGGGTCACCTTCAAAGGTAGCCCCATGTAGAGCGCATTGCAGTAGTCCAAGCGGGAGACTACTGCACCACTCCGGCGAGACATTCTGCGGGTAGGTAGGGTTTCAGCCTGCGTACCAGATGGAGCTGGTAGACAGCTGTCCTGGACACGTATGCTATGAGGAAACAAAGAAATTATTTGTATGCCACCCCATATCTGTAGATCTGAGGGCAGTTCACAGCATAAAATTAGAGCAAAAGCTGTACACATACTTGGAAAATGTGAAACTGGTTTTGCATGATAACACAATTTATAGCACACACAGTCTTACATCTTAAACAAGATGTGGTTTTCATTTGGCCTATTTATTTTTGCCTGTCACAGAGAGAGGACAGACTAATGCTAAGAGACCTGAAAATATGGGTAGAACAATTTGAAAGAGACTTGACAAGAGCACAAATGGTGGAAGCAAGCTTGCAGGAGAAGTACCAGGTAAGAATGGGGAGGTTTTCTGTTGCAAAATTAAACATTTGATTTTAAGAAATAGTGATTCCTTGAAGCAAGTGTTATGCGTGTGGCTAGCTTACGCTAGCCAAACTTTCACAATGCTCCCTTGATGTGAGTTTGTTGGGGGGAGAAGAGGGCATTTCAGACTTAGTTAAAATGAAGAAAGCCTTTCATATGACAGGTAGACAGACACACATTCTCAAGCTTACATGTGATCTAATCCCACCACATATGTGACCAAAACTCCAAGATTAATTTCAGATTTAGCCAGCATAGTGCAAAAGCACACTTCAAATATATAATCAAGAAACTGTGAAGAACTGGAGACCTCCAAATGTACTACAGCACCTCAGTGTAGAACAAGCCCTCAACACTGTCTCTGCAGGACTGGTTTCAGGTCTGAGGTGCTCCTTGGCAGAGAGCCCTGTAGTGGATCTCTTCCTCTGTTTATAGATGCTGCCGGGCTTGGAACTTGGAGGCAGTAACAGTGCTTCAAGCAGGCAGGCAGCTGAGCCAAAGTCCTGTTGTTGTTGTTGTTGTTGTTGTTGTTGTTGTTGTTGTTGTTGTTGTTGTTGTTGTCTGATTACAAAACTGATTTAAAACTAAAGCAGAACAAAAGCTAAAAATGTTCATATACATAAAAGGCAGCATAATACATCCCATCCACTAAAGGAGGGCACAGTATCTAAAACTTTCCAAGTTAAAGCCTGGCTGAAAGTAAATGCTTTTGTCTGGCACAATAGGTCCAAACCAGCACTTTAAATTTAGCCCAGAAGCTAGCTTCTGCTTAGAGCTTTCAGATTGGGGAAAGGTATCCCTGGGGCCCCAGAATGCTGGTATCATAACAGATGCACAAGGGTGCTGGGTGGTGGTGCTGTCCACATACCCCTGCTTCCTCCAGATAACTCAAATAGCTTTCCAGAGGCAGTAGGAATGACAGAGACAATTTGATTAGCAGTGGATGCTATTACAAATGCATGGTTTGTCCAGTATTACAGATCACAGAATGTAGATGTGGAAGGGAGCATGAGGGTCATATAGTCCAACCCCCCCACTTGCAGGGATCTTTCACCCATGACCCTGAGATTAAGAGGCTCATGCTCTACTGACTGAGCTATCCCTCATCTCATTAATTTCTTGAGTGTTCTGCTTCCCATCCTATATGGGTCAGAAGAATATTGGGTCCTTGCCATGTCTTATGTCTGCTTTTCTATTTTGGCTTGGGAGGAACTTTATTTGTTCTTTTGCCAATATTTCTTTTATCCTTGCTCTCTTGTTTTCCTTGCAGTCCTTTAAACATTTCAGAGTACAGTATGAAATAAAGAGGAAACAGATTGAATCTGCAATACAGTCTCTAAGGAAAGATGGCAAACTGTCTCTTGATCAAGCTCTGGTGAAGCAAGCATGGGACAGAGTTACTTCCCGGGTAAGTTTTCAAAAAATATTGTTGCACACATCCCAGTCTCTGAGCAGTGAGATACTCCAGGGGTACCACCACTTACACTGTGTTTGCTTTCTTAGAATGAAGGTAAATGGAGGCTGTGGTCTCTTTAGGATCAACACTCCACAAGTCTTGCCTCCCAATAAGGTTCACAAGCCATAGCACTGGGTTTAGCACAGAGCAAGACAAGTCTCTGTGTTCCAAGCTTCCAGCATGAGCCAAAATTCTCTCTCACACATAGTCACCCTTGGCCTGATATTCCCCATCCAAGGTTGAGTGGCAATCAACCAGGTAAGCGGGGTAGGTGCGAAGGCCTACCTCTTATTGGACAGCACCACCATTTAGTGAAAATCTCACTTGAATAAGAGAGATTCATTCTCTCTCTCTCTCTCTCTCCTCTCTCTCTCTCTCTCTCTCCCCCACCCACCCACACCCCAGTATTTTCCTCCCTTCTGTGGCCCTAAAATCTACTCTATGTTCCCCACAGGTAGCTACTAGGCAGCTATGCAACTATACTGTTTAGAAGACATAGCAATGTTCATGTCCATTGCTCACTGCTTCTTCTGGTTATACAACCCATACACAAAAAGGCACAGTCACTGGCCATATTCCAGAGTGTTGCATTCTAGGATCCTACCTGCCTATTGTTCTAGGATCCAAGCTTAGTACATAACAGGTATAGAAGTTTTCGTGCAGAAGGAAAGATGGTACAGTTCAGGAACTGGAAATGCTGATAGGAGCAGAGTGGTGTGTATCACAGTATAGGTACTTCAAGTTTCTTACTAGATTGATTTATATATTTTTTCCCTGAAAATTTTGTTATTGTATGGCAACACTAGCCACTTGTCTGAAATCTCAGTTTAATGCAACTGTCAGCTTATCCATAAAGAATTTTTTAATATACTTACACCTCTGCTTGTTGTGGAGGAGCCAAACCATATGGTTAGCATTGTGTTCACAACATCATTATTTATCAATATTTTCATGTGTATCTGGGGTTTTTGAATCAAATACGTTACATCCCCCCACATCCCTGAATAATACCCCCAGACTATACATGCTGATGCTACTAACAGTCTTAATGTTTGTACATTATTTTCCAGATATTTGAATGGCACCTGCACCTTGATAAATCTCTCCCTGCTCCTCTGGGTACTATTGGAGCCTGGCTTCATCGTGCAGAGGCTTCTCTTACGGAAGAAATCATCAGTCAACAAGCTCATGAGGAAACAGCAAACATCATAAACAGAAAGCTTGGACAGCAAAAGGTTTGTAGTGTGATTCTTCATAACAGTTATATTAAAACGATCACATTTTGCTAAAACACAGTGTAGGATGATATTTTGATAACATGAGCAGCATTAGGTTCTTTTGTCAAAAACTAAGTAAAAAGAAGGAGGCTGAAATAGCTTGGTATTCTTCACGACAGGAGAAAAAAGATCCTACTTGTTAAAAAGAAGGGTGTGCATTTCCTTTACTGTTTTCAGCTTTTGCTATCATGTTTTCTGAATGGAGGCCCAAATATGTTATGCTAGTTTTGCTACATTCTTTGAAATAAAAAGAGAGTCCTGAATGAAACATTGCTTTCATGAGCGATATGTTAGCAGCCTAGGTTAAATGAACACTTGGCCAGCTTTCTCTGTTCTCTCTAACTTCATCCATTCTCTTGCTTTGTTTATATCCCTATTAATAAATGCATATCTTAAGTGCTTAAGCACAAAACTAAGGAACACAAGCATAAGTGGGCAAAAAATAGGGCAATTTCAAGGAGGAATAAGTTTCCAAAGGTTTTGGAAACCACCTGCCAACCAAGTGATAGTTTCGTAACTTCATTCTGCCTTTTTGGTAGAGGGGAGGGGCTTGACTGTGGAGCTTTAACCACTATCATTTCACCCCAGAATGGCGCCATGACAAGAGCATTTAAGAAGAAAGGGCAGCAGCTGGAATATGGTTTCTGTCAGAGCAGAGATCTTTCCTGACCTTGATGAAAAAGCCAAAGTGCAGAATGGGGCACCAGTCAAAACAGAAAGGGAGGCCTGCAGAGTCTCAGAAGCAAACTGCATATTTTCCGGGGCTATGGCAGGCTCCAGGGGGAGGGAATATTCAGTGAAAATTGCCTGCTCCCCTGTTCTGCCACTGGGATTCCTTTGCTGGATCTGTTGACAGAAGAATCCCTTCCATTTGTGGGAGGTGAAGGCTGGTTCCATTCAACCAAATGAAATATGTTTTAATTTAAAAAAGTGCACCCCATTTTCTCTTTGGTATTGAAACAATATTAGTGATATTAAATAAATGCCATTACGTATTTACTCCTATGCAATTTTAAGCGGGCTTTCTACAAAGGTCTTCTAATTGTTTGATCTTAATGATTTATTTTCTTATTCTTTTTGTTATTAAAATGTGCGGCATCTCTTTGCAGAGTTGTAAGAAAAAAATTCTTCTTTGTTATGACATAAGTTAATATTTAGTTAATTGGTTTTCTCATTCTGAATTGCGATGGGAAGATCTGAAATGGGGAATTTAGACATGGGATTAAATGTGTCCTTCTTAAAATCAGATTAATTTGGGGCATCTGGTGGATGCCCTCTAAATCAATCTAGCTTAATAGGTCCCATTCCAAATTAAAGATTGGAAGATGTCTCCCAGTGCCTTTAATAGACTACTTTAACTGCACTAATGTGACTAACAATGAAATCCTATACATGTCTATTCAGAAGAATGTCCAGTTGAGTTCAGTAGGACTTGGTGGATTCCTGCCTTAAATTTATTTAAATGTACATCATTGCATGTGTTAGGAGGCCATCAGCATAGGTCTTAATGATGCCTGCCTGGCTGTGACCATGAGCAGCTTGTAGATAGGAGCATCTGGGAAGGAGAGGAATGACTTGATGCCTATATAGGAAATATCCAGAGCCCTCCAGTTGCAAATAATGACTGGTACTTTGCATGTATGCTGCCTGCATGCAGTTTAGGGCAAGCCAGGAGGGAATGTATAATTCTCAAATTATTTTTAATGCTCCTGATTGCAAGCTTTACCTCATAGAATCATAGAGTTGGTAGGGACCCTGAGGATCATCTAGTCCAACCCCTGCAATGCAGGAATATGCAACTGTCCCTTAGGGGGCTCAAACCTGCAACCTTGGCATTGTCAGCACTAACCAACTGAGCTATCCACCTCCTCACAGTGTTTCATTTAAATTTCATAACTTTCAGTTGATGGATCATGTTTTTAAAGAAATGTTTTACAATTATAAATACTTCCCAAAATTATTATATCTGCAACTTTATAGTGTTTGGAATGCTTCTTTATCAACAGCTGTAGCTCCTTGAAAATGTCATTCAGGCACTTATAATGCATTACATTTTGTTGTTTTTGTTGTCTTCAAATGTTGCATTTTTCAAGAATTGCTCTCCACCTAGGGATGTACGAACATGCCTCAATCCTTTCCAATATTCTTTTGCACATTCATCTGGCATTTTTTGTTCTGCTGCAATTGTTTTTATGTTCCACAAGCCAATGTTCAGTTTCATTGTCACCTCATGTCAGTTTGCCTAGCGCACCTAATGAGTTCCGTCAGCAAGCTCCTTTCACCCCTCTCTTCCACTGTCACTGGCATCCCTGAAATTGGCCCACAGGGAGTTGGAGAAGCCCCAGAACAGGGGGAGGAGAGGGGGGATCATTCTACCTGACAAGCTGCACTGCTTGTGCTGATGGGACATTCACCATAGTGTGACATTGAAATCCATCCTGATATCTCAATTCCAGTCCCATACTTATTCAATAAAATAAAATAAGACAATAGGATAAGATAATATAAAATTAATTTGTGTTTTGTCTGCATCTAAGTCTTACTAAGGGATGTGGGTAGCGCTGTGGTCGATCTAAACCACAGAGCCTAGGACTTGCTGATCAGAAGGTCGGCGGTTCGAATCCCCGCGACGGGGTGAACGCCTGTTGCTCGGTCCCAGCTGCTGCCGACCTAGCAGTTCAAAAGCATGTCAGAGTGCAAGGAGATAAATAGGTACCACTCCAGCGGGAAGGTAAACGGCGTTTCTGTGGGCTGCTCTGGTTTCGCCAGAAGCCACTTAGTCATGCTGGCCACATGACCCGGAAAAACTGTCTGCGGACAAACGTCGGCTCCCTCAGCCAGTAAAGCGAGATGAGTGCCGCAACCCCAGAGTCGTTTGCGACTGGACTTAACTGTCAGGAGTCTCTTACCATTTATTTTTTTAACTCTTACTAGTTCCTTGGGCAGTACCACTGCCCTTTTAACGATTTAGGCTCTAGTTTTTTGGGTTAGGTTTGCATTTAATTTGCAGCTGTGTTCTGTTTCTTGCGCCTGTCTTTATTAGTACTTTGTTGTGTATTTGTTGGTGTGGGTGTGAGAGAGCTAATTGTGAGTACACTGTACACAGCCCAGCGCATTGTACAGTTGTACAAGTACAGTGGTACCTCAGGTTACAGACGCTTCAGGTTACAGATGCTTCAGGTTACAGACTCTGCTAACCCAGAAATAGTACCTCGGGTTAAGAACTTTGCTTCAGGATGAGAACAGAAATCATGCGGTGGCGCGGCCGCAGTGGGAGGCCCATTAGCTAAAGTGGTATCTCAGGTTAAGAACAGTTTCAGGTTAAGAACGGACCTCCAGAATGAATTAAGTTCTTAACCCGAGGTACCACTGTAGCTGTGTTAGTACACAGTGAGTATGTAAACTAAAAAGCATCTCTGAAGCATCAGTTCAGTAGCCATTGTGCCACAATAGGCAGAAGTGGCAGAGCTGTTGGCAGTAGCAGCAGCACCTGTCAGGTGGTTGTGGGCAGCAGCCCATTCTGATTCCTTACTGTTGTAAATCTACTTGGATGCGTTGTTGTCTTTCAAGTTAAGGGCTGTGAAAAGCAGTATTTTGAAATAATTTTGTCACAAGAATGACAAGTGAAAAAATTGAAGTTGGCTTACTTATTTACCTATATCAACCTTTTGCTAGTCAGTTTACATAAGGGCTATGCGTCACTAAATCCTCCACACTCAGGCAGCCCAAGGACATCTTTTCATTCTGGATATTTCTTAAGTGATGATTACTAGTAATTCATTTTAATATGTAATCTCCCTTAAACCTTTGAAGTACTGTTGCTTAGATACTACAGAGAAGAGTTATTATTAAGGCTTATACTGATTTGTATTTATCAGCATGGGTTAGCGGCTTCCCCTGCTTCTAACACAGACAATACTTATTGATCAGTCTTATTTCATGTGCCAAAGTTCACTGTGCATTGAATACATAACATACTTGATGGATCTAAATCTGTAGGTTTTAAGAGGGGAAAGAATTTGTTCAGGTGCTTTGAGCAGTGCAGTAAATGTGCAGTGTTGAGATAGAGGTGGAAAATTATAGACATGAAATGTTAACAGCTGCCAACTGTTGATTTTTATCTCAACAAATGATAGATTGGTAGATAGATACCTTATGCAACATGTTCCCTTCAAGCTGTAAGTGCTTTAGGCAGTGCCTCTATTGCCTGTTTTCAAATGTGCCAGAATTATTAGGCACGGCTTTGGCTCAGTATCTCACAAGGCACTTTCCTTCTGTAGAAGCTTTTGCTGCTGTAAATGCTTTACCTCGCATATAAATGTAGCAGCGTGATCAAATGCTCTCATATACTGAGTCATCAGTGCAGGTTTTAAAAACTGTACTTATTAAAATTGCCTACGGTGAACCCTTTTTTCACCTTCTCTTTCCCTTTAAAAAAATATCCAATTTAGGATGTGCTTAAAAATGTAGATGGTTACAAAAAGACATTCCAGGAGATCCACAGAGCTCGATTTGTCAATGGAGTCCCTGTTCCACCAGAACAGCTAGATGATATGGCAGAGAGGTAAGTCATATTTCATTCTTAAATGCTGCAGTGATAAAAGGATCTGTTTGATTTACATTATTTTCAGTTAAAGTCGGTGCCTCTTAGGTTTCCAGTGGGCTTTTACTGTCTATGGAAACAACAAGTTGTTGTTGTAAACATCTTGCAAAGCCTTTTCTGGCTATTACTGATAAAAGCTTAAAATTAAATAAGCTGTGGATTTTGATCTCTCTCTCTCTCTCTCTCTCTCTCTCTCTATATATATATATATATAGTGGTTGTTTGTTGTCAGTGAACGTTAGGAAATATGTTATGTAACAACACCTTGAACATGTTTATGGGAGAAGTAGGGAAAGGATCACTTGACAATGAAAAGCATTTAGACTTCAGTCTTAAATATATTTACCTGTACTAAAAAGCAAGCTCTGTTGAATTAAATGAAATGTACTTTGATGTAAGCATGTTTAGTGCAGAGCAGTAAGTCACATTTTCTTCACTTAATAAACATAGTCATTAGTTTGCTACTAATTAGCAATATACAAAATAAAGACAATGTAAAATTAAATGTGCCTTTAGGCTTTGCATTTGCAGCCTGAAAACATAATTTTCTGCAAATTGACTGTTAACTATAGTGTGATTCATGTCTAGGTTTGAATTTGTTGCCTCTACATCTGAGCTCCATCTGCTGAAAATGGAATTCTTGGAACTGAAATACCGTCTGCTATCACTCTTGGTCCTTGCAGAATCAAAATTAAAATCATGGATTATCAAATATGGAAGAAGGGAATCTGTTGAACTACTTCTTCAAAACTATATTGTAAGCTTATCTTGATTCATTTTTGAATGCAACTTTGAAACGTAAATGAAATATATAAACCAAGAATGCAAAAATAAATAGATCTTACAGGATGGTATCAAAATGGTGCCCCTCCATTGGCGGAGCACATCCTTCAGCGGAATGAGCAGAGAAGCAACCTTTGGTAATTCCTCTTCTTCCATGCAATCCCCATGCCCCTTGAAAGCTGCTCTGGGGGCCTACCCAATCCTCCAGAACAGATTTTTGGGGAGCGTTCAGGGCAAATAAAATTGCCTCACTCCCTTTCCTGCTGATGGATAACACCAGCTGGATAACACCCACAGCTGCATGGTCTGTATGATGGCAATCTTTCTTCCTTTTTGGAAAGAAAAAGCTTCCTTCTTCTTCTTCTAGGCTAACATATTTTCCACAGAAAGGAATTACAGAATGAGTAGAGGTGAAGCCTCCCACATTGTGATGAGTCAAGGCACACACTGTGCCACATCGCCCATGTTCTTAATATATGCTCTTTTTACTAGGCAACTGTCAATCCTTTGGAAATGAACTGTTCCCTCCTAAGCAGTCACAAAGCATTCATGTTCAGCTTTCTTAGCATTTTACTTAAGAACCTGCAGTTTTGTGCTACACTGCAACTGACTCAGTTACAGAATTTGCATTTTGCCTGCAGAATGTGCCGGGTTCAAACCCTGTCATTGCCAGGTGAACTTGGTAAAGGCTACTGGCTGAAATCCTGGAAAGCCAGTCAGTAGGTAATACTGAGCTAGATGGACCAATATTCTGGCCAGTATGAGGCAGGTTTGTATTTTTGATGCACAGATTATATCAATATAATATATTCAATATAATATAATCAATATAATATATTGATATAGTATATCACTATAAAGCTGTTCCACACATAGTGTTGGATCTGGACTAAGTTACTTAGGTTCCATTGAATTCATTGGAACGATCTATTTATGACTTGAGTTCCACTGGTTTCAATGGGAACTAATTATAACTAATAGAGCAGCCCCAAGTCCCAGCTGACAACCATGGTGTAGACTAGGGTGGTGTATTGATCACTGCATCCCAAGTCTTCCTAAGGATTGCAAGACCAACAAGTCTCTATGGCTGAGATAGCAGTGGTGCAAATTTTGTTGTTTGGTTGCTTTTACGGAATCTGATCATCATAGCTTCCATTTTTAAAAGAGGTGGGAAAGCCTTCTATCCCTCAAACTTACATATATGTGTAAAAAGCAGCTTATGCTACAGTCTTAATTCAAAGCAAAATGGAGAGTGCCCTCAGTCATAGCAGTGGGACTTAACTAATCTTCAACTCATACCAGCTATTCTCATGGCCTCAGTGAACTTTTCTGATTTTAATTAAGACAATAGTCCTAGTTAGCCAATAATCATTTGGATAGTAGACATGCATTTTGAAGTGAAATGGAAAACCAAATAAGTGAGATAATATCTCTCTTTTTAAACCTATTTATTAAGCTTGTATAAATTTTTTACATAAAATGAATAAGTGCATTTTGTTATTTTATATATTCCAGAATCTGATGAGGTTGCTAATGTCAGTAATCCATTTGCCAAACTGAAACATGTCTGTGCTAAAAAAAAATGGATAGTGATGGAATCTATACATGCTATACTGACTGCAAATATGTCTGTTGTGCCAGAACACTCCATTATTACCTACATTACTGAATAGAGGAGTGTCCTGTACAATCCCACATACAAGGGAAAACTCTGGGTAGATTAGGGAATATCCTCAAGATATGCACAATTTTTAAGAAAAAAACTTCTGGGGATGGAAACTTAAGGGGGGGTACCCTAAAATAGTCCAATAATAACATGATGGCACAGTACATTAAAAGACTGGAAGGAGGTGGGGGAAACTGACAGTTGAGTGAGAGGTTGGAATAGAATGGAGTAATTGGAACAGGAGTGTGGAGAAATGTATATATATGTGGTAGGAAGAACCATCTCATTATCAGAAAAGGTCACTTCCTGTTTTACAAGAAGCTATTTTCAAATGACCCCATGAATGGGAGAGAGAGCCATCCATAGAAATTAATGGAGAAATAAAATAATTTAATACAGCTCGGGTTGGGCACAATATACCCATACCCCCCCCCCACAACCCTTTCAGAATTCTGACCTTCTGTTGGAGCACGAGACTGTTGGGTGGAGCTGTCATCCAGGTTGGGGTGCAAAGTGCTAGACTGGAGCAGTTACAAACACTGCAACATCTTGCTGAAGGGTCCCCCTTGTTTTAATTATCTATGGATTGTTGAGGTGGGAGGAGAATGACCTAGGTGGAATCTATACACATATAAAAAAACGCTGGTAAAATGCTTTGTTTTAAAATGTTTTGAAAAATACATTGAACTTTGCATCTGGTGTCGCATTTGTATGTTACACTTTACAACACATTTAAAACATTTTATTTGCAGCTGTGTAGCTGAGTCCCTAGTCTGTTCTTCAGTGCAACATATCATTTACAGTTGCTAACTGAGAGCCAGTGTGGTGTAGTGGTTAAGAGTGGTAGTCTCGTAATCTGGGGAACCGGGTTCGCGTCTCCGCTCCTCCACATGCAGCTGCTGGGTGACCTTGGGCCAGTCACACTTCTTTGAAGTCTCTCAGCCCCACACACCTCACAGAGTGTTTGTTGTGGGGGAGGAAGGGAAAGAAGAATGTTAGCCACTTTGAGACTCCTTCGGCTAGTGATAAAGCGGGATATCAAATCCAAACTCTTCTTCTTCTAACACGTGAAGTTAATAGGTTGACACTAGAAGAGCTTACTAGTAAAGTCAAGTTGCATTTTGTAGTTGCAGACAGGCCTCTCATCTCCCCAGTATTCTCTTTTCTCCATTCATTTCTGTGCAAGCCAAATCCCACTTAACTTTGAAGTAAGATCCATCAAATTCAATAGGACATTTGAATAGATATGGGGCAGTATTCAACCAACATTTTTGTGCCAATGCAACGATTAGCACTAGCACAAGTGGTTAGCCTCCGTCTCCTACTCTCGTCCCATCCCCAGATCTGCTCTGCACATTACTATAGACAGTCTTGAATTAGTTTATATAAAATATGAAGGGATTTATGTTGCGCAAAATGAAAAGAGAGGAAGGGAAGTCATTGATATTTTAAGGTTGTTTAAGTGAATATTCTAAAATGTAAAATGGAAATTTAATAAAAAAATTAAACTCTGAATTAGACGAACCAGTGATCTGATGCATTATAAGACGGTCATTCATTTAATCTGAATGACATCCCAATCCCTAATTGTGACACCTTTCAATAACTAATAATTTGTGCTCAATGATTATTGAAATCCTCTCTTAATATTTTACAAAGTAATGCACTTTTTGATGATGGTGTAAAGTTTATTAATGTTCAGAAGCATTTCCATATTTCATTTTATAAGCAGTGGCGTAGCGTGGGTTGTCAGCACCCGGGGCAAGGCAAGTAATTTGCGCCCCCTAACCCGTGGATTTGCGCCCCCTAACCTGTGGATTTGTGCCCCCTAACCCGTGGATTTGCCCTAACCCCAGATGTTGCGCCCGGTGCGGCCGGCACCCCCTGCACCCCCCACGCTACGCCACTGTTTATAAGCCAATAGAGAAAGATGGAATCAGACAAAATTCTTAACATACATGAAAATGTAGGTAATTTTATTTCCCCATAAATTGTATCGATATCATTTGCATTCTCTCTCTCTCTTTCTTTTTAGTCTGTTATAGAAAACAACAAATTTTTTGAGCAGTATGAAGTTACTTACCAAATCTTGAAAAAGGCAGCTGAGATGTATGCCAGAGCTAATGGCTCATGTAAGTAACAATATATTTGTTTGGCATTAGATTAAAGTGCTTCTGGATTTCATTTTTGCTGTATGATCAAGCTGAACTGTTGCTAAGCAATTTGGAACATGACAAAATTAGAGTTCAGTGTACAAATTAACAACTAGAAGATCAACTAGATGAAGAAAATTCAAAGCAATATTCTTGGCAATAACACAGTAGGCATTCTCTAGTTTTGCACTGAAGCATATGGAAGCAAGCAATCCCTAAGCAAAACATAGGAGTCCCTTGACAGCATTATAGATAACAGCTAGTAATTTAATGGGTGTATCATTGTTGATTTCAGGCACCTGTATCATCCACATGTTCTACCCTTAGTACAGAGAAATTGATGTGGCTTTCCGCTTCCTTGTTTGATAAACAGGTTTCTATGAATCCATAGGCCAGCATTGTATAAGAAATGAACAGATACACTGTGATATTCCTTACATATTTTATTGTTTGTACAAAGTGCTTGAATTCTTAGCCTTAAGACTGTATTGATATAGCAAAGACCATTTCACTTTTCTTGGTCATGTATTTCCAGTGGTATAAGAACTTGCCTTTAGGATAAATAAGAACCATATAGCCCAGTCCCACACCTGCAGTAAGGCTGGGGGTAATAATACTACTGACCTTGTACAGTTATTGTAGCAATTACCGAGCACTAGGGAATGTTCTATAAATACAAACAAGAGAATTCCCTATGGAGATGGGTGGAGAGGTGGATTATTCTCTCCTGCCTCCCCCCCCCCTGCCACCGCCATTTCCCATTTTTTAAAAAAAACCCTCCCTTTAGCGTCATGGGGGTAGGGTGAATTAACCATGCCAGCTCATATTTTTAAGCCATTGGGGTGGCAAAATTAATTAAATTTACATATGACCTAAGGCAAAGCTCTGAAGTGAAAAAGCACACTCTGTGTTGAGATTGTGAGTGCATGTGTGTTGTAGCCAGGGCTTTTTTTCAGCTGGAACTCACCAGAACTCCATTCCGGCACCTCTCAGGTGGGCGCCATTGCCATTATAAGAGAACAAGGGAGGCGTTCATGGTGAGTTCCGGCCCCTCTTTTTCTAGAAAAAAAGCACTGGTTGTAGCAGACATAATATTTGAAGCTGCATTAGGGAGGAGGAGGGATACTTCTTTAAAGATGCTGCTCACCATATGCAGTTTTCATCCGTACCAGGTTAAATATTGAAAACAAAAGCAAAACGCTACTGCCCAGTTAACCAGGGCACAGTTTGGGGCCAATCAAAAGTTTTAGAATTGGTTAATCTAACCAATTAATGGATTAAAAGTTGCAGCTCTGGGAATACTCATTTCAGTTGGGTCAAGATTTATGTTAAACTCCAGTACTGTATTTCAGCCGAAGAGATAGAGAGTGTCATGAGATTCATGAATGAGACAACAACACAGTGGAGGCACTTGTCAGTAGAGGTGAGAAGTGTGAGAAGCATGTTAGAAGAAGTCATTGCTAATTGGGACCGATATAGCAGCACCGTGGCCAGTCTGCAAGCCTGGCTAGAAGATGCCGAAAAAATGCTGAATCAATCTGAACATGCCAAAAAGGTAAGGAATATTCTTTGATTAATGCTATAGTGGCTGTGTGTGCTCTTTGCCATTGTTTAACAGGGACCCTGATCCAAAGAACGTTAAGCACAGCAGCACTGGACACATGTGGACCAGCATCATTTGCTAACAAAACAAATAATTAGCTACAATAGATTTGGTCAACTATTGGAAAGGGGGCAGGCTAGATGTTACAGGGCAGCACAGGAGACAACTCCTAGGGGTCCCTTCTGGCCCCCCAATAAAATATTTGAGGGGGCCAGTGCCCCCCAAAGTTGATGAGTATTGTCATTCAAATGTGCCATGTCATGTAATTCCTTACCTGCCCCTCCCCGCAAAAATTTTATTCAAGTTGGCACCCCTGCAGGGCAGGAGGATTCAGAGGTAGATACAGGTCTGGCATCTTCTCCCAGAGAGAGGAGATGGAAAGAGGAGACACATACATCTAGATGTAGCACCAACAGTAGTGAAGCCACTATATGCTCAGGTCCTCCGACAAGAGTGATCAGAGGATTATCTTTGAAAGAAGCCAAGGCTCAGAATATGGAAAGAAATAGGTAGTAGAAATAATTTATTATCATAGTTTGCTGAAGGCTGTCATGCATAGTGTCTTCAAAGATCAGCCTTGTCCAGGATCTCCTCTCACACATGGAATCTCTGATATGTACAGTTTCTGCATAGGTGCCCCCATGCTTCCCTTTAGAAGGCAGGGCCAGTAAATATTTTGGTGGCTTTTTTTGCCAGTTTAGTCCTACAGAGTCTCCAAGGTTCTTTGAGTGCTTTGGCCACACAGCTGCCAAACAGTCCTCAGCCTTCCCCCCAGTACGAAGTTGAAGAGGTTGGGATCACCCCACAGCTGCTCTTATTCACATTTGTAGCTTCAAAGTTTGGAAGAAGCTTACCTATTTATTCTTATCAAGGCAAGTGTATTTGTTGAAGCATGAACTGTAAAGCAAGGTTGCACCTCAGTGTCTCAAATTTTCATTTGGGTAGTCTTAATGATGACTACGCCCCATAACAAATAGGTACCAAAAGTTTTTTGTTTTTTACAACATGCAGAAAACAGACATTGTCAGACTAGTTGTAAAGGGAAGTAAGGAGGAAACCAAATGATGCTTTAATAAGTGGTGTGAGGTTTTTATGTTTGCATTTTCAGAATTCATAGCTAGTTGTGTTCTTCTTAGGATTTCTTCCGGCATTTACCTCAGTGGATTCAGCAGCACACTGCTATGAATGATGCTGGCAATTTTCTGATTGAAACGTGTGATGAGACCATTTCCAGAGATTTAAAACAGCAGCTGCTGTTGCTGAATGGACGATGGAGAGAGTTATTTATGCAAGTCAAACAAGTATGTCCTTGGTGGTTTTTGTTCCATAGTTGTTACCCATTGACACAAAAAGGAGCTGAAAGGGCAAAATCACTTCCCCAAGGTGTCTTTCCACATGAGAAAGGATTTAAAGCAAGGCAGGAAACAGTTAAGTGGGGATATGTGGAAAGGTGGAAGGGGGCACAGAGAGAGAGAGAGAGAGAGAGAGGAAAGGGTCACCATGTAGATTTGTTCGCAACTTCAAAAACACAGCCCATTACTCAGGAAAAGAAACCCATGAATACCTGAGTGTAGGTGCTTAAGAGATACAGAGTGCGTACTGATGGCAGCGAAGAGAGAAGCAGCTCCGCACAGCTCCCAAGCACTGGTGGGACGGCTTGCTTTCCCCTCTTGCCTACCTCTGCCTTTAAGGGCGATGCCTGAGACTGAGTTCAGGGGGCAGCGGCACAGGCACAGGCTCCCCCACCAACAGAGAGGGAGGGGGGAAAGCCCTGTGGCACCGCCAGTGCAATTCTGGCATACTTCCTCTGACCTTAGATGCAGGACATACTATGCTGACTCCTTATCCATACGCTCTCCACTACACAGCATCGAGTTTAGCCATGTTTCATTGCGTTTGTTGACTGAACACCCCCCTCGGTGATGACACCTGGGGTGGACCGCACCCACCTATGCCACTGTAATGATGTGCATGTTACTTAATGCTATTTTCAATGCGAAAATATCACTTCACAGAGTTCTAAAAATAATACTGAATGAAATGCAAGCATTTGCTCCTGAACCAGTCAGTGTTCTATTGACTCTCTGTTTTATCTGCTTTCATAGTACGCTCGGGCTGATGAATTAGACAGAATGAGAAAAGAATATTTGGATGGTGTAGCTACCTTGTCTGCTTTCACTGATCAAGCAAAGAGGAAATTCCGTGTTCCTTTAGAAGTGTCCTTTCTAAATATGAAAATGTTTGTTCAAGAAATAGAGGCAAGTTTCTTTTTCTTCCAGCAGAGAACATTCTTTAAACATTCAGGGTTGAGTCCAATGGAGAGAGCAAGGTGATGTTTTGCTACCCTTTCAGCTCTCAACACCACCTCCCACGCTGGTCCAGAGTGTTGGGGGGCTGGTTTTAGTTTACCCAACTATTATTTCCTTGTCTTCTATCCTGTCCTGCCTGTTGTACCCAGGGTTTATGGAAGAGTGCATCCTCTAGGGAAGAGCCTAATTTAGCTGGTGCATCAGTTTATATGGTACTTTCTTTCCTTGCAAATATTACACTTTTCATTGTATTTCTCCCTTGCTTGCATGAGAACCAGGAAGAGCTGGTGTAGTGTAGTCATTATAATGGTGGACCAGAGGTAGTATTAAGTTTTACTCAGAGTAGATCTTGCACCTACAACTAGCCGGACAGTCACTGTATAAAAAGAAAGTGCATACCTACATACATAGTTACTGCTGAACTATTTGTTGCAGGACATTAAACAGAAAGTTCCTGTGATGGAATCTCAGTACAAGATGGTGACAAGGACAGCACAACTTGTTACCAAGGAACTTCCACCAGAAGAAGTCAATGAAATGCTTGCAACTATGTCAGGAATCAAAGGACAGCTTGGCAAGGTATTCAAGCAATTGTTGAAGATGTTCTAAGGCTTATATATAAGGCCAGGACTGATGTGCATGCCTACTTGGATGTAAGTCTTGGAGAATTCAGTGGGACTTTATCCCAGATGAGTGCCTGTAGGATTACAATATTATTTGCCCTATCAAAGAGGAAATCAGGCAAGGATGGCAGGTAAGATGAGGCTAAAAGGGTAGGCAGAGAAATGTGTGGGAGAGAGAAGCTGATGTGGAGTATAAGACAGTAGAATGACATATCACCCACACAAATGTTCTAATAATAATTTAATAACTACATATTAAAGTCAACATATAGTGAATAATATTATAGGAACCTGTTACTATTTTAAACCTTTTATGTTGGTGCTAAGGGAATAAAGATGCATTACAAGGCCCATTTTACTTTAAAAATGCACAATATACAATAATGTGAATATATATATTTTTCAGGTAGATGGTACCTGTCCGGTTGTGCTCTATGAATCTCAGCAGCTGCTGCCTCACCTGGAAGAATTGGAGAAGCAAATTACAAATTTTTATGAATCTCTTGAGAAAGTCAATGAAATTATTTCTGTCCTAGACCCCGAAGTCCAGCCTGCCGATGTTTTTAAACAGCAACATCAGGTATTTCTTCCATGAATGCTCAAAGGGGAGATTCAGTTGAACAGTATACTAAAAAGATTGATATTTTGCTCCAGTTTCAGCTCTGTAAGAATGCACCCGATATTCCACTCTAGGCAACACAAAAGTCACTTTAGATTGCATTGAACTGAAGCTCACCGTATATTTTTCCATTGACTTCAACATATGGTTGAAGAAGGGGGCCTGGCTCAGTGTTATAGCATGTGCAATCCCTGGCATGTCAGATAGCAGAGCCAGGAAAGATCTCTTAACCAGAGACCTTGGGGAGCAGACATTCATTTTTGCATTCATCACACTAATATTTCTCACTACTCCAAAATATCTGTGGACCTACATGGCAGTGGAAAGCTGCCATGCATCTACACGTTATCATAAACAGTGGGTTGAGTGCAGAGTGTTGAAAGCAGAAGTCACCTTTGCAAGCTTAGGCAGCAACCCTGTGCACCAATGAAAAAATGTTATTCTTCTGAGTGAACATGAAAAAAGGCCTCACTGCATACAGCGTTGTGAATCTATCCTTATTAAAGCAATATGCAGCTCTTTGACCTATGCAGCTATCACACACTTCTATTAGAACCCAGGAATCTCATCTGCTATCATTAGAAGGAATACTTTAGTAAATCTTTGTAAGGAATCAAAGGAATATGACAATAAATTGTCTGGTAAGCAAGTTCCCTCTACCACAGGCTCTGCTTCAGGAGATAATCCTGCTTTGGAGAAATCATAATTAAACCATACCTTCCAGATTATTCCAGGCTGCTGATCTTTGCTTTAAAAAATTACAATAATGGTACTTTCTAAAACACTTAAGGCACCACCTTACTTTTTGTGATGTTTTAAACAATAATCATTAAAATTTAATGGATTCTACTTGCTGAGTGCCTTTTATTTTTTGCTTTGATGTGCCTCTTTATCTTCTGGGGAATGCAGTGATAGAGACAGAGGAACATACGTATGAGTAACTTAAATCCTGATCCCAAGTATATTCACTCAAAGGTAGCCCCCCACTAGATTTTACTGGGGCTCAATTATATACAAGATGCTTTTAAAACCGCAGCCTTAGTCACCTGCTGAGACATGCATAACTAATGTTACAGTTGAATTTTCCATATGACACAGAAATTGCTTTCTGAATGCTAATAAACCCACAATACGGGTTTGTAATAAATGTAACATATTTACATAGGAAAATAGCCTTGAAGCATTTAATGAGTATCAATGAATCTTCTGTTATAATATTTTAACAACTAGAATTTACATTAAAAGGCCAATACATGATCAATCCTGTTTCATTTCAAATGCTCAAGAGCTATTTGAAAACATTGGGGCTTCAGTACACATAAACCTCACACCCTTTAAAATACATTTGCAAAATAATAAATAACATCTAATTTTTGTGAAATGATACTACTGCAACTTCTGTATTTTAAGGATAAATTCACTCATTATTATTATGTTAAAAAAGAAAAAAGGTAGATATACCACATGGATGTATTAGTTCAGGACTGGTGTTATTTTGACTATTTAGTTTTCCTTACTGTAAAAACACTTTTAATTTTGCTTTCATTTTCTTTTAGGATCTAGTAGCTTATCAAGAAAATTGCAAGAAAGACATATCACTAATTGAGAGAAACAGTCAGACCATTGTGAAGTTTGTGACTTCAAGTAAGGTGTTACACCACTTCAATCTTTCGGTGCTTCAAAAGAAAGTAGTAGAAATACAAGCTGCTTTTCAGGTAATTTGTCGTGAGAGGAGGTTGGTCCATTCTGCACCACTCCCAGCATGAAAGAGCTGAGCCTTCATCTCCAATGTCTGAGAAGAAAGCCAGAGCCACCCAGATAACGTCAAATAAGGCAGCTTCAGGTGTGAAAGCAGAGGCTGGGCATCTCTCTGTTAGGAGATGCTTTAGCTGCATCCTGCATCGCAGATTCTGCATTTAGTTGAGAGGTTGAACTAGGCAGCCTCCGGGTTACCTTTCAGTTCTATGATTACACAAAAAAAGATTTTCCTGGAATTGTCTGAGTCTGATAAATTTTGGGAAAACCCTTGCCAAATTATGCTGTAGAAATAAAAATGCAGGTTAGATGACAAGAGTAGAGAAGGAAGCTGCCGGAGAACCTAGCAACATGTGACATGCATATTTTTTTCCCCAAAGGCAAGCTGCTTCAGGAGATGAAAATTTGGAATGGTGGTCCAGTGGAGGAGAGGTGCCTAACCTTCTGCTTTAGCCCCTGGCCACCAAAACCCTTTCCTCCTTGAACTGTACTTACTGGGGCAGGTGGCAGTGGCTCCTTCATGATGAGAGAAAGGGAGACATGCTGTGTATGTCCAGTGGCCTTTGGGGAAGGATTTTTTTTCCACAAGGGCTGCTAAACAGTACACCACTGGCTTGAGAGGACAGGGAGGAATATTCCTCCTTCTCTTTTAGTGTTTCTGGTTCTACCTTTCACCACTGTGCTGGTCCCAGTAACTGCAGTGTGAAATGGAGGCAGTTTCAGGTATTGCATGTGATTGTGATGGAAAGAAAGAGAAGGTCTGGGGACTTAGGAGCTAAGGCCAGTTTAAACTAGGTTTTCAGAACTATTACTTTTTAGATATTGGCATGTTAGCAATATACTGTATCAGATTTCAGACAAATTGTGGGTCGTATCTGATTTTGCCCTGTTTGATTTCCCATTGATGATTTAAGCACTATAGCTCTCAAAATGCCCAGTTTTCAGGTCATGTGCATATTAAAGCAGACTAAATCTAACCCACCCTCACAGAAGTCAGATTCTTTCAAAGCTTCTTATTAAAGAAATGCTAAAAAGGAAACACGGAAATGTCCATCATTTTGTTCCTTTTGGAGTAGAGTAACATAATCATGAAAACTAGGGTGATATGCAACTAAGTTTTACTTAAAGTAGACCTATTTAAATTAATGGAGATAACTTCATTTCAGTTCTTTTTTTTCAGTGGGTCTATTCTGAGTAAAACTTTGTTGCATACCACTCCTAGAGTTATTGTTACCTTTTTCTGTTTTCATTTACAAAGAATATGGTCAAAAAGACAAGTGACTGGAAGAAAAATGTGGAGGCAAACAGTCATTTGATGAAGCAGTTTGAGGAATCTAGAACAGAATTAGAAAATGTTCTACAGATAGCACATCGTTGCCTAAAGGAAAAAGGCAGACCTGAAGAACTTCTCAGAAAACATACCGTGAGTATAAACTCTTATTTTCAACATGATTCTGTTCAGCTGATAGCAATGTATATTTAGGAATCACAATAAAGCAGGCATTTACATCTTTGAATGTGACAGGATATAATTTCTGAAAATGCTGATTTTAGTGAAATTGAGAATTAACCTAGTCCAGACCCATAAGTCAGGATATGATTGACCTTTTCCTGCTGCAGGCAAATTTCTGCCTGTGGGGAGAGGATGAAAATAACCTCACACCTTTGTGGATGTGCACAAATCACTGTGTACCATCTGTTACTCAGAACAGAAAGTCGGTGTGTACTTGCACCCACACCTTTCCCCCATAGCTTGAAAGAGAATTCCCATGAGTAGCTATGTGAGAAATAAAAACTGGCCTCCCATTCTGAGTAATGTTTGGGGTTTGTGTAGCTGGACGGGGAGTGAGCAGCACAAGGGACATTTTATACGGAACTTAGTAATATAAATTATGTACTAGGTGTAGCTCTGTTTCCTGCCAATAAAGATTTGGAGGAAAGTGGTGATATGGAACCTTGTTTCTTGATGTGGCTACTACTTCATCATTGTAATAATTTATCATTATCATTACCATTATCATTATCGTTATCAGTATTACCACCACAACACTAAAATACCCACATGTCCTAAGTTCCTAGTGATATGAAGTATTTGTATTGGCCATGCTTTTCTGATAGTTTGGACAATATAGGCTCAGATGCCATTCATAAAAGCAGGCCCAACAGCAATACCACCTTCCTCCTTTAGATTGAGATTTTGTTACTAGTTGTGTGTTTTCCTTAGCAAAGCAGTAACGTTATCACTATGTACTATTATTTTTCAACATCAGGATTTTTTCAGTCAGTTGGACCAGAGAGTGCTAAATGCTTTCCTGAAAGCTTGTGATGAGCTTACTGATATCCTTCCTGAGCAAGAACAACGTGCTCTTCAGGAAGCTGTTAGGAAGTTACATAAGCAATGGAAGGTTAGTATTTCCAGATTTAAGTAAGCATGCTTCCACTTGGTCTCCGTGGGTGGTCTGTTTGTACAAATTTTCTTCTCGGCTTTTCTTGAACAGGCAAAATTAGAATATAAACACATGGGGATTTCTAATTTTGCCTGTTCAAGAAAAGCCGAGAAGAAAATTTGTACAAAGAGATAACATAATATTATAAAATAATGGAAATGAGTATCATGTTAACTTCCTCTTTCCTCTCCCACTTGTTTATGGAGTGCAGGATGCCCAGTCAGAAGCCCCATACCATTTACTTCGCTTGAAGATACAAGTGGAAAAGAGCAAATTCTTAGCAACAGTGCAAGAATGTCATGCCGAACTAGCTCGAGAGCAAGAGCTGGTGTCCAAGGAGAGCAGCGAGAAGATAATTAGAGAGCACAAGGTAAGCCTGAAAAGCAGTTATATGGGTACATGTAGAAATTGTACATATGTACAATTGGGCTCAAAATACTGCCAGAAACACAGAGTACAATTCCATGAGAATTATGAAGTACACAATGTGCTTCAGAAGATGAGCAACATGATCCTTACATTCCTGTTCAAGATATGCTTGTGTTGAAATAAACCCTATATGATTTCAACTTCCACAGTCAAATGGATAGAATTCTCCAACTTGGATTGTGATCCAAGGGTACTTGTATAGTTCAGTGATTATAAAAAATTAATCAAAATTACTAGTGCCTGGTCAACAGTGATCACATGGGGAGGGCTGCCCATTAGGTACTTTAAACAGTCACACTTGATATATAGAATCTCAATAGTAATTGTAATACTCATGAGGAGAGAGAAAAATAATGTATAAAAAACAACACCATGTGGCAGTTTGAGGGCTGGATTCCTTGCAATGATGGCACAAGCTGGAGAGAAGGTGTGTGTCTTCTCACAAATGCACTGTCATATCTTTTTTAAAATTGAAATACCTGCAAGATTTTAAATACCTATGTGAGAAACTATGAGGTTATGTGTGAGCTTATTTATGTGAAAAGGCATTCATTCAGAATCAACAGCATGTATGTTTGTCATGTGAACTGGGCTCAAAATACTACCAGAAACACAGAGTTAGTGTGCTTAGGATTTCAGCCTTAACTTCTCATACTTTAAATTATTATTGACTGTGACCTGACCTTTAGGTTTTATAACTTCATGTGTCAGTTTTATCTTCCATAGACGTGCAAATACCCGTAATGGAAGGTATATTACATCAAATATATTAATGGAGTTGGCAATCATTTTTCTTTTCTGCCTTCAGTTGTTCTTTGGCGAGAAAGGCTCCTTACAGCTATGTGAGAAAAGATTGCATCTGATTAATGAATTGTGCTTGAAATTGCCTGAATCGGATCCACTTAGGACAACATCACAAAGTAGCCAGAAAAGCCTCAGTGAACTTAAATCCCTGGTTGCCAGCACCTACATGAAGCTAATGGATCATCCAGATAAATGGAAAGACTACAAGGACAGGTACTATTTGTCTGACAGTGGTAAAGACGTAATAAAACCTTGGTGGAGATAATTAGAAAAGCACTCCTGCTCATCATTTTGTTATGCCCAAATAAATATACAACTATTGAGAGGGTAACCTTTTTTTCTTTCTAGAGCTTCACTCCTGTAGGAGTAATATGTGGGCAGCTGTGGTCCCACAGTAGGCAGGGCTGGAGCCAAAATTTCATAGGCTTCCCTTCTATTTCTCTCTTTTGCCTGCCCTCTTCCTTCTCTCCCTTTCCCTCTCCCTCCCTTCCTTAGAGGTCCGAAACTGAACTTTTACATAGGGCTTTTAGAGTCCTAGGGCCCCAGATGATAAGCCCTAATATACAACAATACTCCTCTGGAGTAGAGGAAATTTTTCCAATCTCACATATATACAGTAATACAGAATATAAAAGTATACCTAAGAGAAGTACAGGCTCTGCATTAAAGAAGGAGGATCAGGATGTTTCCAAAGTATATTCACCAGCTTTAAATGTTCCATCATTGAAAACATTTAACAGAGGCAATTTCCCTTCTAAACAGTCAGAAGCCTTTTGAGGTATAGTAAGTTCAAAATTTTATTCTTTTAGTTCCATTAAGATTTATATAAATGACTATTGCTGTTTCCTTATTGGCTGTTGGTTGTTTATGTGGTTATGTTTCAGATTTTCTGAATTGGAAAGCTGGATTTCATCAAGGGAAGCCCAGCTCAAGAAGATTAAGCATGGTGCCAGTGATACCACTAAATATAATCACTTTAAAACATCAATAGAGGTACATTTAGAATTACTGAAAATAAGATAGATGTTTTTGCTTGTAATACTAGCAAGATGAGTTCAGATGGTAGAAACTGAAAGTGCAAATAAGCTCTTTTCTGCTTTTGGCATTTTAGAGCACTGAATTGTGGTATAAACTACTGAGCCTCTTGAGCTTGCTGATTGGAAGGTCGGCAGTTCAAATCCCCACAACAGGGGTGAGCACCTGTTGCTCTATCACAGCTCCTGACAACCTAGTAGTTCAAAAGCACGTCAGTGCAAGTAGATAAATAGATACCGCTGCAGCGGGAAGGTGAATTGCATTTCCGTGCACTCTGGTTTCTGTCATGGTGTTCCGTTGCACCAGAAGTGGTTTAGTCATGCTTGCCACATGACCCGGAAAGCTGTCTGTGGACAAACGTCGGCTCCCTCGGCCTGAAAGTGAGATGAGTGCCACAAACCATAGTCGCCTTTGACTGGACTTAACCGTCCAGGGGTCCTTTATCTTTACCTTTATAGCAAATGTAAACAAGGTTATATAAACAGTGGAATGTAAGAGAACTGGCTCTTCCTGGGTAAACAGAATCAAGTAGTGGGGCAACCCACAACTTTTGACTAAACTGTTTTGTTTGTGTTTCTAATTTCTGTATTAATTATATTTCAGGAAATTCAGCAAGAAACTTGCAAGCAAGGAGAAGTTATCAGCTGGTTGAAATCTAGGCTTGCTGCCCTGTCTGAAGTTTCTTCAGAGAATGAAGCCAAAAAGCAAGAGGATGAGCTTTCCAGACTTTCAAGTGACTTTAAGAGCCTCTTAGCCTTGTTGATAGAGGTATAGTATAGCTTCATTGTACTTATATGCCCTCTCTACTCTTGCCCATCATGATTGAGTCAGTCTGGGGTGAGAGGTTGGTTGGATTTAGGGTGTGATGAACACTTCATTGCTTGAAGGGGTGATGCTCTGAAAGAGGTGGTAGTGTGGCTGCTTTCAAAATAAAGTGTCCTGGTGGCTTGTGAAAACTGTTCCTTGTACATTCCACTCTTTTGGGGAAAGGTGCTGGAGAAGGTGATAGCTGTACAGCTTCAGACACTATTGGAGGAAATGGATTATTTGAACTCATACCACTGTGGGTTCAGCCCTGGATTCAGGAATGAATCAACCTTGGTTGCCCTTGTGTATGACCTTTATCAGGAGAGAGATTGGGGAGTGTGGCCCTGTTTATCTTGCTTGACATCCCTGTAGCTCTTGATAATATGGTATTGTACGGGACTAACTCTGCGAATTGGGACTAAGGGGCACTGTGTTAGAGTAGTTTGGCTCCTTTATACAGGGTCAGTTTCCAAGTGTTGTATTGGCTGACTATATCCTGACCACAGAGGTTTGTCCTTTCCCAGTGCTAGTTTAACATCTTCTGTGAATATGTGATATCATTGCTCAAAGAGCAGCATTGGCTGCCAAGATGATACTGAGCCAAGTGTAAGTTATTGTTGTTGTTGGAGTGTTTTTGTCGGCTGACTTATAAATTCCAAAACAGCTTGAGACCTGGCTATCTGAAAGAATGCCCTTATTCATATGGACTGAACTGGTGCATGAGATCCCAAGATGCAGCCTCTGAGGTTGCATATGAACTATCGTACACTTGAAGCACACACACACCCAAATCATGGGAACTGTAACTTTCTGAGGGCTAAACTATAGTTCCCAGGGTTCTTTGAAATGGGTGCTTTAAATGTATTTTGTGTATGCAGTTTGAGAAGGCTTAGCCCTCACTGGGCTTTGGGGGGGGCTTCAGACACATACTTATTTTTTATTCTCCCTAAATATCCTTGGGGTTTCCCCTGAGCCTGCTAATCCCTTCCTCATGTGCATTAATGATACCATTATGATTACATAAGGATCCCACTTGGAGGATGGGTTTGCTACTTCGTATATAAAATATGTACTAGTATGGAGGGGAAAGTCATTGAATGATGCCACTTCTGCAATTCATTTAAAAAATCTCTGAAGCTGAACTGGAAACAGGAAAAGTGAGACAGAGCAAATTCAGAAAGCATTAACCAAATGGAATGGAGGGAATCTACTCATACCTACTTTGCAGTGTGCTGTGGTCACAAAAGTAAAAACTTAGAAATAATAAATTTAATAGTTGGCAAAATCCAGGGTTTTGGGGTTTTTTTAATCATTAAAAGCAGGAATGGGTAACCTTTGGCCCTGCAGACGTTGCTGAACTACAACTCCCATCAGCCCCAGCATAAATGTTCACTGGCCAGTAATGGTGAAAGTTGTAGTTCAGCAACACCTGGAGGGCCAAAGGTTCCTCACCCCTGATTGAAAGTATTGATTCTCGACACTGAGCTGCTTCACGGAGTTTTAATGTTTCTCCTAACAATAGATTGAGAAAATGTTGAGTGCTGTAGGTGATTGCGTCCAGCACACAGAAGAGGTGAAAGTCAATCTGGAAGAACTGATCACAAATTCAAAAGAAGCTCAGGCAGAAGCTGATAAAATCTTAGAGGTTGAAAGCTTATTACAGGCTCAGCAACTCCTTCGGTATCACCAGGTAGGACAATAGCCCATATGTGAACCTTCACTTGTTCCGGTAGTAAGCACTTTTATAGTCACCTCTTTCACTGCCACTTGTGTATATATATACATAGCTATTTGGCTATTTCTGTAGTGGGGGAATCAGTATGTCTACATCTGCTTCAGCCCTTACCGATGTTTTCTCCCAGCAAAAGACAAAGAGGCTCCATGAAAAGAGGCAAGATGTGCAACAGCAAATGGCCCGAGGTAAGCAGCTACAGATTGAAGGTGGTCTGTCACCCACTGTGCAAGAAGACCTATGGAAGTTGGAGAGTATGTTAGAAAACATGCAGCAATCTATGGATAAACGTGAAGATCAATTGCAGGTCAGTGTGTTATTCATGTAACTCCACAGAGAAACAAGAACAGTCCCCTTGTTTATGATTTAATTGCTCTATATTTAGTTGTTTTGTTTTGAGTTTGAACAATGTAATACATTTTCTTGTTAAACTTGGCCATTTTTTTCTGCTTGTGAAACACCAGCATCTCCACTTTGCACTTGTCTGCAGACACACAGACATTCCAGCTCCAGGGAGCTGTACAGTATGTGAGCTTTTGGCACAGGGCATAACTCAGGGAAACTCCCAAGTGTCAGAGCAAGGCAGTTATGCAAACCTTGAGCTTCTCTGACAAAGCACTAGGAAAGTTCCTTGTTGGCATGAGCAGAAGATTAAACATATTCCTTTTATATACTCTATATACCATCTTCTGGGCCATGGGACTTACGATAAAACTGTCCTAAGGTGGAGCTCCTAACAGTTTCATGGGTTGCGGGGGTGGCTTACAGAGTGTGTATAAAGAGATTTTGCCTAAGCATCAATTCATGCAGATCATGATTCTTGCTGAGACAAACTCCGTGATTACACAGCTCCCTTGTTCTCAAGGCTTGGGAACTTTCTTGTGCCAGTGGCTCAGATGCTGCAGGGTTTTCTAGAGCCCTAAAAGCAAGCTTTTACAGGGCTTTTGCATAGCTGTGTCTGAACTGTGATTAGTGTCTATGGAGTATGAGCAAAAAAATAGATGAAGTGCTAAAATAGACTGATTTTGCATGTTCAGAAGCTTGTTTTGCATTCTGAGTTGGAGAAGAACCTATCGGGGAAAATGGTGTTTGACTCATTATCATTTGAGCTAGACAAAATTAATATTTCAAACCAGGTCATTATCAACTTTGACAATATTGCTAGTAAATTGCAGGGCAGGCAAACTTTTTCTTTTACTTCTTTTTCTTTCTTGTAGCTCACTGTAAGCACATGGGAACAGTTTGAAAGGGACAAAGAAACGGTTGTAAAGTACCTTAGTCATGCAAGCTCTGCTCTTGAACGCATCTTAAGCTTTAGCAGCTTAGAGAGTTTGTCATCAGAACTAGAAAAGACAAAGGTATGTATGTTGCTGTACTTGGAATTTTACAATCAGAATTGGTTCTATTTGCTATTGGTTCTTTTGCTGAGGATATATATCTTATTTTATTTCCTTGTTTTTGCCTTGGGCAACATCCTTGAAAATGTGCTATAGTATATTTTTCAAGAAAAAAACACACACATCACAATATTGGTCAACCTGGGCATAGCATCCATTATAAACAATTCCCATAGGTTCAGTAGAGTCCTGGTTTTCCTCTCTTTCTACAGTGGGGCACAGAATGCAGCAGAACAGACTATGCCAATTCCAAGTTAGTAATCTATCAGTCGGGCAAGATTTCAGGTAGTGGAAAATAGGCCCTGTGCACTTTTGGCAATCTTTGGCATGGTGGCTGCTGCATTGGCAGTGGGACTGAATTGTGGCTACCACCTCCAGTTCTGGTGCTGATGTATAAAGCCCTACACAGCTTAGGACCAGGACGCCTAAAAGAGCATCTTACCTCATCACTTACATACCCAACGGATCACTATGCTCTGCAGGAGAGGGACTCCTATAGATACTCTCTTATCCAAAGATATATTCTGCATGATGTTGGAATCGAGTCTTTAGTGTGGCAGCATCTGCCCTTTGGAATTGCCTCCCATTACATATCAGCCAAGAACTGTTTTTATATATGCCATTGCTTTAGATATGTTTCATTGTACAGGGTGGCTCAAAAGTAGGTATACTGCTTTAGAATCCATTTTCTTTGTTCTTGACTCAAGTTCTCATCATTCACAGTATCAGGAAAGAAAAATGTTTGTTGTTTGTTTGTTTTTAAAAGTATACCTACTCTTGGGCCACCCTGTATTATGAAATCATTTTGAATTACTTCATAGGAAGTGATTCATAAAGGAAATAAATAATAACAATCCATTATTATTAGTTCCTTTCAAAAACCTATTTATATACTATACTATTTTGTAATCTGTTCTTTGGGGGTATTCCTCATCTAAACCAGAGATACTTGTACAGTGGTACCTTGGGTTAAGTACTTAATTTGTTCCGGAGGTCCGTTCTTAACCTGAAACTGTTCTTAACCTGAAGCACCACTTTAGCTAATGGGGCCTCCTGCTGCTGCTGTGCCAGCGCCGCACAATTTCTGTTCTCATCCTGAAGCAAAGTTCTTAACCCGAGGTACTATTTCTGGGTTAGTGGAGTCTGTAACCTGAAGCGTATGTAACCCGAAGTGTATGTAACCTGAAGCGTATGTAACCCAAGGTACCACTGTAGTAGTAATTTTATGAAGTGGTGTTCTGGGAGTTCTTTTTTTACAAAGGTATCCACTCAAGATGAATAATGATCACTGCTTGACCAGTTGCTAACAATGTATCTCTAGACTTTCCCCACAAATATATTCTGTTCATAACTCCACACCTCTTTACAGGCACTTTCTAAGCAGACAGTAGCCATGGCCATGGAGGCTGAGACTCTTGTCAAGAAGTCTTTTGCAATACAGCTTGGTGAGAAGAACAAGCAAACCCTTCAACAGCAAGCAAAGTCAGTCCGGGAACAAGTTAAAAAAATGGAAGCTTCACTTGAAGAAGAGTATGTTCTTAAACAGTCATAGTATTATTTCCTTCCTGACACAAGAATTGTACATTTTGTTGTCTTATCAAAATGCGGTGTTTATTCACAACTGGCTTTGTAAACCTCAGCTTGTCATACAGCAGAAATTACCATGTAGTACTGAAAGAGTATAAACAACTACTTTGACTAACCAATACAGAAAATAGTAACTTGTCCCTCAATGCATTGTACCAAGAAGCAGATTTTCATTTATCAGTGGGACTCAATTCCATGCAAGTGACCTTAGAACTGTCATGCTAAGCTGCAATTATAAATCCAATTATGCATGTTCAAGCCAATTAATTTTAATGTAACTAAGCACAGTTAATTGAGCACAGAACTGAAGTAATATAATACACTTCAGTAACACACATAGTAAATTATTTGACTCGGGCAAGGATAAATGAATAGTGCCATATCCTAAAGTGCCTGAAGCCTTTAGAAGAAATGTATGCCTAGTTTTTAAAGTATTTTTCTTCATATTTTCCCAGTCTGTGTGCACGAGAATATAAAAATGTGCCTTTTTCCTCACTGAAGTTAAAACCCAGTTCTTTTTCTTGTTGCTAAAAATGATGCTTCATTGCAGTGGACTTTCAGCTCAAAGTTCTATTTTCTGCCTCATGTTCATTAACTTGGATCTGGCCTAATGGTCCAGTTTTGGAAATATTAGGACCAGTTAACATGTTATGGCAGTTACACATATAGCAACTTTTACACTGCTGCACGAGACAATTAAAATGATTTGCAGCCATAATATGTAAACCACCAATTAATTCCAGCAGGGCTTTTGAATAAGCCATCAACATTCTTAAAAGGCCTAAAGGTGCAACCATGTTACAACTCACATTATTGGTTAACAAAAATCAAAATATCAGTGGTCACTTGCCAATTCACACATTCACTTCAATGTCCACACATTGCTCCAAAGATTTATTCATACAAATGAACCAAAAACTTAAATATATCGCTGTTGCTGCCTTTCAGAGCTGATACATATATTTGCAGTGCCACAGCCCAAGGAGCTGCTCCCAAGAAGTGCTGCCCGGTTCTGTTGAGATCCTAGTTCATTTGGAAAATTCTACAAATCAATGCATCCATGGCATCATATAGTCCCAAAAGAGTTTTCAAGATTGAATCATCCTCACAACGCCTTTGTGGGAGAGTTCACTAATATTCCCATTTCATAGGCGAGAACCTGAGGCTGAAAGTTAGTGAGTTGTTCAAGGCAACCATTGATTTCATGCCTGGACAGAAATTTAAACCACATTACTTCTGATCTAAGTCCAGTGTTCTGTTCTCTGGAACATTACTTTTCAGAATGAACAGTGTTCAGTGATGCAGGTACAACAAAATAAATGTCATTTTTTTGCATTTGGCCTCTCATTATACCTTCCCTTTTTTCTGCTGGATAAATCTATGTAAATTTGTTTACCTACTTCATGGTTAATTTTCACTACCTTTAGAGAGGAGCTGCATTTTAGTAAGACAATATTGCCCCAGAAGTAATCATGGAGAATGCAATTTCATATGCTATTTGTTTTGTTGTGAGTGGCTTCTTTCTTTCCATAGTGCTCTTTTCTCTTTCTCCTAACACCAGTTATGTAATTTTTTAGTGGTCTTTATTCTTTCTTTGCCACAAGTAGAAAAGTTTCCTTCAGAAGACTTCTAGTGCCTTTTTTTTTTTTTTTTGCTTCCAGTGAGATGCTGTTTTTCAGTGCATGTTTTAACAGATGTAATGTAATTGATCTATGAACAAGGTGCAAGACAATCATAATTAAGTTGAAAAATATGCATGCATCTTCAACTGACTTTGACTTTCTCAGATATGTACTTACCCTAATGTATGGTTTATGTATATAGCTGTATGATTCGTAATGCACATTCATTCTTTGCAGCCTCACAGATTGCCCTGCTCCTTGCGCCCAATTTGCCTCAGTTCAGCTAACAATAGACTTGTCTTCCCAAATAAGATAGAAAATGTACGCCATCAGTTGTAAAGAAAGCCAGTCATATTCCTTTGGAACTGATGGGTTTTGCAAGATTGAAATTTGCCCAGAAAGGACATCCAGCACAACAACAACAACAAAAGTTGGTAGAATGGGTTTTAGGCTACTACACATCAAGCATTATTTGTTGAGAAGCATTCTCCCTCTTTTCTAGAACAGTTGTGGCATGAGCACAATCACACAGGGATGCTCTTAATGAAGCATGTTACACACCTGGTGGTGGGAGGGAGTGGTAAAATGGTAGCTATGAATGAACAGAAGTGGAACAAAGGAAATGCACAATAGAGATCGAGGGAACTACATTACTATGGAAAAGTAATGTGATAAGAATGACCATGAACTCTTGAACAGTGAACAGGAGCCATTTCAAGGCCTTGCTCAGTAGCTCTGAGTAGTCTGAGATTTCATCAGATATTGTACACATGCTCTCCAAGATTTACTCCAAAGCCTTAATCCACAAATGTTTTTTAAGGGAGGGGAAGAATAGAAAGCTAATATCCTAAGGGTGCCAGAGCAGATCTGCTGCAACTGTGTGAGCATCAAATAGGTACATGCACTAAATAGCTGCAATGCTGCATTGAATACCAAAGTGCAGAGTAGGTAGGTAGGAATATGCACATGTTCAAAAACCTCTTCTCTACATTTTGTCTTGGTTTCATGGTAAGTCACATCTCCTCAGAACTTCAGTTAATTTGAATGGCTCTGAGTGGCGTTCATAGGTTCCAAATTTTTAAATGGCTACATCCCTAATTATAATAAACCTATTTAAAAAATCATTCTTAGGTTCTCTTGGCAATGTTGTAGGTGCTACAGGGTAGCTTCTTTGCCAGGCTGCTCTTGCTATACGTCTTAAAATCACACATGAGAAGTTATGCTAATTCACACAACTTTTTAGGAGAGGGAAGTAGCCAAGCAACTCCCACACTAAAGGACCCCTGACCATTAGGTCCAGTCGTGACCGACTCTAGGGTTGCGGCACTCATCTCGCTTTATTGGCCGAGGGAGCCGGCGTACAGCTTCCAGGTCATGTGGCCAGCATGACTAAGCCACTTCTGGCAAACCAGAGCAGTGCCCAGAAACGGCGTTTACCTTCCCGCCGGAGTGGTACCTATTTATCTACTTGCACTTTGATGTGCTTTCGAACTGTTAGGTTGACAGGAGCAGGGACCGAGCAACGGGAGCTCACCCCATCGCGGGGATTTGAACTGCCGACCTTCTGATCGGCAAGTCCTAGGCTCTGTGGTTTAACCCACAGCGCCACCCACGTCCCTTAACTCCCACACTACTGAGGTAATATAAGGGCAGACTCCGAAGGTGCTATAACTTTTATAAAACCTGTAAACCGACATTTGAAATATGCTTTTTAAAAATTAATTAAAAAGGCATGCTATTATGTAAGCATTTTCAGCAAACTGGAGATGTAAGAAAATGGGCATAGTTCAACAGTAACAAACTGTTTATTTTTTCTACTAAATATGGTTGATTTTAGTATTAAAACCATGGAAATGGTGAAAAACAAGTGGGATCATTTTGGCAAAAAATTTGAAGCTTTGTCCATCTGGATCACTGAAAAAGAAAAAGAGCTGGATACCTTGGAAACAACATCGTCCTTGGATATGCAAATCAGCCAAGTTAAGGTGATTGGTTCGCATTATATTTAGCATTAAAATACTGCTCGCTCTCTCTCTCCTCCTCTAGAAAGCTTCAAAAGAGAGGAAAATGCTTTTATCTGATTTCACAGCTGCAAAGATGTAAAAAAGAATGTATCACACTTTGAGACAAAGATACTAAGGTTTTGCAGGAGGTGTGCCCCCCCCCCCAGAGTTGAATTTACACTCAGACCTAATGGTGTGAATAGATAGATATATTTTCCATTAATATTCTTTACCTGCAAAATATCCTCATGGTATATTTTCACAGAGTGTATAATGTTTTATATCGTGCTATGTATTGCAGCCAGTGGCTACAGTAATTTATTCCAGTATGGTAGATAATTTATGATTTTTGTGTATCTTGTTTCTCAAATAATGCTGAAATAATAAAGCAACTACTGGGCTCAGCAGCTTCTGTACTCAAACCTTTGCTACATACTCTGAATTCTTTTTGTCATATGCTAGGTTCTGTTTTCTTTTTCCAGGTACATTAATAAAATATCAGATGCACATAGTATCTTCAAGTGCTCCTTGATTGTGAACAAGAAAAAGTTGCCCATTTCAGAGGATTGTTTTTATTTCTATGCCATTTTGTTGCAAATGCACAAACACACAAACATATTTTCAATTCTCTCTTTATCTCAGTGGCAAATAATTCAGCTGAAAGCTATGCCTTTATTATGTGATTGGAATCACACACCCCCAAACAGATGGCTAGAACTTATAATCTTTTGTAGGATGGTGGTTCCTAGATTTAAAAACAACGACACTTGCAACCAAGGATTTACTAGCATCATAAGAGTAAACAGTAAAGCATGGCAGTGCTTGATGACCACTTTTGCACCATGGGGGAATAGAAGTGCAAGCTACTCCCTCCGCAATGTCTTATATGTGGTGTCAGGTCCGGTGAAGTTCACCATTCTCGATGGATTCTGGGGTTAATGTGTCCCAGAAATGAAAATATCATTTTTATTTTTATTTTTCTTCCATTGAGTTTCCTTAGAGTTTCAAGCTTACAGCTTGAGGTCTACTCTATTCAAGTCCTTTTAAGTTTCTTGAAAATCAGTGGTGCTTAAGTGCTCCTGTTTCATGAATAGCAGAAGATCTCAGCCAAATAAATAAATAAATCTTAGGCAAGTTTCTTAGCTTGTACTGTGGCTTCAGAAGGCATTCTAAAAGTAGTCCATTACTCTCTTTTTTCTGTATTCTGAAATACATATTTGATAAAACTTTCTGAAATCAGAACATAAGCTGTAGAAAAGTGTCATTAAATTTCTATGCTTAAATCTGAAAAGGAGTACATCCACTATGTCTTAAAACGATGGGGAGGAATACTCTTTAAAACTTACAGTAGCAAATTATCCTAATTACTACAAAAATGTATGTACTGCAGTTTTATGTTATCTGTTTTTATTTGCTAAGGATGGTGGAATAGATTTCATGGGAAATAATTTTTCCAAACAAAAATATCTGGATAATATACAATATTACAATTTCAATTACAAATCACATATTACGTCTTTTGCAAATACTGTTTTGTGGTGGTGATGTTTTGGTTCGTGTTGGTGTGTGTTAATGGCCCAGCTTGCATGTCATGTTAAACCATAGTTAGTTTAATTATTGTTTAATGCAAATGAGCAGCATGTCAAGGCACACTTTTCCAAAGTCCCTGCTTCACTTCTCCTGCGCTTGTTTCCTTGGCTGTACCAGAAGCAGCAAACCACAAGTCTGGGCTTGTTTCTCTCTGAACAAACTATGTGTGGTAACCAAGATTTGTTAATGGCTTGCTGCTCATGGTTGGGGGGAAACAACCACAAGCTCAGGGTCAGCTAACATGACAAGGTAGGGATTATGCTTTGTTGTTGCCAGTACAATGTAGCCTAGTGAAGTAGGGACTTTTGGGCCATTCGTGCTTTCGTGCAATGTGCATTGCCATGCTGGCTGGGGTTGATGGGAGTCTAAAACATCTGGATGGCATTGAGTTAGCAAAGGTGTGTGTAACATAATAAGTGAACACAGTGATTGTGTGGTAGTATATATATGTTTGTTCTTGTCGGTGTCCCTATATGAGTTGGTGTATCCTTTATATATTTTCAACTGAATTACAGAAGATAAATAAATATTACTAAATGTTGAGATATTTTGAGAAAAATGCATTAAAAGAGAAATATAAACACACAAAATTGAACAAGGAAATATATACAGAAATAATGAAACTAGTTAAGTGGATGTCTAAACTTCAGGTTCAAACTTACTGCTGTTCTTCTAGGTCACATTCCTAGAATAAGGGTGTATATAAGCATGTGACTTCGTTCACTTGGTTTAGTCATCTGAAGCTTGTTTGTTGCTTCTCGTTGCATGTGCCAAACTGTGGTATTGATAATGCATTTGGGGAGACAGATATGTAAATAATTCTCCTCTAGTAAGGTGGTTCTGTTTGATCGTCATTAACACCATTCTAACTGCAAGAATCTGAGACAAATATTGGTTAGCAACATAAGGAGGGCCAACTGGAGATCCAGACAGTGATTTTACGTGACATCCTGCTCTTGTTCTGGATTACAAATGCCAAAGTATAACATATTTGCACCTTGCGTCAATTGTGAAGGGCATATGCATGTCTCAAATGTAACTTTCCTCTTTATAATACACAAAAAATGTAAATGAGAAAGGATTGGCCTCTTCCATTCAGTGTATATGAAAAGGTAGCACACATAGGGTATGTGCATCTGTGCTCAGTTCTACTATAGAACTGGATTTCACCTTTTCTGCTTTGGAGGGGACAACAGCAATTAGCACCATAACCTGGCAACTGTGGACATATGCACTCTATAAGGCAATATAGTTTTTTTCTAGGAAAAGCCAAAAGTCAGAATCAAGGCAAAAAAAAAAAAAAAATAGAAAGCAAGTACAATAAGTACACAAGAAATGTATGTATGTGAAGATTTATTCTGCTTTGCATAATATAATGTGGTTCATATTAAACAATGCAGTAATATATAAACAGCACACTATTATCATATCAAACTTATGTTTTATTGCATTTTAATACAATAAAACGTACTTTTAAATATATAGGTTTGGAGCATAAAATGCTTCTTTGTTCATGTAAGGGAGCGACCCATCCACATCATTTCTTAAGGGTTACCGATGACCGGATTTTGGAGAGTTCAGGGTGCTGAAAGGGGAATAGTGTGAGAAACTCTCCTTCCACTCTTCCAGGAGTGGAAGTTAGCATCCAAACCACACTGTTCGTTATATTTTCAAAATTCCTCTGATGAAGTGAGTTTTCCCTCAAAGGGTTTTGGGCATTAACAGTAATTCAAGAAGCTTTTTTAAAGAACACTATATTTAATTGCATTGTGAACTCCTAGAAGAGAAAGACATGTTATATATACATCTCTTGTGCACCTATTGTCATTGCCTTTTGTTTTATATTGGTTTTATACCATTTTAACTGTCATGGCTTCCTCCAGAAAATCCCAAGAACTGTAATTTGGAGGCACTGTGAGAGTTATGTTTGAGAGCAGTATTCCCCTCACAAAAGTATAGCACCCTGTGGTTAGAGAACTAAAGTTAGATCTTTTTAAGCCTGCCATGAGGTTAGCTCAGTTGGTTAGAGTGTAGTGCTAATAATGAAAAGGTTGCTGGTTCGATACCCGTAAGGGACAGCTGCATATTCCTGCATTCCAGGGGGTTAGACTATATGGTCCTCAGGGTCTCTTCCAACTCTGTGATTACACACACACACACACACACACACACACACACACACACAGTTACCTGGATTGTTTTTCTGTGGAACAAAATGAGCCCATAGCAAAATGCCCACAATCCCTTCTGCTTCTCAGATGCTTAACAGAATCACTAGGTGAAAGAGGATAAATGGATAATTTCATGTTAGCCTGGCTGGGCGCATAAACCAGGAGAAACGCCAATAGTTATTGTCACAATAATGGTTGGTAGGCAGGAGTCCAAAAGCCACCTACACTCTCCATTTATTGCTGCATGTTAGAAGATGAGTGTGGGAGTAAGATTATATAACAGCTACCTGCTTTACAGAAAGATGAAATATTTTGGCTACAATAGCAGTCAGAGTGTTTCCCACAGGATATGTGAAAATACTGACAAACGATAGCCTGTTATAATTTGATTAATTCCAAATGCATACCTGGAAACTTAAATCTGTTGAATTGTCATGGAATCCTCTTAAAGATTGACTTCATAATTTTTCTGACTTACTATGGGGGAGGCACGATGTTTTCTAGCAGAAAAACTAGTAAAAGTCAATTATTGTTTAACGTGATCTTCATAATAAAAATCAAATGGTTAAATAGTTACTGATAATGCAGTGCTGTGATATATGCCCAGTGCTTTTTTTCTGGGGTACACATACCCCTAAACATTTTGAGAATCTAAGTTTGACCTCATTGAGGGGCAGTTTTTCAATATGAGTAGGAAAATGAGACTAAACATTTTTTATATTTTTATATTTTTTATATTTTTATAGTTTATATTTACATTTTTATATTTTTTATAGAAAAAAGCACTTTATATTCCATACATATACCACAGCACAATATTGCCATTAACAATTTAACTACTGAGTTTGTAATATATTGATCATGTTAAAACTTTAATTGTCTTTCACTGTTTTTTCCTGCTACAAAGCAATATAACTATTTGCAATGGAGGGCTGCTTGCTCTCCATAGAGAGAGTCCCATGCATTTGTGAATCATTCACCATTCATCTGCAGCTGCTATCTGGAACTATTTACATTGGTTTCATGTGGTGGCTGCAATGTGTGAAGTCGCCCAAGAACAAATGTAACTAACTCCTATATATGTGCATGGCTCGCAGGAAAGCAATAAACACATGCTATAGATTCTTTACGTACAAATTTATTTGCATTTTAGGTCATTATTAAAGAAATAGACGACAAGGAAAATGAAATCCCAAGCTTAGAAAAGGATGCTCAGTCATTTTCTCAATATCTTACATCTGGAGAATCAGCACATATCAAAGCCAAGTTGACACAGATCAGAAGGTATTGGGAAGAACTCCGGGACCGTACACAGCATCTGGAAGGATCAGTAACTGGAAAGGCATCAGTACAGCAAAAATTTGAAGAAAACTTTGCAAAGGTAGACACCGTAAACTTGTTCTGTCATTCAAAAGAGAGTGGCCATTAAATGTACAGTCAGGAAAGACCTCAAAATGTGCACTTAAAAGAAACACTTTCTGTTGTACACACTTGAATTAATGGGGTATTTTGTACGCATGAGTTGCAATCCTCTGAGGGTAATGTAATGCTAAAACTAAACTAAAACCAAGATGAACTAGACTGATGTGCCTGCAGAACAGAAAGTGTCACCATATTATTTAAACAATCCATTCTGACTGTAACACTGTCTATGTCTACTCAGAAGTAAGCCCCACCAACTTCAGCTGGACCTAGTCCAGTTACGGATGTAAGGTTTTCCTCCCAAGAGTTGGATGCAATGCTAGGCCTACTCAACAGAGTACATCTGTTGAAATTAATTGACATGACTAACATAGGTCCATTAATTTCAATGTGTCTACTCTGAGTAGAACTTAGTTGGCTGCAGCCCAGAGCTTTCTACCTTGAGCACAATTAACTGGAGTGAGGGTACCGGTGGGATTTCCTACCAAATAAGCATGCATAGATGTGTAGATATTTGTAACTTTGTAAATCTTTAGTACTTTTTCTTAATTTCTCTGGTTTAGGCCCAAGAGGAGCTGTGCAGATATGAAGGAAAACTGGCAGAGACTGATACTTCATGCTGTTCCTCAGCAGAGACTTACAAGGCCCTTCATAATGTTACGGTAAATATATATAAAGTTTGTTACCTAGTTTCATGTTTAGCATGGAAGAGGTATTTGTACTGGCTGTAGCCAACATTCACCCAAATGAAGAAATCTTGGTTGAACATTACTTCTGCAATCAGCAATCTTGGTGTTGTGGGGGCAAGAGAGAAGCCCCATTTGTTTTAAACTAACAGGACTAACAGAATAGGTGGGGGAAAGTTAGCTTAAAAAGATATTATTTCAGTTCCACCCAGTAACACCACTGCCCTAAGACAGTCTTAAGAAGGCTAATCAGAAAGCTGTAAGTGTTGCAGGGAGGTATTCCCCCAATTCAGCCTTCCAGAAAAAAATAAAATATGACAACAGTTGCCTTTTGTCCACAGCATAGTAGTGTTACTACAGATAGTTTTGCATGATGTGGTGCCACCATCAATAAAGCCTTGTAACCTCTATGTATCAGCCTGGGTTGAGCAGTTATACAACCAGCCAAGCCTGAACACCTTCTGGCATTACTGCACTTGAGGATGAGTTAAATAAAGCCATGGCATAATTAGTTCTACTACTTTTTAGCTATGTGCAAGACAATGTGAGGGCCACGGGGTTGGTAATTGTCTTCTCTTTTGTTGTGTTGAATTAAATAAGGATCTCTGTCAAGTTCTGGAAAAAATGAACCAAACACTGGCCTCTCTGTCATCTGGTTCTCGCAAGATCATGAATAAAGAAAAAGTCGCCCAGGATGTTTTGATGCTTCAGCAAAGACATGAAATGGTTTTGAGACAAGCTAAAGATAGACAGGCCTCGCTAGAGGTTCACCTAGCACAGTGGCAGAGGTGAGAAAAGCACTGTGTGATATGCAGGCAGAAAAAATATCTGCAGCTGTCTCCCAGCTTTTGGTTTCATGGGACTTGAACTGATGAGCTCTTTTTATTATTATTATTATTTTTGGCTGTGTTCTGGTAGACAGGAGAAGGAGCTCTCCGCCTTCACGATTTGGCTAGAAAGGTGTGAAGCTGCAGCCAGACCTTCAGAGCAACATGTTTCTGCTGACAGAGTCAAAGTGGAAAGTGAGCTGCAGTTAGTCCAAGTAAGTTTTGTGGGTTGGCATAGGTTGCTTGCATTGTTCTTGAGGTTATACTGGGAAATAATTACATGCTATTATTGTTTTACAAAACAATGTGTAGACCTGCAACTCGTGGCAGCTTTCCACTGAATGCTTGAAAGGAGCTAAGCTTAAGGCATAATTTTAAAATCTGGTCACTGAAACGAGCTCAAGACATAGGGCTGTATTCAACATACTGCTAAGCAAGCAATTCCGTAATGCAAGGATTTCTGCTTGTGCAACAGAATACACACACATACTATATCTGTTATGGGGTCCCCCAACCATCCAGAGCAGATTTGAGGAGGACATGGGGTGATTCAGGGGAGCATAGGGGCGGAAGTCCCATTGCACTAGCAATAATCTTTGTGCTGACAAAGATTAGGTACTGATTTTCCCAGTTTCTGGAATGCCTGAAGCGAACACAATTGCTGGTCCATTAAGCTGAATGCAACCCACCAGGGTCTCAGCAAAGCTCTTGTTTGACTGCCTATGTGGGACCGCCAAAAGAAGTGTTTGGGTTAGTAGCCACACGTTGTGTACACCTTGCCTCAGTAACATATATGATGCCTACAACAGTTTCTCTGGTTTGCAAATATGCTCATGGATTCAAAACCATTGGTGATCCTGTGCATGGTAAATGAATTTAACAGATCATCTGCACACATAAAATGTCAAATGCAACATCTTATATCAAATGTCACCACCATTCAAAACTCAGCATCCTTTTCTGATTACTTTTCACCCAAATTGCAGTGACATATACTTTCATGTTGGTGAAACCAACATGGAACCAAATTCTGTAATATATTTCAGTGTGAGATCAGCTCTGTGTTGTCATGCTTTTGGCAAACCAGATTTGTTACAGTTGCCAAACATGTTGGAGGCCTCACAGCAGTTAAAAATCAATCCTAGCAATGGCACCCTTTGTTTCGAGCCACCCTGAGAATTTCAGTAAGCATGGTTTCCCATTGCTCTCAAACTAATGTTTGTCGTTTCTATTTGCTATAATTGATTTCTAGATATTTTTGGTGTTTTGTTTTGTTTTTACTTTTTCTAAATCTAAAATAATTATATTTGAATTTGAATTTTGTTGTTAGAATTTTCTTTATACATTTCCAGTATTGTTTTAAGGAAACTAATTCAGGACAACATTCAGCAATGAGCACTGAGACTTGCATAATAAATTCAGTCAATTGCAATGCCTCGTTAAATACTGCAAAATTAAGTCACTTACAATTTAACTTTCTCTAGATGTCTTTGGTTCAAAGTTATAATTATAATATTTACATATTAAAGGGTTGACACTAAGATATATATTTGTTTCTCAGGATTTGCAATCTGATATTGCATCCTATGCTTCATTGTATACCAGCCTACTGCAGTTAAATGAATCACTATTTAAAACAAGTTCCAGCGAAAGTGTGAAAACACTTAAAAAAGACTTGGAAGACTTAGATAGAAGATGGAAAACTCTACCTCAGATAATTAACAAAAGGTTTGTGTTTCTGTTTAAATAGCAGCTCTTTACTGGCAAACAGATGCTGATCACTGACAGAATGCAGAATGCCACAAGTTAATGTGTCAAATGTAATGGAAATCACACACTGGGCTATGTTGTTTGATGGGGACTAAAGTGGAGAGTACAACAATCCAAGAAACCCATATGTACAATCACTGGCATTTTTCTGTCTTCTGCATGGAAGACATTCAGCCATGGAAGACAATGTGGGGATCATTCACTTGGTCAGCTCCCCAACAAAGGTTTATTTGAGAATGCACTCTGAAAGAGAAGATGTTATGAGATTGTTTTCCTTTTGAGTGATACATCTTTCTATTTACTGTGTCAACTCTCCTACTTGACTGTGCCCCTGCAGGGATGAGCCATGCAAAATTTGTGTTTGATTAGCTGTACCTGTTTATCATTATTATTTCCCACAGCTCTGTTTTTTATTCCCACATAGAGGATTGTGCTGTACAGTACATTACTTACATAATTGAATATGTAACATTCTTTTATTGCATCCTTAACAAAAAAAAACACCTGACCAAGTCAAGATAAAAATGAAAATGTTAATTTCAACATCTTCCAGGATAAATTTTCTCCAGTCTGTTGTTGCTGAGCATAGACAGTACGATGAGCTACTCCTCAGTTTTTCTGACTGGATTAAGCAATTTCTTGGTAAACTACATGCTACATCTGAAATAAATACAGCTGATCAACAGCCTGCTGTATGTCACAATAAGGTAAATTCAGTGACATCTTTATGACATTTCTGGGTCACTTCTGGGTCTGGTATGATGTGTGTATACATGGTTGTGCACATATTGAATGCTCGTAAATGGCAGGCTGCCTGTAATAAAAGAAGTTGTACAGAATTTGGGGGGTGGGGGAGGAAACAAGCAGAAATTTAGTAACATCAAATGACTTTATCAAATTTGCTGGCAGTGCTAAGCAAGGCTTATGCCAAGAAGAGGTGTTTTCCTTTTGCTTTATAACACTTTTTATTCCCTACCCTTCATCTTAACAGGAACACAGAATGGAAGTGGAAGGAAAGTTCAAAGAACTACAGAGTCTGAAGAGTCATGTTGAAAAGCTGTGCTCTTTCAGTCGGCCAGAAGATCACAGTGTGTTCCAGAATAAGGCTGAAGACTGTCTCCAGCTGTATCAAGAGGCCAGTCAGGTAATTAGCCGCAGGCAAGATGTTTTGCCCCACATTAAGGCCTTCTTAGAGCTTCATACTGCTGCATCACAAGTTCTTCACCATTTGAGGCACATGGTAGAAACTACTGGAAACATGGACAAGTCTAAATCCGAAGTGCTGGAGAAGGAATTGAGTGAGGTTATTCAAGATGTCAGCAAACTGGAATCTACAGCAGCCAGTTTAGATACATCCCTTACTAAAGCACAATATCATTTAAAACATGGAAGCTCTGAGCAAAGAATCTCCTGCAGGAGTATCGCTGACAATATCTGCATAGAATTAGAGTATGTCCAGTCTTTGCTGGGAACGAAGCAGAGTGAAGCAGAAGCCCTGGGAGCTCTGCACAGGTCTGTCATGGAACGCAAAGAACAGCTCTTAAAAAGCATTGAAGATATCGAAGAAAGGGCTGACAAGGAAGGACTGAATGAACCAAGCCTTCAGGAAGTTCAGCAAAGGTAAAACAAAAAGGAATGCATGCATCACATGAGGATAACTTTCTCAACTGGTTCTTAACTCATTTCACTTACTAAGATTGTGTATTGAGTCAAAAAAGCATTTTTATTTTTTATTTTTTGCTGTCTGGTCTCGTTGACCTGATTTATAAATTTGTAAGTTGTGGGTCTTAGTCCAAAGAATTGGAACTGACATGGTTGTATCAATAGGGCTTGGTTTTAAGGCAATGGATCTTGCGCTATATTCTGAGTGGAAGGTCAAAGCATGTAGGTATGTGTAGCAGTCAGTAGGCTTCCATTATAAGATGATACTGGTCTAGGTTGAGGTTGATGATGCGGTAGAGTTGTTAGTTTTAGCCCTTCATCCTTTTTCTTGATGAAAGTAATAAGGTTAATTGTCAAAACAATAGATATTTTATATGCCAAATGCTTAAGACATACATATTTGTATGGAACGGGATATAAAATTTACGATGTGAAGGCATTTGTATGGAAAACAGTTACAATAATAGAACTTACTGTACATTGAACAAAAATAGACTAAATTTCAGAAAATATTTGCAAGTACAGTACACTGTCCCATCAGGAATGGGGTTGGTGTTAACCTTCCTAAGTAGTTAGGTATATGGTTAACAGCAAATAATATAAATCTGTATGAAGATAATTATTTTAAAACCTGGGAAGATATTAAAAGAAATTTGCAATTTTGGGACAGAATGAAACTTTCACTGTTAGGTAGAGTGTCGACTATAAAAGTGAATGTATTACCAATAATGTTATTTTTGTTTCAATCAATTCCAGTGATTGGCAAGACAGATTGTTTCAATGTATGGCAAAAAGATATTTCTAAATATATCTGGTAAGGGAAAAACCAAGAATAAAATATTGATAGAGGCAAAAGAGAGAGGAGGTTTCTCCCTGCCAGATATGAGATTATATTATGAAGCATCATGTCTTTGTTGGTTGAAGGAATGGATTACATTGGAGAATTCACATCTTAGATTTAGAAGTTCATGAGAATATTTGTGGTATGAAAATGTGAAAGTACACAAAGGATTTACAAATCACATAATTAGGAAAAAAATTGTATAGTGTGTGGGATAAATACAAAAATTTAATGAAGACAAAAACACCACTTTGGTTCTCTCTGTTAGAATATATATCGTACTACAATTTGATTCATATCATCACAGTTGCTCTAGAATGTTATTGTGATGCTTAACCAAATATTGTATTATATTTTTGTCTGTTTGCAGAGGTGTATCTTTGTTTGTCTGTTGTTTTGTTTGGTGATGTTATTTTTATTTATTTATTAATGAAGAAACCTAAAAACAAATTAGCAATACATAATAAATATGTTGATTTACAGATTAAGGATTTTTAATCAGTTGGATGATGAACTGAATTCTCACCAGCATGAACTAAAATGGCTCATGAGCAGAGCAAAGCAAATTGCCCAAAAAGATATAAACCGTGCTCAAGCGGTTGACAAGGAGATTAATTGTTTGGAAGTCACCTGGGAGGATACTAAGAAACTTATTCAAGAAAAGTAGGTATTTAATTAATTGCAATATTTAAACATTGAAGGTTTTAAATGTTGTAATGACTTAATACACGCTGCTAGAGTTGTAGTTATAAGTATCCTCTTTCAAGTTGTTCTGAAGAGGGTCAAGCCTTTGCAAAAACTCCAGCTGAATGGTGGCAAATGCTCTGCTAGCATTTGAATGCCCATAGAGGCTTAAAGTCACTCACAAAGCACCTATCTCTCCCTTCCCCTTAGTTCAAAAATTTACCTTTGGAGCAGGAGAAAGTGGAAGTTTTTATTCCACCCCTATTAGATTCTGGGATTGATAGTTCCAATCTCTGTCAGGGAAATACACACTACCAAGGTTCTGGAAGAGGTCACTATTGCATTGTAAGTTTCTGTCACAGAGGTCACTATTGCTACCTTCCCCTGCCCTAAATGTGGGTTTCTAGACCAAGGAGAAGGGCAAGAGTGGCAGTTCCACTTTACGTGGTCAAGGCAAGCATACTGCTGCAAGCAAAATTGCAGGCTATTTAGTTCTGTTCACAAGCATTTGAACAGGGCTGCTCAAAGGAGCAAAACAGCTTTATCGGCTGCTTTATGTACACACCTCCATTTTCTACTTGGACCTTTGTATCAAAGTGCATGTCCTCATTGCTGCTGCAAATCATGGGAAGGGAACTACAAGGCACCAGGAAATTGTGCATGATCAGTCATACTCTGGGCGCACAGTAGACAAAGCATACGTGTCATCATATTTTTTTCCCCACATCATAGGCAGGAGCAGTGTTGTGTCCTTGTTGACCTGATAAGAGAATATCAGAGCCTGAAATCCACAGTAAGCAAAGCCATAGAAGTTGCTAGCAATGTTACAATGACAAAAGCCATGTTGAAGGACCAGGAAGATGTTAGATGGGCTTTATCAAAGGTAAATTAAAATATTTTCATCCTAAAAAAAGCAGTAGTAATTATTTAGTGAATCGTTTTAGCAGGATTATAGTCATCTGCCGATTCTTCACTTTTGAGGATAGATTCTTTTATGCAATGAGCTGCTACGTGAGAAGGTAATCCTACGTCCACTGATAAGGTAATGCATAGCAGACATTCGCAAGTGAAACAGTAGGGTTTGGTTGGAGTTGCTTGACTGTGATCTCTATCTGCAATGTAAAACATATGTGCATTGCTTTACCTACAATGAGTAAGTAACTTTATTGCAAAACTCTAGATTGGCCTTTTCAAAATAAAAGTAGTTGCTTGAAATCAATGGTGCGCAAGTTGGTCATGATGGAAAGTTTAAAATGTAACGTGTAAAGGTGATTAGGCAGAATGGATGGTGAATCTGTTTACAGATTTTTGTAACAAGCAAATTTTTCTGTTCACAGCATGAAGCAGCCAGAAATGAGTTGAATGACAGACAGAGGGAATTGGATGCCTTCACTAACAAAGGAAAACACTTGCTAGCAGAACTCAAAAAGATTCCCAACTGTGATCCCATGCTAGTAAAAGTTGACATGGACAGCACTGTGGACAAATGGCTGGATGTAAGCAGTATACAGTCATACCTCGTGTTGCGTTTGCTTCAGGTTGAGCGTTTTCAGGTTGCGACCCGGAAGTACCGGAAAGGGTTACTTCCGGGTTTCTCCGCTCACGCATGCGCAGATGCTCAAAATGTGAATAACTGAAGTGTGAGTCCAATAATGGGAATGAAGGGTTATATATAATCAGAACTTGGCCTGTATTATATATATAGCATGAAGAATTCATGGCACCTTGAAAGATATTTTTTATTAATTATCAGAATTGCATTGCATCATTTCTCCAAGGAGCACAGTGCGGCATATGCAGTTTTCCCATACAGTTCTCAACAATCCTGTGTGTGTGTAGTTTGACTTGAGAAACAGGAACTGGCTCCTTGTCACCCAGTAAGTTTCTTGGCCTAGTTGGGGTCTGAACCCAGATCTCTGCAGTCTCAGCTGAGCAGTTTATTAAGTACACTATATTTATATAAAATGGAAGGAAATGTGAATTTGATTTCTCAAAGTGCGCCTTTTCTCCTGGCAGGAAATAACTACTTCAGAAGGGAAAGCTTTCATCAGGGAAAGTGTTAAGCCCCCTCCCTACATGTAATGGTTCCAATCCTGATTGTGCCCCACACAGCTCTTATTCTTAAAGAGAAAAGCACACCAATATATTCACACACAGTGCATTATGTAATGCAGTCAGCCTTGAAATTCAGGAGGAGAATGAGGCATTGATTATAGCACTAGTTAACACCAAGCCCCCAGATCCAGTGCCACAGAGGCAGCTTGGCTTTCTACTCTCACTCTGTGGCAGATCAAGGAGGAATAAGAAGCACAAAGGTTACCTTTTGTTAGGGTTGCTGCTCCTCTGTGTGCGTCTGGTTAGTGGTGATGACTAGAGAAGGAAGGGGGTAGGGTAGAAAGTCAATAAAATTTGATGCAACTAGGGAGTGAAGATAATGCAACTGGACAAAGGTTCCTGAGCAAGGCTGCAAGTTCTTTAAAATAAATTCCTGTTTCTGGCATGAGGATAAATTTGAACCCTTGAGGAAGGTCTTCCCTTTTCCCAGTGACTAAGCAGGGGTCCTTGAAAACACACTTGGATCTTGTAAGAACAACAAAGAATCTGGCACCTTTGTCACTCAGTATACAGATGGCATAGTCAGGAGGATGTTCTCAGTCTGTCTTAGCAATCAACGTGAGCTGTGCTAGAATGACAGGTGGGTCAGCAGAACTAAGCAATTAGTTAAGCAATTAATTGACTTAAACTTACTAGAATAATCAATAAAGATTTATTTAATCAGGCAATATCCCTAATTGCTTTCTTCATTGCATAACAGGTTTCAGAGAAGCTTGACGATAGCATAGATAGGCTGAGTGTCAGTGTGTCACTGTGGGAAGATGTCCTGGCAGTTGGTGATGATGTGGATGGGTGGTGCAACAACTCCATCTCACAGATGAATGGCATTGTCAGCAACCTGGCCAGCTGCCAGGGAACGGAGGCTTTCCTGGAAGAATGCCAGGTACCGTTAAATTGTTAACAGGCAACAAATACACATCCAATGAATACACACAATTTACAGGTGTTAAATGCTTTTGGAAGAATTCCCAGCAGAATTGAAGAAGTCAGGAGGAGTGAGAAGGATGCATCTACCTTTATCTAGATCCTGTGCCTATATCCAATAGTGGTTGGCTCATCTGGCTTCCAATGCCAAGGGTCACTGCCAGTTATCCAGAGATAGAGGGGTAGGGACAAGGCAGCAGGGAGATCAACAAAATGTGGCTGCAGTCACAAATTCCATCAGAGGCTCCCACCATGCTTGCACTGAACTCCTTGTTGCCTTGCTGGTCTGCCTTTTCCTCTCAGTAATGGTTGGCATTGGAAAGCTAGGTGAGCAATGCTGTCGCACTGACCACTACTTCCTGCCCCCGGCTGAGGACATTGGGACCGGGGGCAAGATGGCAGTGTGGGAGCAACAACAAGAGTCCAGAAGCCAGGGGTCCGAGGGTCAGGAAGCAAGAAGTCACAAAGTTGAGGGTCCAAGGGTGAAGAAGCAGGGAGTCAGGAAGCCGAGGTCCGAGGATCAGGAAGCAAGAAGCCAAACGCAGCAAGGCAGGAATCGTGTTGCTGTGGCGAAGAGCCAAAGGGAAATGCTGACCTTATATCCCTTATATTCCTGCCCGGCTGTTGCCACCAGGTGCAGTGAGTTACCAAGCGGCTTCACCTGTGCGGCCTTGCCTTGCCTCTCCAGAACAAACTTAGGAAGGCCCCAGTCCTGTGAAGCCCTACTGGTCACAGGCCTGGCTCCTGCACGCACTCCTGACACCATGACCCAAGTTACTTTTTCCAATAGGAATGAATGGCAGCTGTTCACTTATATGGAATGAATGCACTTAGGGCAGTGGTTTTCAACCGGGTTGCCATGGCACCCTGGGGTGCCTTGAATGACGGTCAGGGGTGCCATGAGCAACACTGGCCTCTGTCCCTCTTTCCTTCCCTTCCTCCTCTGATGTCTTTGCCTCCCCAAGGCTTGCACAGCTGTTTATTGCAGCAGCCCTGGCTATAAGCTCTGCAGGCGAATGGTGCCTCTTGCAGGCACCTCTCTTTGGGGTGGGGGTAAGCACAGAGACCAGAGGCTGCCTGGAGGACTCCCAAAGAGCGGAGCCTGAGGGAACACTCCACAGGAGGGGGTTTGAAAAAGGGTGAGAGGCTGCTAGCTCTACAGGCAAGGGATGACACAACTGGACTCCTGAGTCCCACAGGGGAGCCACAGAAAGAATGTAGTTGGTTAAGGGAGCCGTGGACTCAAAAAGGTTGAAAACCTCTGACTTGGGATGGAGATATTAAACTAAAGCCATTTTTCCTCATGTGCTCTTTTACAGTCTCAAATGATAAATAAAGAACAGAATGTGGAACAAATCAGTTCAAAAATATCTGAGCTTAAAGAATTAGTAAATGCAGAAGAAGTTCCCCCAAATCTTCAGGTAAGATATTGTAGCCCATTGCAGCTAGTTCTTTAAGATCCTTTAGGAGCCCAAACAGACTTTCACACTCTTTCAGTCTCAGGCTTCTATGAAGTTTGATTTGAATTAATAGCTCTAATCTTTGTTAAATGTTCCTGTTACAAGACTATATACATAGACGAGAGGGAGTCTATATTTGGCTCTTGGTGTTTAAAAATCCATCATGTAACTTAGTGACTGGTCCTTATTCTTTCAAGAAGAAAGATCAGATGGCCTTATTGTGAAATTCCTGTTGTTAGGCTGAAGATTGTATGAAAGAACAGCCACAATAAGATTATTCCTTTTAATAATGAAGGCAGGTGGTCAAGTGGCAGCTTGAAAGCAAAATGGGACCACCTTTGTAAGACTAAAATGCTAAAGTTTGGTACTGGCAGCTGGAGGGAAGGTATCAGCTCCCCCCCCCCATTGAACACCTCTGCAAGCTTCTGTTTAAGGCTAGCTGGAGCCCTGATCAAGAGGACTCCTCTTAGGGTGAAAGGCTATACTGCAACGTTATTATTTTTGTAGCTGCCACTTGTGGGATTTAATGTTTGTATTGTTGATTCATTAAAGGACCTTATGTTTTCTTATTTAACAAATGGTACCACAGAAGTGGGATAATAATTATTTTCAGTTGTTTTATGATTATGACAGGGAGGATTTGCTTTAATTAATCTGCTTGTTTTTGTTTTAGTTTTTAGAAGCAGATTTAAGGAAAAAACTGGTGCATGCTAAAGAAATGTCTGAGATAGCAAAAGAAACACTAAAAGATTTTAGTACTCAGAAGATGCAGTTACATAACTTTGTTAATGAGATGGAAAAGTGGCTCACCAAAATGGAAGAATCACTCCTAAGCTGTGCTCATAGCCAGGATCTGTCAGGTCTAAGCACAGTCAAGGTGAGTATTACAAAAACAATATAGTATTTCGAGCTTTATGGTTCATCAGAATTCCATATCCATTCTTATGCCACTGTAGAAGGGCATTAGTGAGGCTTTGGCATCACCTTGTGGTAGAAGGCAGATTTTTACCTTTACCTTTTATAGAAGGAAGAAAATAGAACTTGTGGGAAGTAGAGAGCTGCCCAGAACCAGTTTGCTTTCTTGCCTTTCATAAAAATGTTCATATCCGCCCCCCTCCCCCCAGCTTCCATCTCCTTCAGGCATTTGTTCTGTTTTCACTAACCAGGACAGCATACAAGGTGAGGGAAGCATATTGAAGTTGAAGTTAGCAGTTGGCCAGCATCGGCCTCACCACTCTAACAACCAAGTTCATGATGTTGCCTTGTGAGGTGGGGCAGGGGTGCCCCCGCCCCGCCGACCAGCAGGAGGGAGAGGACAGTGTATCAGACTTGATGGCTCCCAGCCCTGCTCAGCTCTGGCCACCTCCTGATCCCTCTTAGCAGTGTTTTGTTTACATTCCAGTAGCGGCCAGAGCCTCAGCATGCCTGTGCCAGCCCTCCCCCTGTCCCCATAACCCTCCTTGTCACCACATAGGCATCCTGCCATTGGTCACACTCTGCACCTGCTCACCACAGATGATGTGGCAGTGGTGGGAGGCGGCACATCAGGGTTCCAAGGAGCATGTTGCAGCAGCTGGCCGCCACCACCACCTTCACAGCAACTGCCAGCATGCTCCTTGGAGGCCGGATCTGCCACCTGGCTAGATCCTGCTGCTTGAGGCAGCTGCCTTACCTTGTCTCATGTGTGGGCCGGCCCTGGTTTCATGGCACCTTTAGCTCAGAGACAAAAAAAAAAAAAGACTTCATCCCAGATATCTCACTGTTTAATGCCAATTACAGGAAATGGACGAGATTTTAAACTAACTTAATATAGTGCATTTATCATGTGTTGGTTTAGAACTATCAGGAAAACCAGTGCTTTTTTCTGGGGGTACGCAGTGGTACGCATACCCCTAAACATTTTGTGAATCTTTGTACTTTTGTCCATTTACTGTATTTATTTTTCCCCGATTTGAACTATAAAATGGTGATTTTCTTGAGTCAAAATGAGAGTACCCCTAAACATTTTTTTAGAAAAAAAACCCTTAGGAAAACAAGCAAAGCTGTTCCTTCCCCCTGCCCCCTCGCTTTCCTCCTAGAAATCAGCCATCTATTTCCAAGTCAAAATGTGAAAAGTTATCACTATACAGTTATTTTCATATGGTCCAGAGTGGAGAAATTTCCTGCTTTGTTAGGCATGGTAGAAACTTGTAGCAAAGATATTGGAAGCTATATAATGGCAATGAACCAGAGGTATTTCCAGGGTCTAAGATTCTAAGTCTAGAAAAAATGTAAGTAGGGCTGCACATACATTTCAAGAAACTTCAGCTCAACTGATACATGAGGAAGTGTCCCAAAATTAGGGACAATGGTGTTTTGTTTCAATGTACTTCATACAGAGGTAAAACAGTTAGTAGAATAATTTAAAATCGATTTCTTTTCTATTTTGATGGCTGATATTTCCCTCTCTAAGGTTGCAGGTTCAACCCCTTTAAGAGACTGCTGAATATTCTTGCATTGCAGGGGGTTGGACTAGATGACCCTCAGGGGTCCCTTCCAATTCCAAGTAGGGAATAGATATAAATAAGTAAGATGGTATGTATGTGTTCATGGTAGATTTAAATAAACATAATGCTCTCTATTTGATGTTACAAATTTTTGCTCAGAAAATACAAAAGGACCTGCAGCAGCAGCAGAGCAACTTTGATTCCACTCAGGAAACACTTAACAGCCTGTGTCGCAAATATCCATCTGTGGAGCTGGAGACTCTTGGGGGCACTGTCACATCGTTAATAAAGAAGTATGAGGCTGTGAACCAGTTATGTTTGAAAACCCAGACTTCCATGCAAGAGTCCCTGGAAAAACACTTCTTCCGTGAGTCGTCATGGTTGTTAATATGTGAGCCACAGGAATGTATGAAATTGCTTCAGATGAATCATGCCAGCTTTGGTTGGTGAAACGTTTCCATTAACATCACTAACTCATTTTTATGCATAGCCTTTCCTAAAACTCAAGTTGCCAAAAACTTGTTTTACTTACCTTTCCAAGTAGCTGGGTTTTTGCATAAACTGTCTTAATATATTCACTATTCAAAACAGAGAGTCCTAGTCAGTATTCACCAGAATAACTCAGCTGTTATTTCTGTTTTCTAATTCTATTAAACTGCCACTGCTGTTTTGCAGGCTTCCTTGTTTTTGCTAACACCAAAGTGGTCTATCATAGAGAACAATATTCAGTGTTCCATTACTGAACTGAAATCTATGCCATTGTTCTAGTGGCGGTGATTACAGTATTCAAGTCAGTATACTGTATAATTAAAACAGTATTGTTGATGAATTCTGAGCACAGAATATCAACATTTTTGTATAATATAATAATGTTTTATATCTATCCCTTCTTGTTTTTTTAAGAATCTATGTGTGGATTTCAAAACTGGTATTCTAACCTGAAGACTGCTGTAAAAGACTTAAGTATTACATCTGGAGATAGTAAAACCATCGAAGCAAAACTCCATGAACTGCAGGTACTGTTACCATGGATGACCAAACAACACATTGTTTGGTTTTCAAGTCTTTTGGGTCATGCAGGTGTACCCTTTAAGCACTCACAAAGCCTTGTGGGTTTTGTGAGTGCTCAACATGCATGCTCACCCTCATTACCACCAGCAAAAACTCTGATAAAAATACCTTGGTGAAGGCGCAAAGATTACAGGTACAGAAGAACTCATTGAAGACAGGATACTGCTAGCATATTAGTGGTCACAAATAGCATCTTTCCCAAAAAATATTGTAGGCAGGGTGACATGTTGTATGTATCTATGGCATGAAATAATACGCATACTGTCAATTGCAGCTATGGAGAAGCCCATGGGAAATGCTCACTGAATGTACCAACATTAATCTGACTTTAAATTTTACCCAGTCTTAACTGATGATGCTACCAGGCCCTTTGTGTTTCCAGTGATGTCTTTTGGATTACTGTGGATGTTAGAGAGCGCCTTGCAACCTACTCCCACCAAGATCCATCCCCACCACCCTCCCTCCCTCCCTCCATTTACTTGCCAAGGATGATAAAGATGGTTCCATGGTTGTTTGCATACCTGGATGCTACTATGCAAGTGTAAGGTGGATTGCAAAATGTTGGTTCATACCAAACCTTCTCTTTCCATACAAAACTTGCAGGTTAGAATTTTTTTGCTAGTTGGTCTTCTATACACAAGAACTTTGTATTTGTTTTCTAAACAAGGAGTAACATTCAAATCTTCTGTCTACCATCTGAAGTGGTACATTCAAAGGAAGTCTGTGCCAACTAATCTTTATGTATAGATAGTCTTGGCTTTCTAAACAATTGCTCTTAACATTCATGCTTTAACCAATCTTCTTCATTTCCATTTTTTTCCCCTTCCTCTACCCACTTTCCCAAGTAAAATTCTGTGTTTGTTCCACTCAGAAAGTGTTGGATTCCGTTGAGGAAGGAAGGAGCAAGCTGGCGGCAGCTTCCCAGGAAGGAGAACATCTGTGTGCTTTCCTACCTAAATCATCTGTGAATAGCATCCAGGAACAGATAAATAAAGCTCATCAGGACTTTGAGGGATTCTTTAAACAGTGCTTGAAAGATAAACAAGCTCTGGAAGAGTGCATTGCGGAGCTGGGAAGGTAGGTTGTTTTATTCATTTGTGCATGTGATGCAGTGTATAAAATATCCATATAAATCTGCCTTGTGGTCTTGGTCTACCTATTCTGACCAGCAGTGACTCTCCCAGCCATGCAGCCCCAGAGCTTTTTAACTGGATTGGGCCTGGCAGCTTATGCACACAAAGCATGTGCGTGACCACTGGACTTTGGCCTCTGCTAAAAGTGGATTTGCTTGACAAAAAGAAAACAGTGGCCTATAGCTTAACATTGTGAAATCGTTGGTAACCATGTCAAAACATTTCCTTTACAGGGAGGAATGTTTGTGGTCTCAGTCCTCTTGCTTACATAACATCAGCAACAAGTCCAGTTTTGAATACTTTTATTCATGTGCTCATAGCAAACAGTCCTTCTTTCTAGTTTGTACAGTTAAAATGGAGATATGGGTAGGATGGTTGACCATTGGACACTGGGTGCGGCCCTTCAAATCTCCAGTTGAAGCAGGAGAAAAGGAGCTGTGGATTTGCCTACTTCATTATTTGCCTGACTCCCTTCATCTTCGGTGGCAAGAATGTCTCCAGGATGTCACACAGGCCAGCAGATTATGGTGGGCAATAAACAGCACAACTGGGGAGAGAATGGACCAAACAATCTATGTCTGCATTTTCTCCTGCTTCAACTAGATGTGTAAATGGAGATGCCTAGTATCTGTGGAAAGAGGTTACAACCCTAAAGGAGGAATTCAGGATCGTGCTAAGGTGATCATTCCATCAGGGCAAGCATTTTGGTTCACCAGACAGAATGATCCCCCCTTTCCTGCCCCTGTGTGCTGTCCCAAGAGTTCTCCTGGACCCCTGAGCCAGCTTTAGGGGCACTAAGGGAGCAGGGAGAAGCCCTGTTGTGCAAATGGAAACCTTCTGTTGACGGGACTCATTAGGTGAATCCTGTCCTCAATATGTGTGAGAGAGAGAAAGAGTGAAAGGGGAGGGGAAATAGAACAACCAAAATAGGCTTATTTGACATTTATATTTCCTGTATAACCATATTTGGGCATTCACCCCTCATACAATTACATTTGTGTAAGGTAGAGAGTGGGATAATTTTCACTAGCTCTATCCCTGCTGGCCTATTGTTTCCTCATCAGCCCTAACTCCCCCCCCCCATCCAAACATTGCAAGGGGTGGTCTCTGAAAGTGGGAACCTGTTCTAGGCTTTAATGTATGTATGCTCCACGCATACAGCATATATTGGAGTCACATGAGGGGTGAATGTATGAGTCGGGCTGTAGAGAACAATCCTTCCATTGCCTTCAGTTTCCACGTAGACTATGATAAAAAATTAAGCTGTGCCACTTTTACAATTTTGAAAGCTCCATTCTCTCTATAATTCCCACGGTTTTGCTTGACATATTTAGATCCTTGTTGAGTATTTTTAGGTTACTCGTCACTGAACAAAAATAGTTTGTATGCTGCTCTCATGCACTAGGCATTAAAGTAAAACTGATATCTAGACAAATTTCTTTCTCAGTTTGTGTAATAGCAGGTGAATTATCTCTTTATCTAGCAACTGTTGCATACTTCTGCTTTTGTTTTGTTCACAGCTTTGAGGATCTGTGCAAGAGCTGGAGTTTGTGGCTCCATGAAATGGAGGAAAGGATAAGCACGGAAGCTTTGGGTGAGAGCAAACAGAATATTTCTGATAAGAAAAATGAGGTGCAGAAAGTGGAAGCATTCCTAGAAGAGCTGCTGGTGGCCAGGTAAAAAACAAACTTTACCTAAATAGCCTATCTTCTTGCCTGCTCTATTATATAATAATGCCTACACGATCCTAAATAGTTTGCTTAATGTGTATTTTTACCAGCACAGTGACAAATAAAAAATGTATTGAAATCAAGAAACAAATGAGATATGCATATGGGTCTAGTGCTGAACTTTTTTATTCAAGATAGCTTAGTAGTTAAGGGAAGTTTGCATACACTGCAATATGTAATCGGTTCAGGGAACGGTTTCTCATATCCACCATACAGGTTTTGTTCCGTTGCATAAGTGAGTAGTGGTACATAAATACATCAACAATCTAGCAAGTCTCAGTCCCCTTAACAACCATATTCTTATTAAGGACTAAGGATTCAGTGTGGCATGTGACTATGGGGCCCACTATTATATTATGATTACAGTTTTGTTCATGTACCCTTATGTGAATCTTTTACCATTCATATTGGAACTATATTGCAATAATGAACATTGTCCATAGTTTTTCATATGTGTAACTCCGTAAGCTTTCTTCTCCATTTTTGTTTAGAGAATCCTTTGATAAACTGACCCAGAAGTCACAGGTTTTAAATGAGAAAGGATATAGTACTGGGAAGGAAGTCCGTCTGGCTTCTCAACATTTCTCTGCTTACCATAACCTAATCAAGGCAGTGAAGGAAAAGCTGAAGACCTCTCAGGTGGCTCTCCAGGAACACCAAGCATTAGAAGAAGCTCTGCAGGGTATGTGGACCTGGGTGAAAGATGTGCAAGAAAAGCTGGCCTCTGCAGAGGGCACCATTGGGAGCAAAGTCGTGTTGGAGAAACGCCTCATGCAAATACAGGTGAAGTAACAAAATCATGGAACTGTTTGTATCAGAACTGTTTGCTGGGTGCCCTCCAGAGGTTTTTGTGACAATTACCAGCACTTGTGTTGGTGGGGGCTTATGGGAGTTGTAGTCCAAAGCCTGTGAGGCACCCAGGTTGGCAAAGGTTTCAAATGCTTATCCTCATATGCTTCCTAAATCCAGATAAAACTCAATCTCTAGTTAAAGACAAAGACAAAAATGGGTTACTGAAAATATAGGATTGTCCTTATTTCCTCGCTTGTAACCTTATGTGTCACTTTTGAAAATAATAATATTCAGCTGTTAAACCAAAACACAAGTGACCATGAAGTGAACACTAAAATTAAAAACTAAAACAACAGCCACAGTTTTTTTAAAAAAGGATCCGCCATGAGTAATAACAGGCAACTAAAGCATCATTGGGACGCGGGTGGTGCTGTGGGCTAAACCACAGAGCCTAGGACTTGCCAATCAGAAGGTCGGTGGTTCAGATCCCCGTGACGGGGTGAGCGCCCGTTGCTTGGTCCCTGCTCCTGCCAACCGAGCAGTTCAAAAGCACGTCAAAGTGCAAGTAGATAAATAGGTACCGCTCCGGCGGGAAGGTAAATGGCGTTTCCGTGCGCTGCTCTGGTTCGCCAGAAGCGGCTTAGTCATGCTAGCCACATGACCCGGAAGCTGTACGCCAGCTCCCTCGGTCAATAAAGCGAGATGAGCGCAGCAACCCCAGAGTCGGTCACAACTGGACCTAATGGTCAGGGGTCCCTTTACCTTTTAAAGCATCATTATCATCACCATCCCTCAAGCAGGCCAAATGGTAATCAGAATTACTCCTCCACTTTAAGAGACAAAATTCCCCTTGCTTTCAAAAGCTGAACATATCCATTCATTTCTGTGGCTTACTGGCCAAGGGTACCCAATATATTCTTTCATCTTTAGTGCTAGTTGTGACAACACTTAAAAAGCTAGATCAGACTGAACTATTATTGTAATTCTATAATAATCCTGAAAGGGGTTGCTAAGAGGAATCTAGAATTCAGTAATGTCCATAGAAAAAACTACACAGGTAATCTTTTCTAATGTCATATATGATACAGCCTTTGTTTCAAAACTTGATGGGTGGCATTCTTCTTGTGGGTAAACTATTGAAGCTTTATAGTCCTTTTGCTTCCTAGGAGATCCTTTTAATGAAAGGTGAGGGAGAGGTCAAGTTAAATATGGCCATTGGCAAAGGTGAACAAGCCCTTAAAAGTAGCAATGAGGAAGGGCAGAAAGCGATACAAACCCAACTGAAAACATTAAAAGATCTCTGGAGCAGCATTATCAATACCTCCCTGAGCTGTCAAAGGTAAGTTATTTCGCTTTCTACATATACTTGTGATCATTGTTTGGTAACTTTCTTCATTGAGAGTTCATCTTACCTGGTGATTGATTAATTAATTCGCTTAGGACTGGTTTGCATTGATTTGGATTCTAAGATAAGTGAAAGGAAGGAAGTTCATGAAAGAAAAAATTCTGGATCCCCTCCTTGATCTTGCATCTGCCTACACCCTGACAAAGTATCTCTGGAAGGGCAATGAGGCCCTCCAGAACATTGAGGAATGGGAGCCTGGCAGGCTGCTATGGGAGAGAAGGGCCAGCCAAAACCAACTAGCCAGTTCTGAGCAGAGTGCCTTAGGGGGCATGGCAGTGATGGCTACTGGCCAGTTTTCTGTGTAAAACATGTCCTTTTCAAGAATAAGGAGGGGGTGGTATGAGAAGGAAACAAACAATAGTTCATGAAAAATGTTAAGTAAGAGACATGTAACCTTCTCCGCCCCCAAATCATTTTGATTATTTCCCCCTCACTCCTCAATAATAACAAATTTTTCTTTCCCAGTTGCCACCTGTGATTTGGGGTGGGGGCTGAATTGGCAGGAGGTGTTTTACAGCAGCCCTAAATCTAGTTCATTCTCTTAAATGGTGTAAGATTTTAAATGCACTGTGCATTTCTTTACTGCAAGCTTGCTTGAGTCTGTGATTCATCAGTGGGATGAATATCTGGAGAGGAAAAGTCAGCTAGACCAGTGGCTGGAGTCAGTAGACCACAAAGTGGAGCAGCCTTTGGAGCCTCAGAATGGCTTGAAAGAGAAATTCTCCCTGCTGGACCATTTCCAGACTATTGTTGCAGAAGTGGAAAACCATTCTAAAGACTTGCACCAGCTCATGGGTAAAGCCAGCGAACTGTATGAGAAAACAGAGGATGATTCTTTCAGAGAGGCTGCTCAAGAGGAGCTGAAAATCCAGTTCAGTGACATTGCAACGGTAGTCAAGGTAAATATTATGTATGCTATCCCATATAGATGGAAGTATATTAATCCAAGAGATGCTGTGCTTAAATGTTGTAAACTTTTTTGGAGTAGCTTAGCAGCGTCAGCAGTGGACACCATGTTGCAGCTGGGCCACTCATCTAACTTCCATCCAGCTGAGTCACTGCAACACACCTAGAAGGAGAACGAGAGGGACAGGCATCGTTTGGACTATGCTGACCTTATACAGTAGCATGAGATGCTTAAAACCTGTCAGAGAACTCAGGAGGAACTAAGATTTGAGTGGATCATTCCAATACAATTGGTTTTATTTACCATGAAAAGACAGGCAAATATTGACAGGAAGTTATTGGAAATATAGTAGAGAATAAATATTTTGTAACTGGGAAAACGTAGAGTCTATGCAATACAATACTCAAGAAAGCAAACAAAAAATTAAATAGATGTTTATCTTGTCTGCTCTGTGGCTTCAAGCAAGAGTTCAGTGCAGTGAGTTCCAGGAGGAAATATGGTTCATTATCTGACATTGCTTATTGGATAAGCAAATCCTGAAAGAATCAAGCAGTTCTGCTATCTTGGGATGCAAGGGAACGATTCAGTCATAAGATATGTGTGACTCATCATGTATATTCCTTTGGACTAAAACATATTGCTGCAGTTATAAGAATATTTCATCATGTGTGTAGCTAGAGCAAAGAGGCCCTGTATTGGGGTAGCCAGTGTGGTGCCTTCTAAAATTCATTGGACTACAACTCCCATCATCCCTATTAGCCATATTGACTGGGACTGCTGAGAATTAGAGTACAACAACATCTTGAAGGCTAGTCATACTCTACCACTATAGAGTATGAAACAATATACATTGCCAGCATTCACATAATTTATACTCAGTGATCTGATTCGGTTCTAGTATAAAACTAAACTGTGGTTTATTGTTATATACACAAGTCCTTGTGTGTCCTCCTCTCCTCTCTTCTTCTGGCACAACTGCAAGGGGAAGATTGGAAGCTTTCACATTCATTTTCAGTCAAGCATGGTTTAGTAGTATGCCCATACCTAGCATTGTGATTAATTCTGATAGGTAATTAAGAAAACAAATAGGATCATAAACCATGGTTTGAAGATGACTTGTTTGTCTAAATTATAGTTAAGATCAACTACAGCTTTTCTGGGTTCAGACTGGTAGTTTGGCAGGGCAGGGGAACTTACCTGACTTTCCTGGAGGTAGAGGGGTGAGGTCTGTTTTCTTGGGTAGAAACTAGACAAATATAGGTCCTCTGGCAGAACTAACTCATTGCATTGTTATTCTGTAAACACCGTATTGAACACAACCTCCTTTTCACTTATAGGAAAAAATGAAGAGAGTGGAAGATATTGTTAAGGACCATCTACTATACCTCGATGCAGTTCATGAATTCACCGACTGGCTTAATTCTGCAAAAGAAGAGCTTCACCGCTGGTCAGATGCGTCAGGGGATTCATCAGCCATACAGAAAAAACTGGCCAAAATTAACGTGAGAAACTACTGCAGTAGCTTATTAACCTATTAACTTTAGCAAATATCAGTCAAGACATGGTAAAATAAGCATTAAGAAAAGAAAACACTATTTCTTACATTATATATTACAAATTCAGCTGAGAGCTTACCTGCTACTTCAAATTATGTTAAGAGCTCTACTGCTGAACTGCAGCTATTTAAAATAAATCAAAATTATACACAGCATAAGTAGGTGAAGGCTTTTATATATATCCAGTTCTTTTAAACAGGTAACATTTTAAACAAACAAAACTTGGCTTCTCATTGTGTAAGCTGTGTTTTATTTATTGAGCTGCTAGCTGACTATATTTCTGTATGCTAAAACATTAACGTTTTATGCTGTGTTTTATTTTTGTTGGTATTTTAAACTGTCACTTTGTATTTGTAATAATGTATTTTATTCTTTGCACTGTAAGTCAGTCAGGGATTTTATGCTGATGACTGGCTATATAAGCTTAGTTAATACAATCATACCTCGGCTCCCAAACACCTTGGGAGTCAAACGTTCCAGCTCCCGAACGATCGAAAACCAGAAGTGAGTGTTCCGGTTTTCGAATGTTCTTTTGGAAGCTGAATGTTCAACGGGGCTTCTGGGGCTTCCAATTGGCTGCAGGAGCTTCCTGCAGCCAATCAGAAGCTGCGCTTTGGAAGTTGAATGTTTCAGAAGTCGAACAGACTTCCAGAATGGAATCTGTTCGACTTCCGAGGTACGACTGTAATAATAACAAGAAGATGAAGAATCAGAAATCGTGAAATAATGGAACAAGTGCATATACCACATGGCAACTGGCTACTTGGTAATTTGAGGATAACACCATCCTTAAGTTATCATACCCAAAACAAAACACGAGTTGTGGGTGCTTTTTCTCCTATAATGTTTCTATATTTCTAACCGCTGCGTCTGACCTTACAGCTCAGTTCAAGACTGTCCAGAATATACCACAATCTGTATCATATAAAATAGACCACATGCCATGTCAATTTTAATCAATCCGAACTTTGTTTTCTAGGAAAATATGAGGGCTTTTTAGATTCTGAAACTCTGTAACTTGGTGCTAATGTTGCGACTTCATGCACAGCTTTTCCTTTTCTTTTTCCTGCTTTGTTATTTTAACCTTTCACTTACATTTTAGCACAGGCTCGGCACTGTTCAGAAAATATATATTTTTGGTGAAACTGTTTGTGAACACGGAGCAGTCAGTGTAGCTCTTCTGCAGAATGCTGTGTGTCGTTTTGTAGTAAGCATGCCGTTATCCAGCTGAAGTGGATCACAGCCATTTCAGTTGCCATGGCGATATTCCATTGCAGGAGCTGATAGATTCCAGACAGACTGGTGAGGGCCGCCTAAACAGAGTTCAGACGCTGGCTCCAGCGGTGAAAAAGAACACAACTCTTCAGGGGTGCAAGCACATAGAGACCGAAATGCAGGCCCTTCACTCCGACTGGAAGCAGTGGGAAGAGAGTGCATTCCAAACCCGAAACAGCTTGCAGGAGCTGGACACTCAGATGGCTCTGTCAGAGCAGGAATTTACCATGCAAGCTTCTCATCTGGAAGAGGCCCTGCAGCGCTTCAGCACACTCCTCGCAACCTGGTCTGAAACGCTGACCCCTCTGGATAGTAAGCAGACAGACAAAGAGCTGGTGGAATGCTGGCACCAAGAAAAGGTAAAACCATTTTGTTTCCGTTTTAGCTCTTTCTTCTCTTTTCTTTTTCTGCTGCGAAAGCCTGGGAGGAGGGGGGAAACCGCTTGTACAAAGAGAGTGTAATATGCAATTGTTGCTAAACTGGAAACTTTGGAATGCACTTTTAGAACTAAATCATATAAGTTAACTTTGAAAACACTAAAACCAGCTACACAGCAAACTGTAGAAGGAGTTTTTTGTGTGGAAACTATGTGTAGTGATTCCATGGCTTTCTGCATACACACGTGTTGCATTTCATTACTCAGTCCTCGTGGCACTGAAACTGGGGCCTCTGAGCAGAGGCAGAAATAGGATGCAGAAGCTTTGAGTACTCTTTTCTGTTTAACTTTCTCAGCTTTCATCGCAGCAATCGCCATGGGCTGTTTCAAGGGGTTTAGGTAACCAGTAGTCCTGCTGGCCTTGGGTTAAGTGTTTTTCACCAAATTTCCTGCTGGTCTTTACAACCAGTTGCCTTGATGGTTTTGTATAATTTTGGACCAAGAATAATGATCATGGACCATAATGATAGGAGAAATCCATATTTTAATTTGAACTTGAATCCAAACTTAACCGTCTGTAAATGGAAGGGCTCCTTCTGTCCATTGAAGGTTTTTTAACCATGCATGGTGGGAAGGAAAAGAAGGCAATTTTGGCTAATTCCCCCTTTCCCTCTGAATGCAACACACCGCTCTAGAGATTTACCCAACCACCTGGAACAGACTTTTGTAGAGAAGGAGAAAGTATCAAAAGTAAATTAGTTTAGAATACTTACATCCCACTTGATAGCCTCCAAATGCTCTCAAAGCACCTTACAAAATTTGCCTCTCCTCTTGAATGATCCAAATCAAGTTTTTTACACACAGACACCATGCATGGGTCCTGCACCAGCCACAAGCATGGTTTTTCCATCCAGTATTTGTAAAGTCAGAGCTGTTGCTTATATACATCAAACTCCACAGCAGCATTTCAGATCTTGAACTAAGCCCTCTCATAGTAGGAACAAAAAAGTTACTCAGTTTTATAAGTTGTTTGATGATCACTCCCAAAGTCTGGATCCAAGCCATGGTTGTTGGCTTTGGAATCTCGCAGATTTGCAGGTCTAACCATAGTTCCTGGTGTGCATGTAACAGGAAGCTCTTGTTAGATACAGCTTCCTGGTTTGTTTCTCTATCGTAAAGGGAGGAGCAAATGGAGAGCACAGCGGCTATTTGTGGGTGCATGAAATCCATACATATCCCACTTTGACTTTTGATCGGGCCAATGTATACATTTCACGAAGAAGGGATAATTCCATGTATGCAAATGCATATATCTTACTAGTATTGTTTTGTTTTAACTAGGAAACATTGAGTGCCCTAACCAAGGCAGAACATATGAACGATGATATAAAAATGCAGCTGAATGACCTTTGTCGGTTTTCCAAAGATTTGAGTACCTATTCTGCAAAGGTATCACAGTTAATTAAGGAATATAACAGGTGAGTTTCACTTTATAGAACAAACAACCAAAAATCTGTGCATGTCTGTGTTGCGTGACTTAACCATGATGTTCTTTGAATGTTAGCTTTTTAATTAAAATCTTGCAAAAGCATTAAGAATTAGATCATTCCTCACTTGGAGATAACAGATTCAATGCAGATGTTATTTATGTTTCTCACAGCAGTACTACAGTATTTTGTTGTATAACACATTTTTATGTTAATCTGGTGTATTGTATTGTACTGGATTAAATATCTCCCTCATTTTGTCTAACATAATCCCAATCTACATTTTCATTTGACTAACATGGGACTCTGAAGTCTTTGTCTACAAGCTTCAAAGGGTTGCCAAAGTAAAGAGCAAGCCTTGCAGCAGAGATTCAGGACAGTATTCAGAGACTTCCAACAATGGCTGGTCAATGCAAAAATCACTACTGCCAAATGTTTTGATGTGCCTCAAAATGTCAGTGAAGCTGCGGCCAATATCCAGAAAATACAGGTAACTTCTAATACGCTATTCTAATAAGCTGTTCCAGCATTTCCAAAATCCCCTTAAACAACATTTTATGCCTGAATAATGTTGCCTGTTGCTTTTGTATCAAAGGAATGTGGAACTGAAACCATAACCTGCTCTGAGGGTCTTAGCATAAAGTTAATTTTTAACAGTGCTTAAACACAGTTGGAAAAGAAATGTACTACCCCGCAGGAAACATTTTTTTTTTTAGGTTAATTTATAAGATTTGGGTAACGCTGTGTGTGTGTGTGTGTAGTGTGTGTGTGTGTGTGTGTGTGTGTGTGTGTGAGAGAGAGAGAGAGAGAGAGAGAGGTGTATTCATGAATACAATGAAGAATACTAAATGGTTTGTGTGTGTTTAAGCAATCTATAAATATACTCCAATTGCAGATTTTGCTAATAATCCTGCATAATTAAAAACACTGTAATAGAAGAAGAGTATTATACATCCTTTGGGGTTTGCAGTATGTTTATAAAACTCACATACACCTGATAAAGGGGAGAATGTAGTGGAACCTGAAATTACACTTGGTTCCTACTTAGTATTGTCTGCCAGAACTCTTGGGATAATATGAGGTTCAAGTTTCATTAGTATATATCTAAAGAAAAGGTCATTTGTTTGTCAAAAACAAAATGCAACCCCAGGCATCTGAAACGGAAGATATTTTTCCTGCTGATTCCCAGAGGACAATTGCACATTAGGGAAATCAAGACCAAAGGGAACTTTATGACAGACAGCTGAAGCAAATTGAAGATAAAGTTATTAGTGAAGAGTAGCTTGCCTGTTTAGCAAAAAAAAAAAAGGGAGGGATCCTTCATTATTAATTAATTAGAACATGGGTTATATATATCAGGTTTGGTGTAGAATCTCCTCATTTCAGTTGTGCTAAGTAAAAACAGATCTGGGGGTGAGCTGAGGCAGAGTCTTCACTTGAGTAGAATTTTAGGGACAAGTGATTGAACAAGCAACCAGTCTCTTGCCTTTTTAATTTGTTTGACTAAGGCTATATTGGTATTTATTTATTGCAAGCTGTATAGTTATATAAGACAATCTCTTGATTTAGGAATTCTTATCTGAAACTGAAAAAGGCCAACATAAATTAAACATGGTAGTGTCCAAAGGAGAATTATTAAGTTCTATTTTGCCAAAAGAAAAAGCTAAATCTATCCAAGCTAAAGTTGCTACAGCTAAGGAAGACTGGAAAAAATTTATCTCCACCCTGCACCAGAAGGAAACTTCTTTGGAGGTAATTGTGACCAATTGCAAATAAGCAGATTAATTAGAAACATCAGTCTTCTATTTTCCTTTTAAGGATAGTCATGCTTAATGCTATGCTAACTAGAACTACTGAGGTTTTAATGTACTGCTGTATTTTATCATGAAGGTTTTCTTATTTGTGTAACCTATTGTGAATTGCTTCGGAATTTATAGAAGAGTTTATCTGCTTTTCATGAAATGGCTAGAAATGTTTTTAAATGGATCAGTAAATTAAATTAAAATGGATGAGTACTATATGATTTCCAGGGCTCCTCCAGATAACCTGTTTCTTGATTGATCATTCTGCTCTGCTTGAACAAAGCATATGTGCAAGTTAGACTATGTCTGTTCTTTATTGAACATTCATTCTGAGTTGTTTGTAGGGACATTTTCCGACAACGAACATTTATCCTAAGTTGTTTGTGTGGTGTTCAGGTATCTTCCCGCTCATCAGTTCACCCCAGACTTTTCCGTGTATTTCCCCAACACTTTTCTTAATAACCCTCCCCCCCTTTTAGTGGATTATTTGTTTTAGTGTGACAGAGTGATTTGATTCACTTCAGTTGCACAATTTGCACTTGAATTCCTCCCACAAAATATTGGCAGTACAAAGACGACACCAGTCAAAGCAAGTATGCATTACTTTTAATTCCATGTTGGTGGGATATACATGCATTTAAAAAAAAAATGCTAGAGGAAAGTCTCTGAGGCAGCTTCATACAGTGTGATCTGTATGATTCCCAGATCCAAAGCCCTTGGGACTTTAAGGTTTAAACACCAACACTTTGGAATGTGCTTGGAAATGGACTGGGAGTCCGTTTTAAGACTGGCAAGATGTGTTTCATACGCCCAGTACCAGTTAGCAGTCTAGCCCTCATATTTTTTAACTAACTTCACGTTCTGCAGTTGGTGCACCAGCCTAAGCTGGTGAAAAATGCTTCATGCCATCTGAGCATCCAATGGCAGTGCTGACTCTAATAGCCTCAAACTGAATGTGGCTGATCCTTTGGAAAACAAGCAAAAATTTGAATGTCAGAAGAGCCGTTCCCCAACAGTACTTCATCTTGTCTGTTTTGCATTAAATATTGCATTACATGTGTTGGAAGGCCAAGCTTTTTCCCATATTTTCCTAGAACCTAAAGATCCAGATGAAAGACTTTGAAACCAGTGCTGAACCTCTTCAAGACTGGCTAAATGAAACCAAGACGATGGTACATGATAGCAGCAATCGGCTGCATGACCTTCCGGCTAAAAGGAGAGAACAGCAGAAACTACAGGTGATGATGATATATGGGCTTCAGGCCTTCCATGTATATGCATGTTTGTGGTTACAGTAGGTCTTGATGTCGTGCTTTGTTGCCTTCTCTTAAACAAAGGCTGATTCAGATTATCAGTTCAAGGTATAGCCTAATAGCATTTTATCCTTTATAGGATAGTCTGAAAAATACTAATTCCGTATAAAATATTCTATTAGCAGGATGATATTTAGCCCTGTTTTATTATACACTTGAAGATAGAGAGGTGTGCTGCAGAGAGGGTCACATTATCCTTCCAATGTAGGATATGTGGATGTGTAAAAGTTCACAAAATATAGTAGGGGCAAGAAAATGCTTGAGTTCAGCATATTAACAAACAAACAAAAAATAGCCAAACAAAGTTGAGTTTTAGACCCAGGAGCTTTTGGCTTATACAGGATTTTCCTCCCACTCATTAAGTATGGACTGACACAAGAATGACACATTATTCTGATGGTGTCAGTGACACGTGCAACCACACTGAGGTGGTAGTGAGGAGTGGTGGGGGCATTAATGCACCTCCCCACTGACAGAATATCGGGATTCAATTACTGAGCAACAGAGGCACTACGTTGTGGAGAGATTCTCCCCACATGAACACGCACAGAGAACAAATAGGTAACAATTTCACATTCCTTGCTCTATGAACTGATCATCTGGAACAGTCTTTTATGTCAATGTCTCATAACAGATCTTTGCAGATGGCCGTCCTTTTAATTTCCTTGCCGCTTGCCGCCTTTGTGGTTTGCTTTTTTTGCACCCACACTTAACAGAAACATGCTTATGCTTTGCAGTCTGTCCTTGAGGAAATAAGGTGTCATGAACCTCAGCTCGACAGGCTAAAAGAAAAAGCTCAGCAGCTTTGGGAAGAACAAGCTGCCAGCAAAAGCTTCATGCACAGAGTATCTCAGCTATCTTCTCAATATCTTGCTCTGAGCAATGTAACAAAGGTAATGCGCTTTCACCCTGTGTGCTTTTATGCAACACTTCTAACAACAACAAAAATATGAAAGCTCGTGTCCTGAAATAAACAATTCTCTTTGTATGTAGTCCCCTATGTCCTTGTGCTGGTGATGTTAACAGAGATACTGATAAAAATGTTCAGCAATACTTAAAAGAGCGGGCATAAATAGTAGTATAAAGCATATAAGTTGATGCAGGACTTCTAGATGCAAGAAGACATAGTCAGGCCAATGCTGTACTGCAACTGGTATAGTGTTTCAGCCAGTGTAGGATATCCCCAAAAGGTTGTAGAAGGAGAAACCATCACACCCAGCAGTAGTGCATTTAAGGAAGATTGAAACAGGTCCACTTAACATCATAAATAATTACACTGCGGGGGGGGGGAGTTAGTTTTTTTAGAGACTGTCCCTGTTTTAGTTTGTGGGGCATCATATCCAATGGAATTGAATGGGTGTTCACCCTGTCTGATGACAGGGTGAACACCTTTTCAATTCCATTGGATACGATGCCCCAGTCTCAAAACTACATTTCACGTAAGACCAGTTGTTCTTTTCATGTTATTTTGAAGGAAATAAACATTGTGGGCTTTTTGATTCATGGTGATCAGTGGTATCACCGAACAGTACCTCTGATTCATTTGGGGGTCCATCCAGTGCTCATGTGGTAGCATAGGCTCCCAAAGGGTTACTCTTTCAACCAAAATGCCTCACATAAATAACAAAAACACATAATGCATGAAAAGTATAAATGCCCTTTTAAAAATGTTTTCCACATGTGATGTAGACCATAGCTGTAATGTTGTACCACATGTACTCAGTTTAAATGCAGCAGGAAATGTATGTATTTCAGTCATAGGGTACGAGTACATATTATATATGTGCTGTACACACTCATTATGTAAAGACACAAAGCTGGAACAGACGGGGATCTCAAAGGCAAAGAAATTTGGACAGTTCATCGATCTAACTTTCTGGCCCGTGGCTTATCCTGACTTTAGTTTTCTGAGATTTCCCTTTCTGATTTTTTTCAACTCTAGTGGAATGATAGATTATCTGAATGGTTGGTAATGTTAACATCTGTATGAATTTAAGGAAAAGGTATCCAGAATGGACAGAATTGTAGCAGAGCACCAGCAGTTCTCTCATGATCTGAAAGAGCTTCAGGACTGGATGGCAGATGCAATTCAGATGCTAGAATCTTACTGCCATCTCACAGCAGACAAAAATGCCCTGGACAGTAGAATGGCAAAGCTGGAGGTAAGTGAATGAGAATTCCCCAAGAAAACTAGTGGGGAAATGGTTAAATGCATCTTCCAATTCTCTACTTGCTTCCTCCTTAAACATCTTTTCATTGGGGGAAAAATAGGTCATCTGTCACAATTGCACATGCTTGCATACATCAGGTATTTTGGCTCTATGTGTAGGATTGCAACAAGTGTGAGGGCTCATTTCTAAAAACAGCAGGAAAGGACTCTATCATTTCTCCTAATGGAAAAAGCAGACTGTTACTTCTACCTTTGTGACATTTTTTCTGAAACTATGGTAGTGCTGTGGAACACTTTGTTTTGCAATTAAATTTGGTGATTTGCAATTAAATTTTGTGGAAGGAGTACAGCATAATGATAAGGATGGAAACAGAATCTTTTTGTTTTACAGGCACTACTGTCGGTGAAACAGGAGAAAGAAATCCAAATGAAAATGGTGCTAACAAGAGGAGACTCCGTTTTGCAAAATACTTCAGTAGAAGGAGTGCCAGTCATTGAACAACAGCTGAGAACACTTAAAGACACATGGGCTTCCCTTTTGTCTGCTTGTATCCAATGTAAAAGGTAAAAGGAGCGAGGGTTTTAAAAAGAAACTTATATGCAGTTGGACATACTGGTTGGTATCAAATGAAGTGGTTCTACAAGGACTTTTGGCTTAGCAGTGAAACTCTCTGGACCAGATTTTAGGAGTGTATGGGAAGAGGAATGGGAAGGGAAGTTCCACTGCAGTAGCAGAAATCTTTGCACTAGCAGAAGTGCTTTGTTGGATACCACCCACAACAACTGCATTTTAAATCCTTTAGATATATGCTTAATTAAATTTGTAAACCATCAGTGTGCCATTTTCTCACAGACATTTCCCGAGTGTTCCTTTTGAACACTGGCCTATTTTGGGCAAGTGGAGTCTATATTCATAAGCTGAGTCCATACTTTCCACTTTCAGAAATTTTGCATTCAGTTATTCTAATTTCTCTTTTTAAAAAAATAAACCCAAGGTATCAGATGCAAACAGGAAAACAATAGAAGTTCAAAACCATTTAAGACTGTGGGGGATTACTAGACATGGGAAATTTCTCAGCTATCAAATCTAAACAAGTTTGCTCAGAAGTACAGTATAGTGAATTCTGCGAGCTTTATTTCCTAGTAAATTTTATGAGTATTGCAGTTTAAATGATATAGTGAATGAATTAAAAAAAAAGAGAGAGAACTGGTCATTATTTGAATATCAAGGATCACACCCACCATAATTTGTCCCTTATTCATTAATTATTTTCATAAAGAGCTAGTATAAACATGACTTAATGGGAGTGCAAAGATTTCTAGCATTCCATAATCACTTCATATATATTTTTTCCTTTCCAACAAGACAAGAATGAGAACCTGTCCATAAATCAGCTGGACCAAACAGTCCATGTTAGATTTCTACCACAATTAAAAGCAGTGCATGAGTTGTCATCCTCTTCCTCCAAATTCCTTTCCCTTTTGTGTTGTGTCTTTTAGATTATATGTCTTAGGGCACTGACATTTGTAAGCTGCTCTGGAAGCCCACTTTGGCTGAAGAGCAGAATGAGAATGTTGTTGATGATGATGATTAGAATTTATATACTGCCCTATACCCTGGAAGTCTCAAGGCAGTTCACAGAAAAGTCAGTGCTGGCAGTTCACAAAATAAATGCCTACTCTCCAGCTGCTACATATATAAAACTATAAGCATACATTATGTTATTAGTTTATTCTTGAATGCTCATATTTGAAAAAAATATGAATAAATGGGCCTCTTTCAACTTCTTAAATGTGTGTGCATATATTCATTGACATTTCAGCCAGCTGGAAGGAGCACTCTCTAAATGGACAAGTTATCAAGATGATGTTCGGCAGTTTACTAGCTGGATGGATAAAATAGAAGCAATCATGAATGCTTCAGAAAGGCAGTGTGCTGAACTTAGGGAGAAAAATTCTGCACTCAGCAAATCTAAGGTTTGTGAAAAGCCCGTTGGTGAAAATTGTAGCAGCATCCACACATGCAGCCAAGAACTCTACATTCTTCTTACAGCAGTAGCATTCTCATGACACATTATAAACTACTTCTAAACTGTGTCAAGCAATTTTTCTTTAATGTGAGACGGCTGCTATTGGGGGGGGGAAATAAGACTCTGATGTGTACACTGGTTATGCACGTACATTCAGGATATGCCCATCCTATGTTCTTAATTAAAACTTAATTACTCTAAACATGTATTTAATTTATAAAAATTGTGCTTTTGATATTAACTGCTGCATAACTCTATTATACTCCTTGTCAGCTTCATACTTAATTCATATTTGATAAATTATGGAAGCAACTGTCGTTTCTAAACATTTCTAATCAGGTTGTTAACACTCTTTTTGTTTTACAGTTACTTAAGGAAGAAGTGTTTAGTCACAGCACACTGCTAGAGACAATTGAAATTAAAGGCATGGGCATGACTGAACATTACGTAACTCAGCTTGAACTTCAGGACCTTCGAGAGAGATACCAGTTTCTCAAAGACAGGATAACGGTATTGCTTTTCTTGACAATTCTATGGCTCTTTTCATTTTGTAGAGTTATTTAAAGAAAGTGTGCAAAGCTTTTCTTGTGTCTTTGCTCGTGGAATTCTGGAATTTGTGTGCTTAATTTAACTGATAACCTTAAATTACTGTTGAGTTTTGATGCCAGTTACCATATTATTTGCTCTATAAGACACACCAGACCACAAGACGCACCTAGTTTTTGGAGGAGGAAAACAAGAAGAAGAAAATTCTGAATCTCAGAAGCCAGAACAGCAAGAGGGATCGCTGCGCAGTGAAAGCAGCAATCCCTCTTTCTGTTCTGGCTTCTGGGATAGCTGCGCAGCCTGCATTCGCTCCATAAGATGCACACACATTTCCCCTTACTTTTTAGGAGGGGAAAAGTGAGTCTTATAGAGCAAAAAATACGGTAATTTACGAGTAAATCAAATTACATGCAAAAGCTGTGTTTAGTTTATCTGTTCCCCAGTTATATCTTTCCTAAGTATTCAAAGTAATCTTCCACTTAAGGAGCCAGGTAACTTAGAGAAATCAGATATTATTATTTTATTATACATTGCACTAGCTTTCCGCGTCTGGTGTCCTTCATTTGTTTGAATGACTATCCTCACTGACCATTAGCCATTGAAGACATTTGGAGGGCATCTGTTTGAAGAAGGCCACAAAACATATTTGGTCTGTGTCAGGGAAGCTTTCTCTCTTCAACACTAATGAGCTATTTCTAACAACAGGAGGCAATAACTAAAGCTGAAGAAATGGTCCGCTTGCATCAAGAGTACCAAATAAACCTGAAGGCCTTTGAAGCATGGCTAGAAAAAGAACAGGACAAACTCAACTGCTTGTCACATCTTGAAGGCGATGCAGAGAGACATGAAGCAACACTTGGAAAGCTCCAGGTAGAGTTTTATACATGTATTGCCCTAATAAGAACATTTAGTACAAGTGGCACAAAAAATGTAACTTCTGCAGTGTATCCCCATACCCTAAGAACAGTGCTGCTGTTCAGGGCATTAGCCAACCTGGAACCCTGTGTTCTTGTTTAGGGTTTGAGGGAGGGGGGCATTCGAGAGGAGGAAGGAAAAGGGAATTCTTCTTTCCCATCCCACTGAGGCCTTTCCCTTCTGTTATATACAGCACAGGAGAGCTCGAGTTTGCAGCAGGCTGCCAACCATCTATGGGGGCTTATTATAGCTAGTGTGTGTGTGTTTCTTTTCCTTCCTTTCTCCTGAAATGTCCTTGTATAATGTGGGGAGGGGAGTTTGAAACCTCACCGCATGCATCTTCTCTATCCTCATGCATTCCTATAAATTATCGGAACCTTGAGCGGGCCAATTTTCTGTTCTTACTGGAACATAACTGTTCTTGTCCCAAGTTTCCTTTTTCTTGTTTGCTCTCTCTCTTTTTTATCTGACACTTCAAAAAACACTGCACATCAAGGAGGTTTGTTGATCCTCATCAGGCTGTTTGATGGCGGTATCTAAGTATAGTTTAAAAAATACTTTTCTTTTTATTTACAAACTGATATGCTTCTATATTCATAGGGAGAATGTTATAATCTCTATTTTATTTTTGGGTACCCCCATTTTGCTTCCACATTGATAGGTATCCAACCACCAAAGTTCATTACAGTGGTCCCTCGGGTTACAGATGCTTCAGGTTACAGACTCCGCTAACCTAGAAATAGTACCTCAGGTTAAGAACTTTGCTTCAGGATGAGAACAGAAATTGCACGGCGGCAGCAGCAGGAGGCCCCATTAGCTAAAGTGGTGCTTCAGGTTAAGAATAGTTTCAGGTTAAGAACGGACCTCCAAAATGAATTAAGTTCTTAACCCGAGGTACCACTGTATTACAGGCAATGATGTGAGTTGGTTGCAAATATTATGAAATTTTGTGATAATCTGTTCATTGTAAACTGATGTCTGTGAGAACTTTGAAATGCACTTATGCAGTCTCAAATATATGCCAGCTGAATGTAGGGGCTTATACAGTAATACAGAATATCAGTACGGAATTATGGAATGATTAATGCTAATCTTCCTGCATTTTCAGGAATTACAGATGCATTGTGCTGAGGGACAGGCCTTGCTTAATGCAGCACACCATGTCAGGGAGGAAGTAATCCCATGGGGTATACCCCAATTGGAAGACAGAGTACTAGAGTCTGTACGTCAAGACTGGACAGTCTATCAACACAAGCTTTCTGAGGTCAGGATGCAACTAAACACTACCCTAAGCAGACTGAGGCTGATGGAGGACAAATTTCTGAAGGTGGATGAGTGGCTCAAAACTCTGGAGGAGAAAGTTAACATCAGAAATGGGCGGCAGTCTGACAGAGCCACAAAGGAAATGCAGCTACAACAAATGAAGGTGATTAAGTTATATAATGATGGTAATTTATAATGGGCCTGGATTTACATTTAGAATGTGCAACCTGCTAATTTGCATCAGTCCTGCCAATGAGCTTACTAACTAATTTGTTCCAGGTGCTGACATAGTAAGTAATTTTGTACATCTGAAAGTTGGGCATTTTTTTTTTATATAATTTTTATTAATTTTCCAATAAAAACAAATTTATAACACAATTAAACATTAGGAATTCATCACACGTCTTTTTTCTTTTAGACTTCCATCAGCATGTCTGATAATTTTCCGTGATTATTACATATCTTCACATTTCTTCATTTATATTGCACTATGTATATCTTATCTTACCATGTTATTTAAACAATATTTCTACCAAACCTTCTTACAGAGCTTCTTGGAAACTTACAAACGTTATGTCATTATCACAAATATTTCTAATATATTCTGTAAATTTATTCCAGTCCTCAGTGAATCTTTGGTCCCGTCGGTTGCGAATCCTCCCTGTTAATCTGTCCAGTTCTGCATAATCCATTAATTTCGTTCTCCATTCTTCAATCGTAGGCATTTCTTCTTGTTTCTATTTCTGGGCCACAAGAGTTCTAGCTGCTGTTACTGCATACAAAAATACTTTCTGATCCTTCCTTTTTATCTCACCACCTAAAATTCCTAATAGGAATGCTTCTGGTTTTTAAACAAATGTATATTTCAATATTTTCTTTATCTCATTATATATCATTTCCCAGAAGCACTTCATTTTTTTACATTCCTGAAAGTTGAGCATTTATTTCTACCTGTGCTAACTATTTGTGATTTCTTGGATAAATGTAAATGCAAATGTTTCCAGTCTGAACACAGGTCACCAGTATTCTTGCAATGTGTGAATGATGTGCGTATCTTTCTCTGGTGGACCATTATAAAAATAGATGAAATAATAAAGTACCCTGGAACATATTAGTGAATCCTGGCTGGAATAAGAATACTCAGCTTGTTCTGGCCTACTAAGTAAAAAAGTAAAGGTAAAGAACCCCTGGATGGTTAAGTCCAGTCAAAGGCGACTATGGGGTTGCAGTGCTCATCTTGCTTCAGGCCGAGGGAGCTGGTGTTTGTCCAGAAACAGCTTTCTGGGTCATGTGGCCAGCATGACCAACCGCTTCTGGTGCAATGGAACACCGTGACAGAAACCAGAGAACATGAAAATTCCATTTCCCTTCCCACCGCGGCGGTACCTATTTATCTACTTGCACTGGCATCCTTTCGAACTGCTAGGTTGGCAGAAGCTGGGAAAGAACAACAGGAGCGAACCCTGTTGAGAGGATTTGAACCACTGCCCAAGAGGCACAGTGGTTTAGACCACAGCGCCACCTGCTCCCCAAGTTGCTCTCCCTAGTTGCTCTACCATTGAGTTCAGGATAAATATAAGGGAGGTGTGGCCTTTGTATACTGTAAGGGCTTTCCTTGTGAAGGTACTTGCTGGGATTGATTGTGTACTTTTGATTGTGTACTTTTGATTGTGGGATTGATTGTGTACTTGCTGGGATTGATTGTGTACTTTTAGTTGGGATACAGAGACAGACTGGTTATGTGTTGCTGGTGCAGAAGAGTACAGAAGACATGAAACAGTGTGTATCAGTGATTTGGCTCCATGTGAAAATGAATGTTTTTCTTTTCCACAGAAATGGCACGAGGAGATAACAGTCTATAAAGATGAAGTTGAAGAAGTTGGATTGTTAGCCCAGCAAATTCTGGAGGAGAGTCATACTTCTAGCAGGATGGGAAGGCAAGCAACCTACCTTGCCTCTCAGTACCAAGCTCTAGTCCTTCAAGTACTGGTAAGTTATAAAAATGAAAAAAGAAGTAGAATATATATATATATATATAGAGAGAGAGAGAGAGAGAGAGTTATTCACTGTTAACTGAAAAGTAACAGGTTTTTTCCATCAGGCCAACTGGTTCACATATAGACAGTCCTAACTGCAGTTTAGGAGACCTTCAGTCCATTTAGTTTTCAAGCTGTCACCAATTTTAATGGTCTACTTCCAGTCCCATTCTATCTTCTAGATGTAGCTTTTCCTTGCTGATATATCCAAATGAGGATAGGGATGATACTAGAGGCAGGACCAGCAGTGTAGTCTTGCTGCTCCTTCAACACATGGAAATAAAGAATGAAGGAAGCTTATATTATCCGCAGAAGCACACAGAAGGTTCTGTTTTCCTGTAGGCACTTGAAGTAGACCAATAAGCTTGGTATTTATGTGTGTGTGGCAGGAATGATCTAGTAGTAGTAGAAATTATTATTATTATTATTATTATTATTATTATTATTATTATTATTATTTATATCCCACCCATCTGGCTGAGTTTCCCCAGCCACTCTGGGCGGCTCCCAACCAAATATTAAAAACACAATACAGCATTAAACATTAAAAACTTCCCTAAACAGGGCTGCCTTCAGGTGTCTGTTATAAGTAAGATAGTTGCTTATTGCCTTGACATCTGTTGGGAGGGTGTTCCACAGGGAAAGCACCACTACCAAGAAGGCCCTCTGCCTGGTTTCCTGTAACCTCACTTCTCGCAGTGAGGGAACCGCCAGAAGGCCCTCGGCACAGGACCTCAGGGTCTGGGTTGAATGATGGGGGTGGAGACACTCCTTCAGGTATACGGGACTGAGGCCGTTTAGGGCTTTAAAGGTCAGCACCAACATTTTGAATTGTATTCGGAAACGTACTGGGAGAAAGTAAGTGCCTCTTCTGATCTATGTTTTATTAATAAACAGTGTATTTTGTAGTTACTAAAAGAGATGCAAGAAATGGAAAGAGATACAAGAAATGGATAAATAGTCAATATTGAGACCTGTTTAAAATTTGCTTGCAGGAGCAAATAAAATTCCTTGAAGATGAAATTCGAAGTATGGATGAATCTGAAGTGTGCTTCGCTGCTTACAAGGAATGGTTTGGAGCTACGCTTAGGAAATTCAGAGATGTTGTGACAAAGTCTGATGTTGTAGATAAAGCAGCAATGGAGAAGAAAATGCAGAAGCTTGAGGTATAGTTTGCATATGACACTGGTACAGCAATTTAAAACAACACATATTTTACCAACAGTACATAATGAGGTTGCAAAAGATAAGAAAGCTTAAATCAGTTACAATTGACCATAACAGAAGAAAAATCTCAAGCACCTGATGCTCAGCAGTAGGAATAAAACTGATTCTGCAGAAGTAATTTACTCTTCAGTCGCAGGCCAAAATATAAACTGTCCATTTTTCTTCTTACAGGATCTCATGAGTGACATGGATGTGGGTCATAATTTACTGAAATCAGCACGTGAAAAAGGAGAGAAAGCTATTAAGTACATGGAGGCAAATGAAGGGGAACAGCTAAAGAAAGAGATCAATGGTTGTGTGGAGCAACTTGATGAGATGACCAGCTCTATCAGGAAAGAACACACAACCTTAGAGAAATGTCTCCACCTGACAAAGGAATTCTTAGATAAGTACAAAGTACAGACTCAGTGGCTGTCAGAGTATCAGATTGTACTACATACCACAGTGGATCCCAAATGGAATTATATGAGAAAAAGGCACAGCTATCCAAATATAAGGTAAATAAATATTGTGAGCTATAAAATGAGTGAAGTCTTAAGCCAGAAAATGTAACTTGCTTGTGAGTCTCCCATATTTTAAAGATAACTTCACATCACATTTATAAATGGGTTCTTTCTCAACACAAGAAAATAATGATACTCTGTGTGTTGTGTATTATATATAAATCCTGTATTCATTTTGAAGCACAGTTTAACTTTATTTTTCATTTTAGTCAATTCAACAGACAGTGTTTTCCCATGAGCCTTCAATAAAATCTGTGACAGAAAAAGGAAAATGCCTTCTTGAGCTAGTGTGTGATGTTAATTTGGCAGAGAACATTCAGAAACTTCAAACTGAATACCAGGAGCTCTGCAGCACAGCAAAGGTAAAATACCTAGGGTCTTATTCAGCTAACCCAGTGCACTAGGAGAAGCCAGCACAAGGATTCTCATAACTGCAATGGGAATTCCGCTGTTCATTGCCTGTACACATCCCATGCCATCCCCAAATTTGCTTTGGAAGGTTGAGAGAACTCCTGGAACAGATTGGGAGGGGCAGGAAGGGGATTAAGCTTTGGTTGTGCAAGGAAAATCCTTGTGCTGGTGAAATGTTAGCCTTCGTGCTACATGGAATACAACCTGTGGCTCTATATAAGCCATGTTTTCTGCTGTAAGATGGTAATAATTATTTCTACACATGAATTTAGGCTTGAAACATAGGCTGCCTGCAGTAATGTGGTGACAGCAGTCCCCAAATAACCTACACTAACGAAATGTTATTAAATTTGCAGAGCTTTCCTGTTGGGTGTGGGAAGTAGGTGACTAGACAAGTAATTTTTGCAGGTGGGGTGGCACACAAACAGAGATTAAAATGTTTGTTGTTCCTCTTGTTCTCTAGTCAATTAGTGCATCTTGCTGCAGATCGCCTCTTTTAAAGTGGAAATTTCCAAGCACTTGGCCAATATAAAGATCCACAGCACAACACTCTGTTTTTTTTTTGCAAAGAGCTGCAAATTGCACACCACAGTACAGATCTACAAGCACATTTCAAAACATCATCCTTGCTCTTGTTTCTTTTTAGATTAGATTTTTAAAGTATTTCTTTTATTCCAGTGTATTATAAAAAAGATACTTTGTATGGACTGTGATCACTAAAAAGAGCAGAGGGGGGAAATAGGTACTGAGGCAGCCTGAGGAAACAATGCATGTGAAGAGCTGAGAACAGTTTTATGAAAAGGAGCATACATCCCTCTCCCAGGGCACAGGTGTAATTACAGACAAGTTCTGGCAAAAGAATGAAACTTTTTCATACAAAGTTAAACATGTATTTTCATGCTTTTACAATCTGTATTTTGAGGGGGGCATTATTTGGAACTGTTTTTTAAATGTGACTGGTTTCTATGATCGTGCAGGCTCATGTTGCAATTTTGGAGGTGAAAGTGAAACAGCATGAAGAATATAACACTGACTTACAAGAAGTGGAAAAGTGGTTGTTACAGATGTCTAGCAGGCTGGTTACTCCTGACCTTATGGAGAACAGTAATCTAGAAATTATAACACAACATTTAGCCAACCACAAGGTAGGTCTAAATGAGCAGCAACAAATCCCCTTTTTCGTATGTTGTAGTGGGCCTTATGAGGTAAATAATATTTCGAAAGGTCATATATAAAATATAAATATGGTAAAAATTCATCTTACGGAAAAGCAAGTCATAAGTTCATGTTTACTTTAAAGGCACATGAGACGTGATCAGATTGATTGGGATACTGAAATGACGAGACTGGCTCTACCTATGAGACTTCAGAGACAGCTCTGATGTCAGAGAGACCGATTCAATATTGGAGCCTTACTCTCTGAAGACCCTGGTCCCTCAAACGACTGTCGCCCCAAGTGACATTAGAGTTGTGACATTTGTATGTCCTAAAAGGATGCATGATAGGGGCATTTTGGATTGTGGCCTGGATCCATAAGATGCAAAGCAATGCTGGCCACCTGACATGCTCTGAAACTGGGGAGATATTTAATCATGCTTCTGAGCATCAGTAAATTTCTTCCTATATATATAAAACAGCTCATGGAAGGAGGAGCACAAAGTATTTCTCTGCCCTCACTTCTGCCCTAATAGCTTGAGCCTGGCACAGTGTAGGATGAGGCAGCTCAACTACTTTTGTCCTAGCCTGCCCCCCTTTGAATGGTGAATATTAAATGCTGTAAACATTTTCTGTGATATGTTGTGTTTTGAATGCTGCTTTCTTAGGCAATGATGGAAGAGATTGCTGGATTTGAAGATCGCCTGAACAGCCTTAAAAGCAAGGGAGATGACTTAATAAATGAGTGTGCAGAGCATCTCCAAGCAAAATTTAAGCAAAATATAGAAACTCAGCTGCAGGGAACAAGGGATAGCTATTCAGCTATATGTAGCACAACTCAGAGGGTAAGTCCCTATCCATGTATGTTTAGTAGATGTCATTGTAATATATCATCTACTAGATGCAATACAAAAAATACAATATGATGCAAAATACTGGCAAATAGGGTACAAAATGGGCATCTGAAGAACTGAAAACTGAACATAATTACAGATGGAGGAAAATGGAAGAAATCTCATCTAAGAGTTGAATTGGAAACTCATTTTGGAACACAGGTCATTAGAAACTCATTTCGGAAAACTACAGTAATATCTATATTGCTAATATAGACTATACAGTGGTGCCTCGCAAGACGAAATTAATTCGTTCCGCAAGTTTTTTCTTCTTGCGAGTTTTTCGTCTTGCGATGCACGGTTTCCCATAGGAATGCATTGAAAATCAATTAATGCGTTCCAAGGGAAACCGCCTTCAGACCAGGTCCGGGGACAGTCTCTCCCCCGACCTCTTCTGAAGGCTGGGGGGGGGAACAAGGGCTTCTGAAGGCTGGGGGGGGGCTGGGGGGGAACAAGGGCTTCGCTGCCGACCCCCAGCATTTTAAAATCTCACCGGGACACGGGGAGATTTTAAGATGCTGGGGGTCGGTAGCGAACGCTTCGCTGATCCCGGGACGGCAGGCAGATCTGCACCGCCATCCAGAGCGGGGCGGGACTTAGCACCCCGCTCGGGATGGTGGCGCAGATCTGCGTGCAATCCCGCGACTGCAGGCAGCTTTGCGCGGCCATCTGGAGCGGGGCGGGCTTCGCCCCCGGCTCCCGATGGCCGTGCAGAGCTGCGCTGATCCCGGGACAGCAGACAGCTCTGCGCCGCCATCCCGAGCGGGGCGGGACTTAGCACCCCGCTCGGGATGGTGGCGCAGATCTGCCTGCAATCCCGCGACTGCAGGCAGCTTTGCGCGGCCATCTGGAGCGGGGCGGGCTTCGCCCCCGGCTCCCGATGGCCGCGCAGAGCTGCGCTGATCCCGGGACGGCAGACAGCTCTGCGCCGCCATCCCGAGCGGGGCGGGACTTAGCACCCTGCTCGGGATGGTGGCGCAGATCTGCCTGCAATCCCGCGACTGCAGGCAGCTTTGCGCGGCCATCTGGAGCGGGGCGGGCTTCGCCCCCGGCTCCCGATGGCCGTGCAGAGCTGCGCTGATCCCGGGATGGCAGACAGCTCTGCGCCGCCATCCCGAGCGGGGCGGGACTTAGCACCCCGCTCGGGATGGTGGCGCAGATCTGCCTGCAATCCCGCGACTGCAGGCAGCTTTGCGCGGCCATCTGGAGCGGGGCGGGCTTCGCCCCCGGCTCCCGATGGCCGTGCAGAGCTGCGCTGATCCCAGGACGGCAGACAGCTCTGCGCCGCCATCCCGAGCGGGGCGGGATTTAGCACCCCGCTCGGGATGGTGGCGCAGATCTGCCTGCAATCCCGCGACTGCAGGCAGCTTTGCGCGGCCATCTGGAGCGGGGCGGGCTTCGCCCCCGGCTCCCGATGGCCGCGCAGAGCTGCGCTGATCCCGGGACGGCAGACAGCTCTGCGCCGCCATCCCGAGCGGGGCGGGACTTAGCGCCCCGCTCGGGATGGTGGCGCAGATCTGCCTGCAGTCCCGCGACTGCAGGCAGCTTTGCGCGGCCATCTGGAGCGGGGCGGGCTTCGCCCCCGGCTCCCGATGGCCGTGCAGAGCTGCGCTGATCCCGGGACGGCAGACAGCTCTGCGCCGCCATCCCGAGCGGGGCGGGACTTAGCACCCCGCTCGGGATGGTGGCGCAGATCTGCCTGCAATCCCGCGACTGCAGGCAGCTTTGCGCGGCCATCTGGAGCGGGGCGGGACTTCTCTGCTGTCCCGGGGAGATTTTAAAATGCTGGGGGTCGGCAGCGAACGCTTCGCTCCCGCCCGCCAGCATTTTAAGATCGCCCGGGGCAGCGGAGAAGTCTCCGCTGTCCCGGGAAGGCAGGCGGGGGGGAGCAAAGACTTTTGCCCCCCGCTGGCCTTCAGAAGAGGTCCAGGACCTCTTCTGAAGGCCGGCTGTGGGCGAAAGTCTTTGCTCCCGACCGCCAGCAATTTAAAACAGGTCCCCGGAGATTTCCCTATGGGCTTTCGTCTTGCGAAGCAAGCCCATAGGGAAATTCGTCTTGCGAAGCGCCTCCGAAACAGAAAACCCTTTCGTCTTGCGGGTTTTCCGTCTTGCGAGGCATTCGTCTTGCGGGGTACCACTGTATGTATGTTAGGAGTCTTATGTCTTATATTTGCAACATTTCCATACGGCCAGTTAGCAAAAAGTTTTTAGGTGTTTTATATGTAAAGTTAGCATAGAATCATAGAGTTGGAAGAGACCACAAGGGCCATCGAGTCCAACCCCCTGCCAAGCAGGAAACACCATCAGAGCACTCCTGACATCTGGTTGTCAAGCCTCTGCTTAAAGACCTCCAAAGGAGGAGACTCCACCACACTCCTTGGCAGCAAATTCCACTGTCGAACAGCTCTTACTGTCAGGAAGTTCTTCCTAATGTTTAGGTGAAATCTTCTTTCTTGTAGTTTGGATCCATTGCTCCGTGTCCGCTTCTCTGGAGCAGCAGAAAACAACCTTTCTCCCTCCTCTATATGACATCCTTTTATATATTTGAACATGGCTATCATATCACCCCTTAACCTCCTCTTCTCCAGGCTAAACATGCCCAGCTCCCTTAGCCAGCCGGTCAACTTGGGAAAAGTTTTATCTTCAATAATGACATCAGAAATATTGGGCAACTTATTCATGCTTTTTTTTTTTTTTTTGTAGGTGTACCAGAGTTTGGAGCACGAACTCCAGAAACATGTTAACCATCAAGACACACTTCAGCAATGTAAAGTTTGGCTCTCTGCTGTTCGGCCAGAGTTAAAGCCAAATCCTCGTCCGCCTTTCAGCATGGCAGATGCTGTTAAGCAGGTAAGAACAGTCCATATTGAAACATTTGATCAAAATAGAGTATTTACCAAAATGGCTGAATCCAAATGTGTGCATAATTAAACAGAGTTGAGTTGTGCAGGACCCTGGTGTGGGCTAAGCATCCAGGATCACACTTGGCAACTGGGGGAGGGGTTCTGGCCAGGCAGGGCCCCCACCTGAGCTAGGGGCCTGCTTTGATGCTATCCTTCCCCAGGTCCTTTAATCCTCCCAGGTTGAGTTGAGGCAGCCAGAACTGTACCCTGTATTCCAAACGCTGTTCAATGCGTTTGGCTATCTCCAGCAGAAATTGTTTGGTAACGCCTTTCTGTATCATTGCGGCGTGAATTTCAAATAAATGTTTTTAGTGTTCAAAAGATATACTTTGCATCTCTATGCAAAAAGTCCCTAAAGACTTTAAAGTCAAAATGAACAAGTCCAAATGTGCATTTTGGAGCCGCTTTAAGATACAATCCTGTATCTACTTATTATTCTCCAGATTTCTCAAATGTATCTTGAGCCATTGGAAAATCTTATGGAAGTGTTCAGCATGTTGAATCCAGAATGAGGAATTCTAGCTGTGTCCTCAATAAGATTTATCACCCCCAAATTGTAACGCTACTTAAAAAAATTAAGTAGTATATTCCGTTCATGAAGGAGTATATATCTTGCAGAGCATGCCCTTGAAAAGCTGCTACTTGAGGTTGTAATATTATTAAGACTAGGCTGGATTAAGAAATTAGAAGCCAGACAGTGATGAATCTGTTCAGATGGACAGTAATTAGTTGGTCTAGACAGCCAATCCCTTATTGTTAATTCTCCAAGAACCAGAATCTTGTCCTGTTTTTGTTTTATGAAGTCAGTTTGTCTGGACATAGCTGTCAGTCAGATCTCAAGTAGCCTAACAGATACTTTGTTTATTGGGGAAATGTTAAATATAAACTTAAATATTAGCATGAATTAATATAGTGAAACAAGTTGACGAGTGGATGGATAATTGCATGCTTTGCTGATGTGTTGCATCTTTGTTATTTATTATTTATACAACTTTCTGAATAGTTTGTAACAAAAATAACCATGATGATTCTCTCCTGTTTTCAGTTCATCAGACTATTGTATAAATGAAAGCTTTCTTGGTGAAATGTGAAAATATGTTCTCATGAAAAACTTTTCTTATTCTTTTTAGGTTAAGCATTTCAGAGCCCTGCAGGAGCAAGCAAGCACCTATTTGGATCTTTTGTGCTCTATGTGTGATTTATCAGACAGCACAGTGAAAAATACAGCAACAGACATCCAGCTGACAAAGCAAACGGTATGGGATAAACTGTGGCAGACCTCCTCTAATCCTTCTTAGAGGTGCAATTGTCTTACTGTGTCACAAGGGTCATATTAGGTAATAGCAGTTTGAAGAAGCTATTTCGATTTTCATCTGAAAGATATGCATCAATAGCATACCAACTGATGCCGTAATACCTAGAAAACAATAAGTGGTATATCTTTATAGCAGGTAAATAAATAGACTAGCAACGTTTAAAATATATCAGTATTATTTTAAAAAGTCAGGCCTTTATTTTACTGCAGAGTATTGCAGCATTTCAGAGTGAGTTTGCATTTTTAAGCTTTCTTCATTGCTGCTACATAAAAGATTCTAATATTTTCTGAAGCTGAAATCCGCCATGCAACAAAACTGCAATTGCAGTTGCACATTAGGAGTAGGAATCCTAATGGATACATTGACTTTTCCATTTCATTATTAAATTCTCTGTCCTATGACAGAGCAGCCATATTAACTTTAAAGTATAACAAATGCATTCATTTATGCACATGCATTTATACAGTGCAAACAAATCAGGTTGTTGTTGTTTTTAAAAAATGTTCTGAATGATATTTCCATAGTAAGAAATTTTGCTCATAGTAAATAGAATATTTATTGTTGACAAATAAATTATACACAAAAACTGTTCAGCAATGACCTGTACCTCCTGTAAACATTCAGATTGACTCTTCTTCCCAGAAAGCAAAATAATACAAATCCAGGCCATCTATAAACTATAGTCCAAACAAACCGGTACTGCTGACAATGTTTTCAAAGCCTCTAGAAAGAGAGGTAAAAGATGCAAAGAGAAACTTTAAAGTTCAGTCAGCGTTATCCGTTTCTATCCTTAATTTTAATAAAATTATTTAATGAGTGGAGTCTTCCCCATGCTATGGTCATATTGGTTTTGAAATTTCACAGGGTTAAGTCATTCTGGATCCTAGAGACTTATGCAAGCTTCCTTTATCCTCTATCTCTGTGGCCCATCCCCACCCCCTGCTGTAAATCTATCGCAAGAGTCTGCCCTACATAAAGAGAGGTAGTGTACATCTTAAGACAGCCCATAAAGAATTGCATTAAAATGTTCCTGCTACCCTCCCACATATTTTTCAGATTGAAGATCGGATAATGAACTCACAGTACCTTGCTCAGGGCTGGGAGGAAATAAAGCAAATGAAGGCAGAGCTTTGGATATGTTTTCAGGATGCAGATCAGCAACTGCAGAATATGAAGAGGCGAGGGGCAGAGCTGGAAATAAACATTGCTCAGAATATGGTGTTGCAGGTGAAGGTAAGGGGCAGCTTCCATTCAAATAAAAGAGAAATCTGTAGCTAACAGGTGATTTATTTTTATTTTTATGTTTGCATATACTTGACACTGTTTGACTGTTATATATTTCTCTGGAAGAAGTGCAGGTATGCAGAAAGAATGTGGGCAGGAGTGGCACTTTATGTGTTTATGCCACGGTATGTTAGAGATGGAAGATGAATGCCCTTTTGAGTTATACAGTTGACTTCATTTCTGAAAAATCAACCATAATCCAGGAAACTGATATAGGCCACTTAGGTTTGGTAGACAGCTACCTTCAGCTGGCAAAATGAAGACATTTTCCTCTGAAATTGATTAGCTATTTTAGAGAAGTAGGTAGTGGCCGAGTTTTTGAAATACATTCTATGCTTACGCGTGGGTAAAACAGTCTCCAGGTTATCTCAAAATGCCAGGTTGATAACGTACATTAAGGGAGTACACGTGATCCACTCCACATAACATGAAGGAAGCTGTGGGACGGCATGGACCGGTCCTGCCTGCTACCTTTGCCATAGGCTGCTGTCACTTATAAACCACCATTTCATATTGATCAGAAAAAGTTCTCCTCATAGCTCCTACATTTGAAGAGAGACCCAAATCATCTGTAGCCAGGGGAACCCTTTCTGATCAACATGAAGTGGACGTTCATTGGAAGAGTAAGATGATGGACACAGCAGTGCTGAAGGACAGAGCTAGCTAGCCTGTGTGACTATAGCTCCTCTGCACATATTTCTAACATGGAATTTGCTATATGTAACCCATAATGGAAAAATAGTAAATTTAATCCTACATTTTTAAAGAGCAAGAGTCATTGTTTTTTTAAAAAAAGAAAAGTAGCCTCAGGGAAGGGGCATTTAGAACAGAGAATTGATGGGAAGAGAGTGCATAACATTTTCCTCACTTCTTCCCTGCTCCATGCTTCTTCCCTGCTCCAAATCAACTACCTTAAGTAGCTTTTCTACCCATGAGATTCCAAAGCTGTGTTTGCTCTGCTCTGTGAGAATCCAGTGGGAAAGCTGCTCAAGGAGTATTTTGGAGCAAAGAAACACTAAGCAGGGAAAGAGGGTCTGGGTACCCCAAACCCTCACCGGAGCAGCTTATTTTAAAGAAAAAGACTGTTGGTAGTCTTGTTGCATACATTTGCATATAGCATATAGTTTGCCTCTAAAAAAGGAGCTACAGTAGTACCTCGGGTTACATACGCTTCAGGTTACATACGCTTCAGGTTACAGACTCCACTAACCCAGAAATAGTACCTCGGGTTAAGAACTTTGCTTCAGGATGAGAACAGAAATTGTGCTCCGGCAGCAGCAGGAGGCCCCATTAGCTAAAGTGGTGCTTCAGGTTAAGAACAGTTTCAGGTTAAGAACGGACCTCTGGAACGAATTAAGTACTTAACCTGAGGTACCACTGTATTGGAATTTCTACCTAAGGCTTTCCAACCTAAGGCTCAATTTGCCTTCTTCATGGGACATTATACAGAAAACAGGACAAGGAAGAGACAGTTTCCCTTCTAAGGGTGTGAGGAAGAGGGAAAGGGAGCTGTTGGATCCTTTGTCAACTTTCTTTCTGAATCTGGAAGGAAGATTTGCCATTTGAAAAAGCTCTTACTTCTTTGTTTCCCCTGAATTGTCAAAACAGAAATCTTGACATCTCATGAAACAGAGGAATAATGATCTGTCTTCTACAAGTTTTTGTGATACAGCCTAAATAGAATGCATTATACATTCTCATTTAGTTCTCAGGTTGTTAATTCATTACCATTTTCCTTTTTGTATCTCCTCATACAGGAGTTCAGTCAGAAGCTGCAGTCTAAACAGACAGCTTTGACAGCTGTGACTGAAAAGGTGAGCAAACTAACCCAAGGACAGGAGTCACCAGAGCACAAGGAAGTAGGACGCTTGAGCAACCATTGGTTGGACCTTTGCCTTCAAACAAGTAATGTGCTCCTACACAGGGAGGAAGATCTTCAGAGGACAAAGGACTATCATGACCGCCTAAACGTAGTAGAAGTCTTTTTGGAAAAGTTTACACAAGAATGGGACAACTTGGCAAGGTAGGGACTTGTGGGTTGAGTCAAGAAAATCTGTAACACTTCTTTGATACAGACATTGCTAAGGTGACCACTTTTCATTAGAGTCTAGAACTATACTCACATGAATATTTGGAAGTGCCATTATGCTTTTCTGGTTTTAAATCTATTCTGTTGTAAATGTTGCTCTTGTACTTTTGGAAGCCACATTGGTAGGGTTTTCCTCTAAAAGGCAGATTGTAATGAATAGAAAATTTGACTATATTGAGCTCTTTTGGTCCATTTAGTTCAGTATTGTCTGTGCTAATTGGAAGTAGCTCTCCAAGGGCTTAGATAAAGACTTTTGCTAGGCCTGCTACCCTAGGATCTTTTTCACTGACTACGATAAAGATTGGGCCTAGGACTTCATTTATGCAAAGCATGTGCTCTAATACTGAGCATCGGCCCTCCTACAGCCTCCACACTCATGTCCCCCTACCTGAGTTTTTTATTTATTTATTTATTAATAATGCCTCCATAAGTCCCTCTCTCCTTCAGGACCAACTATGAAAATGGAAGAAGAGAATGAGCAAGTCAAGAGTGAGCAAGTCTAAACACATGCTTGCACTGCTTGTGGGCACAATAGGGTTAGGGCAATGTTACAGTCATAGGAGATATTGGCATATTTTAGATTGAAGAGCTGGCAGTGTGTGTAGATGCTTTTAAGTTAACAGTATGCCTCAAAGGTTTGCTGAAATGATTGAAAGGATAGTGTACCTAGATGGGTGAACTCCTCTTCAAGCTCACCTTGTAAGTTCAGTTTTTACAAGGTTTCATAGAGAACTCTCAGAAAAGCATGGCCTCTTGAGGCCTTTTTGAGATATATATTAAAAATATATTCATCTGCATATCTTCAATCTTCCTCTCTCCAGCCCACCTTCCACCCATTTATAAAGTTCCAGTCCCCACAACTACAATTCAGAGTGGTATCTGCACTTGTCTTGCTGCTGTAGCAGAGCCAGGTAGAGCAAGGGAGGAGGAGCAAGAAAGATACTGGCATTTCTTCCTCCCACCATTGCCAGAGCAGCAGCAGGCTAAGCAGGTGCCAAGGTGAGCAGGTAGATTGGTGGGTGGGTGACTGGATGGATGAGAGGAGATGACATATTTGGTCTATAACCCAACAGAAGAACACGGGGGACTGCAATGCTTATCTTGGGGTTCATATTTGGAGGCAAAGACCTATGCACTCTAGTGACATCTCCAGCTATACAGAACTTTGCAGTGGCAGTGTGTTTCGCAATGATTGCTTTACATATGATTTTTAAATCTCTAATGCCCTTAGGGAATGAAAAGAATGCTTCAGATTTTCACATTGCTTGAACACCTCTTCCCCCCACCCAATGCCTGTGCTATTGTTTATATTGAGTTGTGCTCTTAATTTACTTGTTTTTAACAGATCGGATGCTGAAAGTACCACTACCCATCTAGAGGCTTTGAAAAAGCTAGCATTGGCTTTGCAGGAGAGACGATTTGCTCTTGAAGACTTGAAGGATCAGAAGCAGAAAATAACAGAACATCTAAATCTGGATGACAGAGAGTTAGTAAAAGAGCAGACGGGACACTTTGAGCAGCGCTGGATCCAGCTAGAGGACCTTATCAAGAGGAAAATTCAGCTGTCTGTCACCACATTAGAAGAGCTGAGTATGGTGCAGACTAAACTTCAGGAATTAATGGAATGGGCAGAAGAGCAGCAACCTAGCATCTCTGAAGCTCTCAAACACAGTCCACCACCTGAGCTGGCTCAGAACTTCCTCATGGATCATCTCACCATTTGCAGTGAAGTGGAAGCCAAACAACTTGTTTTGAAAGCACTTACAAAGGATGCCAGTAGGGTGATGACTAATTTGGGGCTTAATGAAAGACAGGTGCTCCAGAAATGCCTATCAGATGCCGAAAATCACGTGGATTGCCTTAGCGATTTGGTTGGTCAGAGGAGAAAGCACCTGAATAAGGCATTATCTGAAAGAACCCAATTCCTCCTGGCAGCCTTTCAAGCAATGAATCACATTCAACAACATGAGAAAAAGGTAATGTTCTATGAGCATATTTGTTTGCTACCAGAAGATGTAAGCAAACAGATCCGGGTTTGTAAGAGTGCACAAGCCAGCCTTAAGGCCTACCAGAGTGAAATATCTGCACTGTGGTCTCAAGGGAGGACATTAATGAAGGAAACAACAGAGCAAGAGAAGACTGAAGTGTTAGAGAAACTGCAAGAGCTACAGAACATGTATGACACTATTTTGCAAAAATGTAGCCAGCGACTAATAGACTTGGAGAAACATATGGTTTCTAGAAAATATTTCAAGGAAGATTTGGATAAATTATGCCACTGGCTTAAGCAGTCTGATATTGTTTCATTCCCAGAGATCAATTTAATGAACAGCAATTCTGAACTTTATTCCCAATTAGCAAAGTATCATCAAATTCTTGAGCAGTGCTCTGAATATGAAAATCTTCTGTTGACATTGCAAAGGGATGGCCAGGAAATCTTACCATCACTCAATGAAATGGATCGCTCTTATCTTGATGAAAAGCTGAATGCCTTGCCTCAACAATTTAGTGTGATTGTTGCTCTGGCTAAGGACAAATTCTGTAAAGTCCAAGAAGCAATCTTGGCCCGTAATGAATATGCATCATTAATTGAATTGACAACGAAGGCTCTGTCTGAATTGGAAGATCAACTAGTGAGCCTACATAAGGCCCCTTTTACCCTCTTAGCCAAAGAAGCTGTGTCACTCCAGCAAGATTACAGAAGCATCTTGGCTGAAGTCATAAACCTTGGTGCTGCTGTTGATGAATTAAACCAGAAGAAGGAAGCATTTCGGAGCACTGGGCAACCATGGCTGCCAGAGGAGATGCTACTGCTTACCACCTTGTATCACAAACTCAAAAGGCAAATAGAACAGAAAGTAAACCAGTTGGAAGATATGATAGAAGCATATCAAGAACATGAAGAAATGTGTAAGCAACTTGAGATGCAGCTAAATTCTGTAAAAGAAGAGCAAGCCAAAGTTAATGAACAAACACTCCCAGCAGAGGAAAAACTGAAAATGTACCATTCCTTGGCTGGCAGTCTGCAGGATGCTGGGATCCTTTTGAAACGCATAGCTGAACATCTTGAGATGCTTTCCTCCCAGCTTGACCCATCTGTGCATGAAGGAGCAAATCATCAGGTGCGAACTTGGCAGGAGATGCTGAAGACGTTGCAGACTGCCATTGGTGATACTGTGATAGAGTGTGAAAACAGACTGGTGCAAAGCATAGATTTCCAAACTGAAATCTCTCGCTCCCTTGATTGGCTGAGGCATGTTAAGGCAGAACTGAACGATCAACTGAGTATTGAATTAAAGCTGAATATTATCCAGGAAGAGATTCGTAAAGTTCAGATTCAGCAGGAAGAAGTTCAGTCCAGCCTAAGGATAATGGGAGCACTAAGCAGTAAAGAAAAGGAGAAGTACACAAAGGCCAAAGAACTGATACCTGCTGACTTGGAAAATAGTCTTGCCGAACTCTCTGAACTTGATGGTGAAGTGAAAGAAGCAATACACAAGCGGCAGGTCAGTGAATCTTGCATTCCTTTAATTTTTTTCCCCAACATTAAGAAGACAAGGAATTAAAGATTTGTATTACAATGATCAGTATGGCATAATAACCAGGGTTAACCTGCTGAAGCCAATTTTAGATTTCATGCTGGTAGTATGGCTGTCATTGGCTCAGTTTGCTCTTAATTCTTAGCCAAACTATGGTGATGCGTGAACAAGCAAGGATGTGGGCAGCCCTGTTTAGGGAAGCTTTTAATATTTGATGAATTATTGTATTTTAATATTTTGTTGGAAGCCACCCAGAGTGGGTGTAGTATAAATACATCATCATCACCATCATTACAATTTGAAGCAAAAAAAGTAGCCACTTTGCTCTTGTCCTGCTCATCCTTCTGCTGTGCTATCACCATATAAGACATGGTTTGGCTTAGCATCATATCTGAATGCGGACTCATGGTGCTTCTACTCAGAACATCAAACTTTGTGTATATCTCATGGTTTTTCTGGAGCAAGACAAACCATGGCTTAGATCTGGTTAGATCAGTAGAATCAGAGGAGGAGCAAAGTGGCTGTGTTTTGTTCCAGGTGCCTACACTCCTGGTTTAGGATTACCAGAGAACCTGGCCAACAGAACCTTAAACAGCAAATGCAATGTAAATGCCACTTAAAAAAACCCAAAAGTTGTTATTATACACCAAAGGTTTTTTAGTCCACAGCTCCTGAGACCATAGAGGCAAGGTCCTAATCACTTAAAAGATTTTGGTGCCCAAGTATGTATCTAATTTAAAATAGAAACGATAATAAACCATAAAATGAAATTTGTATTTTTCAAAATGAAACAAAACCAACAGTAAGATGGGAAGTAATGCTTATTTTTGTATACTTCCACTTTATTTACATTTGAAAAAAATTCTCCTACTTTTAAAATTGCAGTCTTTGATCAGATCAAAACTAATTTTATATAGCACATCGGCTTCTATACTTAAGAGATAAGGCATCCAGCCTGCCCTGTTGCACAGTTGTTCTGTTGGGATTTTTAATATACTTCACCTAAGAAAATGAATGCTCAGCTGAGCAATTTGTGACCATTAATGTTAAAAATCTAGCAATGGATTAATCCATCCCTGCATAGAGACTTACTCTCTCCTTTTAGTCTGATCTGCCTCATGCTGTGGACATGAGCATAATGCACTCTACTAATAGTCTGGCCATAAACATGAGGCATGTAGGACTTGCTCCATGGTAAATATGCTGTAGGATCATAACTTTGCTTCTTGGGCATCATCAGTGGCTTTTACTAAGAGAAGCTCCCTTTAATAGAGTTTGTGGAAGAGGGGAAATCTGTCTCTCATAAAATAATGAGCAATAGTGAGACAATTCTAATGCAGATATTTTGTGCAGGAATGTGGGAAACCTGTCCCTTTATTTTGATTGAGTTTCCACTCCATGATCTTGGAACTTAATAGACCCCAGTGTCTCTAGTAATACTTTTAGGAGTACAGATTATATATATATGTACACTTGAATGCATTTCCAAATGCAGGTGTTATCTGTTGTATTCAACAATGCATGTATTTTGCATTAGTCATCCCTGCTCTTAAACTCCAGTACGGTTTCCAGATAGATTGGACAGAAGGTGGATTCAACATCGCTGTTCATTTTAGCAGAACTGTGTTAAATCAAACCTGTTAGTTATCATAGCCTCCCTAATTATGTATGTTATATAAGTGGTGTTTTTTCTTAATAACCATACATGTCATTTTAATTTGTTTGTTTTCAGGATAAATTGAATAAATTATATAGCCTGTGCCAAAGATACTACCAGGTTTCCCAGACTGCTAGTGACTGGCTTGAAGATGCCCAGGAATTGTTACAGTTGGCACGAAATGGCCTCGATATGGAGAACTCAGAGGAAAATCTAAAGAACCATATAGATTTTTTTAGCACTGAAAAGCAATTCCGTGTGCATTTGGGAGAACTGCGGACCCTTGTGGCCGACATGGAGCCCTTTATTCAAGTCACAGGAAAAGAGGAGCTGGAGCAGAATGTGAAGGCTTTAGAAGAGAAAGGTGTGGAATCAGAACAAGAAGCACAAGCCCAGAAAGTACAACTGCAAAGGTACATTTTCAGTTTTTGAAATGTCAGATAATATGTCTAGCAGATGGTTGTCACACAAAATGACAAGATAGTTGCTGTCCTCTTTTCAGAAAGGCAGCTGTTGGGAAATGGGAGGATAAATCCATGACTTCTATTGTTGGCTTGTAAAAAGGTAGTTGTTTTTTTCTGCTAGGGTGCTCGGTGGTGGTGTACCCTCCCCACTTTCAGATTAGCCCTGCAGTCAACATTTTGAACCAGTCATAGCAGGTTCAGAGACATACCCATCTTCTCCTGGCTTCTGGAGCAGTTCCCATAAAGATATCAATGAGCTGGGCAAGCATCTACCTCCGTTGCTAGTTCTGTTGCTGACTCCTAGGGTTGAACCACTTTTCTATGGATCCGAGCCCCATTTGTGTCTGTGTGTATGTTGCTTTAGAGTTGTTATATACTACACGGTTTATAGTATTTTTAAATAAATAAATAAATTTCAAGGGGCTGTTTCTCAAAAAAGAGTAGTAGGCTTGTTTGTTTTTGGTCCATCATAATTTGAACGAATTAAATGCAATTAAAAGACCATGCCTCCCATCATTCATATTTACTATCAGTATTTTGCCATTGCCTTACTATTGTTATTTTATAAAACATTTACAGTGCAATCCAGCCAAAGTTAAGCACTGCGGGTTTTAATTGCCATTGATTTCAAATAACTATACATGCCATTAACTACTCAGAAATAAGTTCCATTGTTTGATTTCTTTTCAAGTTGTGCTTCTGAGTGGCAGGCGTATCAAGTGGCAAGGCAGCAAGTTATTGACCTGATGAATGAATCTGAGAAGAAATTATCTGAATTTTCTGTAGCTAAAGCAACTTCCAGTCTTGAAGCAGAAGAAAAATTAATATCACATAAGGTAAAGCTTCTGAATTATGTCAGGTCATATTTTCTCCACTGAAACCACAGGCCTTAATTTAACACAATCTGTTTCAGCTATGCTACACACTTAATGAAGCATAAGATATGCTAAAAAAATTAATTATTTTCTTAAGATGCGAAAAATCATTCTCTTTGCTTCCTTAGTCACTGGTGTCTGTAGTGAACTCTTTTCATGGGAAGGTCACATCATTGGAGGAGAAGGCATGCCGCCTAGAGAAAATAGGCAACGATGCCAGCAAGGCAACCATAAGTAGGTCTATGACAACCGTTTGGCAGCGGTGGACAAGGCTCCGAAGTGTTGCCCAAGACCAGGAGAGGATTTTGGAAGAATCAATGCAGAAATGGAATGTATTTAACAACAAGGTATAAGGATCAAGGCTATTTGGTATCTCTAACTATTCACTATTAGCCATTCGGTGCAAGTATATTTTGCATTTGTAATGTCAATATTCAAATATTCAAATGAAGAGTTATAGGAAAAGAATATTTTGCATATACATGGAAATAAATATCACTAAAGATGGCTTTCACTGAAAACAAATAATTTCTCATTGGATTAACTGCATATCTTACAGTGATGTGATGAAGCAAGCTAATCAACCTTTGCGGACCCACGCACAGGGTAGCTGTGTGTGGTGCGGGAACAAGCAATAAAATATGACGAACACAGTCTAAGTTGGATAAATAGATCACAACTTATTGATTGCATAGGCATTGGGCGGGTACCCACGTGTTCAACCAGCCTACCCACAGATTGATGAGCTATTTTTCAACAGCAGGGGTTGACAATTGCTGAGGCTCATCACAGCATGAGCCAATTATGGCAAACTGAGGGGTGCTGTCAAGACAGAAATCTGCCCTCCAGTACCCTTTAAGGGATTTCATGTGTGCTGGATCAGGGTACCCCTCCCCTTCGCCTTCTAAGAATCCAGCCCAATGCCTCTTCTGCCTTAGGAAAGAACCAGCAATCTGAAACAGAGCACAAATGCATGGGAAGATCAGTGAAAGTGATGGAGAAGGCCAGGCGGGTCCTCCTTTTATGCTCCTGGAGTGGACTAGACTCCTGTGGTCTTCTCTCTGGTCCACCCCAGAAGCTCTTCCCCTTGGGAGCCCAGCAATGAAACTGACTGGCTCCCTGCACCACATGGGCATAGCCAGGATTTTTGTTAGGGGGTCAGGACCGACGGGATTGGTCAGTTAGTTAAGTATTTCTATTGTTTTATTTGATGGGGGGCTGCCCCCTGCCCCCCCTTGGCTACGCCCATGCTGCAGCACCTGAGACTCCACACTTGACACTCTGTGAAGTACTTCTCCCTGGACAGAAGCTCCCTGAAGCCTCCTGCCCTTTCTCCCACAGCCACACAGGGCCACAGCTGCAGCTCCTGAGGAACTGGGAACAGGTGGGAGGGAGTATTATCAGCTGCAGAACAAGCTAGGAAGCATTGAGATAGCAGTGCTACTTAGATCTTAAGTTTGTGTCCAGTGATGCTTACAAAACACCACTGTCTTGTAACATGTTTAGTAAGCATGTTATTAACAAAATCAAACATACTATAACCTAATTACAGAAGTACAATTGTGAGTAGCAAACTATTTTAAAAAATATTACTATTATGTGAAAGCTTAATTATAAACAACTGTAAAATATATGGGAAAGCAATTCAGAGCCTTTAAAATGGTTGTAAATTATTGTGACTGACGAGTTTAAGGAAATGTTTTTTATTGTGTGCGGTTTTTTAAAATCTCATCTTTAGATGAAAAAAGCAACAGAAACTCTTGATCAGTTGCAAGATCGCTTACCAGAAAGTTCAGTAGAAAAGGCCTCAAAGAATGAACTTGTGGATCTTCTGGATTATCACAGTAATTTCATTCTGGAACTTGAACAACAATTGTCATCTCTGGGTCTGCTGAAGCAACAGGCTTTTAGCATGCTCCGGGACACAGAAATAGCCTCTGGTTCCCAAGAGCAAATGCCTATCATGCAAGAAATCAAAGCAATGCAAGACAGATGCCAGAAGTAAGAAAAAGCTATTTTAAACTGTAAATATTGGCTATGATCCATAATTGTATATATTCTGTGAATTTCTCACTGTTGAATATAACAGTTTAAACTGTACATGTACACAATATTGGTTTCCATCAGCATAGGATAGGTAACTTAAACTTGCTGATTTAATTAATTATAACAGCCATAATCTAGGGACGTGGGTGGTGCTGTGGGTTAAACCACAGAGCCTAGGACTTGGTGATCAGAAGGTCGGCGGTTCAAATCCCCGTGACCGGGTGAGCTCCCGTTGCTTGGTCCCTGCTCCTGCCAACCTAGCAGTTCGAAAGCACGTCAAAGTGCAAGTAGATAAATAGGTACCGCTGTGGCAGGAAGGTAAACGGCGTTTCCATGCGCTGCTCTGGTTCGCCAGAAGCAGCTTAGTCCTGCTGGCCACATGACCCGAAAGCTGTACGCCGGCTCCCTCGGCCAGTAAAGCGAGATGAGCGCCGCACCCCAGAGTCGGTCACGACTGGACCTAATGGTCAGGGGTCCCTTTACCTTTACTAACAGCCATAATAATATTTATATTCCATTTAAAATATAAATGACAAATTTAATAAATAATAGAATGTGTCCACTAATGTACTCCATGTTTTTGACAAATGTATGGAGAAGTGTGCTACTCAAATCTTTAAAATGTTGTTTGTATTTTTAAGCATGCAACAAAAGGTGAAAAGAAGTGGGAAAGTGGTTAAACAAGAACTTAAAGAGCGTGAAGAAGTTGAAAAAGAGATTAATAAAGTGAAGTCTTGGATTCAGGAAGCCAGAGAATATTTATTAAATCCTACAATTGAGATAGATCCTCAGCTTGAGGAATTGCAGGTATGTCAGACTTGTATACAGTGCCAGTGTGTTTCTGTAGATTTGGGTATTTCTGTAGAGATTGGTTGTGGTGCCCTGTGCAAATTTTAGAATGTACCACATGATTCTTTGCAGCAAACTGAGGTTCCACAGCAGACAGACATGAGAAAATTCAGTTTTAAAAGGATTCCTTTAGGATATGAAGCATGAATACCCCTGATTTAGTGAAATCCTATAGCTAAAGTATTTCTCACAGATTCCTTAAATTTTTTTTTAAACTTCCAATAAAGGGAATCCCAAAATTTACCTATTACAGTGTTCTAATCATACATACAATGGATTATGTAATACAATATTTGTCAAGTGTCTCATAAAAAAAATGGGGCAGAGCAGGCTACTGTACCTTTTAAATTATCTCCATTTACAGTGCAAAACAAATGTTACTTATATGCTTATAGCATCCGAGTAACAACTCAAAACCAGCTTTATGATTAAATCAGAACGAGTTCTTTGCATTTCTCCCCCATATTTCTGGTTTCATAATTGTGACTGAATCCAACATGGAAGCCACTGCCAGAAATAGAGATAAGGCAGTGGATGGACTGCAAAGTTTTGCAGACCATGTGTTAGTGAAAAAGCACACAAGAATAGTACAGCATCAAGATTTGTTGACAAGGCACAGTACAAACTGTAACCAAGACAAAGGGTGGCCAGCTGGTTCAGAGAGCAGGGTGACCTGGAATGAAATACTCCTGCAGTGGGGCTCTGCTTTGGACAAGGTTAAGGAGGAATTCAGCATTGTGCTAAGTTGATCGTTCAGTCAGTGTAAGCATTTCAGCCTTCCAGATGGAAAATATGCCCCTCTCTTTGCCGCAAAAGCACTGTTCTGGAGATTCTCTCACCCATCCACTAAGCCAATAGGGAGGGGGGTTGCAGGGGGAAATCCCCATTGCAAGTGTGCAGGGCTTCTGCTGATGGGACACTTTAGGTGAATCCTATTCAAAGACTCAGTTAAAGCTGTGTTTCTGATGTGTGTGCTGTGGCTGGATGGTTGCCAAATGCCTCTATGACTGATGTGTGCAAAAGCAGGACGCCTGAGGTTGATGACGTTCCCAAAGAACCATCACTCAGAGGATACTAGAGAGGAAGCAATATTGGCAACAGGCTAAAAGAAGTGCAGTCGTTTGGGGTTCTTACTATCCTACTTCCCAAGAAATATCATATAAGGAAGATTAAGACACTGCTCACTGAGCTGGTCTCCCTCATTATCATTGTTCTGGAAGTAACAGGACTCCAGTGATGCAGAAGTATCCAGGTCAAGGTTTCTTGCTGTGGGCATACAAAAGGGTTCAGCATTATCTTAGATTATCTCTCTTGTCAAAATAGACACACTGAGGTGGGTGAGATTTGACATATTGGAGACAAATTTCAGAGAACACCACTCATTTTTTTGTAACCGCATGAAATGTGAAGCTCTAAAACCTATCATTTTTCTCCACTCTTTTGGCAATATTTTCTCTTTCCTGTTAGTCTCTCCTCAATGAAGCAACTATTCACCGCCAGGCTGTTGAGAAAATGGCTGAACAACAGCAGAACAAATATTTGGGACTTTATACCATTTTACCTTCAGAGCTTTCTCTTCAGTTAGCAGAAGTCGGATTGGCACTTGTAAATATACATGAACAGGTAAAATACTTGAAGTGAATACTATCGATTCTGTAAATGGAGTCATGAAATAGCAGAGTGAGAAGTAAAACCACACATGCACTCATGTACAATCCCAACCCCACAAAATGGGTGTAATTCCTCCCCCCATACGGCTGTGGATATAGAAATGGGTCTTGGTAGAGATCATTAAAGCATTTTTCCCTATCCCACCTTGCTTAGTCCTTGGCACAACTGTACAGCAACCATTTCTTGCAGCAGGAGCCTATCTGGACTTTCCATATATACATCTAACTCTGCCTTCTTTTCAAGGCATCTGAATGCAATTAACTTAATGCACACACACATTTGGCCAAGAGGCCAGCTGGGGAGCAGAAGGAGTGAAGAAGTCTCAGTAGAGCCCTATGTCAAACTCCTCACTTACATACAGCAAGACAGAAGCATGCTCTTGTCCCAGTATTCTATTGCATGTCGAGGTCCCCAGGGCCACCCCAATAACTCACACATCACACATAATTTTTTGTTTAAGATTTTTGGCATAATTTTGGCCACAACTTTATTAAAATACAAATTTGTGAGTGGTTGCTTAGGCATTGGTTGCGACTATCTGCCCCCACCATGGGGGGCAGACTGACATTCCGCACGATGCAAAAGTCAGAATAGGGGAATACACGGGGGTAGTGACGGAGCAGGGAACCTGCCCTCACCCCAAATGCAACCAGGAGCTCATTGCTATGGCCCGAGCCCCCTTGACAGAGTGGACAAGCAATAGTTAGCCCCCAATTCCTTTAATGGAATCCCTGGCGGCAGCAGCATTAGAGGGGCAGGCACTCAACCTACCAAGGGCAGGCACTCAACCACTGCCCCTCAACCAACCAAACCATAAACCAATGCCTAACTGCAACCTTACAAGTTGTGACGATTTGCTACGCAGTAGGCAAAAACCAAATGGCCCCAGCCAATCAGCCAGATGGACAAAATTCCTACCGGGCCCCTGCCCCAAGAGCAGACGACCCCATGACAGGCATAGCAAGGTCAAAGCGAACAACCCTTAATTCTAGGGGGGGGCGGGCAATCCGATGCACGGTCGAAAAGAGGAAGCCCTAGCCTCGTGCAAGGAGTTTTAGCATTTCTGGCTGTCAATCAACAAATGGCAACATTAACTTCTTCCCAACAACAAGGGAAGCCCCAATCGCATCAGTGGCCAATGATCAATTAGCTTGCCCCCAACTTTGGAGTGTCCTGGCGGCCCCCACCGCAACACGTGCTCTCCATGAAGGAGAACACGCTTTGGAGAGATACTTGGCTGCAAAAGTTCGTGTAAAAAATTAACTGTTAGACTCTGTTAAGTTGCCACAACTTTCTTGCATTGTCTAAGGAAATGCAAGACTACATACATAAACATACAATTTTGTGGTCACACTGATTCTCTCTAATTGATGTATAGTAAACCAGCATGTTTAGTTGCTTTTTTTTAACTTTGGTTTTTTGGCAGATTCAAGCCAAAGAAAAAGAAGCTCAGCAGAGCAAAGCATTGAATCAAGAATTTGATCAAAAGATTCAAGGGATTGCAAAAGAGCTCGATTCAATTCTATTTAAACTGAAGGAGAAGACAAATAACATAACACAAGCTAAAATGGATCAAAGGGTAAATAAGATTCTACTTTGTACAGAATCACTCCCTATTTAATAATCTTGTAGAATCAAATATTTACCACAAAAAAAATCTATATCAAGGATAGCCAACTTAGTGCCCTCACGATGTTGAACTGAAAGTCCCATTGGCCATGCTGGCTGAGGCTGATGGGAGCTGGAATCCAACAACATGTAGAGGACACAATTTGGACTTCCCCTGTACTGTGTTATGAAACCTGGAGCATGGAGAGAGAAGGATTATAATGAAAGTGGGAAGATATCACCCTTTGGTATCATACGTGAAAGCTTTTAAGACTGCATTTGACTAATGGCTAGTTCGTGTATGTGTGTGTATCAATTTATTTCTTGTGAGCTGATGGAGCAGCTGAAAGTTTAATGAAAAGCTTTTCTTTGAGGATCCTGCAAACGATTGATGTCTCTGCTCTCTGATGATCTGTGATCATTTATTCACACATAGAAATCATTAGTTGATGCTAGTCATTTTTGCAAGTGTGAAAGCAAAAGATGGCTTGAGAATTTGCCATCTTCACACATAAGGATAAGCCAAACTTTCTGGCTTATCATGTTCTAATGCAAATGAGCTGCATGCTGATGCACACTGCCTAGTTGGTTCCACTTTGCTTCTCCCCAGGCATGAGTGGGATAAACCAGGAAGCTTGATTCCCCCATTATATCTAAAGCTCATTACTCTCTAACAAATAACAATGAGTAAACCAAATACAGTGGTACCTCGGTTTACGAACTTAATCCGTTCCAGAAGTTCGTTCTTAAACCAAAACCGTTCTTAAAATGAGGTGCGCTTTCCCTAAATTTAGTGTATTTTTGGTTTCTATGGAAGCCGCTCAGAGTGGCTGGGGAAACCCAGCCAGATGGGCGGGGTACAAATAATAAATTATTATTATTATTATTATGAGGCCTCCCACCGCCGGTGCCCTTCCACCGTTCAGCTTCTGTTCTTAGATGGAGGTAAAATTTGCAAACCAGGACATTACTTCCGGTTTTGCTGAGTTTGTAAACCAAACAATTCTTAAACCAGACTGTTCTTAAACTGAGGTACCACTGTACTCATGGCTTAAGGTTGGCTAGCAATATGTCTGGTTAAGGAGCAACAAATTTGATCCATGGTTTGGATATTGCAGCCAAACATTACTCCCACCAAAGGAGGAACAAAATGAGAGTAACTGCAGTAGCATGCTACTTGTTCATGCTAAACCATGATAAGCCAAAATTCTGGCATATCATTCTGTGCAAATGTGATCAATATGATTGTCTTTATGTCATTCTTTAAAAAGAGAGCTATCAATGTTTCTTACTTTTAAATCAATAGAGAAAATGTATAGATATCTAAATCCCCCATTTGTGTCGCATTGTGCATACTATATACATCTAACCCTACAAATTGTTGGGCTGACTACCGTATATATAGTATTGGGAACTTCTCACTTTTAGATGTACGACTCCATGGTATGGTCAATGATTTTCTCTCTCTCTCTCTCTCTCTCTCTCTCTGAGTGTGTTCATGTCCATACTCTTACCTTAGTGCTTAGTATAACAATAATAACTCCTTTTGCATGCGTGGGAGGAAAATTACCAGCCACTCCAAAGAAACTGAGCTGGAAGCTATAGGAGAGAAATCTGCACATCCTTCTCATTCCATACAAAAAAATGCTGAAAATGGTGTAACAGTACTCACAAGACTTTGAAAAGAAACAATCTGCCCACTTTTCTCTTTTTCATTCAGTCTTTTCCATTTTTTGGGCAAGTAATGCAGTTTCTTCTCCCTCCAGCTACTGGGTGAAGAATTGGACAGTTGCAACATAAAGCTGATGGAACTCGATGCAGCTGTCCAGGACTTTGCAGAGCAGAATCCTCAGCTGGCTAAGCACCTGGCTGGCAAGATAAGCCAACTGACTGCTCTCCACCAGCAAACTATTAGACAGGCTGAGTACAGGGCATCAAAGCTGAGTCAGGTATAGTATTACGTTAACGTAATGCAATTTCAAATATTGTTGAGATGTTCAAGTATTTTTGAAACAGATAATAGCAGGATGAAGGACTCTTAATACAGTGGTACCTCTGGTTACATACTTAATTCATTCTGGAGGTCTGTTCTTAACCTGAAACTGTTCATAATGTGAAGCACCACTTTAGCTAATGGGGCCTCCCGCTGCTTCCACGCGATTTCTGTTCTCATCCTGAAGCAAAGTTCTTAACCCGAGGTACTATTTCTGGGTTAGCGGAGTCTGTAACCTGAAGCGTATGTAAGCCGGGGTACCACTGTACACCACAATTCCATGGGAGCACAGAGAACATGGTACTGTGCACAGAATTCAGTTTCCAGGGAATTTCACGTTTGCCCCCCCCCCCAAGTCTCCTGCCCTCTAACTGTGAATATAGACATTGTCTGCTGGTAATTTGAGAAGCCAAAGTGAAATTTCCAGTAGGTTAAGTTGAGGCTGCCAGCTCCTTGCATAGTTCCTTACCCCGAAACAATAACTAGCAAAACCAGAATACAGGAAAAATTGTGCAAAAATATGCAAGTATTTTTAGTTTGTATCTTTGGGTCATATTGCAGAGTTCAGATTTTCTTGGCATGAATTTTGATTTTAAATTGCAGAATACACTACTGTGGCAACATGGTAGAAGGGATGAAAGTGGAAATTATGTTTATCCTTAGATGATAATGTCTTTAAGATTTTAAAAGATTTTTAGACTTTTTAAAAAATAAACAACTTTACAACACATCTTTTCCCCTCTTTGATGCCTACTCTGGTAAATATGCATAGGATGGCAGTCTTAGAGAGCCTCTTAAAATCCAGTAAGTTCAAAGGGCTTTTCAGAAAGTACAGTAAGGCTGAAAGCGACATAAAGCCCTTATGACTCACTTTTATCCACTAGAGGCCCTCAGCCAGGGGACACGTGCTTGCTGTTACTCTGTGGCCTCTTGTCTTCCATGAGCTTATACCAATTGCTTATGTGATATATTGCATGCTAATATTACTGAGTTACTAACAGTAGTTTCTAGTGGTTTAAAATAATCCTAAATATGGTTTAAATAATCCTAATTGTTCAATATACTAGATGTCCAGAAAAGTATCTTGGAAATATAAACAACTGCCTGATATATTTCTGTGTAGGGCAATATATTGCTTGCCCTTAAAAGGGATTGGTCCTTTGCTTGTAGTCTGTGCGAGTACTCACAAAACATAGTTCAGTCAATAAAGGAAGAGGTGTTGTAGATCAGGGAAGCAAGCAGTGCAGTCATTTGTGATAGAGCCAAATTTATCTTAGTATGTATGCAGTGATACTCCCACACCTTGACATCAATACATTCTAATTCTTCAATGTCAAATTTTCAAAATAGCTTCATCTGCGTAAGAAGTAGGCATAATAGGCATATGGCAAATGTACCAATTTTAATGCAATCAGCACATTAGAACAGTAATCGAGAAATGTAAATGTTAAGAAACTAGAAGAATGGAAGTAATGAAAATTGCTAGGTAAATAAAGTGACAACATTTCAGAAACCAAAAGTATTTTTGCACGCAAGACTGTACTTTGGATTTATTGAAGTAGATTTTACTTGTCTTTTCAGGCCATTTCTCACTTAGAAGAATATAATGAGATGCTAGAATTCATATTGAAATGGATTGAAAAAGCTAAAATCCTAACACATGGGAGCATTACGTGGAATTCTGCCACTCAGCTTCGTGATCAATTTTTGACTCATCAGGTGATTATAGAAAAAACATTTTTCAGATAATATATGAAGGCACAAATTGTTGCACCAAAGATAGTTTCTACCTCTGAACTATAATACCATTGTGTTATCAAATGAAATTATGAAGTCTGTGCTGTTTTCTGATATATAATATCAGAATATATACATGATATATAATGCTGGAAGCCAGGTCTACATAAATATTATATATAAAAATAAATTGAAGTAGCCGATCAAACAACATGCGTTCCTGCCCCACTGATGCTCAAATGAAAATGTTTTTATTGTGCTAAGTAATGCCGTTGGCATAAGAAAGTACCCTGCCTCACATTTGTTGCCAGTAAGCAGTTCTTTCATTATTGGGTTTTGACAGATTGACACAGAGGTTTGTATACTAATTGGGGTTGTTGTTGTTTTTGTACAGAGTGTATTTCAATGTCTCTAATCACATGCTGAGATAGAGTTTTTGTACCTTCAATATTGCAACAGAGGATGTGTATAATAGAATTGTGTGAGGCACACAAGGCCCTGTCCAGACTAATACAGTCTACTCCTGGCTCCATAAAGTATTGGTGTTGATGAATAGCTCATCACTAGAGGAATGAGAGGGATGCAGGTGGCGCTGTGGGTTAAACCACAGAGCCTAGGACTTGCTGATCAAAAGGTCGGCGGTTCAAATCCCTGCGACGGGGTGAGCTCCCGTTGCTTGGTCCCTGCTCCTGCCAACCTAGCAGTTCGAAAGTACGTCAAAGTGCAAGTACATAAATAGGTACCGCTGTGGTGGGAAGGTAAACGGCATTTCAGTGTGCTGCTCTGGTTCACCAGAAGCAGCTTAGTCATGCTAGCCACATGACCTGGAAGCTGTACGCCAGCTCCCTCGGCCAATAAAGCGAGATGAGCACCGCAACCCCAGAGTCATCCGCAACTGGACCTAATGGTCAGGGGTCCCTTTACCTTTACCTTTAGAGGAATGAGTGCTAAATTTTCCTGTCTCAGTCTAGCAACCCTATAGAAATAAGACAACTACATTATACTTCGTGCTTCAAGTACTGCAGATAGTCATCATGTAATAAGTTTTCCATTAACTACATGGCTTAATGAAACTGCTGCTTAGTAGGTTCTCATAATTTACTACATAGTGTTAGAAATACCAGAAATTTTCAGCTGCCCACTTCATTTTGTTAAGATAAAGACTTGGTACAATAGTTCTCCATAGGTTATTGGGGCGGGGGGTGGTGATTGCTTCATCCACTGGGAACTCTTATGTTGTTCTCTTACCTGGACAATTCTGGTGGAGTAATAGGCCTAGGAAGAGTTCCCTTTGGTATCTTTTCAGGGGAGTGGATGATGATAGACCATAAATGCAGTGAGGCAGCTGTAAAGGTCCAGTTCACGGGCGATTGAAGTCCCAGCTGGGGACGTCGGGAGCTGGGGTAAGATGGCGGGGTGGGAGCAGGAACGGGAGTCCAGAAGCCAGGAGTCAGAAAGCTAAGAGTCCGAGGGTCAGAGAGCCAGGAGTCAAGAAGCCAAGGGTCTGAGGGTCAGGAAGCAAGGAGTCATGAAGTCAAGGGTCCAAGGATCAAGAAGCAAGGAGTCATGAAGTCAGGAGTCTGAGGATCAAGAAGCAAGAAGCAAGGAGTCAAACGCAGCAAGGCAGGGAACGTGTTGCTGTGGCAAAGAGCCAAAGGGAAAATGCTGACCTTGTATCCCTTCTCAGCTCTTGCCACCAGGTGCTGTGAGTTACCAATCGGCCTTACCTGTGTGGCCGCGCCTTGCTTCTTCAGAACAAACTTAGGAAGGCCCCTGTCCTGCAGAGTCCTGTTGGTCACAGGGCCTGGCTCCTGCACGCACACCTGACAGCAGCTGTATAAATGACAGTTTCTAGACTCCTGCTTGATCTTCATTTCACCAGTGGGTGCCTCCTGAATTCTGGCAGGAATCAGAGAGGAATTCTTAGATACCTGTATTCTTAGTAAATCCTTGTGATGTCTTATGCCTTCGTTCTGAGGTCTGAGGCAAGCCACTATTCAAACATATGAAGGGGGGGGTAACATTATGAAGTCTGAGTGCTGGCACAATATGGTTGAACGTAAACTTTAGCCTATCATTTTTTAAATCATAATCTGAATATTGAAACAAATTCTGTCACTACTCCCACCTAGGCCATGCTTGAAGAATCTGGAGAGATCCATGGAGATCTTGAAGCCATGACTGAGAAGATAGACTATCTGGCGAGTGTGTATTCAACCAAAGGGATGTCTCAACAAGTGTCAGAGCTTGGGCGGCAGACTGAGGAGTTGCAGCAAGTGATCAAACAGCGATTGCAGAATGTTCAGGATGCAGCCAAGGTATTCGGAGTGCCCTTCATATCTAGCTGACAGTTGCAGGTCTGCTTTATGACTGCACAAGGCTAATATAAAACATCTTCTTGTGATTATTCCTTAGTAATGTTTGTTGTAATCTTACCGCATTGGCCCAAATATAAGCCACACTTCTTCTTTTTTCCAAATTCCAATTGTGAAAAGTTAAAGTGTGGCTTATCTTCATGACCTTACAGTATTGCTGCTGAAACAGCTGCTCACAAGGGCCGTTGGGGGTGTGGGACAACGGCACCCATCCCGGCTGTGTCTCCCAAGCTTCCCCCAAGCTGCTGGGGGGAAGGCTGCTGGCAAAGTAGCGTGGCTCCCCCCCCCCCCAGGAAGCAGCCAGGGAGCATGGGGTAATGGTGCGCAGTCCGCCTGCCACTTCCAAGTCTCTTCCAACACTGGCTTGGGGAGGTAGAGCTGGGAAGCTGTAGTATCAGGAGGCGGGTGCGTAGTGAGCTTGGAATTGAACGCCAGTGCCGGCTTGGGGAGCTGGACACCAAGCGTTGGCCACCCCCCGTTTAGGGCGATAGAGCCAGGAGGCGGGCCACACCCGTAAATAAGCCTTGACTTTTAAAGGTGCGGCTTATATTCAGGTCAATACGGTATATGTTTTATTCTAATCTTAACTTTTTGTAAGACACCCTGCTTAAACACATAAATATACTTAGGGGCCTAAATAAATAAATATACTGCATTTCTAGGGCACAATGCCCAGGACAGTTCTCCTATGCAAGCCACATTGAAATGGATGGAAGGTTGTACAGGCGGCAACAGTTTCAGGTGTGTCCAATTGATGTGCGATTGCTGACATGCAGGTCCTTTGGGAATGGGGAAAGAGAACGCTTATGCATGTTCTGCTGAAGTGTGCGGGGGCCAGGAATGGAACCCAATGTGAAATGGTCGCCGCCTGTAGAAGATGAGGAACTATAATATGCCTGGGAATGTATATGATATGTATTCCATTTTCCAGAGGCTTGGAGATCACTTAAAATAACACCACTGACGTATGTTTATTAATGCAAGTTTAATGTGGTTTGTGTTTTTCCTAGTTTTTCTGTAATTTCCCCCCCCCCCCAGGATATGAAGAAATTTGAAACTGAGGTAAAGGCTCTTCAAACAGCTTTAGAACAAGCCCAAGCAACTCTGACATCTTCAGAGATCAGCCGTTTGAGTCTGAAAGAACAACTTTCTCACAGACAGGTTAGACTGATTATAAGATATTTTTTATGAAAGAAGAGCAGCAAAGTATTACTTTAGATGGAAATTTATTTACATCGACTGAAGTGACTAAGTTCTGTTTGGGGTCTGCTTTCAGGTGGGATGGAAACCCATTTTATGCACTCCAGTTCTGTTTTAGTAGGTGTAGGAAATGTTAAATTATTTGAACAATAGTACTTGCAAAAAATGGTCCATTCAGAACATAGAAATTATTTGGCCTATGAATTTATCCTTCTCTACCATCCACTAAGGACAAATCCTGTTTCATTGTTGATGGCACTGATTTTGTTACGGTGGTATAAAAACAGACATTTGAGAAAACTGTTTCATGATACTGTTGTATGTCCTCCAGTTGAACTGAAATCACCCACTGAATAGCTAAATATATTTGGTTGTTATATTTTAAAATATGACAAAACAATCAACCCCAAGAACTGATCTAAATATAAATTGCTCAGATTCTTTTCCTACATAGCTCAGTCAAATCCAAAAGGTAATATGAAATATTTTCAGCTATAGTTGGCAATTTTGTGCTGATGCTTTTAGTTGTTGTTATACACATTACCTCATATATAACTGATTTTCTAAAGTGTGAAAATGTAGTAGAGAATGTTTTTCAACATGTCCTACCGATAAATCATTTAACACACATTTTGAGATTTTTGTTGAGCTCACTTTAGTAAAAAGCTATTGAGGTCAATGGGGGCATGAGAGGTTGTATTTTTTTAATTGCACTCATGTTATTTCTAGCATCTGCTTTCTGAAATGGAGTCACTGAAGCCAAAGGTTCATGCAGTGCAGATCTGCCAGAGTGCTTTGCGGATTCCTGAAGAAGTGGTCACCATGCTACCAATATGTCACACTGCCCTCAGGCTGCAGGAGGATGCTAGCCATCTACAGCACACTGCTATTCAGCAGTACAACATAATGCAGGCAAGTATAAATTGAATGTGAGAAGAGGTGGCAAAATCACAGTTTGGAGTAAATGTCATTTTTTCTTAAGAGCTTTCTTAACAACTTAAAGAAAAATATCTGTTTTGAATTTCTAGAATCGTTGCTAGTTTAAGAACATTTACATACAGATATATACAGGCAGCCACCATTTTGTGCAGCGGTTCCATTCCAGGCCTCTAACACATGTCAGCTGAACACACATAAGTGTGCCCCGCCCCCATCACACCCCCATTCTGCCCATAGCTGTCAACCTTCCCTTTTTTTGCGGGAAATTCCCTTATTCTGGCGCCATTTCCCGCTGCTCCTGCTGCTATCCCAGATTGTTAGATATCCCGTAGACTGTCCCCGGGACAGGTGAGGCTGCTGATCCCTTATTTTCGAGGCTGCTGATCCCTTATTTTCAAATCTGAAAGTTGACAGCTATGATTCTGCCCTCTTCCCAATCCAAAAGGATCCGCACATTGGCATTCGCACGTCAGTTGGACGTGCCTAAAATGGTTGTTGCCCGTATTACTCAAAAGAAAGTTGTTGCCTGTATTACTCAAAAGAAAGTATGCATTATCTCCCAGAAGTTACAAACTAAAAATACTGAACCACTCGTTTTCCACATGATAAACAACCTGGAATGAAATTTAGACCTCTGGTTTATCAGTGATCTGCATCCCTTCCCCCAGTAATTATGTTATAACCCTGCAACAAACATTTGGAACAAAATTAATTACTTTGTAAGTCAGATTTAAAGGGACGCGGGTGGCGCTGTGGGTAAAACCTCAGTGCCTAGGACTTGCCGATCGTATGGTCGGCGGTTCGAATCCCCGTGACAGGGTGAGCTCCTGTCGTTCGGTCCCAGCTCCTGCCCACCTAGCAGTTCAAAAGCACCCCCAAGTGCAAGTAGATAAATAGGTACCGCTTTATAGCGGGAAGGTAACGGCGTTTCCGTGTGCTGCGCTGGCTCGCCAGATGCAGCTTGTCACGCTGGCCACGTGACCCGGAAGTGTCTGCGGACAGCGCTGGCTCCCGGCCTTTAGAGTGAGATGAGCGCACAGCCCCAGAGTCGGACATGACTGGCCCGTACGGGCAGGGGTACCTTTACCTTTACCTTTTAAGTCAGATTTAAAGTGTGTAAGTTTAAAAAAAGTATTTAGTAGTAAAAATGTTAATGGCGTCTTACTTGCGCTACAAATATCTAGCTTTTTATAGCATTTATAGTCCTAAAGAGAATGATACACACAAGTACACAATAGGTGTTTTATTTTCTGGTGCGCTTTCACTGTATTCCCCTGGCCCCGGCATATTTCCTCTCTAGGAAGCAGTAGTACAGTATGAGCAATATGAACAAGAGATGAAACATTTACAGCAACTAATAGAGAGAGCTCATCGTGAGATCCAGGACAAGCCCATATCAACAAGCAACATTCAAGAATTGCAAGCCCAGATTTCATGCCATGAGGTAATGTACCTAAGATTAATCTGTAACTCATTTGCACTTCCTGAAACTTAAATTTCCATTTCCTTTCCCATTTTCCAGAATATTAACTCTTGCAGACATACCAGACCCTGACATTTTTGTCTCTTCTGACTCAGACTGGAGAAGAAGAAAAATATTTATCAACCCCCTTCTTTGCTGCTTCCTCTCCACCACAGTAGCTATTTCCCATTGAAGAGACTATACCAAAGGGGCTTTCCAATCCCTCCCACTCCCATTTTATATGGATGCACTGCCAACTGTACAACTTATATATGAAGCCTTGGGAGGTATATCCCAGTGTCTGTAGGCAATAGCTGGCAGTCGTTTTAAAATCTTAAGTGTCATTGCAGAGAAGCAAAATTGGACTTGGATGTAGCTTGTCCAAATATGCCATTGGACTTGGATGTGGCTGTTCATAGGTGTGAAGTGTAAAGTTTAATATTGCAAGATCTGAGTCTCTTGAATATGGTTTGTGTTGAACAATTAAGACATACACTTATTTTTCTTAAATTTAACGAAGTACATGTCTTCAAGGTGAAAACAGATCCTCTTGCCTTGCTACAAAGTAAAAGTAAAAATAAAATCAAACACTTACATCACAGCTTTTGTGCATCGGAAACCTATGGTGGCTAGTAATGACATACCATTAAAACAGCAGCATGAGAATCAACATATAAACCTTCTCTTGTATGCTCCTCCCAAGCCACAGGGCTGGTCCACCAGTGAGGCCGTTGCCTTGGGGCAGCAGATGTGGCCTACAAGGAGCATACCAGTTGCCTCCTCTTGCTTCTCATCCTCTGTTGTGTGGCAGCCCACCACTGCCCACTCCTTGCTGACCTTCCCCAACACCAGCAAATGTTCATCAGTAATAAATGAGTTAATTGGCTAAAAACCTCAAAGCAGAAATGGAATATACTTCCTGGTATCTGATTTCAGCTTTGGTGCCTGAGCCCAGCTGTGCTATCCCATGCTTCATTATCACTTCATATGAGTCACATACCTCTGTCTATTCCTCTTTGGATCTCATTCCTATCAGCCACCCTTTGGCTTAATTCCATTGCTGATTTATTCATGCACGAAGTGAATATGCGAAAACAAGGCAATAATCACCACATCCTGTTGGGAGGCAAAGATGTGCAGGCTGTTAAGCATTCTGCATTGATTCCTTGTCTCACGGGTGGAAAAAAGATCCATTAAAAACCTGAGTGACTGGTTTCATGATACTGGCTATCTCACTGTGAAATTACTCCAGCCCTTAGGCATTCATTCAGGTTAAGCTTTGCAGGAGTTTCTCTTATACTTAATTCATTTGCTCTGAGCTGTCAGACTGTAAAAACATGTTTGGGACCAATGGCATGAGATCACTTTGTTCCAACTGAATACTTTTGAAAACAATCTCACAATCGTCCTGCTTTTTTTGAGGACTAAAAACTAAGCAAACATCATATGAAATCAGAAATTCTCTTTCGAAAGGGAAAAAGTAGTTAGGGTTGACCATGTGTCCTACTTTAAATAAGGCAGTCCTCTATTTTGAAGGTCTGTCAGAGGATAGTCCTCTGTTTTTCAGGTGTTCTCTGTTTGAGGTCTGTCCAGTCCATATCTGATTTAAGAATAATTTGGATCCAGAATGCCTGCACGTTTGCATACTAGATCATTCACTCAGATTAGTGAGGAGTTCTCTTAGTTGTCCCTTGTGTTACAGAGATCTCAACTAGAAGGTAGGCATTTAGTGTAAACAGTCGCATGCTGTGGACCTCTCTTCTAGCAGTGATGTGGCAGGTTCCTCGCTTTTGACTTCCAGGTGTCTCTTGAAGGCTTTTATGCTGTTTAATTAGCCAACTATTTTAATGATTATTTATATTGTGTTTCACTGTGTTTTGTGGTGTTGCACATTGCGCTGAAATTTTATGACATTGCATCATAGAAATGTTTTTGTGTGTGTGTGTGTGTGTGTGTGTGTGTGTAATCATAAAAAGGAAGAGCATGTGCCTTAAAGTAGTGATGGAAAGACACTGATGGCATCTAAAAACAAACAAACGAGTTTTAACAAGGAGAAACAGCAGAGATGGGTACAACACAGAAGCTAACACCCAAAAGCTAATATAGCAGAGTCAGGGGCTTACAAGAGTCAGATATCAGCTAATTGTTGCCCCTTTCAAAGTGCTGTGCCTTTGCCCTCAGAAACCAGTGCTGTCCCCTCATACACGTTTCTTACAAACCTGACTGGAAATATTTAGCTGATCTACCTGTAATGCCTTAGCTACATTCTTGTGCCATAGTGATATACATAATCTACGAAACTAGACTGATACAGCAATCAATAGTGTGTAATCTTAAGTATGTAATTTTGCTGCTGCAGAGAGGGTTCAACTGGAGCATTAGTACAGAATTAGCTAATTTATTCAGGAATACAATTTGGACCCAGTCCAAGCTGTGACTCTAAACAGGCAACTAAAAGAAAATAAATACCTTGCAGAGTGATATTAAAATGCCAAGTGCAAGCTACTAGTTTATCACGACTCCCAGCATTTTAGAACAAAGCAAGAAGAAAGCCACAGTGTTTGTTAATCCATGACAGCCTTGTGCATTAACTTCTCTGTTCATTGTACTCAGTCTGGTCAGAAATGAATGCTGCATGTTTTTTTAAACTTCAAGTCATTGCATGACCTCATTTCCTTGGCATGCCTTATCTGGGGACTTTCAGCTTATTTTAGTATCCCACGAGGCAGACGAGAGTATTTCCCTTCTTGTTTTCAGCAGGATTTAATGCAGAATTTGCTTATCCTCAGAAATGATAATGTGAGTTTACCAGACACCCCTTCTGTCAGTGACAGGCAGGAAAGATTTTCCACGGTTCTTTTCCATTTTCACTGCATAGCTTTCTGTTCAGTGGCTTAGCTCTGCCTTTCTCTGTGTGTATGTAGCTCGATGCAGCCTGACATGTTTGTTTTCCACAATCAACATCCTGCTGTTCGGCCACTGCTGCTGCTGAGGTAGGGCTTCTGAAACACAGAGCTGTGATTTTATTGGCTGACCTTAGACAAGCAAGCCGGTCTTTCTCTAACGGAAGCAGAATTGCTGCTCCTTCTTACGGCCTCTACATGCTGCATATGATTCTCAAGGAAGAAAATGTTTCCTCAGGAGCTGGCACAGAAGATCAAAGGCTACCAGGAGCAAATAGCATCTCTGAATTCCAAGTGCAAGATGCTAACAATGAAAGCCAAGCACGCCACTATGCTTCTAACAGTAACAGAAGTGGAAGGACTTTCAGAAGGAATGGAGGAGCTGGATTCAGAAGAACTCCTCTCAGCACACTCAGCTCACCCCTCTGTAGTAATGGTAAGCAATAAATGTATAATTTGTCTGTTTCCTGAGGCCACTAGTCATTTACAATACTGGTTCTGACACTATTATGCAAAAGATTGCTACAGTCCATATTGTTTCTTTGTCTTCATGAGATGTCTGGGTGTTGCTGCTTAGAATGCACTGGAGCTCAAATTTATGCAGCTGTGGTTATTCAGTTTTACAAACCAGCAATTACTGTTATCCTTGGGTGTGTATGAGTGTGGCTTTTGGCAATTCAGCTTTTTAAACATGGATAATTCCTCGGAACCACCAAATAAAATCACATTTATAAAATTACAAAATATAGCTTCACTTTGTACTCCCAAGAGGTTATTATTATCACTACTATTTTCTGTTTTGTGCATTATCCTACCTTGGTATACCTAAGTGAAGAACTGGAAGAGGGGGAAATTGAAATGATTATTTTGCATATGCATGGAACTTTTTATTTTTAAGTACACTGGATAGCAGTTGAAACATTGCTGAAATAAAGAATCCATAGGAGATGCTTTACTATTAAGTTGTATGTGTTTATTGCTTTCAGTATCTTTACATGTGGATCTGCTTTTCTTCTGCAACATTCCTCAAATATATTTTATCTAGTAGAAAGGTACATGTTTCCCTAGCTGAATGTTCCAATATTTTCCTGTGAAAATTCCTACAACTATGGTGTATGTGGATAAGGTTAAATATGTTCTCAAAAATGCTATCACTCAAATACTCCAGAACTAGAGTAAATAAACTTTCATTCTTTGTCTACATTATTAATACTGTTTTTGTTGGTATGTATCAGATGCCAGGGAGGACAGGGCTCCTAGGTCTAATAGCTATTCAAAAGAGAGAACTTGGGCAGGAACATTTTCTCATAGTAGGGTGAGGAAAACTCTGCCTGCCAAATAAAATTCTCACACACAATTATTAAAGGTACAGGGGCTCTTAAACTATGGCCTGTTGGAACTCTATGCATATGATTGCATTAAATAAAAATCATCCTTGTGGTGACTGAATGATCTTCTTGTCATTTGGGATTGCATTTCCCGTGGCAGATGACTGCTGGTCGCTGTCACACACTTCTGTCACCTGTTACTGAGGAGTCTGGGGAAGAGGGAACCAACAGTGAGATTTCTTCTCCACCTGCCTGTCGCTCTCCTTCACCTGTGGCTAATACAGATGCTTCTGTTAACCAGGTATCTCTCCGTTGGCTTTCATTCAATTGTGATGTCTGCAAATATGTGTGGTCCTCAGTGTGCAGTTCCTTATTTGTCCTGTCAGTTAACTTGGAAGTGTTTTCTCAGGGCAAAAAAACACGAAGCTTTCGTTTTAATATTATTATTTAAAGTGAAACTACATGCTGTTCTTTAAAATGTATATAATAGATAAATGCAGTGCAGCATTAAAACTGCTAGCACATTTGAAATGCTAGGCAGGGTCAAGCATGGGTTCAGTTTGGATGAGGGACTGCATGTTGAGATTCCTGCATTGCAGGGGGTTAAGGGAGTGGGTGGCACTGTGGTCTACTCTAAACCACTGAGCCTAGGACTTGCCGATCAGAAGGTTGGCATTTGAATCCCTGTGACGGGGTGAGCTCCTGTTGCTCTGTCCCAGCTCCTGCCAACCTAGCAGTTCGAAAGCATGCCAGTGCAAGTAGATAAATAGATACTGCTGTGACAAAAAGGTAAATGGTGTTTCTGTGTGCTCTGGCACTCATCACGGTGTCCCGTTGCTCCAGTAGCAGTTTAGTCATGCTGGCCACATGACCCCATAGTCGCATTTGACTGGACTTAACCGCCAGGGGGTCCTTTACCTTTACCCATTGGAAGGGGTTGGACTAGATGAACCTTGGGTTCCCTTTCAGCTCTACAATTCTCTGATACTGGAGATACAGATAAAAGAATGGGAGCATGCACAAGATTTTCAGCATTACAGAAGATCCTGACAAAGCACAGCTTTTATTGTCCCTTTATCTATCTGCATGTTTTCCGCTACTAGATAGTTGCAAAGATCTTCCTCTGTTCTAATATTATTTCATTATTGATGGTGACTTTTGTAAATGTGAATTAAATTGTTTTCATTCCATTGCTTTATTTTCAACATGAGCTCTCTTTTCAGTAATTACAGTGCATAGCACTATCAAATTGACACTGTAGGTACCTTTGTTAATTAATGAGCATTCTGAAGCTGTTTAATATTTAATGGTATAATGCAATGAATAAAAATAGAGATGCAGGGTTAAAAAAAAACACACCTTGATGTCAAGCTTATCCAATCAGATATTTTCTTCTCCCTGTTTCACTCCTTGATCTCAATGAAAAATAATGTGCTTTTCTTGCATATTCTCTCATAGATAGATTTCCTCACATATTATATGCATCATTACGTACCGTAATTATTATATGGTTATTATATGCATTTTATGCATATCATAGTATGCAGTTATATACTGGAAGTTTCCTAAAATAACCAGCACATAAACAGATACAAAGAATGCTGCATATACAGGAAAAATAATAATAGAATAATTTATTATTTATACCCCACCCATCTGGCTGGGTTTCCCCAGCCACTCTGAGTGGCTGCCAACCAAATATTAAAAACACAATACAGCATTATATATATAGTTATGTTTTATAACATAATATTGCAGAAGTAAGGTATAGCACAAGGCTTGACTCTTTCATATGAGATATATATGTAATCAATTCTACTGGGGGGTGCCAGTATATAATTTGTTGGAGCTTTTCTTAAAAATAAAATGCTTGAGTTGTAAGCAAGTGCTCAATTCAACAGAAGGTTCAATTCGGGTGTAGCTTGATCAGGTCAGAACTACCATTTCCCATGGATAAATGCATTTCAAACGGATTCCTCCTTCACTAGTAAAGAATGGGAACGGAGCAAGAACAATTTATTCATTACCTAATTATTGTAAGCTAGTAGCAAGTACTCCTTGCTCCAAACAAAAGCAAAACACACCACTATTGTGATTCAACAAGGAAATTGATAGGTTAAAATAATAAGCAAAGCAAATGTAGGAAGTGAGATAATGAGCCATTGACTTTGTAAAGTTTAGTTGCATTGCAAGTGTAAAATACAAGAACCTCAGGAATATATTTTTTTTGCAATGTATTTTGTAACATGGGAAATTAAGTAAGAAATATGCATTGGGCCAACCTAGAGTTTGAGTGAGTTAAAAATGCAAGTTTGTCAGATCAAAGAGGACAGTCACAGTAGCAATGAGTAAGTAGCAGCACTTTTGTCTTTTTATTTTGCCTAAAGGTGAGAGTTGTAGTAGGGGTGTGATAGTTGATCCACACAGCACTCTTACCTTCCTAGTAGCGGAATCGAGGAAGGAGGCTCTGCAGCCACTTGCTGCCTATATTGGTTGCTAGATGGAGGGACCATCATTAGAAGGATTCATTATAAGACTAACAATGTACCGTATTTTTCGCCCTATAGGACGCACTTTTTCCCCTCCAAAAATGAAGGGGAAATGTGTGTGCGTCCTATGGGGCGAATGCAGGCTTTCGCTGAAGCCTGGAGAGCGCGAGGGGTCGGTGCGCACTGACCCCTCACGCTCTCCAGGCTTCGCACACCTCTCCGCAAGCAGCGGGAGCCCAGTGCTGGGCTCCCGCTGCTTGCGGAGACTTGCCTGCATCCTGAAGCCTGCGCGCGCTGAGCTCAGTGCGTCCAGGCTTCGTGGACCTCTCCGCAAGCAGCTTCCCCCGACCCCAGCCCCCAAACAGGCAGCTCTCTGCAAGCCGTGGGAGCGCTCCCGCTGCTTGCGGAGAGTTGCCTGCATGCTGAAGCCTGCGTGCGCTGAGCTCAGCGCGTCCAGGCTTCGCGGACCTCTCCGCAAGCAGCGGGAGCGCTCCCACGGCTTGCAGAGAGCTGCCTGTTTGGGGGCTGGGGTCAGGGGAAGCTTGAGCTTCCCCCGCCCCAGCCCCGCACCTGGGGGGGAAATAATTCCCCCCCTTTATTTCCCCCCAAAAAAACTAGGTGCGCCTTATGGGACGGTGCGTCCTATAGGGCGAAAAATATGGTATATTAAAGCTCACAGAGCTATTGCTTGTGAGCAGAGCTATGGGTGTTTTCTTAGGAAATTTACTTAAAAACAAAAGAGAAAAACAACAATACATACAAATAATGATTGTAGAAGATAAGCCGTAAATTTAAGCTGTGCAGAGCAACAACAGTAAACAGGAATAAACTGACATTTTCATGAGAGGGTTATGTCTTTTGAAACTGCTGTGTTGTGCTTCATGCTCGTAGGACATTGCTTATTACCAAGCCTTATCTGCTGAACAGTTGCAGACAGAAGCTTCAAAGATTCAGCCCAGCCCCTCATCCACTCAGGAATCCTCTGAGCCAGGGTTAGAGTCTGCCACTAGTGCCAAGCTGGATGATTTACAACGTTCTTGGGAAACACTGAAGAATGTGGTAAGTCTCTTGGTGCAAGGAGGAAAAGGAGAGATGTTACTATAATTTTGTGTGTGGTTTAGGTGATTGTGTCAGAGTGGATTGTTTGCAAATATATGCATGACAAAAAAAAAATAGAGAGAGAACCAACTGGTGTGGTGGCATTTTAGCTGTAAGGAAGTTTCTATGCAGAAAGTTTGAAGGTTTTGAGTAAGTTCATCAAGTATACCAAAGCCTCTGAAGGCACACATTATTTTTAAGTAGTGAGGCCAGATACAATTAGCTTCCATTATTGAAGATCTGACTTCAGATAATTTAACAATGTGGCTGCTAGATTTCCACCTCGGACTGGGTATTCTGATAATATCACAACTGTGCTGTGCCAACTGCAGTGGCTCCCAGGGTACTTGAAGGACGACCTGTCTCCAGGTGAGTACCTTTTTATGAGGTGAGGTAGGCAATTACCAAACAGAGCTGCCCTCGTGGTGGTGTCCCAATAGCAGAATGCTCTCCTTAGAGAGGTTTGCTTGCCACCCAACTGTTATTTTTCAGCACCAGAATTTTCCAAAGGCTTGTAGATCTTGTTTACTGCTGTAGACTGCTTTTATAATCCTGTGACCTTTAAGTTTATTGTGAGTCGTATTCAGTGAATGTGTCCTGCCAGCAAAAGGATTTCCACTTGCACAGTGGTACTTGCCATCTCTCCTGGACCCCTAAATCTGTTTTAGGCATTTCCTCAGCACTGAGGAGCAGATTTAGAGGTTTTGTGGGGTGTGCTCAAGAGGAGGAGGAGGAACATTCTGTTGTTCAAGAAATTGGGATGCACCAGCTGGATACCACCCTAAACTGTCCGAGGAAAATGATTGAAGGGCAGTATAAAAACAGTATAATCAACAATTGACTCCCTCTTAGCTCCCGCATAGGATTTTTCAGTGCAGACATCCATGTCAGCACATGGAGATAATGCCTGTAACATGTTGATTGGCAGCAGTGTGGACTCAACTGCTTATCCCAGGAACCATGTGCTGTACTCTTTATTCAGATTCATGTGTAAAACACAAACACATTTGTGCAAAGCTTTGTATCACTATGTCCACAGCAGCCAAACTACATCAGAGATCATATGAAGCTCCAACTACAGTGGTACCTTGGTTTATGAATTTAATCCGTTCCGGAAATCCGTTCTTAAACCAAAGCGTTCCTAAACCGAGGCGTGCTTTCACATAGCAGTGGGGGACTCAATTTACAAATGAAACAAACTCAACAGGAAGCGAAACATGTTCTTGTTCCAAGGCAAAGTTCACAAACCAAAGTTCTGGGTTTGCAGCGTTCTTAATCCAAGTTGCTAATAAACTAAGCTGTTCTTAAACCAAGGTACCACTGTATAGGGAAATTATTTCTATTTCTTCAACTCTCTCAGCCTCCTGCATCACAGCTACCCAATTCATCAGATCCCTGTGAGAGGGAGCAGGGTGGGGGCTGTTGAAAGGAAGAAAGGGCAGGGAAATTTATCTTCCACTCCCTGCTTCCATGGGTATTTCTAACTTACTATGTATAACTTTGCTTCCCTCCCTTTTGGGGTTTTTATGATGTTCTGTATATTATGTTCCATATATTGTGTATTTTTGTTCTCATGTGGTATATCAATGCCAGTTTCTTTTTCTTTATTGAATAAAGAAGTGTTTGTTGGGTTTTTTAAAGAGTTGAATATCTAGTCACGGTTTACTTTACTTGCAGATTAGTGAAAAGCAACGTACCCTCTATGAGGCCCTTGAACGCCAGCAGAAGTACCAAGACTCCCTCCAGTCTACATCCACAAAAATGGAAGCCATTGAGGTGAAATTAAATGAAAGCCTAGGGGTTGGGAAGAGTCCAGAGAGCCAAATGGCTGAACATCAGGTAAAAATAAATGAATGGCAAGATAAATTGTTTGCTTCTTGTTCACTTACAGGTCTTTAGTCTTAAAATCCAAATTCCTGGCACAGTTGTACTGTCTGCCCTGAAAATATGTTGAAAGTCTGTATTTTCTAGTTGTGTGATAAAGTTTCCCACTCACCCACCCAATTTTATCCTGTGATTTTTTTGAAAACAACAACAACTAGGCTTTGATGGATGAGATCCTAATGCTTCAGGATGAAATTAGTGAGCTACAAACTTCATTAGCAGACGAGCTGGTGTCTGAACCACTAGATACAGATGCTGCCGACCAGTTGGCTCTACAGTCTACGCTTACAGTCTTAGCAGAGAGGATGGCCACCATTAAGATGAAAGCTTCAGGGAAACGGCAGCTGCTTGAGGTACAAAGATACCGAAAGGAAGTTTTCATCCTGACAAATTCCAATCAGTAAGGCCTTCCATGGTCTTTCAAGTATTTCCAAGTGTCCCTACATTTCGTTTGCTGCTGTAACATGTTTATCACTTGACGAGGGCTGCAGAACTTGTATGTTACCTCACGTGGCACCAGTGCTTTTCAGTAGAGCCTATTCATGCATTCAGCTGCATATCACTGAGTGCTGTTTAAACACATAGTAGGAACTTTATTTATGTGCATGCCTGTGTGAACTAATCCATCATATTACCTTACCTTGTGTGGATCTGTAAGATGAATCTGTAAGATTCCTTCTGCACTGTTCTTTGAGTCTCTGGCCATGTTTCCAATTGCTTGATTCTCCTTTCACACTAAGCTGCCTTCCACATCTCTTCTTTGTTCCCTGTCATTTCTTAAATTATTCCTTTAATTTCCATTTTTTTATGTTAAGCTGCTCAGCACACATCACGGTGTTAAGAAAAAATTACCTGAACTCACCTTAAATGAGTACATATTATAATCTGCTGTAGAGTTATATAGAGTGCTTCCTTTCTCCTCTCAGCAAGCCACTTTCTGTTATAAAATTCTTACACCACTATTCACATATATGAGGTTTCTGTGAATCAAAACTTGTCCCTCGACAAATTAGGATACAGTGCAGGCTTCCCCTGAAGAAAGGGAATGAGGTGATGATTTTAGCTGATCTGCCCCCTTCCCCCAGTGCCACCTCAAACACTGTTTACAAAGGTCCCCCAGCCATCTGCAGCAACTTTTCAGGGGCTTGAGGAGAAAAGAACTGGCAAACTCTGCCATCTGTCTCTTTCCTTGAACTTGAGCAGCACTCCATTGAGTTCAAGTGTTGATCCAACCCATCTATTTTTGTTCACTCAAAAGAATTGCAAATAATGGCCACATCTAATTACTAGGAGAAACTCAATGAGCAACTAGAAGAACAGCGGCAAGAACAAGCTCTGCAAAGATATCGCACTGAAGCGGATGAACTTGACCACTGGCTCCTGAATACAAAAGCTACACTGGACACCTCATCGGTTACTGTTGAGGAACCCATGGATATGGATTCCCAGCTGGTTGACTGTCAGGTGAAATAGCAACCATGATGTCTAAATATTACTTCTGATGCACTTATAGGGCTTTCTTGTGTGTTTTTTAATTAGGACTCCTCACATGCATATCACTCATACTCATGTGTTGAGCAGTGCATTGAAAATTTGTTTTTTGCATTTACAGTGCATGTAGCACCTGCACATCTCTCGAAACCTTTCCACATCTGGAAAGTGGAATGAGCAGTGTCTAAACCAAGTGTTGGTTAAATAGACAGATGACATTCAGAACTAGTTTGTGCAGCTTGCAAATTAGACACGGTCCTAATGTTTTAATCACTGGAACTTTTGAATAGGAAATCTTGTGTTTTGGGCCTACTTTTTCAAATAGAGCAAATAAGTGTTCCCTATTCATTTTTAAAGAAATCAACAAATAATATAACTCGGTTATCCAAGCAGTATGCAGAAATAAAAGTGTTCCAGAATTCTCAAAGCTTTTTAAGTTCATAACAGACTCATGTCTCATGCTCACTTGTTTAAATGAGATCACACTCAAGGATTGAGTTGCTCATTTCAGACATAGCACTAAACTACGAGTTGTTTGCTTGTTTGTAACAAAATTTGCTTACTGCTTAATTGTAGTAAAACTTCTAAGTGGGTTAATGCATTATTTGGGGTCCTGTGGCTCTCAAAATGTTGTTGGACTACAACTCCCACCATTCCTGATCACTGGCCACAGGTATCCCATTTCTTCCCTAAATGATGGTCTAGTGTTACATGAGTGAACAGAAGTGAGCTTTGAACTCCCATGCTCCCTCTCCTTTCTCCTTCTCTACTTTAGCCACAGGAAAGATTGGAAATTTAGTTTTAAGTGTATCTCCTTTTTGTTTGCATTTTAACCCCCCCCCCCTGTTTTTATGATGATGATTTTGTAGAAGGCAATTAATAAATTATCACAATCACCTTAAATTTTAAGCAAACTGGAGTTAATCTTTGACTGTGTTTTCATAGAATGCTAAGTCATGGAACAGACTTGAGCAAAGCTTTCAACTCATGTGCTCCCCTTTCAGAACCCTGGCTTGTTGTTAGGTATATATCACAGATTGTGATTTAAACAAGTGAACATGAGATATGAGTCCGTTATGAACTTAATGAAATTAGGTAGCAACATGCTTATATTCTTTAATGCCCTCTAAAACTGTTTTTGATTCATGTGTTTGATCCTATCTAAAACCACATTTTTAGGGAAGCCAATCTACCATATGCACCTCAAATCTGAGCTAATATCAACACCCCCACAGACACACAAGCCTATTGAGAATGACAGTTTTGACAATAAAGATTTTAAAAGTGGGAATTAAATAGATTGGTTTGCCATTTTAAAACAATCCTTAAGTTTCTACGTTTCCTCCTCCTGACTTAATTGTCATCAGATTAAATTGCTCAGGGCAATTAAATCAAAGTCTTTAAACTTGTTGTCAGAATATTGTCCCCGTTTTGGTATGCTGTGGAAGTACTTACCTGCATTTCAAAATAAACATGCCAGAGATTTGTCACTAGAGAGACATAAATCTCTTTCTAGACTAAAGAAGATTATGTGGAGGATCTTAGGGCCATTCATGCACCAATCAGAAAGATCCACAGTAAGCAGAGAAGCTTATCAATACAATCAGAGCAATGAGGAGGAGGGAAGGGAGATGAGCGCAGAAAAAGGGATCTCCCTGCATACAACAGGCAGAAGTGGCAAAACGAGGAGAAGAGAGCAACCATAATCTGCTAATTGCCATTATCTTGGGGTCATAGGTTCTGACATATTGATGCAGTAAAAAAACTAGAAGAGCATTTAAGCATCTAAATATCACTGAAATGCAAAAAAAAGTCTGTGCTGTGAAAAAGTCTTTGCTTTCAGACAATGCAGACTCTTGTGTTTTGGATGTTTCTTGCATGTAAAAATAAAAGTCAGAGCTTTGGGAAATGCAGAATATTGGAAGCACATTTGTGAAGGCTCTGTGGAAAACTCTGTGGAGCAACAATGCAAATCTGCCTTGCTCTTAGCTTGGATGAGGATGAGGTAGGCCCCTGCGGATGCTGCAAGATGTATGAATTTGCCTCCTTGTTTCTGCTGCTTCAGAACATGCTTGTGGAAATTGAGCAGAAGGTAGTGGCTTTGTCTGAGCTGTCTGTCCATAACGAAAACCTTCTCATGGAAGGAAAAGCTCATACCAAGGACGAGGCAGAGCAGCTGGCAATAAAGCTCCGAACCCTAAAGGGAAGCCTTTTGGAGTTGCAGAGAGTCCTCCACGACAAGCAGATCATCATCCAAGTAAGGCGCTCTTCCTAATTGGCTTTAATGGGGAGGGTTTGGGTTTGCATTTTTTCCTTCTGTGGGTTGGGGGAAATTTGAAAAAGAAGAGGCTGTCATTATTATACACCTAGCGGTAATTAAATGCCAGTCAGTTAGAATTGACCCATCAAGTTACAGTTTAATTTCCGTATTACCACCTTTAGGGAGAGCTAAATTTATTAAAGCCTGCTCCCCGTCTTTGTCTTCTTCTTTGCCATTGTTCAATTGGAAATTGCTTGAATTGGAGCCTATGTTTGTTTGTGTTCAGAGATTGGGATTTTGAGCCTTGTCTGTCCCTTGCCCTGTACCCCCAAAGCACTTTAAAAAATGTTGCAAGCTTAGTTATTAATTTAGATCAGTTCATTCAGATATCTCTTAGAAAGGAGAAAGAGGCAAGTGCTTTTAAAAAGCAACAATTGTGCACCATCATTTTGCGTATGATGCCTGTAAGCAGAAGACTATTTCCAGCAGCAAAGTTATTTTACTGGGTTAAGGTGCATGCATTTATTTTAGAGTGTGAGACAAATTTGACATTAAAAGTTCTATGCCTTTTATTTCATGATAACTCTGGCTGTAATTCCCCCCAAAGAATCCTTTACTCACATGCACCAACATACATGTATGCATCCACATTTTTTCCTGGCAGCGTTTTCTCACATTAGGGTATATTTCTAATGCTGCCATCGGCTTCATGTGATGTGGAAGCAGCAGTGAGCCTTGCAGTGAGTGGAGGCAATTCCTATGCTTAACCAGAACTTACCCTGTAGCTCTTTGGATCAGGACCCTAATATTCAGCTTAAATATTTGTTAGGCTAACTTAGTGTATTAAGAACTACACACAAGTTCTTAAAGCATTATTATCTACCTCTGAGATTGTTTTCCCGCTGTACGTATCCATACAACATTCCCTGGAGCAATATATGAAGATGGTGAAGCCAACTTTTTTTTATATGAAATTGCTGAAAGAGCAGCTCGTTCATAGCCTTTAGTAAACCACAGAAAGGGACAACTTCCTCCCTGATCCATTTGAATGTTATCTCCCTACTTGATGTCATAACAAACCAAAACCTCTTTGTAAGCATGTGATTCCCGACTTACGTATAATTCTTCTTTGCATGTTAAGGGCATAAGGAATTCTCTGGGGATTAGTGACCAGAGACTTGAGCAGTACTTGAGAAATGGCAAACCCATCTGATCACTAATCCTGAAGCAGGATAGCGTACCTGTGTCATTAATCTCATGGCAGATGAAACTGAAAATTAAAATGTATGGGAGCTTTTTCTTAACCCCAAAACTGTTCTACATTATGGTATGGCAAACACATGTTGCCTGGAATATTGACCTTGAAGAGGTCAAGCAATAGCTTTTCTGTAATCTGCAGCTATACATAGCTCTGGAGAATAGTAAAAGGGAAATGTGCTGAAGAGAGTGACACAAATCAAATTGGAATCTAAATGGCGCAAAGTAGACGCTTAACATCAGCAGTATTCAGAAACCAGTTAGTGAACATTTAAGTTTCTCAGATCACAGCTGAGATGCTGTTCAGATGCTGTTCAGCTGGAAGGCCACATAAGCTTTCCTTACAGTACCAGAATCACATTAAAGCAGGACTTCTTCTTCTTCTTCTTCTTCTTCTTCTTCTTCTTCTTCTTCTTCTTCTTCTTATTATTATTATTATTAATGATCTCTTGAAGAAGTAGGAGACTCCAAATCCAGACCTGAGAATGACAATCCTATCTCCCTAAATTCATATTCCGCTTGTATTCCTCCTCCCACCCTCTCATTCATTCATTCATTCATTTAAAGCAGGGTGCTATACAGGAAAAGGAGGAGTGTGAGCCAGATCTAGCCACTTCTCAAAGCCCCAGTGTCCAAGAATGGCTGCTTCAGGCACGGACAACCCGTTCACAACAGCAGCAGAGTAGCCTGCAGAGACAAAAAGTGAGTGTGCTTGGTTACTACAAATCCTAAACCTGTTTAAATGCAGTGAACCATTCATTTGAATTGTGTATACTTCACATTTGCAGATGTCCACATTCTGTGTGTGGATGTGAGCCCCCCGCTAGCAGGAGAGCTGTGCAACTTTGGGAGCAGGGACAGCAATACAGCCCCACTTCCCATTACAGTGGTACCTCTGGTTATGTACTTAATTCGTTCTGAAGGTCCGTTCTTAACCTGAAACTGTTCTTAACCTGAAGACCACTTTAGCTAATGGGGCCTCGCGCCGCCGCGCGATTTCTGTTCTCATAATGAAGCAAAGTTCTTAAACCTGAGGTAATATTTCTGGGTTAGTGGAGTCTGTAACCTGAAGCGTATGTAACCTGAAGTGTATGTAACCTGAAGTACCACTGTAATAGCATGACACTCCTTCATGAAGGGAACTGTGACCCCTTGTGGTCTTTGGGAGTTGTGTTCACTGGTTGCTCCCATCACATGCACTTTGACCCTTCTGTGATTGTTTAAGGGATGAGTAAACTATGTTTCAGCTCAATTTAAGGATAGCCCTTTGTCTGTGGAGGAATGAAGATGCAAGGAAGCATTATAACTATGGCCAGTCTTACCTGAAATCTTGGTTATTTTCATTTTCCTGTATGCCTAAGATGTATTCTAGCAGTTGTACTGTATTTAGTATTCTTAAATAGTAAACAGGATGCTGTTCAGCCAATTGTGCTTGATTCTTTTTAGGAGCTAGAGAAAGAGCTAGCAGAGCAGAAGAACCTACTGCGCTCCGTGGCAAGTCGTGGAGAGGAAATTCTAACACAGCAATCTACTTCAGAAAACTCTCATCTTAGGTGTGGCTTGATGCATTTTATTCTTGTTCAATAGCTTTGTATTGATTGATCATGCCAGTGTGTGCTCATAACTTCATGTGTTGTTTGTGTTTTATTGTAAATGAAATCTGAAAAACAGCTTACATTTAAAATAAGATTCTCAGAATTTATTCAAGATTTTGACAACTGCTGGCTAGATCATAACAGCATATTGTTGTTTTTATCTAATTAGTCTAACCATCATTCATATATATATATATATATATATATATATATCTCCAAGTAAGATAAGCAGAGGATCAAACAAAGCCTGCCAGCACAAGGCTTTGTTAAAAAGAGACATACTAACTCATAATGCACGACTTGCACATTTCTTATGAAAGGTACCTAAAGTTTATTCTTATACGTAATATAAATTTAATTAATATTTGTTGTATCTAATTTTAAAAACTTTGGAAGGGTTACATTTGTAAAGAATTAAATGCTTCCTTAATGCAGTGCCTCAAAAATCATACCCTTCAATCTGAAATGTTACTGATTTCAGAAGTGATGAGGCTTCCTAGTTTTAGTGCATAAATACTATGAGTACTTCAGATTTCTATGAAATCCTTAAAACAGCCCAATTAAAGTGTTCTGGAAGACCGCCACCAACATCACAGCCAGGCAGGGCTTCATACACAGTCACTGGGTGCAAGTCACCTCCACTTGCGTCCACTTTTAACTTGCATAATCTCAGTGGTTTACATTAACTTTCATGACTAACCCTTCATATCAGGTGTGAACAGTATTTTGATGAGGAGAGTATACATAAGTACAGTAAAGTAACAGTCATTCCAGAAATATTGCTGTTTCAGTATTGCTAATTCATATTTGTCTTTTCCATCAACAGGAAGCCTGATGTATTAACAGAGGAACTAGGTTTAGAGGGAGAAAAACCGTCAGCTGAAGATCAAATGAAAATGAAGTGGGAAAGCCTCCATCAAGAATTCAGCATTAAGCACAAGCTGCTGCAGAATGCTCTGGAACAAGAACAAGAGCAGCCGGTAGGTTTTCTTTCAAAACTGTTGTTTTCAGCACTCTTTACCGAAAAAGAAAATGGTAAAATCTACAACCCAGTAATGTCTTTTTCTCAGAATGTAAATTGAAAAAAGGAACACTTTAAATCAAAGCCCTACTAACTGAATAAGGAGAATGAAATCATTATATTCATTTACATTTTTGTCACATCTGAAAATTGTAATCATTACCTTTTCCTTCCTTCGCAGCTCTACAGCAGGCCAAACCGACTTATATCTGGCATGCCAATGTACAAACAAGAAGGGCAGTCTCAAGATAAACCATCAGCTGCATCTTTATTGGTTGGTTTGAATGAGGCTTTTGAAGACGCTTCTTCCCAGGTAGGATATTTGATTATGTTCACTTTTTTTGTGAAGTTCAATATATACTACTGTACTAACGGACCTGCCTCTCTCTTTTGTGGTGCCTTATTCAGCCTGGAGGTGTGGAGAAGGAGAGCCTGCACTTTGAGCAGAAGTTGTACAGTGGTGTTTCAGCCACCTCTTCCTGGCTAGATGGTGTTGAAGAGCACTTGTTTGTTGCCGCAGCCCTGTTGCCCGAAGTGACAGAAGCTTGTCTTTATAACCAGGAAGTAAGTGGTCGTAAAATTGCCATCTTATTTATTTATTATTTAAATATCTCTCTCACTTTTCATTAATTAATGATCCCAGGGCACAAAACATAACAAAACCCAATTAAAAGACAAGCAATAAAACCAATTCAATGACTTAAAATACCAGATAAAATATACTATGTCATCATATACACTAATCGGGTTGTTCCCTATAAAGGCTTGGTTGAAAAGATATGTTTTTTTACCTAGTGATGAAACATAAATAGTGATGGCTTCAGCCACATCAGAGGAACCACCATGGAAAAGGTTTTATCTTGTGCCACTGCATAATGAATTTCCCCCAGTGGTGGAACACTGAGAAGTTCCCCTCCATCACAACAGTAAGAAAGATGCATTAACGTTGGAGCTAGACTTAGAACCGAGGAAGTGGGGAGGCCTTCATCAAGAAAAAAGTGCCAGCTTAATGTTGTACTTTTTTATTTATTGAAACATAAGACTATACAGCTTATGTCTACAGTTTTAAATGTGATATTGTTAGGTAGAAGAGCAAGTGCAAGGTTCATTTGCTCCTCTGCTGAGTTGCTAAAAAAATCACAGGTAAAGACACCTCAAGTGCCGTTAGATCCAACCTGGTGGTGGAGAATACGCAAGTGGAAAAGTTGAGTTATGTAGCAGTGGGCGTCATTCTTAGTGTGCCCCACTGGTTTTAAGAGATAAATAAGATAGGTTGCATTTGGCAAGTCTGTCATAGTTCAGTAGAGACAAATTTGTTCTCTCGAAGAAGTGTTCACCTCTACCAATGGTGTCTCTATGTTTCACATCTATGTCACCCACCATTTATGTACATTACTGCTATGTACGTCCGGAGGAGGGGTGGTATTGAGAGATAGTGCTGCTCTTCTTCTTTCTGGAGTGTACACAAGAAGGGATTAGAACATTTGACCAATAGCAAAACCATGCTTACATTCATACACCAAAACTACTGCAGTACATACGTACATCAAAAGAAGTGTGGATATGTGCACATAAGAGGCAACAGGCAATCCAATTGGGGGGGGGGCAGAGGTGCCAACATGAAATGTTGTAAACAAAATTATTTCTGTTTCCTACTTTAGGCTATGTACACATTCCCATTTATTCTGCATCCAGTGCACTCCCTCTGCTGGTTTGGGAAGTGGTGTACACATGACATTAGCCACAATCCATATCAATCCTGTATCTCTTCTGTTGTTTCTACTGAAATACTGCATTTTTATCCATTTCCCCCCAAAGCAGCTATGGTCCGAATTGAGAAATAGAATGATCTGGCTGTATTTTAAGCCATTAATTGTGCACACAGCCTTAGACTGCCAGTGACTCTGTAGGTGCTCAGTAAGACTGAGAGGATTTTCATGATCAGAAAAATTCTGTTGTATATTTATTCTAGCCATATGGTGTAATATTTCAGAAATCAACAGACAGCTTGGAAAGGAGAATACAATGGAGCATTTATACAGAACTCTACATGTGTATCATGAGTGAAGCAATCTGTGTAGGGATTCTTTCACTAATATGAATAGTGAGACTTTTGTACATAAATGGAATCCGCATATGCAGTGGTGTTCCTGCCTGCACATTAAGTGCAATTATAAGCATGATTATTCAGAAGTAAGTCCACTATTTTCAACAGGATTCGCTCCCAGATAAGTGTGCATTAGATTACAGTCTGAGAACTGCCCTACATAGCTGAAATGACTGGATCTGGTTAACTGTGTTCTGAACACATTTTGCTTATATGATCTTAACCTATCATGGAACAAGTTTTGAAGAAATAGGAATATAATACTTTGGTATTATATTCTCTCTTTCATCATCATCTTCATAATGATTGGTCTAATATTTGGGAGGGTATATTTTCAAGAGGGACGCGGGTGGCGCTGTGGGTAAAACCTCAGCGCCTAGGACTTGCCGATCGCATGGTCGGCGGTTCGAATCCCCGCGGTGGGGTGCGCTCCCGTCGTTCGGTCCCAGCGCCTGCCAACCTAGCAGTTCGAAAGCACCTCTGGGTGCAAGTAGATAAATAGGGACCGCTTACCAGCGGGAAGGTAAACGGCGTTCCGTGTGTGCTGCGCTGGCTCGCCAGATGCAGCTTGTCACGCTGGCCACGTGACCCGGAAGTGTCTCCGGACAGCGCTGGCTCCCGGCCTATAGAGTGAGAGGAGCGCACAACTCTAGAGTCTGTCAAGACTGGCCCGTACGGGCAGGGGTACCTTTACCTTTTTTATATTTTCAAGTGTTGTTTGGTTTTATTCACATATACTCCAGGCTCTGGCTAAAGATATCAAGGAGATGACAGAAAAAATGGATAAGAACAAGAATTTGTTTTCTCACATATTTCCTGACAATGCTGACAATCGAGATGTTATAGAAGACACCTTGGATTGTTTGCTAAGGAGACTAATATTAATGGAGACACTGGTAAACCAAAGATGTCATCAGATGAAAGAGAGACTTCAGCATATTCTGAGTTTTCAGGTAAAGTTTCCCTTAACTTCTTAATGATATTTTCCCCCTTTCAGATATTTTTTCTGAACAGGAACATCATAGGAATAACAAAAGATCACAAAGCAGTGAGTTAGCTTTTGAGTTCTGGAGAACTTTTCGTTGGGCTAAATAGAATGCATATAAGATATATAAAAATGATTTTGAGAATATGCAATCAGCACATATGTCAACAAATAATGAATAATAAAACAGATTAAAAAGGCATCATTTATCATGATCAGTGTTCAATAACAAACGAAGGAAGGAAAGAGAGTGAGAGAAAAAAATTGCTGGTTGAGGATAAAGGCCACATTGGGGGAAAGAGTCCAGCATTGCAGAGGGTTAGGTTGGAACCACCTTTGTGGTTGCTTCCAACTCTACAGTTCTGTGATGCTGTGACTGCTCATGTGATAACCCATTTCTCAACTGTAGCATCAATGTATTTGAACAACGTAGAACATAGGCAGGCAAACTAAGGCCTTGGGGCTGGATCCAACCTAATCGCCTTCTCAGTCTGGCCCGCGGTCTGGGAATCAGTGTGTTTTTACATGAGTAGAATGTGTCCTTTTATTTAAAATGCATCTCTGGGTTATTTGGGGAGCATAGGAATTTGTTCATTATTATTTTTTCAAAATATAGTCTCAGGGACAGACCACAAGGTCTGAGGGACAGTGGACTGGCCTCCTGCTGAAAGAGTTTGCTGATCCCTGATGTAGAACTAGAAGCCCTCTAATTACTATGAGTAGTAGAGGCTGCAAGCTAACTGCCTCACATCACAAATGAAAGAGACTGACATTGGATCGCTCCAAATTATGGCTAACACCAGTGCTTTTTTTCAGGGGGGACGCAGGGGTACATATACCCTTAAATTTTTTGTGAATCTGAGTTTGGCCTCATTTAGGTGCAGTATTTCAATATGAGTAGGAAAATGAGAGTACCCCTAAACATTTTTTTTAAGAAAAAAAGCACTGGCTAACATTCTACCATTTTGAAAATCTCACATAAAATTTTCTTCACTGACAGAATGACCTGAAACTGATGTTCACATCACTGGCTGATAACAAGTATATAGCCCTGCAGAAACTAGCTGAAGCAATCGAACGTCCTGAAACAGAACAAATGCAGGTACTGCCCTCTTTCTGTTACTAACCATGGAGAGGGGAAATACATATTATCTAACCTAAAAGTAAAAAACTTTGCTGGACAGCCGTAACACATTTGTTGAGTTGTTGTCTCTGACATCATGCATCACTGTTGTTGTGACACTGGAGGTTCAGTGTTATAATTCTTTCTTATATAGGCTATTCAACAAGCAGAAGATGGACTGAAAGAATTAGATGCAGCAATCAGTGAGTTAAAGAAACGTGGGGATAAACTGCAGATTGACCAATCTTCCATGCAAGAGCTAACAAAACTTCAGGTACATAACCTATTATTAAGAACTTGATAACATTGTTCTTGAAAAATGGTTAGTACTAAATTATTTGTAAGTAACAAGTTATTATTATTTATAGGTAATATTAACATAAATCATAGCATATATACATATGATCCCAGCAGAGGCGCCGAGTTGCGCCCAACATTGGGAGGGGCCATCGCGCACACGTGACATCACACGTGACATGCGTTGGGAGGAAGCCACTGTGAGGCCCGCTGCTACAAGGCCTGCCATGGTTTGCCACCTTTGTGAGACCCAGCCCTTCAAGATCGTAGGGGCTCAGCCCCATCCCAACAGACTTGGGGGGAGGGGCTGAAGACAGCTAAGCCCTACAGAGTTGGAGCCCATGGATTCCATTTTTCAACATCTTCTGATTTTCTGTTTCAAATCATTCAAATTCTTTACCTGCTGCTTAATAACATTAGAACATATTCTGTGAGGGTTTTGTTGTCTCTTTACATCAGTGAACAAATATATTTTGCAGTCACTGAATGGCAGAAAGCCAGTGGCAGTAGAATATAAAGAGTGCCTGACACAAGGAATAATGGCCACTTAACCTTATATTGCCAACACTGACTGCAAATTACTCCCAAGTGTCTCAAGCAGAGCACTTTTCCATATATGACTCCCAATAAGTTTTAACTCGAGGTGATAGGAAATGAAATCATAATATTCTGCATGCAAATAGTGCTCTATCACTGAGCTGTGGCCTCTGCCCATGGTTTTCATATAGAACACACTGTTGAAATCAGTCAGAATTTTGATGGTTGGTTGTATTTTTTAAAGCTCATTTGGCTTTTCAGACAAGTTAATTCCCAGGTCAATGACTATATTAGAATATTTTTTATGAGTTCGCTGAATTCATTATAAGGCACCCAGGAAAAAAACAGGACACAACTCTCCCCAGTGCAGTCCAGTCACAATTCCCAGAACAACATCTACAACTGAGACCGAGGGCAGGGGATGCCTCTGTGGCAGGAGAGCTAATATGGTGCACTCCAAATGTTGTTGGACTACAACTCCGGTCAGCTCCAACTTGGTGACCAATGTTCAGAGATGATGGGGGTGTACCACATTGACTACATCTGCAATACAGCATTTTAAATTTAGTCTCCAAGAAATCTAATTTGTTGTTATTTTACTTTTAGAATTTTTGTAACCCACCCTGAAATCTTAGTAAAAGATGGAATATAAATACTTGAAATAAGTAAATGAAAGTTTTCTCTGTGACTCTAAGGCAGAACATTTATGCCTCTTTTCTCCTGTGTCAGGATATGTATGATGAGTTGATAATGGTCATAGGATCCCGGCGCAGTGGGCTAAACCAAAATCTGGCACTTAAGGGTCAGTATGAGCAAGCGTTGCAGGATTTGGCTGACCTAATTGAAACTGGCAAAGAAAAGATGTCAGTTGACCAGAAAATGATAGTTTCCTCTAAAGAGGAAGTCCAAATTCTTCTGGACAAGCACAAGGTAAAAATATGTAATTCTTAGATTTAATTTATTGCTAATATCTTGTTTTTCCATTAGTGTCATTCTGTTATTGTAGTTGCCTTTAATTTTTCTGTTCTTCATTTCTGGAAAGAGATCTGTTATGATTTAATGACACATGGAATAATTTGAAAATAGTGGTAAAAAATGATAGATTCTGTTTTCTGATACTTTATATATTGCCATGTTATATTGTTGCAATAGTAGGAGCCGAAATGTATTGACCACCTGGAGGGATGCTGTTGAAAAGGCTTTCCTGCATTTCAGGAGGTTGTACTAGATGACCATAAACACACAAGAGCTCTGGTGAATCACGCTGAAGGCTCATCTAGTTCATCAACCAGTTCTCACAGTGGCCAACCAAATGTCTATGGGAAACCTATAATTGATTACTAGCATACTTGTAAAGGAAATAATATAAATACAAAATGCTAGTTTATAAAGCAAGGATTAATTATGCACAAATCCTGCACCAGCATCTGTTCTGCTAGAAGTTGCACTAAAAAGAAATGATGGCTAATCTGTGTGGACAGCCCATGGTTTAAACATCTAGGTAAATCTAACGTTTGCAGCACATTAGTATAATTTATTAAAAATAATGAATATATGCTGCTGCCCTTTATGCACTTACCTGGGAGTAAGTAATATGGAGTCCAATAGTACTTATATCTGAGTAGACGTGCACAGGAACATACTGTTTAGTCTAGCTGGGTACAAATAATAATACTTGGATGGGGTGTATCATTTTTCAGGAATATTTCCAGGGACTGGAGTCACATGTAATTCTGACGGAAACACTTTTCAGGAAGATTAGCAGCTTTGCTCTTGTGAAGGAAACTCAGTTCCATGGAGATCTGATGGCACAAGCCTCTGCTGTGTTAAAACAGGCTCACAAGAGGGGTGTTGAGCTAGAATATATTTTAGAGGTAAGAACTTCCTTTTTTTCTTGCCTTAAAATGTGGATATTTCAAGTGCATTTCACTCAGTAGTTCCTAGTTTGCACATAACAGGAACCTATGGTTAACAACGGCTTCCTGGTCGCCCCCCCCCCCCAATGTTTGTGCAAAGAGAGGAGCAAAGAAGGAGCCAAGGGGCTTAATAAGCTGGGTTATAGTAATGCAAATGCAGTCTATGAGTGCTTATCATAGATAGCTGTAAAATTGTTGAAGGAAAGCAAAATCTTCCTCAGCCATATGGAAGGAAGTGAAGAGAGTGAGTCTGGGAGAAGATTTGTCTCTGTGGCGTTGCACTAAACAATGGTTTAGCATCCAAATGAGAACTGTACTATTCTTTAGATAATGCGTTTGGAAATCACCGAGACACTGGTTCAGCTTTTAACATGTGCATGTCCTTTATAGACTTGGACACATCTGCAAAAAGATTATCAGGATCTTACACGGCAGCTGGAGACGGTTGAAACTAGCATTCCTAGTGTGGGTCTGGTAGAAGAATCTGAGGAGAGGCTTGCAGATCGGATTGCACTTTACCAGGTGATTTTGATGGTTTCCACAGTTTAAATATTGATTTTTATTTTTTTAAAAAATACAAAGCATCTATTGCTTTATCTCAGATGATTGCTGTTTGCATGACTGAGGTTTCTATTCTATGTTGCGTTCAAATTAAGACAAAACTTTATTGATTACATGTAAGAGCAGGTTTTGCATTGGCATTGGGCATGCATCCAGTGATCAACCAGCCCATCTGCTATTTGATAACGTAGTTGGGAATGACCAGTATTATGTTCCTCCTACAGCACAAACCACATCCAGTAACCCCCCACTAGTCCCCCCCCCAACATGGGGTGGGGGTCTTCCTCTGCCCATTCCCACTCAGGATCCAGCCCAGTGAGTCTTCCAGCCACAAGTTGCGATGATTGCTACCACACAAGACACTAAGACTGTGTACATTATTTGAGTCTCATATAATATTTGTGTGCATATCTAATATTGGAGAACTGGTATTTGGAAGACATGGAGACAGAGCATAGCCATTGGCTAGTAGCCATTGAAAGCCTTCTCCTCCATGAATTTGTCTAATCCTTTTTTAAAGCCATCCAAGTTGGTGGCCATCACTGCCTCCTGGAGGAGCGAGATTCATAGTTTGACTGTGTGCTGTATGAAGAATTACTTCCATTAGTCCTAAATCTTCCAATGTTCAGCTTCATTGGTATCTTTTAGTAACATGTAAAAACAGCCAGAGATTTAATTACCACAGAAGTATTTGCTAGGTTTCATAATGAATTCGAAGAAGAAGAGGCTGGGAAATACAACATGGAGTGGAGGGGGTCCTCTTGGTAGTTTGTGGGTGGGGGTGACCTAGGAGAGGGCATTTCTTGTGGTAGCCCCTAAGTTGTGACGTTGCCTTCCCACAGTGGTGCAACTGGCTTCTTCACTATACAGTTTTCCTGTGAATGCTGAAGATGCACCTCTGTGCTTTGACCTTTGACGCTTCAGATGTGTGTTTTCAGAGCCTACCCTATTCCTGTGATTACAATCTGTTACAATTGTTTTCTATTTTGATTTTCAATTGTCATAACCCACTGTAGGACCTGCTGAGAAAAGGCAGGTAATAAAGATGTTGTTGATGATGCTTCTTTTCTCTCATTGCCATGACAGCATCTGAAATCTAGCCTTGCTGAATACCAGCCCAAGCTTTACCAAATACTGGATGATGGGAAAAGACTACTGTTCTCTGTCACCTGTTCAGAATTGGAAACTCAGCTAAACCAACTAGGGGAGCAATGGTTAAATAATACCAGCAAGGTCACCAAGGAGCTGCATAGACTGGAAACTATACTTAAACACTGGACAAGGTAGTGTTAATCACACTGAACAAGGGTGGACTTAACTGCTTTACCATTTTGCATTCCAGCAATCAAATTTTGCCTTTAAAGTTTTTTTGTTTTTTTAGTGTAAAACTTTGTAAAAGTTCCTAGGAAATCAATCTTTTGAACAGGCGAAAGCAGACTTAATTAATTATAAATTCTCTCCAATACAGTTTTCTTCAAATTCCATCTAGTAAAATATTTGTTATAAACTTTTTTAAAAAAACAATGCATATATGTATCTCCAGTGCAAGTTCCTGCTGTGAACTTTTGTGGCTGATTATTTACTCATGTACAGTCCCACTATCAGGTATTTTGGAATATTGCATCACCATAACAGCTTGTATTCTGCATTCTGTAAGTTAATAAACCTAGAAGTAGCTTTTAAGTCTAGAGTTCCACAAATCACATACTTTGGGGATGTCTTGTATACTTTTAAAATACACTCCCAAAGTTGAATGTGAGTATCGTGAGTTGCAACCAAGTTGAAGACATCAGGAAACAGTAGACACTAAGGTGCACTAAGAAAAGTGTGCTGCTTATTTAAAGAAGTACATGTATTTAAGCAGCTGTGTGTGCATAATTACATAGTTTTAAATAAAAAAGTAACTTGTAAAATAGAATAGAATTGTAGAGTTGGAAGGGACCACGGGGGTCATCTGGTCCAATTCCATGCAAAGCAGGAATCTTTTGCCCAGCATGAGACTTGATACCATCACCCTGAGATTAAGAGTGTCATGCTCCACCAACTGAGCTATCCCAGGAATATTCAATTATGTTTCAAGTTAATACAGGCAATCCTCTTTTTGCGCGGAGCTTACGTTCCATAAAGCGTTCCGCCTTTTTAGTGATGTTTTGGATGTGCGTAAATCTGTTATGGTCTGTATATCAATTTTGGTGATATAAGGAGAAAGATTTTGTCAGGGAATTGGGGAAGGATCTTAACTCATGAAAGTTCAGGGTTGCCCAATATTTGAAGTAAGGTGTGAAATGTGTCTGTCCTTTGTCCGCCCAATAGATATCAAAGTGAGTCAGTTGAGCTGATTCATTGGCTCCAGTCAGCAATGGATCGTCTGGAGTTCTGGACCCAGCAATCGGTTACAGTCCCTCAAGAACTGGAATCAGTCAGAGATCACTTGAACGCATTTTTGGTAAGATGCAATAAGTATCCTTGCCAGCTCTGTGTTTTGGGAGATCCTGCTATCATAACACCACCCTAACCAAGACCCCAATTTACAATGTATTGTTTTGATTAGTTTTTATACTTAATCAAAGAACAGTGTAGTTAAAAGACTGTTTGTGCAAAGCTGCTATCTTCCTCACAAGCTAAAGAGACTTACTGCTCTGGAATTCTTACTACCTTATTATACTTTTGTAGTTTTCACAGTGGTGGTGGGAGGGCATTGGGCAGGATCTGCAGCTTATGAGAGGATCCCTATAATGGGCCTTGTGGGAAAGTGCATTAATGCTATGCTGTGGTGGGCCCAAGCCTTTCAACTTCTTATTGATTTCCGTAGCAAGCAAGCTGGGGAAGATATCATCCAGTATATGGCCATATATAACCCACATTATCCTCACTTGTGACCATTTCCGCCCCTCTTGAATGACATTCATGAGTTCATCACAATGCATTTAAAGTTATTTTCACACATAGTGCAGATTGGCAACATTTTTATCGCTAAGCATGTTTATGTCAACTAGTTATACCAAATACCAATCTTTCCAGGAATTTTCTAAAGAAGTTGATGCCAAGTCATCGCAGAAATCCACTGTTCTGAGTACTGGAAACCAACTCCTGAGACTGAAGAAAGTGGATACAGCAGCTCTGAGGGCAGGATTGTCTCAGATTGACAACCAGTGGACAGAGCTACTCACACAGATTCCTATAGTGCAAGAAAAACTGCATCAGGTATGGTAGATGCTCAGCGTTACATCTGAATTCATTATGTTTACAAGTGATCTAGGGCACAGTTACGTGAAAGTATGGCTAACTGAAATCAGTGAGGCTTCCAGATGTTATTAGAGTGGCGTTTCAGTAAGTGGATTTATAGGTATATAAATCATACCCCCAACAAAATTGCATATGCATTAACACTGCTTTCATTCAGTATCACTACCTTATAAAGCCTTCTGTTCAAATGCCTCTGTTGAACTTATTGCTATGCCTTGCCCCTCAGCACAGCTCAATATATGTGACTGTTTGCAAATCCCTCTACAATTGTTGTCAGAGGAATGAAACACCAAAGCTTTATTCGTTCTGTCTGGGAGATTTTGTGATTACTTGGGCTAGAAACAGCAGCCCACAATTGCTATAGGAACTGTGCTTTGGGTTTGACCATCCTTAAATGCCTGCATTGACACTAAAATTTTCCCTGGTGTGCTGGCACTGAGAGGAGATCTGGTTGGAAAGCAGCTAGTCCCCGGGGGGGGGGGGGCAGTTTAGCTGAGTGGGAATTTTGTGAGGTTGTATTTGATTAGCGTGTTGCACTCCCATTCTTTGCCTACTCCATACTGTCTGGAATTCTAATTGGCTGTTAGAGGTGTGGTTTTATTTTTTGACTTGCTGCTATTTTTGTTTGATTGACATTTATCGTGGGCAGGTAAGTGGATTTTAATAATGAGAATAAGTACCCTGAAGCATCCTTGAGGGAAGAGAACTTTCCAAACAACTTCCATTGCTGACCGACTTCATAGGTTGCTCTTTGGGGCCTTGACAAGTGTTGGACAAGATCATCCCCCTCACCCCCCAGCTAAGGATGAAGTTTTTTGCGGAATGGAGGCCTGCTAGAGTGAACATGCTCAGAGAAACACAGGGAAGCAGCCCTACCTGTCTTGCCCAGAGTCCACCTGCCATCACTTTCATAATCTGGTTGAATTGACTGCAGGTCATACTATTATATAATAAGTATGACCTTTATACTAAATCTCTGGGTCTGTCAGGTGGTGCCGTTTCTTCTGAATCTTCTGTTGCTAGAAGTGTACTGACGTTTTTGCCACAGGCTGTGATCCAAAGCATATTTCTTTGGAAAAGATCTGCTGAACTCAGTCACTGCCCCACCCCAAGATTTCACCAGCTGTGTAAGAGGCCAGCCCCCCCCCCCCGGATCCTGCAAGAGGATCCTACTTTGTCCTCAGCTATGAAAGCCACTCCACAAATTGGCTGACATCTTTGATGAACTCCCCAAGCTGTTTCTAGCATATTTACTTGTAAGAAAGTTGCATTGATTTCCATAGGACATTTCCAAATAAATATACTTTGGATCACAGCCTGAAGCAGAAAAGTTCAGTACGCTTGCAGGAGGAAAATATTCAGAAAAAAAACCCCAGCACTATTATAACTGACAAAGTCTCATTTGTACAATGCATTCAGTAATAGGCACCAGATTTCAGTAAAGATGTTGCCAAGTTTCAAAATATTCAAAAGGTGATAACCTATCTAAACTACAAATCTGTCAAGCAGGATTACTCTATTTCTTTTGGTATGCCAAATAATTTTGTTAAAAACTTAGATATTTGTTACACATGTCTACATGTGTCATGGAACATAATAAAAATAATGTTTTATCGCATATTTCTAGAATGAGCCATTCTTTCATGGATTTTATTATTTGGGTTTCATAACTATGTATTTTTTTATTTCTTGCAGCTCCAAATGGACAAGCTTCCTTCTCGTCATGCCATCGTGGAAGTCATGAGTTGGATTTCATTGATGGAAAATGTCATTTCTGAGGATGAGGAAAACTTTAAAAATGTAGTAGGACACAAAGTTATTCAAGACTATCTTCAGAAATATAAGGTAAGTGGTACAGGAGGCTTGGAAAGTAGGAATATCAGCCCAAGGATAAGATAACAAAATTTTAGTATACCTATGAGTTAGGATGTGAACGACTGAATTAAAATAACAACTTTTGTCTTTCCAAATAACATGGCTTTATGAATTCTAAACACTTCCAGTGGTACTAAAATCAGTTTTTGTATAGACATTACTGGTTTTAGTATACCAGATCCAATATTAGACTCGTTTGAAACAAAATTATTTTTTCCTACATGAAAATTAAATGCAGTGTCTGCAGAGTCTTGTACTACTTCCCGGGCCTCTGTAATAGGGCCTGCTTTTGAAAATCAGCACATAGGGGGCAGCATGCAACTAACTTGTTCTGTCAGCGCAAGGATTTACACTTGCACAATGACACCTTCCCCCCTCCCCACACAAGCAGTCCCTAAATCTGTTCCAGAGGTTCGCAACCCTCCAGAGCACATTTGTAGAGGGCACAGGATGTTTGTGGGGACAGGAGAGGAATTTCCATTGTGTAAGCATAAATCCTTGTGCTGACAGAACAAGTTAGTTGTCTACTACCCAGATTTTTTTTATTTTCAGTAGTGGGTTTTCAACCTGTCCCGAAATTCAATGACTGTGTTTGCACATCATGTTCAGCCACAGCTAATGTTTAATTAAATGCAAATGAGCAGTGTTTGTTTGGCAAATCACAAACCACAAGCTTGCATTTTTTTGCTCCTGTTGTGACCAGGAGCACCATAGTTAAACTATGGTTTAACATGAGGAGCCAACTAGGCCAGTATCTTAACAATTGCTTTAGCTGTTTGGGGTCATAGTGACACCGTCCCTGTTATTAGCCTTCCAAAATACGTTACTTAGAACTATTTATTTTTATGGGGTTTTGGCAAAGCATGATATTACTAGCATTCATTTCTTCTTTCTGTAAAGCAATGTCTGATAGTTTCCATTCTTTCTCTTTTTCACTAGGGTTTCAAGATTGATGTCAACTGTAAGCAGTTAACTGTAGATTTTGTTAACCAATCAGTACTTCAAATTAGCAGTCAGGATGTGGAGAGTAAACGCAGTGACAAGACTGATTTTGCAGAACAACTTGGAGTAATGAATAGGCGTTGGCAGGTCCTGCAGGGCCTGATAACAGAAAAGGTAAGGAAAGAAGCCTACCAAATTTTTAGAGAGAATGGCAAGAGCAGAAATTGCTTATTAATCAGAGGGAAAGACATATTCTGAATTCCATTATTTATGCGTGAGAGCTAGTACTGGACCAAAGTATTTGTCCCAGCAATTTTCATAGCAGGGTTCTTTGTGGCGGGGCGGGGGGGGAGGTGAAATGCACTCCAACCTTTGGGGGCAGGCAAATTCTAGGAATTTACCTTTATGTAAGAGGCAGACAAGTCTTTTTCTTACTGTTACTGTTTATTAAAGTGGTGACTTGACTGCCCTGAAGTTTGCTGCCCTACGATGCTCTCGGAACAATGCTATGTTCTAAGAAAGCTTGAACTAATACAGAAGTACTTTCCACTGAAAGAAGTAGTTACCTCAACTCTGTGAATTACATTATTTAAAATATCTGCATATCTTTTTCAGATTCAGTTGTTAGAAGGTTTTCTGGAATCTTGGATAGAATATGAAGACAGTGTTCAATCCCTGAAGATGTGGTTTGAAACTCAGGAGAAGAGACTGAAGGAACAACAGAAAATTGGAGACCAGGCTTCAGTCCAGAATGCCTTGAAAGACTGTCAGGTATTGCTGTGGTGGTGGTTGTTAAATTACTGCATTTTTGTCCTAACCTTCCTCTCAAAGGAGCCCAGAGTAGCAAACACAAAAATTGTCATATACAATAAAATTAAAAATAAAACGAAAGCATTTAAAGAGTCGTGTATTCTCACAGCTAATAATTGCAGGGTTGCCAAGAACAGTATTTTTCAGCCACCAAATGCCTCTGTAAACAGGACTGTTTTAAAGTTTCTCCTGAATGTTAATAACGAGGGAGACGGGTGCCTCACCAGGGAGGATATTCTACAAGCAGGCAACCACTGCTGAGAAGGCTCTGTCATACAGGTCAATGCCAGCTGGGCAGCATCGCCAACAGAGCTTCCCCTGCAAATATTTGAGGAAACATTATTTTAGGTATTTGGGTGCCAAGCCATCTAGAAATTTGTATGCTGATACTATTGCATTGAATTGGACGCAGTAACTGGCAGCCAGTGGAGTGCTTTCAGAACCTGTGGCACATTGGCCCATTGGATCTACCGGGTAGCTGCATTATGCACTAGCTGCAGTTTCTGGGCTGTCTTCAAGGGAAAACACACCTGGAAGACATTACAGTAATCCTGGCCTGATGTCACTAGGACATGGTCAGCTGAAGCCAGGCTATCCTGGTCCTGGAACAGCTGTGCTTAGAATCCAGAAGCAGTCCCATACTGTTCCCTTTACATTGAGAGGATGGGGTTGAAACCTCTTCCAGATACCTAATTCCCAAACATGGCAACCACCCATTCACATCACCTCTGTTTAACCAGGATTCATCTTCCGTTTACTGGCCCCCATCAGGCCCATCATGACTTTCAGCTGGCTGGGTGTTACTTGGCCCTGACACCTCTTGCTCCTTTCCATCCCTTAATTTTGTGTGGCCATGTCTCTCTTGTGTCTCAAGCATAAGCTGTGACGCCTACTGTACTTGTTCTGTTTTCACTTTCTAGCTATAACTCAATATAGCAGTAGATCATTGGAAATCACCCCCTTCATGTTGATAAAGATATTTCATTCCTTAGCTCTGACCTAGATTCCAGATCTTAGCTTGGCTCTGTCGGTGTAATTCAATATGGCAGTAGATTGTCTGGATCACTCTCTTATGTTGATAAGCTGTCCCATTATTTAGCTCTGACCTAAATTCTAGACCACCCTGAATCCTGTATACCTTTCCGGAACTTCTCATATGTGCCACTAGAGTGAGGTGAATGTTTTCTATACTTTGAAAACTACACAATTCTCTCGACCAGATTTTATATTAAAACATTAAGATATTTCTATTTTAAGTGGCTGGCAAAAAGCTGACATCACAGTCTCAGGAACAGGGTGGTATTCAGGATTTTCAGTTATACTCTTTGATTTTTGAAATGAAGGGAAACTTTGGGGGGGGGTATGTTTTTGGTCATCTGGTAGCCTAGATGAACAGAAAACCTAGCTTTGAGTCTTTTTAAAGAAATTTTGTCTTGACAAATAGCATTTTTTTTAAAAAAAAACAAAACATTTCAGATCATGTTGGTCTACCTTAATTATCAAAACGGCACCTATCAAAAAATGAGGGGTGATACCTTTTTTCATTGTTTAACATGATCATGATGATTCTCCTGTTCTCATTATTTTAACCCAGTAGGTTGCTTGTCATCCTGTATAAGTAACCTTTGACCAATCACAATCACTAAGAATTTGTTTTTGACTTGAGGTTGTAAATAAATAAAATTGTGACACTACATTAATGTTTGCTTGAAACAGGCTGGGTGGATTGCACTGTTGAATTTGGATCCACATTTCAATGCGGATGTATTTGTTTTCTTTCTTTTTTTCACACTACAATACTTGTCCATTTGGATATACATCCCAGTCCAAGAAAACTTTGGACCACTGTCTGGGCAATGACATTGTGTTCCCTTGGCTGCAGATAGGTGCCAGAAACACATTAAAGAGTGGAAGAGAGGAGTTTGCAAACATTTCCCAGTCTCTCTGTAAATGACAACTTGCATGGACCGCAGGAAAATTCAGCACAGTACTGTGCATCTGGTTGGCCAAAGTGGGAGCAGGATGATGGACTTAGTGGACCTTACATTAAGCTACTCCTACGTTCTAAATTTAGATGTGCCTAACTTTCTATGGCCACATCCTTATTTTCCTAGGCAATGCGATAACCTCGAAGTATAATTTAGTGCCCAGATGTTTTGTGGTAAACATCTAGAACCTCATCCAGTTTATTGTCTTTATGTGACAGTGCACACTAGAGACCCCCACAAACCAAGGTTTGTTCTTAGTTTAGTAAGGAGAGAGCTTAACCATGAGTCATGATCCAGATAGCATACTAAGCCAAACTTTAAGTTGGCTTAATGTGGCATGGTAGCAAAAAGGGGCAAGAGGACAAAGTAGCTGCAAGCTTCCTAAGCCACAGCTTGGCTTAGCGTGTCACACAAACCAGGGCATATTTTGGCAGGAATTTGTCTGCTAAAAACCCAAAGAAATCATTTTTCTAAGTCTTTAGACATGGGTGATATTCAACTTGATTATACTCAGAGTAAATTCATTGAAATCAATCAGCATAAGTTAGCCTTAACTTGACTTCTGATTTTAATGGGTCTACACTTAACATCACCCATTAGAGCAGTGTAATGCAAATGTTGCAATTCCTATATTAACTGCTGATAGATAGCATTCAAATTTTCCTCAAATAGTTTAGGAAAATCTCTGCAGTAAATCAGAAGCAAGCATGACACTTTAATTGAGTTATGAGATTGGAAAGATGAAAGTATTTCTCTTCCAGTATTTTTGGCATTTGGTGCATTTTTCTTTCCTTTGATCTCAGGCCAGTTTAAATTTTATTTATTTATTTGAACATTTTGTTGTAGACCTCAGTGTAAATCTAAAAGAGAATATGTTAACCATTAAACCATTCCAAAATGAAGAGTGAAGCATTGATCTGCCAGGAAATAGAAAAAAATGTGTTTTATACTGACTGAGAAAACAGAACTGGAACAACTTGTCAAAAATTTTGCAATCATAATTTTATTTAATTGTAACTTTATATTTTAACAGCAAATATAGGTAATATACAACCTTACGAAAGACTATGAACAAGTCTTCTTGTGATTTCTAGTTATGGGCCATGAGCAATCTAAGTGACATTCAGAATCATATTCAGAATGTAGTGATTCTGAATAAACACAGGGTGGTATCCAATGCTACTGTTCCATTTGTGTGATGGAACTTCCTGTTTTCCTCTTCCCTGTAACTCTAGTGGGTTGGGAGACTCTCTGGAGTGGATTTGGGAGGTGTGGGGAGGAGGAGTGGAAAGGTAAGTCCATACAGCATTTGATAGCCTATTGTTTTAATTAAAAATAATTGAAATGGCAATATGTGAATCATTATTTATGGCGAATCCGTTGCATTACAGAGCTGTGCAAATTCTCCACCAGATCTTTCACTGTGTATCGGGAACTGTTAATGCTTTCGACATTTGAGAAAGTTGGAAACCTAAAACAAAACCATGGTCATTTGTATTTCTTTCAGGAACTTGAACAGCAAATAAAAGCTAAGGAAAAGGAAGTTGAGAAAGTGGAACAGTGTGGCCTTTCCTTGATACAGAATAAAAAAGAAGAAGTTTCTGTTGTTGTCATGAACACACTTCAGAAACTAAACCATTCTTGGGCAAATTTGGACCACATGGTAAGCAAGTATGGCTGCATTTATGAAGAGGGGAATTTTAGCTCAAAGAGCAGCCGGTGGGAATTTGTGCATGTGTTGCTGCAGTTTAGCCAAGGAATTTGATTCACTTGTGCAGAATTTATGTAGAGCTTTTTAAACATTTTACTCTGTTTGGATTGCAACTCATCTTACAACACTAAAGAATACATAGGCTATTGGCTGGATCCAGATTTCCCATGATGAGGAAGAGGTGACCCTTGGCAATTCTTCCTCCCCACTGCAGACCCCTCTGCCTCCTGAAAATCTGCTCCATATCAGCATGATAGGTGGTGCTGGTGGCTGCAGGGGACGGGTGTGTGTGTGTGTCAATATTGTTGTTGTTGTTGTTTAGTCGTTTAGTCGTGTCCGACTCTTCGTGACCCCATGGACCAGAGCACGCCAGGCACCTCTGTCCTCCACTACCTCCCACAGTTTGGTCAAACTCATGCTGGTAACCTCGATAACCTGGTGTCAATATTAGACCAGAGAAAATAATAAAATCTGAAATAGTAACCTTGTCTTCAGAATGATTTAAACCGGCAGCAAATGGCATTTATACTTTCCTTTTTTATTTATTGTTTGGTTTTGGTTCTGTTTCTTTTTCTGTCAGGTTGGCCAGCTGAAAATATTGCTGCAGTCTGTCCTTGATCAGTGGAACTCTTATAAAGCAGCTTATGAAGAACTGAATAGTTACCTGATGGAAGCCAGATACTCGCTCTCTCGCTTTCATCTCCTTACAGGTTCCCTGGAAGCAGTGAAGGTTCAAGTTGATAACCTCCAGGTAAGGACATGAGCATCCAAGCCTTTAGTGTATTTAGGAAAGTCGGGGAAATTTCCAAACTTTGCAGGGAAGCAAATTATTGCCAATTGAAGCCTTTTAAAACTGCGCTTAAAACATGGCAAACTTGTTCTACAGTGTTCTTCATTCAGTGGTGCTTTAGGATTTCAACACCTCTTAGCACCATTTTAGTTCCTGCTAACAGGTTGCCAGATGTGACTCTGAAAAAAAAAATTAAAACTTTAAAATCAAACTGCAATTAAAATGCCTGCTGGAATAATTTAAAAAAATCTTCAGTTGGTGCTGGAAGTTCCGTAGGTAAAAAGTAAAAAAAGGGGGATCCATAAAAGGTGAAGTCAGACATACCTATAATCAGATGCATAGGGGAATCCATCATCAGCTCCCCATACCTGGGAGGAGGGCAAACCAGGTTGGAGAAAGACGACCTGTGAACTCAGAGCTGGAGCAAGCTGGGCTTGGTTATGCGGCTGTGGACTTGATAGGCAACCCACAAGACACTGGGAGGTTTATATCCTCTTATGTGGCTCCTACCCCTTTCTGGTTATCTGCTGGGTCCCACTGTACATATGCTCCTGTGCTTCTCCTCCTGAGTAGACCTTGTGGTGAATTCCTCTGACTGCTTGGGAACAGCATCATCATTGGCTCTGGACTTGTTGCTAGGCCCAATGCCACCTTTGCTCCTGGGGAGAAGTGGGAAAGTCTAGGATTGAGGTGGAGTGTGCGAGGCTGTTGTGGGCAGGCAATGTGTTTCAGGCTGTTCAACTGTCTGACAGCAGTGGCACTGGAGGTCTCTACAAAGGCCCACCCCTCTTCTTCCGACGTAGTCTCTCTGGAGTCACGTCAACTGGAATTCGAATGGGTAACTCCTGCCTGTGAATAAATAACATAGTGATTTATTATTCCATGTCTTCCTTCCTGGTTGCAATTGCACATTTCTTTCCACTTTAATCTCTCTCCCCCTTTTTAAAGAACTTGCAGGATGAATTGGAAAAGCAAGACCATAGCTTACAGAAATTTGGATCAGTGACCAATCAGTTATTGAAAGAATGCCACCCACCTGTCACAGAAGTACTTAACAACACTTTGAAAGAAATGAACTTGAGGTAAGAAACCAAACGTATTTTTTAAACGTAATCCCAAATAGGTACCTGAAGGGTGGGAGGGGCAAAACAAGCTTGCAGGTTCCTCAAGTAGTTTTACCTTAATCCTCCCAGCTCTGTAAGGAAAATCCATTTCTCTCTGAGCCAGTATAACTCTAGGCTGTTCAAGTCATCTGTATAAAACAGGCAAAACAAAAATAATTTTCTGATACCATTTGAAACGTTAAATAGTTCCGGTATAAACCAGAAGCTTCAAAGCAAAGTAGACACCCAAATCCAGTTAAATTATGGTCTCAAACACACACACGTTTCTAATAAGCCCCCTTGGAAGTTGTGTGAGTTAGAGTACCCCATGCGAGAACATTGTGATCAGATTTTAATTCTGATCTGCTAGTTTACTACATGTTTGTCTTTTGAATGTGAGTAAACATTCACAGGTTCTTCTATCTGCAATATGGTGTCCAGAATTGTACCTCCTTAGCCTACCACTTCATTCTACGTAATGTTTTTGGCTCTTTTCTCCACATGTAGTTTTCAAATGAAGGGTTTCTTTAACACCCACACCCCTACATGTCTCTTTTTTAATTACTTTTTTATGGAACAAACAAAGGTCATCATAGGGTTATGAAGTCTGGCTTCAAAGTCCATTAGTCAACATATTTGGTGTTCCTTTTTCAAATTGTTTTTGTGAGAAATAGCCAAATTGCCATCTTATTCATGCAGAAGTTTTGAAACCCAAGATGAAGATGTACTCAAAAGTTCTTCCATAGTCTATTTTGTTTTCCCTCAGTGAGCTCCTCTATCTCACAATACATTGGTTATAATCACTAGGTGGAACAACCTTCTAGAAGAAATTGCAGAGCATCTGCATTCCAGTAAGGGCCTGCTTCAACTCTGGCAAAAGTACAAAAACTATTACACACAGTGCTGTTCCACAGTTCAGCAGTATGAGGACCGAACAAATGAACTTCTGAAGGCTGCAACTAGCAAGGACATTGCTGATGATGAAATTACTGCTTGGATTCATGATTGCAACGTAAGTTCAGTAAACTGAAGGCTGTGCCATTAGTCCACACTTTTAAACTGCAGCAAGGTCCCTAATGTTAAATACGCAAGGATTCTTAAAAACTAGCTGAATACTGACAAGGGAACAGATGAAGTGTTTCCCTTCTCTTCCAATACACCTTTACCATACTCATTCTTCTCCCAGGCTCCAGTCCCTGATCCTCCATTCAGACCATTGCCACTCATAGACCAAGGAGATCAGCTTTTCCAAAACATTTCCCCACACCAAATTTGCCCTGAGACCCTAAGGTATTCCCTCAAATAGCAAATTGGGAGGTTGAGATAAGGTTGCTTATTGCCACCTTACCCCTGAACCCAGATTCTTTTGATTGCTACATCTTCATAGTCCTGGGACTGTGTTATTGCCTTCCCTGTTAATGATGGCTGCACCATCCAGTGAATAGGTTTTCAAATCCCCATGCAGCCATGAAGCTCACTGGGTGAACTTGGGCCAGCCATAGCATAACCTACTTCACAGGGTTGTGGTGGTGGTGAAATGGGGAGGAAGAGAACCTTGAGCTCCTTGGAAGATAAAGGTGGCATATAAATGTATGTATGTATGTATGTATGTAGGGGACGCGGGTGGCGCTGCGGGTAAAACCTCAGCGCCTAGGACTTGCCGATCGCATGGTCGGCGGTTCGAATCCCCGCGGTGGGGTGCGCTCCCGTCGTTCGGTCCCAGCTCCTGCCAACCTAGCAGTTCGAAAGCACCCCCCGGGTGCAAGTAGATAAATAGGGACCGCTTACCAGCGGGAAGGTAAACGGCGTTCCGTGTGCTGCGCTGGCTCGCCAGATGCAGCTTGTCACGCTGGCCACGTGACCCGGAAGCGTCTGCGGACAGCGCTGGCTCCTGGCCTATAGAGTGAGATGAGCGCACAACCCTAGAGTCTGGCAAGACTGGCCCGTACGGGCAGGGGTACCTTTACCTTTACCTTTATGTATGTATGTATGTATGTATGTATGTATGAATACATGAATGCTTGCCTGCAAATCAAGGAGCAGGTCCCTAGGACTCACAGCCAAGATAGTCAATACCATTTTCTTCCAGGAAAGCTAACAAAGCTGTAACAGTTTAATGTATGTTATTGTTTTATTATGTTGAGGTCAATGTCAACATATTCTAAGTTCGAAAAATCACCCCTCAGAAGCTACTTGTATGCTGTTTTTAAGTATCACAATCTCTGCAGGACTTGCTTAAAGGCATGAAGACCGTGCAGGATTCTCTGTTTGTTCTGCATGAACTGGGGGAACAGCTGAAGCAACAGGTGGACTCTTCTGCAGCAGCAGCTCTCCAGTATGGTCAAGTCTCTCTGAACCAGAATTTATCATCCTTAGAACAGGCTCTGAGCAGGCAGCAATCTATACTACAGGTAGGAAGACCTTACCACACACTTACAGCTCCTTCTTTCCCAGTACCTTCCATTGCTCACATAATTCATGTAAGTTTTTAAGTTGATGTTTTGCTGTGATTTTAATACTTCATTGGCAGCCACCCAGAATGGCTGGGGCAACCCAGTCAAATGGGTGGCATAAAATTATTACTATTATTATTTTTAAGTTGGGATTGTCATACTGCCTTGTTTAGGACATGATAATAGTAATTATCACTTCTGCAAATGAAACCAGCTTTTGCAGAATAGCATTATTGTCACATTGTTTTAACAGTAGTCACCATATTGAATGACTGGTCTGAAAGTTTTCATCAGCAACCATGTCTGCAATGAATGACACAAAAACAATGATATTTAGTCTTTATTTAGCATTTTGCTCTTATTGTGACTAAAATGGTCACATTATGGATGAGTTGCCCCATGGCAACAGGACAGATGTCTGTGGAAAAGGAGGAAGAGTCTTTGTGCAATGTATGGAGCTCATAAGTTGCCGCATTATTATTATTTTAAGGTTTTAATTAATTATGCATGAAATAGGAAACAAAACAAATAAGAAGAAAAAAACAAGAAAAGGGTAGTATATAGATTCTCTCAGTTGGTAAAATATCAGGGTAGGAGTGCATGAGGAGAAACGTAAAAAAAGAGCCAATAAGAAGTCCATATTTATCTAGCAATCTAGCCAGTACTTGCTTATAGCTCTCTGTATAAGTTAACTCCACCTCTAAAAGCTGAGCCATTTAGTTTATTGTTCTCTCCCAGCTTGTTGAGACAAGATATCTGCTGTTTCATTCTCTCTCTCCCTCTCTCTCTCATCTCCACTTTTCTTATAAATAGTTCCTGCATGAATAATGCCTTTGAACGCCAGAAACTGTGATTATTCCATTCTGATTCACCCAAGCTGCAAGATTTGCTAACATACACTGTTACTGGTAGACAATTAGTCAAAAGAAACTCACATTTCATAATTTATGACCTTTCCTTTCCTTTTTTTCTAATCCAAGGCTGGGGTTCAAGATTACCAGACATTTTCCAAGAGCCTAGGAGGACTAGAGGATTGGATAAAGCAAGCTGAAGAAGTGCTAAAAGAACAAGACCCAAGTAGTTCATCTGATCTGTCCACAATACGGAATAGAATGGAAGAGCTTAAAGTAAGTTAGGACAGAAGCATGGATTTTTTTTTACTTGCAAATTTTGTTTGATACTAAAGTATGTTTAATGAGAACAAACACTTCAGGGAACCTTTTCCCCAATAAAGTAAACTGTGGGTTGTTGTTTTCCAGCAGAACATAAGGATTTAAACTGAATATGTTTTATTGTTGTAATGGATGTGTCTAAAATCTAAAATTGTGCTAAAATATGAAAGGCATCTTACATGAATATCCATAAAAGCACTGATATGTATGTTCATTCTGGTTCTCTAGCATCCTAGCCCACATGCTCTGATTACTTCTTTGTTCCCTGTCACTATACAGCGCCAGATGTTAAAATTCAGCAGCATGGCACCAGATATGGATCGTCTGAATGAGCTGGGATATAGACTACCCCTGAATGATAAAGAAATCAAAAGGATGCAAAATCTAAATAGGCATTGGTCCATTATTTCGTCACAAACCACAGAAAGATTCAGGTGGGACAACTTACAAAGGACCAAAGTTTTAACCTGGATTGAATGGAGGTTTAATGTAGCACGGTTAAATAAATTTGATGCTTCCAGGCTTGGTTTTTAAACTTATCCTATAGTTTCATAAGACTGGGAGAAATTAAAAGTTTGATGGATTCAATTGTGTTCCTGAAAGCAGAATAATCTCCATTAGTCTTCACTAACCTGGTACGTTACAGATATTTTTGGACCACAACTGTGCTGGCTGGGGCTTTTTATAATCCATAGTATCTGGAGGGTACCAGGTTGGGAAAGCTACTTCTGCTTGTTTCTATAAAAAAGTGTTGTCGTGCTTCAGTTTGGCTGCCAACAGGTGCTGCTGCAAACTACAGCATGACAACACATTTCAGCACAAATGAAAGATTGTAGATGGGCAGCCCAAGCAAGCTTTGGAGGGGGTAGCCTCAGCAGGCTGCAGCAGCCCTCCTCCGCCTGCCCCAGCTCAGTTCCTCTGCCTGCCAACTTTGGGACCCTGCTTGAAGTGAGCAGGGGCACAACCCCATGTGTGTGCATGCACAGCGTTAGTACCTGTGGGAAGCCTGAGAAGACTCATTCCTGAAATTGCCCTCCTGTACCCACTTACCTGACAGTAATCTCCTGTACTTACTAGTGAATTTTCTGAAATAGCAACAATGAGCGAATCACTTCATTTATGGAAACAGAGGTTGCTTTGCTAAATCAGTTCTTCCAGAATGAAGGTAGCTGTGAGTTTTGTTTATGAACTATAGGTACATTTTAAGTGGGGAAAACATATTTTTCTAACATTCAAACTAATGAAATAGGCAAGCAGAAATGTGTGTGTTTATTTACTGTGGTAGTTGTTTTAAATTAATTTTTATGTAGGTACTTTTTCTTTTTAAAAAATACGCAGGATGAATAAATAAATAATCTCATTTATGCCAAAGTGAAGTGAAATGGCTCCCTTAAGAACTGCTGTAAATTTGTTTTAGCAAGCTCTGAGGTGTTACTGAATCACTCTTTTATCCTTGCAGTAAGCTGCAATCCTTCATGCTGCAGCAACAGACCTTCCTAGAAAAATGTGAGACTTGGATGGAATTCTTGGTTCAGACGGAACAGAAATTGGCTGCTGAGATTTCAGGAAACTACCAACTTCTTTTGGAACAGCAGAGGGCGCACGAGGCAAGTTGTAATGAAAGAATGAGCAAACTGACAATCCAATCTGTGGCTGGATTGATTAGTGGCTTGTAGATTGCAACCACTGCAACCATAAGCGTTTGTTGTTCAAGTGTTAAGTTTTGTCATCTTCCGTACACCTTCTTCACTCATTCCGATTAGCTGTGTTATATGTGAGCTGGAAGTGCATTGGTATCAGCCTTAGCAACTGCTGTGTGTGAACCACCCTAAGATCTATAGATATGAAGGGTGGTATATATAAATTTAATCAATAATGATGATGATGATGAAGATGAAGAATTTCTGCACAATGTACTGTGCAAGATGATTGTAAAGAGTGCTTAGTCTGAGTTCTACAACTAGAAAGGGTACTTGAGTCAGGTGTTAATTTATTTGAAGTCTTACTTTGTCAAATGATTTTCATAGTTTGATTTGCTCAGTCCATTCCTCTTCCACTATCATCTATCTATCTATCTATCTATCTATCTATCTATCTATCTATCTATCATCTATCTATCTATCTATCATCTATCTATATCTATCTAATCTATCTATCATCTAGCTATCTATCTATCATCTAGCTATATTTCATAAAATTTATATACTATTTGGTTGTAAAAACAAACTCAAAGCTGAGTACAAAAAGATAAAATAATAAAATCAAGAAAAAATCACAACCTTACTTTAAAACACACAAAAGTTAAAATGCTAAAACATATTACAAATTACTTCAAGTGTTTAAGCATCTGACTAGGCTTGTCTAAACATTAATGTTTTTAGCAGGTGCCAAAAAGAGTACAGTGAAGGCGCTGGCTTGATCTCAGCAGACAGGGAGTTTCAAAGTGCAGGAGCTGCCACACTAAATGATTGAGGACTTAGAAAGGCAAATGGGTATTATATGGTACCTGTAGTTAGCCAGTTCTACCCATTGTAGCAGTCGAGTGGGCACATGTGGGGCAAGGCGATCTCCTAGATAAACTGGTCCCAAGTTGTTAAGGGTAAATATATTATGGGGTACATTACTTCCTTCAAATCCTTATAACATCTGTAGGAGATCTGGTTTTGAGTATATATAAAAACTTCAGTTAAATAGATGGCTCTGTCTGAGTGTTATTTTTTCCACAGGGTGACATTGGGAGTTGGGCTGTTGTCTCCTGTTGTCCTTACTGTTGAAATGTCATAGACTGAACTGTTGAAATGTCATAGACTGTCATAGACTGAACTGCAGGATCCTGGGATATTTATTTTTAAAGTGGGTGGGAGGGAAATAATGCTTTAGTAGGTCAGTAACTGAAGCCCTTGGTCATTTTTTTTAATCTATCAGGCTAAACATGCTAATATATAATTGCATATTCCTTCACCTGTAATGTGATTCTTCTGTCTCCATTTTTAAAGTCTTCCATTGTGGGAAGCTAACTGTGGAGCTTATTGCCACCAGAGGTCTCTAGGGAACAGGCTGTAAACATAACGAGGAATGCTCAGCCACGCTATCTTAAAAGTTGAAAAAACAATGTGTTTGTGTTTAGAATACAGTATGCTTCCAGGGTTTTTTCCCTTTAAAATGAAGTTTCTTCCCCCTGTTGTGTAACAAAAGATTAAACAAGCAAAAGGAAAATCTTTAGCAAACACTACTTGAAATGTGTTACAGTACTCATACACCATAGAAAGCAACATACTATCATTAATATAAAAACAGGATTAAAAAGTTGGTGCTCTCAGTTTTCATGGCATAGACCAAATAACCTGAAAACCACACACAAAAAACAACAACACCCAGACACTTTGATCCTGATTACTTAACTAGTCATCCAGGCTTTGGGAAACTGTACTTAGGTCAATTGGTACCAATAACCAGTTACTTTGTTTGTTTAGAGCAGTCTATTAAAAAAACTGAATTCTAAGAATACGGACTAAGTGGAAAAATTGTTTTGGAGCCAAATGCTTCAGTGTCCTTAAGCTTATTTGATTCCCCCCCTTTTTCCCCTTCTTTTTTAAACTTCTAACTTGCTAGCTATTCCAAGCAGAGATGTTTAGTCGGCAGCAGATTTTACATTCCATCATCATGGATGGTCAGCACCTTCTTGAGCAAGGACAGGTGGATGACAGGTAAGAATGTGCAGAACTTGACTCTTTATAATTCTGCAGAATTTTTCTCTGTTCTACTCAAAAGTGTCAACCACATAAAGTGCAAAATTTGTTGGATTTTCTGAACACATGCCTCTGTGTTTTTTCCTCTGAAAAAAGCAGTTGCTCGGTTAGCAGTAGGTCAGCACAGGACTGCTGGCATTTTGCACACACAAATGTATACACGCTAATTCCAGCTACACCACAGTTTCCATTCTGTTTTGCTGCACTGAAGCTTCCACAGCCAGCTGGTGGGTGGGCTGAAGGGTTTTGTTGTTGATTTGTTCCCCCTGCTTTCTTGTACAACCGTTTGGACATCCAGCTGCCAACTGTGTTCTTCTTCAAATGAAAGTTAAATTGGATAGTTCATTCAGAAGAATAGCCTGGGAAATTGTCCACAGCAGCAGATACAATATTCAGATTATTGTAGTATACCTAATGATAGCATTTCATTTTTCCTTCCAGTTTAATGGTATCCTTATTTGTGCTAACACAAATTGCCAGGAAAAATAGGCTCCCCCCTGCCTTTTCCTAGAAGAACTTTCTTATAACCTTTACAACTAGAATACTAGAAGAGGCTTCTGGATCAGAATCCAGCCTCCATGGCCTGCAGAATGCCCCCAAGCAGAGTCTGAGCACATTAACACTCTTTGCACTTGGGATTCCCAGCAGCTAGTCTGTAGAGACATAGAACTTCCAACTGGAGGTAGTACACCCCCATGATAACTAGTAGCCATTGACAGACTTATCCTTCATGACATGGTCTAATCCTCTTTTAACACTGTCCAGTTTTGTGGCCATCACTATCTTCTCTGGTAGCAAATTCCAAAAGTTTAATTATTCATGAAAAAGTACTTCCTTTTGTCTGTCCTGACTTCCAGCATTGAGCTATATTGGGTGATCCCAGGTTCTAGTGGTGTGAAAGAGGGAGAAAAGCTTTGGGGGGGTCCATTTTCTCCACACCATGCATAATTTAATTATTTTATATTCCTCTTACTCAACTGAAAAGCTCCCATTGGTGAAACCTTTCCTCATAGGGGAGTTGCTTTCTTAAGGATGTCAGCTGGGCCCTGTGTGTTACCATTGTTGATCTAGTAGTCTGTCAGTAACACCTAGGGCTTTTTCTCTTCATGCCACTGTTGGCCACAGTTCCTTGCATTCCTCTCCTGGAAAAAGTTAGTTCAGGCACAGTGATCTGAAATGGTATATTTTATTGTTGTAAGCTTCCATGGAACCTTATGGTAAAGGGTGAATAAGAAATAAAACAAAATAAATCTTCTACAGTGAAGACAGCTACAAATAATTTTTTTCCTCCTTTAGCATCCTTTTGGACTCCCTTTACAAAAGTCCAGTTGACTCTCTAATGAAGGTGAAGTTGGAAGATGTGGGAGATGTAAATGCTGGGTTTAAGCTTCTTGGGCACTGGGAAAAAATATTAGGCAACAAAAGTTCTTCTTGAATGCTGCTTTTCTTTCTGAAGTAGTGCTATGCCATTATTTTTCTTCAGTTCATTATTGCGCTTTTAAAAAACTGAACTTTGTAAGAGATCACAGTCTGACCAACTTTTGTTTATCCCTCTTTTTCCTCCATCTTACTGATATGTACAAGCAGTTGTGTGCATCGCCAAGCAGCACAAAAAGGAATAAATTTCATCAAAATATTATTTTTCAGCTTGTGCTTTGTCAATGTACTTAGGTGATTGTTCGTGTCAGTTACTCAGATGGAAAAATCAGAAGTGACCAGGAGGAACTGCTAGCTGCGGCAAACTTTGCATGTGTTGATTTCAAAAATTACTTTTGACATTCTTAACCTTCAGTCAGAAGGAAGATGGAGCAGAGTGAACCTAAAGAACAGTCACAGGGATGCTTTCATCCCTAGAGTGTTGAGGAAAATGCACTTCAGTAAAAATGTTTCTCATAGAAATACTCTGGTCTAGACAAAACATACAAGTGTTTATATGCTGATAAATACTTAAGCCAAGATGACTAAATTGCCATGTCTAGCAATAAAATGGAATATATGTATACAGGACATATCAGAAGCCTGGTGGAATTTTGCGGTCTTTATAATCTTACCCTTGAACTTTGTTTTTGTTTGCTCCTCATCTGCCCTCATTGATTCTTTCAAAGAAATTTGCAGATACTCTGTAGTATCACAACGAAACCTTAGAGACAAAGGTACTGGCTATTCCAGCTGCCTTAGCTTTAGCTCCTCTGATCACACCAGAAGTATGATCATAAGACCTTAGAATTGGAGCTCTGACATCAACCAATTTTTGTTAAATTAAAGCATATCATGTTCACAGACACTACAGTTTTTGGAAGCTCTCTTGGTGCTGTTTGGCTGAATGAATCCTTCATTTTGTGCCCTTTCTTCTTATAGGGATGAGTTTAATCTGAAACTGGCCCTCCTCAGTAATCAGTGGCAAGGGGTGATTCGCAGAGCCCAGCAGAGGCGGGGCATAATTGACAGTCAGATTCGCCAGTGGCAACGCTACAGAGAGATGGCAGAGAAATTGCGCAAGTGGCTGGTGGAAGTGTCTGGTCAGACAGCAAGTGGGCTGGGCAATGTTCCTATACCACTGCAGCAGGCTAGAGCATTGCTGGATGAAATGCAGGTAAACCTTGGCAGGCCCTTAAAGTTATAAAACTGGAATTAAGTGCAATTTTTGCTGTAAGTAAAAAGTGAATACATTCATCAGTTGTAGCCGCAATTGGTATAAAATACATACAAAGGATATCATAAAAAATATCAGCCTAGCATCTGGCTGATTCCCCATTAGCCATACCTAATAGCTGCTTATTCCCCAGATTTGCTGTGAATGGCTTGTTCCAGGTGCATTTCTTTGGTGTACATCTTTAGGGAGACCTTGAACCTTAATGCTTACCAGCCAAATTCAAATCTTATATACAGATTCATAGTGTAGATAGGTATGAAGTATTGGGAATTTGTAGTAACTGGGATAAAAGAAGACAATGAAAGGAGTCTCTCCTGCAGTTGTGCTGATAAACAGTAAAAGAAAAGGATAATAGCTCTAAAGTTCTGAAACTGAATATGGGGAAAGGGAAGGGAGGCATCAGACACTATTTCTGAAGGGTAGCTGATGCTATAGCATTCCTATATTTCAGGCATCCCCAACCTTCAGCCCTCCAGATGTTTTGGACTACAATTCCCATCATCCCTGTCCACTGGTCCTGTTAGCTATGGATAATGGGAGTTGTAGGCCAAAACATCTGGAGGGCCGCAGGTTGGGGATGCCTGCTGTATTTTGTAAGTGCTGTATGAGAGAAACTGGGAAACCGATGTAAATTGCTGAGCATTCTAAGGAAGAGTGAAATGTAATTTTTTTTAAAAAGGCTTTGCACATATTTTGGTAACACGTTTTCTAACTATCATTTTCAATATATGGGGTGGCCTCCCAGTAGTAGGAGGCATGTGTGTAGAAGGGATAAAAGATAGAGGGGGGAGAGAGTTATTTTGGGAAAGATACAGAGAAAAATGAAAAGGATTCATAAAAAAAGAGAAGGGAGAGCAGAAAAGAAAGAGAGAGGAAAGAGAAAATAGGTTATTTTCCCCCTTTCTCCCATGCCCTGAGGAACAGCAAATGGAATTGTTGGTAGGTGCCTCTTAATTGTAGATACTACTAGTTCTTTCTTTGACATAAGGCAGGTAACTATTGCAAAAAAAAAATCTTCTTTAGATAAAAAAGAATAAGAGTACTTATAATAGTTTGGGATTTACAGTAGTTCTGATCCATCAAAGAAACTATTGTAAAAAAAACAACAGAATGATGCTAGAAGAATGTCACTGGTCTTCGCAGCTTAAAGAAAAAGTTCTCCTTCGCCAGCAAGGAAGCTACATCTTAACAGTGGAAGGAGGGAAGCAGCTGTTACTCTGTGCTGATGGTGAGACAGAAACATCCCTACAGTCTGAACTTTCAGAAATCCAGGAGTGCTGGAAATTGGCTAGCCTCAAACTTGAGGAACAGAAGAAACAGCTTACATTCTTGTTAAAAGTAAGTTTACTTAATGAATTCACCACTTCAAATAATGCTGTTTTATTATGCCTCTGTGAGAAAGACAAAGTCACTGACCCCAGCTCTGTCCATGTCTCTCTTCATAACTGCATTCTCATATCAGGGGTTTGTGACCTGTGGCTTTCCAGGTGTTGCTGGACTACAATTCATCATCCCTGCTCTTGTTGGCCGAGGTGGATGAGAGTTGGGAGTCCAGCAACAGCTAGAGGAACCCATGTCCCCCAGCCCTGCGTTATATAATGAGAACAAGATCTCATCTCTACTTTTCGTGATTCTTTGCAAACTAGTTAAAACACTTGGAGTAACTTTGAGGAAGCATTGGCCAATTGCATCACCCTTTTCTTTTCTTTTTTGCATATTCTCTGTATTCTTTCCTTGCCCGGATTCTGGAAAATTACATTCATATTGTCTTTCCCCACACCCTCTCCCTTCAGGACTGGGAGAAATGTGAAAAAGGCATAGCAGATTCTCTGGAAAAGTTAAAGTCATTCAAGAAGAAGCTCTCCCAGCCACTGCCAGACCATCATGATGAACTCCACACAGAACAGATTCGTTGTAAGGTAAAAACACTCCTGCATAAGGGACTCTGGCCCCAAAGGAGATGCTATATAGCTGCAATGGCATAAAAGTGGCTGTGGCAACCATTGTTCAGAAAATGAGGCAGACTAGCCTATACTGCTAGGCTACAGAGTCAAACCAGATGGGGGGGGGGCTTGATCAGATGTCCCAACATCTCAAGTTTTGCTTAAAATCAGGCCTTTAGAAGGGCTCCAGTTTTGATCAGATCAACTGTGCTGGGGGAAGGATGTTTCAAAGCCAGAATGTTTGAATTGAGCCAAAGAACCAGAACCCAGATACTTGTTTTTTGCTGCTATTATTTAGGATAGGAAGCTTTTGATAACTATTTTTATTTAATTATAATGATTTAATGTTAGAAAAGAGTTTCTCTTCTATAGCACTGCACAGAATCACCAAAAGCAAATAATAAAGGTGTATTTCTCAAATATTCCAATGCCTTATAGAATTTCTTCTTCCCATCCAGGAGCTAGAGAGTGCTTCTGAGGGGTGGACAGATGATCTTGCCCACCTAGCTCTGCTGAAGGAGACTCTGTCCTCTTTTATCAGTGCAGATGATATATCAGTTCTCAATGAGCGCATTGAACTACTGCACAGACAATGGGAAGAACTGTGTCACCAGGTAAAATAGTATAATTCATAGGGGGGTGGGGGGCATTCACCATTAGGTTGCACCAAACCTTTAGGTCAGAGCAGAGAACCAGTGTGGTGTAACATCTGGAGTGTTGAGTTTAGATGTGGGAAATTTGGGTTAGAATTTCCTGCTCAACAATGAAGCTCTCTTGAGCAGCCTTGATACAGCTCCAGGAGCTGCTTGAAGGAAAGTTGGTATGCATATGTGTAATAAAGAGACATAGTCCCACAGGCTGAAAAGCTTATGGGGTTGTCTTAGTCACAAATGGAGCTCTGTTGGGACTCTTTGTATGGACTTCTGTGAATAGACAGTAGACTTTCGTTGAGACTGAATCTCAGCTACATGTGCCTGCTCCCCACCCGTTCCCTTTCTTTGTGTTTGTGTATCTGTAGTTCTGTTTTGTATAATAGTCTATTGAAATTGTTCAAAAATAAATGTATAAATTGGGGACGGGGAATACAAATGGGGCTTCCATATGATACTGCTTTTGTTATAGAAAGGTCTGAATGCATGAACAGCATGCATAACAATTGTAGGATTAGTTTCAATTTTGAGTAGAAAACAGCATCATTTAAAAATAATAATAACAAACCCTCTTAAAGCAGTAAGCAACTTCCAGTGCAATATGAGAACCAGTAAGAAGTTAAGGACAGTTGCACCAGCCCAGGAAGCCCCTAACTTTATTCATTCAATTAGAAAAAGTAAGGACTGACATGCTACAAACTTAGACTTACCAGCCTTTTGCCATCTGATGGTTATACTGTGCGCTAGAGGAGAATTTACAAGCAAGGTTGCTAGAACCACACTTTTGCTAATGCTAGTGTGTGGAGAACCGCAAAAGGAAATGGGGTATCATTTCATCTCAGCTTAAAATACACAAAAACGGGGGCCTGCTGCAGTCATTTTATGAAGTGTTCACTTCCTCAGTGGAGAAGCTTATGTAAACTCAGAAGGAGCTGCACTTATAGAAAAGATGAAACAGCTGCAGTAAGTAGGATGCCGTTAGATTGTAGTCATACAATTGTCTTGAAAAATAGCAGGGCATTTTCTCTCAAGATCTTCTTGAATCTTCCTAATCTTCCTTTAGTCTACATTTTAAGATCAAAACAGAGTACTTATGATTTCATACGCAGGGGTCATCTTGTTAAACCAGACACCTATTATTTTCCTGCTGTACTATCTCCCCAAGACTTACTGCTTATTGCTTTTTTGATGTCATCCTTCATGTCTTTAGGTATGTTGGCTAGAAAAGGACAAGCAAATCCATGGGACTTGTGGCTTGTGGGCGTATTACTTGTATATAATCTGATGCCAATAGTGGCCATATTTATGGATTGAGTTGCCAATTTACTTGCATGGCTTTCATTTTAAAAATGCCTGTTGGGCAAATACAGATTAAATTATTAGTGTGAGCAGTAAAAGTATTTCAGTCTAGATCTGCAGTGACTTAAAGTTTGCCTCAGGTCTCATTTCATGATGAAGTCTTCCTCACATGCTAAATGTTAAGATAATTTTTGTCCTCCCCCCCCCCCAAATTTAAAGTATGAATTCAAATAGCAACTCTCTGTTTCATGTTAACTCAAGGCAAAGCTAGACTGGCCTCCTATATTTATTTATTTTTATGTATATATGTGTGTTTATGAAGAAAAAATATAAACCTGTTAATTAAAACAATCTCCAAGCAGTGTACATAAAACAATATAAAATCAGCAAATGCAAAATAAAACCCAAGTATACATAACTAAATTATGTATCTGGGTTGGATTGCTGAAATCATTTTATTTTATTTTAGCAGGCATCTAAAACAGTATAGCAAGGGTGCCTGCCTAATGTCAATAAGCAGGGAGTACCAAGGCCTTGCTGCTGCCACACAGAAATATTGACTTGTAGGAAGGTTCTAGGACACCCTTTCAGCTTATATGGGGATGTCCTTACCTCAGCACACCTAGGACAGTAGAACAGAGCCTGTGCATAATACTGAAGACTACAGTTCATCTTTGTGTGACCTCCAGTATTTGAAGATGCCTTCCCGACTTAAATGGGATTTGATCCAGAAGTATCCTGAGATTAACCATGATCATTAAGCTGTTAAAGGAGTCGTGAAAGGTTTTGTCTGCACTTCTCTCTTCAGTGCAGAAACACCTGTACGGCAGCTCAAGGACTCTGTTTTTGTCACAGTGTGGTTTTATTTATTTATTTCCTTCTACAAATTTTTAAAGGTTTCCTTGAGACGGCAGCAGGTGAGTGAGAGACTGAATGAGTGGGCAGTCTTCAGTGAGAAGAACAAGGAGCTCTGTGAATGGTTGACACAAATGGAGAGTAAAGTTTCCCAGAATGGAGATATCCTCATTGAAGAAATGATAGAAAAACTCAAAAAGGTACAGTGCTTCTGAATTTCCTTTGTAGACCTTTCTTCAAACGTTCTCAGTTTAGACAGTTACATTAAGCTAAGTAAGCACTTGGAAATAATCTAGTGTAATAATTTGTGTTTGTATTTCATTCTTATTATGTCATTATGTCATTGCTGCTAGGTAAGCAATAGGAAGGAACGTTGTTTTTAGCTACTGTATGATTTAAATGTTCTGCAAGGCTTTGTTGAAACAAGCATTACAAAGTATTTGTTATAGTCTTCAGCTGGAGGGTGTTGTGAATAAGCTTTATGATCTCTCTCAATCCCTCTGTCATCCAGGATTATCAAGATGAAATTGCGGTCGCTCAGGAGAATAAAGTCCAGCTCCAGCAAATGGGAGAGCGACTTGCTAAAGCGAGCCATGAAAGCAAAGCTTTGGAGATTGAGTACAAACTTGGCAAGGTCAATGACAGATGGCAGCATCTTCTAGATCTCATTGCAGCCAGGTAAAATAGATGGTGCTTGTGTTGATGATCATCACAGCAGGCTAAACATGAAGTTGAAGCTTTACCTTAACCAACCATCATCCTTCTTACTTACTGTCCTTCTTTCTCGGCATTTATTCATCGTTATCCATAGTACCTGACATATAATGTCTGTGTTTGTTTTGAAATTTGATATTGGCGCTCAACCTATAACTGCATGTATTGTAAGGGTATCTAGGCTGCTTTCAGGCTGTGGCTTTTTTGCAGGGATGATTCAACTGTATACCTGCAAATTTAGGTTACACAATTTAAGTGCATCTGGGGCCCTTATGTAACAACCCCTGCCCCCCCCAAATGATTTTTTTTGTGGGTAAACACAAGACAGGACAGTGCAGAATCAATCTGCTTGGAGTGTTTATTTTCAAAATGAAACCAGTTTCTCAGGAAGTGCTTTTAGAGACAAAACAATACATCTATTTTTTATTTGTTTATTGCATTTCTATACCACCTTTATATTCCAAGGATCTCAAGGTGGTGTACACGGTTCTTCTCTTCCCCATTTCATCCTCACAACAATCTTGTGAGGTAGGATAGGCTAAGAGATGGTGACAGTGACTGGCCCAAGGTCACCCAGGGAATTTCATGTCGGAGTGGGGATTCGAACCCAGCTCTCCCAGATCTTATTCCAACACTCTAACCATTACTCCACACTAGATTTAGATTGTGTGTATGACTGCATAGGGGGGAAAAACAAGTACTCAGTCTTCATTGGTTCTATAATGAAAAGTGTGTATGCAGCTAGAGTCAGCAGTCTGGCTGTCATTGCTCTGAATCTTTGCCCTATGCTGTGCGAAATTCTGTAAGGTGTAGCCAGCCTTTCTCAAACTGGTGCCCTCCACATGTTTTGGACTCCTATGCCCATCAGCCCCAGTCAGCATGGCCCAACAGGCAGGGATCATAGAATCATAGAATTGTTGAGTTGGAAGGGACCCTGAGGATCATCTAGTTCAACCCCCTGCAATGCAGGAATATGGAGCTGTCCCATACGGGGATCAAACCTGCAACCTTGGCATTGTCAGTATCACACTCTAACCAGCTGAGCTATCCAACAGACAGTAATGATGGGAGTTTGTCCAAAACTTTTAGAGGGCAACTGGTTGGTAAAGTCTACTCTAGCCATTGTGGCCACTTTTACACCATTTACTCTCCTGTAAAGGTTTGGATTTTTCAAAGCAGATGCCAAGACACAGACATTAGTCTCATTATAACAGGAAGTGGTATTTCTTACAACACCTGTTTGGCTCCTCAGGATGTGGTTTTATAGAAAACAGTAGACCTAGAGCTGTACATGCATTCTGAAACCATTTTTGTTTATTTTGTACAAATGGTTTGCAGAACAGTGTCTCCAAATTTATCAATCCTATAAAGAGCAGTAGCTGGCCACTCAGTAAGTCCAGAGGCCATTTTTACACACACACACACACACACACACACACACTATCCTGCTTAGAATGCTTTCTAATGCATTCCTAATTTAACTAAATAAGTTGCTTCTATTTGGGTTCTGCTGCTTCCTCTCAAACCTCCCAAATGTTTTGCTCGATTTCAACTGTGTCATCACAGTTCAGCAGTTCATAGAACACTGATCTGCTTTCATGAAGTCCTCAATAGTGGCTGCACCATTTTGTCAGGCCAGGGAGGCAGCTTCTCCCTCATTGCACCTTTACTGTCTATTTCCCCAGGTCAAGGAGGCTGGAGTTTAGATGAGAGCTGTTGCCTCATCAGTGAAGCAGCTCAGACTGGGAGCTTATGCAGGCACTGGAGGCTCCCTTGCTTCCTGGCTCTCAACCAGGCCGCGACCGAAGCAGGTGTTTCCATGTGCTTGTCCCTCCTCCTGAGTAGCTCTGAAGTGCCTGCTGGCTGGTTGGAGCAGGGGTATCTGGATCCTTTGGCTCTTTGGGAACACTGCTGGAGGGTACTGTTCTTTTTGTTGCCCCCAAGTACAGGCTTTATGTCACCTCATGAGAATGAATGATAGCCATTCATGCTTAGAAGGAAAAAGCAAAGACAAAATGCAGTGGAGCTAATCCTATTTAGGTATATAAAGCATATCTTGTCTTTCTCAGCTATGCCCCACATTAAAACCTGGTTATTTTGTCTCATGGAACTTTTTAGGAAACTCTCTAAGCCAGCCTAAATCTCTGTGCCATGCTCCTTCACTGGGCAGTTTGCCCTAAGCAACCATCTATGGACCTAGAGAGGTTCTGTTTTTTTGTACCATATATATATATATATATTTAAATTCCATTTCATAAGGAGCCTAACTTCAACATCTGCGGTGGGAAGGAACGAGATGGTTAGAGGCGCTGCAACATGTATGTCTCTCCAAATATACACAGCAATTGGTCTTTTTCACTTCTAACGTGCTAGACGGCAAGTTAGTGGTGGTGGTGGTGGAGAATTGCAGCTGGGGAGAGAAGGCTTAAGCCCCACCTAGCACTGGCTATTACCCATCCTCCCCGCCACTCTGAGGTGCCTTGTATTTTCTTTTTAGAATCCTTGGCATAATTGCTAATCACATAATCATTGCAACATGTAGTAAGACCCTAAACTTTAGAGTCCTGTTGCCAGATCTTGTGGCAGTAATTAGATGCTTTCCTTTGTTTATTTTGAAGCTGCTGCCAGTTTCTTTGTGTGGTCTCCACTCCTAGCGCTATGAGAGAGGGATTGTATCTCTGAACACGTTCTCGATATCCCATGCAACTTTGCAAACCTTTATCATGCAACCGTTCAATAATATTTTCTCTGTGCTCATCCTTGCCATCTAACCCGTCCTTATAAGGAACCTATTGCAGTGCAACAAGTGGGTTATTTTGATTCCCTTCCCCCTCACCTTTTTGAGCAGGGGCAAGGAACCTCAGACTCGGGGGCTGAACAAGGCCACCCAGACCTCTTTATCTGGCCTTTGAGACTCTTCCCAGGCCCTTCACCAGCCTCCCTCAAATTCTTTTGCCTGGTCTGGAATGTGTCCTTGGACTGTGATAAGGCCTATTGCTTGCCTGGGTAGAGAAGTGTGTTTCTGTGTTCTGCTTTCTCATGGCTTGGATGTAGTCTACTGCACAAGGTGAAAGTCACATCTGTTGCTCCACTCACTTTTGCCTCCAGACGTTCCCACCACTGGCATGAGGGTGTTGTGGTCATTGGGCTCAGAAAGCTTTCCCATGCCTGTGTTACGATAGCTGTTTTTGAATCCCATCAGGTTATTTCACCTGTCTCCTCTTTCCTTGATTACCTGTATTTATATAGCAGTACACCTGCCTATGGAGATTAGTATCATACTGCCCCTTTACGGATATTCCCATGTAAATAACAACCTTTCTCCTTTGATTTTAAATGTGACTTGTTCATCTTAACCCTTTGTTACGGTTGCCACCGCGTATCTCAGTATCCTTCATCTTCTTTCTCAGTTTAACTTCCAATAATAGCTTTGGTTAAGTTTAGGACAAAGTGTAGCTCAAAGACCCAGATGAAAAGTGAAAACAAAGCAGAATATGCTTTATTTAAGTTTGCTCTTAATATAAGCAGATGGTGATGTTTGTATGTACTTGCGTAACTAGGTAGTTAATTTGACTTTGTTACAGCTACTTCAAATAGGAATGTGTGAACCAAAAGGATGCTGTCGCTTTAAGTGGGGCTGCATGCACAGCAAGGGATGCCTGTCATTTGAAAAAGATTGCCATGTGAGCTACACTTCCACCTTTATTCTGTAACACTCCTTCCCCCTGTTAACACTCAACTAGTAGGTATGAAGGAATTTTAGATTCAAAACCTTTATACATTCTTATAATAAAAAGTCTACTACAGAAACAATATGGCTTCTCCACAAGCAACCAGAAGAGTCTATAACATTTCAATCAACAATGTTGAAATCAAATATTTAATTTGCATCCTGCCTTCCCTCTCAAAGGGGCCAAAGTGGCAAGCATTGGATGTTTATTCTGTACCAGCAATGACCGTTTTGCACAGGGGTTGTGTTCCTGACCCCTGTGCATGTTTGCAGAGCATGTGTGAGCCTGCTCTATCCCTTTGCAGTCCCTGCAAGGTTGCAGCAATGTGTGCATGCACAGTCTCATGTACTTTGGATGCATTCAAAATGGTCATTGCCTGTACTGACATCAGATGGTTTCAATAGTGCCCCTTCGCTGAATAAAGGCCTAGGTCCATTGCAGCCCCCATGATCCTCTGGTATGTTCCATAGCAGGCTTCCTCAACCTTGGCCCTCCAGATGTTTTGAGACTACAATTCCCAGCATCCCTGACCACTGGTCCTGCTAGCTAGGGATCATGGGAGTTGTAGGCCAAAAACATCTGGAGGGCCAAGGTTGAGGAAGTCTGTTCCAGAGGGTTGACAACCCCTTTGGAACAGGGTGGGAGATGGCACAGGGAGCTGCAGGAGGGAGGAGAGGTCAGCAAAAAGTGCCTCCCTCCCCACTCCCAAGATGGAATCCATTGCTGGATCAAAGAGACTTCCATTTGCGGAGGATAAAACCCAATATGATATTGGCTACTGAAACTGGATCAGCTCACTGACTCTGAATATTGGGATTCTAGGTGATGAAAGGTGGTGTATAAAAATAAACAATACCTCATAGTAAATTTTATTTTCAATTCCTTTCATTGCAATTGCCAACACTGAATTTTTCCTTATTAATAATATGGTCTGCACACGCACAAATTCTGGCTGGGGATGTACAACTCTCTATCCCAAAAGAGGTGGAAGGTTTCCCCCAAAAAGGCACTTGAGAGGCACCCACTCAATTCCTGTCTCCCATTTTCCCCTCCTGCCCTGAATGCAGAAGTGCTCACCTTTGGCAAAGCAAAGTGAAAAGCAAAGAAGGCAGTGGATGGAACATAGGAACCTGCCTTATATGGAGTCAGATCACTATTCCATCTAGCCCAAAATTGTCTTCAATGCTGCATTCAGGTGCTCCCATTAGTGAATCTGCATAGCCTTAACCTCAA